TAAAAACTGACTTTTTCACATTGGGGACTCTAAATTAGCCAGTCTTATTGGTTGGGGAAACCAAATCGACTATACTACATATATTCCGGACGTGCTACTGTTAACATTAACTACTGTTAGCTTTAATTATAGATGCTCCATGTTTGTGATGGTAATCCACCATGAAACTGTTAAGCACAGCTTTGAGCACAATTTAGTTATTTTCAATTTGAAGGCCTCATTTTCATTTCGGTAAGTTTCAGTGAGTATGAATTTCCTCTGAAAGAATTCCAAGAGACACCAGTACTCGGCGTACTTGGCGTTCCTATCAAAGTTTTCCACATCAACTCTTATATTATATATTATATTACATAGAACTTCGATTATAAACACGATAATCGTGGTCTACTTTATTTGTTTTACTGTGAATGCCCTTACCGCTCAGTGCAATGTTACGTGTTCTTTTTTAGAATTTTTGCAGGAGACGTCAATGAAGTGGACACTCGCGCGACACCTTCTACCATAATAGAGATTTATCACTTGTTATAATAAAGTTCAGAAAATAACACGCACTGTCATTGGTTGAAAGAGCGTGCTCTATGAGAGTATAGAGCATAGAACTGAGCTAAAGCTGTCACGCCATCTGCCATCTGCAATTTCTTTCTAGCTTTTCTTTCGTTAATTGAAAGTGAAATTTCGGAGCAAGCGAGCGAAGGTTTGCAAAAATGCAACAATAACGGTTTTCACGCTCAGTTAGATTGCAAGCTTACGTACGGTAATAAAATCAAACACAGCTAACACTTGTATAGTATATAAAGTTTCGTTGCCAAAAACAAAACAGGAATGATGAAAAATATAACCAGGCATAACCCTTGCCGAAAAAATCGTTTCCGAACCGTACATAGCTAAAGCTACGGCCTGCCACTCGACTTTTACGTTTCAACCGATTAGTGAAGATTTTGTCTCAAGATCCATCAGTTCATTGAAAACCAATAAGGCCGTTGGTCTCGACAAAATTAGCGCGCGTCTTTTAAAAGATGCTGTGGACGTTATCACTCCTTCTCTTACGGCCTTATTCAATTTATCCCTTCAAACAAGAACATTTCCTTCGATATGGAAAACAGCAAAGGTTATACCCCTGTTTAAAAGGGCGATAAATTGAATGCCTCTAATTACAGGCCAATTTCCATTCTCCCGACTGTAAGCAAGATTTTAGAGAAGGCGGTACATACTCAGTTTTATGCATATCTTACTGAGAATAATTTAATTTCACCCAACCAGTTTGGATTTAGATTGAAGTCATCTACTATTACTGCCACCATTCAGCTTTCTGATCAGATCCTTCACTCCATGGATAATGGTTGCCTGACCGGTGCGGTTTTTAGACCTCGCCAAAGCGTTTGACACTGTCAATCACTCAATACTGCTCCAGAAGCTCTCAACTTATGGTGTTGATGATGCTGGCAAAGCCTGGTTTACTTCATTCTTAACAAACAGAACACAAATGACTAGCTGTGATTATGCTTGCTCCAAAGCTGCCGCTGTATCGACTGGCGTTGCTCAAGGCTCTATATTGGGCCCACTTTTATTTATAATTTACATGAATGATCTACCTGATGTTTTGCAATCCTGTCAGGTTACTTTATATGCAGATGACACTGTTTTATACCTCGCTTCCAAATCTACTGTAGACTTACAAAGTAAGATTAACGATGACTTAAAACGTATATGTAGGTGGCTTCGGGCAAACCAACTGACTCTGAATGTTCAAAAATCCAAATTTTTGCTTATCGGTAGTAGTTCCCGCTTGAACAAAGTTGAGTCCATACTTATTTCGGCTGATGATACCCCTCTCGATAACGTAGATTCTTTTACTTACCTAGGCATTGTGATTAATAACCACTTCTCCTGGACTGACCACATTGATTATATTCGTAGTAAGGTCAGTAGAAAGTTAGGTCTTTTAAGGCGTATTAAATCTTGCCTCCCCCTCAACGCTAGAATTATGTTTTTCAATAGTTTCATTTTACCTATTTTTGACTATGGGGATATCATCTGGGAGATCGCGGAAATGCGTCCTTAATGTCTGAGCTGCAAGTGTTGCAGAATAAGGCCGCTCGCCTCATTTTAGACTTACCTGTTTATTTTTCCGCAACTGAGGCCCTAAAGAGACTTGGCTGGAAACCATTACTGCGTCGTAGAAAAGAACACCATGCCATCTTTTATGTATAAATTAATTAACAACCATTCATGTAATACTATTCCTGTCACATTTAATCGGGACTTTCATGGTGGTTACAATACAAGATCGAGAAATGACGTTCGAAAATCCAGTGCCAAAGAAGATGGGGTCATTGGTCGTCAGTTAACTTTAGCGCAGATGTATGGAATGGTTTAGACATCTCACTAAGAAATGCAAACTCACTGCCTGCCTTCAAACGTGGCCTGTCTAAATTTAATTTTGAATTGATTATAGTAAATCGATTACCCTTCGAGTGGAAAAATAAGAGCTAGCTCTGATTACCTTTCCGATGCATTGAGTGGAAGGCCACATCAGTCACTGCAGCTGAGTTTTACGGCGCTGTCATTCCAGGCGATCTTCATGTCCTAGTGAATTCGGCTGTTGTTCATTCATAATACACTCGCTTTGAACAGTTTGTTTTCTACTTGTCATGTGAAATAACTTGCGTATTCTTGTGAGTCACGATTGGGCCGAATTTCACTGAACATTTCATTTTCAAGTTCTATATTAGAAACTAAAAAAACTTCAGGCAAAAGTGTTAAATTCGACATGCCGAACTATTTTAGTTTGTAAACTAACGCAGAATATAAACTTTGATGGTTTTTGAACTTTCAATGGTTTGACAGCTTTAGTCTTGTACAGCCAATCAGATTATTTGAACCATTCTAACAGGGATTCTGATTGGCCTTTTGTAGCGTGCTTTATGAGAGTATAGAGCATGCTGACGACACTATTGTACGCTCTGGAAATAAAATTTGTTTTGAAAATTGAAAGTAATTCTTGGGGAATTTAACGGATTCTTTATTACCAAACAAATAGAGAAGCCTTGACTGTGCTCTGTTCTGTTGGAAAGCACTTAGGAAGCAGCTAGAGCACTCAAGAAGTAGGGAGAAACACTCGACTTCGTCTCGTGTTTCCCCCTACACTTCTTTCGTGCTCTAGCCGCTTCCTGCGTGCTTTACAACAGAACAGAGCACAGTCAAGGCTTCTCTATTTGTTAATTAGGGGCGGGTCGTTTTATGAAACGACAATTAGTCAAGAATAGTTTCTTCTTAATGTACCGTGCGTGTGTACTTTTAATCGACCCTTTTGTGATTTTTTCCTTTGATATAATTAGTACATTGTAATGCACCAACGTTCTAGAAGGTTCGGTAAAGTAATTGATTTTACAGGAGGAGTTTTAGGACTAAGATTATTATAACGTATATAAACTATGGGCTGGAGTACTTAAACACTATTTCTTCGGTATGAATTTCGATAAAACTGTGGAAGAAAATTCAATTTAGTGGTTTCATCCTAAAGACGTATTTACTTGCTAAGGTAGGTTTGGCGCAAGTTTAAGTTCAATTTGTTTCCTTTTCGTTCACTCTAGCATAGACGTCGTCTTTTGCCTTTGTTTTTACTTTCATCTCTGTGTGTCTTAGTGAGTAGAAATAGCCCTGGAAAGGGTACCAGTTGACTCCTTTAGCAAAATGGGTTGTGGGGCCATTGATATACAGGCTCTCTCGCAAATTTCGGCGCAGTCGGACTCGTTATGATGATCATTGTCTTGGTCTTTCGTAGAAAACTGCATATTGCTGAGATGAAATGAAATTTCTTTAAGCTTGTTTATATCATGTTTAAACACGTGTAAAATGGTTGCTGTTAATGAGAAACTTAGTCTACGTCTACAAATTACTTTGATAAATTGCATAAAGGCTGTAGAGATAGAAACCCGGGGACACACACAGAACGAAGAAGTAAGATCTAAGCGTCAAGACAATTTTAGTTTTGTATTCAACTGAGGTGTGGGTTTTTTTCCACATTAAGGGGTCTATAATCAGGAAAATGCGCCTTTATTACGCAAAGTCTCCTTTGTTTTCAGTATATTGCATTTTTAAAATCAGGTTCCAATGGGTTTTTGGTCCCACGAGATTTGGACGCGAACATAGTACGAGCTTTAAAGACGTCAAACAGGAAAAAAAAGGTGGCTCCATACGATCGCACGATTGTTATCTAAAAAGGTCTATAAACAGTATGAAACGATAGAGTTTTTTTTTTAATCATTATTTTTTATAATTGAATCAGTCTTAAGCACATACAGTTCATATCAAATATTTGTACATATTAAGATAAATGAAAAATTAGAGATCATCAGCCAAACAGTTTCAATGACATTGAGTTTTTACAATTTTAAAAGATCACGCAATATCATTATCATAATGCGGCAAAGAATGAACATATTTCATCAAGGAACGGTAAAGATAATGAGCTATTTAGGCCATTAATTGGAATGACAGTTATATATACCGTTAGCCGATCTGATTAATTTCTTAAGGAAAACTTTAATATTATTAAGTTAAATAGGTTTCCTTTTTTAGCTTTCGTTCCAGTCTATTCATAAATACTCGCGGGTGCCACCTTAAATTTCCAACTATGAATTCCAATCAAAAATACTTATTCGTTCAATCCGGTCAAAAGTTCTATCATTCCCTAGAACAGTTCCATGGTTTCCTTTTTCCACCGTTTAAATTTAAATTTAATACAGAACGCCTCAATGTTGTTTCTATTTGGTTGAAAGTTGGGTTTCTCTCATGATTGTAGGCGTAGGCAGAACTTAGTTTCATATACTTGCGATTGCAGAAGGATTCGAAATTTACAGCAAAATTCTTAAATCAAGTGTGAGATTTCTTTTCGCGGATGTGAAAGCTTTTCAGATGCAAATCCAATCTAGCACCGATAAGCGTTTAAGTTTGCTTCAAAATGGAAATTTAAACTAAACTTAGAAATTGAGGGTTTCTTACTGTAATGGCTGTAGCATTGCAGTCATAGAGTCACCAGCCGAGCCATTGTATCCTCCAACCAAAAGCTGATACTTAGTTGCCTCATCTGCCACCTTAAAAGTCGCGTACTCAGCGTAGGCGACGTTGCCTTCAAAGTCTTTCAGGTCAACTCTAAGTATGACTTCATCAGCGGCTATTAAACGGTGAAGATTGTCGGTTCCAAGCCAGAACTCGTCCGTTGTTATGTCACACAACACTTGGATTGGCCTGCCGGGATCAGGATTGATGGTATGTACGCCACTGGACATCCAGCCATCTCGAAAAAACTCGACGCAGCTTTTCCGCTCTAAAAAAAACACAAACAAACAAAAAACAAGATATGCTAAACATATTTTCTTCATCAATTATCAACCAAAGTTTTATAATCGGTGATGACGTTAAGTAAGTTATGATGATTTAGCAAAAGAAACAGATGAAAAGCGAAGAAAGCTTATCAGTCGGCTTACTGTATGCCAGTATTACTGTATCTTGTTATAAGTAACAAACCTAGATAATAATAGTAAACATTACTTTATATTCTAAATGGCAGAAACACTCTAAATAATCACCTTCGCATAGAAACCTATTGCCTTTATATTCATTCTTGCACCAGCAGCGGTATAACCCTTCAGTGTTGTTACATATGGTGATCACGTGACAGGCATGGTTTCCGTCTGTGCACTCGTCCTAATCTACAAAATATTAACCTACCTCGATTACTGATCCGTTGAGTCAATGAAATTTAGTGTTGATGTTCCCCCTACAACCCGATTTGAGTTGATCAGGACTGTTCCCATGTTTTAATTTCAATGTGTTACTCATTAATTCAAAATGTTATAAAGCTAGTCGAAAAAACTCTCTTTGAAAACCGAAGAAGGAAGTGATCACAGGATTATGTAGCAGGCAATGCCAAACTTATTACACTCATTTATCTTATATTAACCTTGCCCAATCGGCTCTCCACGCGCTTTAATATGACCATAATTCACTTTTTTAAGCAAGTTTCACAACTTGAAGCAGGCAACGACAAAATACAGCTTTAGCGAAATTTCTTGATGTAAAATCAGAACCTAAGCTAATACATGCAATTTCCATCGCTGTCAAGAGGTTTTCCGAGCTTTACGACGTTTTGAGCCAAAATTTTGTGGCCCAAACATCAAGAAATTTTCCCTATCAAAAAGCAATTTTTCTACTTTCATGTTATGCTTTTGACCACATTCCCACCCCATGATACCTTTGTTGCGCGATAAAGGAAGTCTCGCCGTGCCCGGAAGTCATCTAGATCTCTAACACCATCAGAATCACTCAGCTCACACAAGTAATCACCATCCTCATTTGGACCGAAGTTGTATCGTCATCATGAGAGATTAGATTGAGATGTATATATATTAGATTAGATATTATATATATAGATATTATATATATTAGATTGAGATATATATATAAACAGCATACTTGTTGAATATAGATTGATAATCTTTGGCAAAAAGTTGCCATCATTTAAATGGAACTAAAAATCTGAAACCGGTTCTTATCTTGGCATAAATAAGAAATTATCGTCGCCTTAACTCGATCCATGGAAATAACAGGTTGTGTGGAAAAATAAAATCATAATCCTCCTACCCACATCCGAGAGGCCACTCTGCGAAAGCCTCTCCAAAACCACGAAAAGAAACATGACTCATAACTGAAAACAGTTCATCGAATCTGGGATGAACTGCAAGAAGCTGAAGGAAACCTTCCTTTGAGGCCCTACAGGTTCAATGGTTATTCTGTTAAGGCCAAAAGGCTGGCTCTATTGTAATGCTTTACCGACAAATTTTGTCTCTGTTATGAATGCATTGAAAAGTAGTCGAGAATATTGTTTTCTTAATGTAGCGTGCATACTTTGAATTGATCGTTTGTGATTTTGTCCTCTGCTACAATTAGTATATCTATTTCTGCGGTGCGCCAACGTTCTAGAAAGTTCGGAAAAGTAATTGATTTCACAAGAGGACTTTTAGGACTAAGATTATGATAACGTGAACTATGGGATGTACTTAAACACTAGTTCATCGGTATGAATTTCGATAAAACTGTTGAAGAAAATTCAATTTAATGGCGTCATCTTATAGACGTATTTACTTGCTGAGGTAGGTTTGGCGCAAGCTCAAATTTCAAAATGTTTCCATGTCGTTCACTCTAGCATAGACACCGCTTATGCCTTTGTTTTTACTTTCATTTCTGTGCGTTTTAGTGAGTAGCTATAGCCCCGGCAAGTAAACCAGTTGACTCCTTTAGTACAAGGGGCTTCGGGACCACTGAGGTACAATCCGTTCAGATTGGACGCATTGTCCATAAGTCGTTGTACCACCAGGCTCCCTTACAGCGTTCGGCGCAGTTGAACGCGTGATGGTCATGATCATCGTCTTGGTCTTTAGTTGAAAACTTCATATTGCTGAAATAAAGTAAAATTTAATATGAGTTTGTTTATATCATGTTTAAACATGTGGAAGATGGTTACTGTTAAAAAAGAAACTTAGTCTACATATACAAATTACTTTAATAAATCGCATAAAGACAGTAGAGATCGGGGAGACAGACAGACCGACAAAGTAAGGTCTAAGAGTTAAGTGTATTCAACTAAGGAATGGGGTTTTTTTTCCACATTCACCGATACATAATCAGGAGAATGCACATTTATTACGTAACCTCTCATCTCAGCTATCAGTATTTTAAAGGCTTGTTTGATCGCTGCTACCAGGCATTACCTTCAAAGTATCGCCAAAAAGTATTGTCTATCATTCCAAGTTGATCAGCATAATTTCTTTCAGGCTCAGGATAGTCTCCTTTGTTTTTCAGTATATTGCATTTTTAAAATCAGCATATGGAGATTGCAATGGGTTTTTGGTCGCACGAGATCTGGACGCGAGCAAAGACGTCAAAATGAAAAAAAATGGTGACTCGATACGATGGTACAATTGTTGTCAGAAAAAGTGTATAAACAATGGAAAACGATAGAGTTTTTTTAAATAACTATTATTTTTTAATAAAACAGTGTTAAGAACATACAGTTCATATCAAATATTTGTACATAAATGAAAAATTAGAGATTATCAGCCAAACAGTTTCAATGACATTGAGTTTTTACACTTTTAAAAGATCAGGCAATATCATTATCATAATTCAGCAAAGAATGAACACATTTCAATAAGGAAAAGTAAAAATATTGGGCTATTTAGGCCATCAATTGGAATACCAATTATATTTATCGTTAACCGAGCTGGGAAAGGAAATGGAAAAGGAAAACTTTGATACAATTAGGTTAAGTAGGTTTCCTTTTGAAGCTTTCGGTCTAGTTTATTTATAAATACTCTTGGGAGCCACCTTAAATTGTCAATTTTTATTTCAACTTTTCAATAAACTTATTCGTTCAATCTGGTCAAAAGTTCTATAATTCGCTAAAAAAAAGTTCTATCGCTTTTTTTTCCACCGTGTATGATTAAATTTTTGTACAGAACGCGTTAATGCACTTGCTATTTTGTTGAAGATGCGGTTTCTCTCATGATTATAGGCGTTGCAACCAAAAAAAAAACGAAATTCAAACTGAACTTGGAAATTTAGGGTTTCTTACTGCAATGGCTGTGGGATTGCAGCCATAGAGTCACCAGCCGTGCCTCTGTATCCTCCAATCGAAAGCTGGTATTTGCAGCCTCGTCTGCCACCTTAGAAGTCGCGTACTCAGCGTAAGCGACGTTGCCTTCAAAGCCTTTCAGATCAACTCTCAGCATGACGTCGTCAGCGGCAGTCACAGGAGTTTTAAATTTTAACGGCAGTCACAGGACTGATAGTAGCGTCACCAACGACCAACCCCTTGATGTCAACTTTAGCGAGCTATTGTCTCGTTCCGATTTGTATAAATTCTATCTTACTATCATTTACTTTAAGCTTGTCTTTAATCATCCAACATCTGATGGCGCTGTTACAGCGTTCCATAGCGTCCACTGCGTTGCTTTGAGAAGATATAGTGTCGGGCCTAAAAGATAAATACAATTGAGTGTCATCTGCATAGGAGTGTGTCCGAGTAAGATGACCTTTGATGATGTCAAAGAGCTTGCTCGCATACATTGTGAATAACAGCGGACCGAGGTATGATCCTTGGGGTACAACACAGGACAGATAACGACTCTGAGAGAAGTTATTTTCAAAAGAAACACGTTGTGTCCTGTCAGAAAGATACGACGCGATCCACTCTAACGCATATCCACGTATCCCAAAACTCAACCTAAGGCGATTTAATAGTACTTGATGGTCTATGGTGTCGAACGCGGCACTGAGATCGAGTAATCTTCGCAATCAGGATTGATGATATATACGCGACTGGAATTCCAGCCATCTCGAAAAAACTCGGCGCAGCTTTTTCGCACTAACAAAACAAAACAAAAAGTAACTAAGATATGCTAACCATATTTTCTCCATCAATTATCAACCAAAGTTTTATTATTGGTGATGGCGTCATGTAAGTAAAGGTGATTTAGCAAAAGAAACAGATAAAGGGGAAGAAAGTTTATCAGTCGGGTCACTGTATTCCATTCATAAACGATAGAGCTGAAAATCTTGTAATAGGTAACAAACCTAGATCATGAGAGTAAACATTACTTTATATTCTAATTGTAAGTTACGCACTAAATATTCGCCTTCACATAGAAACCCATCGCCTTTATATCCATCCTGCACCAGCAACTGTAGGAACCTTCAGTGCTGTTGCATAAGGCGTTCTCGTGACAGGCATGAATTCCTTCTATGCACTTGTTCATTTCTGTAAAGTGTTAGAACATTCCTTCAGCATCACTGATCCTCTAAGTCAAGGAAACTTAGGTTCCATGAAAGTTTGATAGTTTCTGCCCAACCCATCCTCGATTAGAAGTGATTTTAAATGAGTGTTTTTAAATGAGTGTTTTTATTTTATTTTCTAAATCCTATAATATTCCGGACGTGTTCCTTTTTCATTTTCAAATTGTAAACTAAAGTTAATAAGAGCATTCTTTCTGAAACCAAAGAATAAAAGGAAAATAGGACTCTGCCATCAGCTGTGCTCAGCACATTGCACTCACCTGTTTCACACCTCTCTCCAGTAAATCCCGGTGAACATGCAGAGAGATAAGAGTCGTGTTCAAAATCCGAATAGCATCGGGAATTCACAGGGCACTAAGTTGTAGCACATGAATTCTTTCGTAAGATGAAACAGAAAATAACGTTAAGAATAAATTAAGAGACAACAAGTAAGCTATCTCGTGGTATGCCCAGAATACCAATAGATATTTCGTTTTAAAAATGGTAGCTAAGTTCACTATTAATTGGTTAAAATTTCCAGTTAAGTGGCGAAAATTTCCCTATATCAATGAATACAAAACTCTTGGTAGGTTTAAAATATTAGCAATATCGTCAAAAATCACTAAAAATTCTTGTTGTACAATTTGCATAACTTCGATGTTAAAAATGTGACACAACGCCTAACCTAGATCATCCGTTTTTCCAGGCACTATTCCAACACTATAAACAACTACATTTGCCGTATATTGCAAACGTGAAGCAACCAAAGACGTGTAACCAAGTCATCTGGATCTTTAACACCATCAGAGTCATTCAGCTCACACACGTGATCACCAACCTCGGTTAGACCAAAGTTTTTTTGATTCACACGTGACTTCAATGAAACATTGAACTTCACAAATCTCTGCTGTATTTGCTCTCGGTGTGCTGATCACGTGATTTAGGAGACCCTTGTTTACAACTAGCTTTTCAAACTCCTTTGTTACTGGAACCCAACTTGTACCCCAAGGATCATACCTCGGTCCGCTGGAACTATTTAAAATTCACAACACCAAATAAGCAGTAAGTTGGAGATAGACTAAACTTTAAAAAAATAACATTATCAATTATTAATCACTAAGAATTATGCAAAATTTTGCCAAACTCTCATAAGGTTTCTTCATAAATAAAAACGCTTCCGACGCTTCCGACGCTTTGACTCGACAGCGAGCTCCTCAGCGAGACAAAAACGCTGACAAGCCCACTTTGCAGTACTTTACTCTGGTATACCGACTTTATGAAGCAATATAAAAATAAATTAAATAAAATAATAAGATCTGCACATGATGTGGGAAGTCAAACACGAAACGACAAACTTAACTACCTATTTATTTATTTATTTTTCATTTAGATAAAAGATGCTATCAGAGATTAGAGCTAGATGTAAAACTAAAAATGTGTGACGATAAAACTGTAGAAATATTAGTACTGATTTGCAAACAGCTGCCATCTCTTATATGGAACTCGAAAACCAAAACCTCAACTTATTTTTCGATCGATAATCCGTTATCGTAGAACTTGTGGCTCAATGGATATAAGTACCGTATTCTTAATGGATATAAGTACCGTATAGGCCGCACTCATGTATAAGCCGCACCCCGACTTTTGATCATATTTTCTCGAAGAAAAATAATTTCACGTTTTCTCGAAAGGGCAAAAGGCCTGGCGAGTGACGCATACCGCTAAGATATATTTGTTTATATCACAAAGTTCATCACGATAAATAATCTAACATAGTATGCCATCGATCGAACAAACATTGCAAATGCAAACAGCAATGGCTAGCCATATCTTCAAAACGGCCTTAACGTTAAAAAAAGGTGAAAGAAAAGATACCTGGGTAATTTTGGCTAGATTTATATTCCAAGTACACTAACATTTTGTTTTATTTCCTCGGTAATGATCGCGTGACGTTGCGTACGTGATCGGGGACAGGAGCAAACATAGCTTAGCGGTCTTGCCTCTTGATGGAAGAGGGAAACTGGGATAAAGATTTAAGTTATACTGTGTATAGACCGCACCACCATTTTGCACAAAATTTATTTGGAAAAAAATTGCGGCTTATAGACGTGCGGTAGTTGCGAAGGAAAATAAAATCAGATATCTCCTACCTATATGAGAGAGGCCATTCCATAAAATCCTCACTCAAACCATGAGAAGAAACGTTGAACATAACTTTAAATGATTCATGGGATCTAAGAGCAGTTACAAGAAACTAAAGAATGCATTCCCTTTGCCGCTCTACAAGATCAGTGATGATTTCGTTAATGTCGCAAGACTTTATTTTGATGCATAAGTGACTAGCGGTTACACAAACATTTTAAAGATCTCAGGGGATGTATAGTCCCTTGAAGAGTGAGTTAATCACGAAACAGGCCTAGGCTTGTAGGGATGAAACTATAGTCGCCTAAGTATAGTTTCTCAAATTTTATTCATTTGCAAGTAGTTCTCAAAGTAGGATTTATTTAATAAGGATGTAGCAGTTGGCTTTAATGTGCTTCTCTCCGTTGTCTGATTTGAAAGCGATTGCCTCGTTTCCACATGAATTGGTACCATCCATTCCGCCTCTAGTGCCACCCGAGCCAATTCCAATCCTTGAGTCGCAGGAATTGCAATGTTCTTCGTTGTTGCTGATAATCCCAATTCTAGTAAAAGCCGAGTGGTCTCTTGCAGTCGGACACTTCACATTGAAACCTTCCTTGTTGCATTTCAGCTGAAGAGAGGATTCATCTATAAGCGATTTCCACTTATCTCGGCCAAGGCTTGTCGGTTTGTAGTTGTTGTCTGCGACCAATGAATGCAATGAGCTTGCTTGCTTGTTGATAACTAGCCATTCTGTTACATTGCCGACCCTCATTCCTAGGCAAATTTGAGTGAAGTTATTACTCCAGTAGCTCGGCATCTTTGTTTCCTCGTGGTTAAATCCAGCGGTGCCCGAAATTTCACCAAACGCGTTTTTGTTGCTCCAGTAGTTTGAATGGTATGAGAAAGTATCCTTTGGAGAAACACAAGATAATGTATAGACCTCATTATTCGATGATTTAAGGCCAAGTTTTTACTTTGATTTTTTTTGGTTATTTTTTTTAATTCTTTCTAAAAAAGAACAAGAGGATCTTTGATGAAATGTGAACACTCTTACCGGTGGGCGACTTAAGAAGGATGGACAAACTATTATCTTTGTAACAGAAAATTGTCAAAATATCTCGCTAAAACCCCAAAAAAGGTCATTTTTCATTCCAGAAGATGATCATAACAACATCGTCAATCATGTCACAACGTATGAAATGGGAAGGAAAATAAACAGAAACTATTTCTTCTACCAACCTTGTTGCCATCAATCTTCATCACTAGTGTCCATCCTCCTCCCCCACAGCCAGGAATAACATCCATATGACAATAGGTGTGAGCTACCCCTCCCTTCTCTGTTTTGAGATAGTAAGCACCACTTCTAGATTCACTGAAATGAAACATATTTGTGTTTTTCATTGTATTCCAAGGATGACATGGAGCCTAACTCAACTTGGACACAAATCATGGATATGATAGTATGTACAGTGTTCTTTTCTGCTTATCGCATGGCCTTGATTGTCGTGTTGCACGATTACTATCAGTTTTTCCAAACCCTTTATTCGTTTTTTTAACTACTCTATTTAAATAATTTGAATAAACTCACGGTCTGTTTAATAGGACATCTTCACATGAAATGGCTGGATTCTCCGGATCATAACCTTTAGAAGCTGCCTCAGCTTAGGGAGCAATATTTTAGATATAGAAATATTAATACTTTTGTCCATAAGATGACCTCTTGGACCTTCTTTCGTTTTATTTCTTCTTTATATCTTAAATGATGGCACATCGCTAAAATGCGGTTATAGAATATCCTTAAATCCATAGATGCTTAAAGAAAACATGCCCCGTAGCCTTTAGTTGTATGTCCAAAGGCAAAAACTCGAACTTATCTTGGTAATGACCGATGTCATTAAACGGAAAAAAAAAAAAAAGATGAGATTCTACTGCTAAACCTTCTTATACCTGTGTACAAGTTAACTCTGTGGGTTTTCGGCTGAAACATTCTTCACAACACCGCACTGGAAAAAATCCACGTTCAAGCAAAGCGAAAAGAGCCAGCAATTTGTCCAAATCTACAAAATATTAACCTACCTTCATTACTGATCCGTTGAGTCAATGAAATTCAATTTGATATTCCTTCTCCAACCCGTGATTGATCAGGAGTGTTCATTAATTTAAAAATGCTATAAAGCTCTTCGAAAAAACTCTCTTTGAAAACCGAAGAAGGAAGTGATAACAGGATTATGTGATAGGCAATGCCAAACTTATTACACTCATTCACCTGATTCACACTTGTCTCCAGTAAATCCCGGTGAACAAACGCAGAGATAGGTTTCGTGTTCAAAATCTGAATAACATCGTGAGTTTGGAGGACACTGAGCGGTACCACATGGATTCTTTAATCAAATGCAAAAGAAAATAATGCGTAAATTTAACATAAGGAGCCAACTTGTTTTGATTTTTCGTAAGATATTCAGAAGACAAGCAGATCTTTACATGAATAAAGGTCTCAAAGAATGATAAGATGGATCTAAAACTTCTTTATTGATTACTTTAAGTCTATATCTGAATGTCGAAAACTTTCCAAATATCATCGTTCACGCAACCCTTGGCAGGTTAAAATTTTTTTAGCAATTTCTCTCAGAGCTACTAAATTTACATAACGTTTACCCAGTCGGCTCTCGCCACGCGCTTTAATATGACCGTAAGTCACTGTCTTTTACTTCGTTATCGTGCTGCAAGATCACATGAGATAGCAAGTGCATGCGCCAACTCAGTGCGAGCTCACGCCTTCTCGGTCCAAGTACGTTTCTGATCTTGGGACAAAAACGCTGCATTATTTGCTGAAAATGGATGACAATCCACCTTTGACCCCTCCTAAAGAGGTCAGGGGTAGAGAAAAATCGTCTAAGGAGGATCCCAGCATTGATAAGGTGCGTAAATCAGCTGGAAAACCAGCCTCACAAAAAGGCGGGAAAAAGCCTTCAACTGCTCAAGCACCCAAGGACTCGGCGAACGAAGGAATTTCTGCTGTTTCCCTTAACTCTTGGTTCTGTTATTGCTGAAGCCTCAAGGGTTCATTTGAAGGCCTAAAGGATTCAATGAACGCGGGTTTCAATGACGTGAACAATTTGATTGCATCACCTTCAGGCAGCAATGGTGAGGAAGACTCGACCGATGATTGTGATTCGTGTGTGTCCAAGAACGACGATGAATCACTTGTCGAAGAAGAGCCACCCGCTAAGAAAAAGAGGCTGAACGAAAAAGGAAAGAACAGCAATCTCCTGATTACTAAGCCAACCAAAACCCTACAGCTCACCGAACATGTAGGTCCCGCTATCGATGGGGAACTTGCATCACTTGTGGATAAAATTATGAGGGAGAAAGCTGATGAGGACAAAATAATGGAGTTAAAGAAACAACACGAAACTCCCGAAAATTGCGCCTCCTTATCGGAGAGAAAGGTCAATCAAGGTGTCTGGAACAAATTAGATGAGTCAGCTCGGTCAACTGACTTAAAATTCCAAAAGGTTTAGAAAAGTCTGATTAAAAGAATAATAATAGTCGTCTTAGAGGTGAACAAGCTGATGGGCAACTCAGTTAGTGCCTTAATGGATGGGGTGCTCCTCTTAGCAAATGCTAACCAGGAGTTAAACTATCGACGGAGAGAGTTGATGAGACCACAACTCAATACAAATTATAGACATCTTTGCAGCCCATCAAATCCAGTGAGAGCTGAATTGTTTGAAGATGATCTCCTGAAGGCTGTTAAGGGCATCACAGACACAAACAGGCTCAAGTGGTCCGGGTTCGATCCCTGGCCGAGATCATTGTGTTGTATTCTTAGGCAAGACACTTTACTCTCACAGTACTCCTCTTCACCCAGGTGTACAAATGGGTACCAGCAAATATCCTGGGGTAACCCTGCGATGGACTAGTACCCCATCCAGGGGGGAGTAGCAATACTCCTAGGCGCTTCATGCTAAGGAAACCGGACTTAAGCGCCGGCCCCATGCTCCACTTGGGCCTGTATAAAGGCTTTTTTTGCTTTTTCACAATTCCGATAACAAGCAGTCAAAGAATTTAAACTTCCAGAGACCCCTCCACCTCTGAGGAAGCAGAAGGGGAAGAAGAACAACTGCTAAGCTCAAATCTTACACAGGTTAGTCTAACAACAAATAAATTTGCTGGTAGGCTGAGGCATTTTGTTCAACATGGATGAGTATCACAGCAGACCAAAATATACTGAACATGGTACAGAACTGCCACCAAGAGATTGAAAATCCAACTCAACTAAGGCCAAGGCCTGAAATTCAGTTTGATTATAAAGAGGAAGAAATAAAGAAGCTGTTAAAACCAGGGTACTCTTCCTTAAGACAGAAAGGTCACTTGGGTACATAGATGATTCTTACCTCCAGGGTAGAGATACCAACGAGTGCCTGCTTAATACCTCTGATACACAGACATTATTTTCAAGCTTGAGGTGTGTGATTAACGTGCAGAAATCATCTGTCATGACAGCGCAGCGAATTACATATTTAGGTTTTGTCCTTGACTCTGTGTTAATGACAATTACCCTCACTGATGACAAAAGAGCCAAAGTGAAAGCTAACTTTACAGCAAGGCAACATAAATATAAAATCACTATCAATGAGCTACCCCAATTAGTTGGCACACTTGTCTCTAGCTTACTTGGGGTACAGTTTGGGAAATTTCATATAGGAAGTTAGAAATAGAAGATAACGTAGCCCTTAAAGAGCAGTGTCTTAAGGGTAACTATGAGGCTCTTCCATCTCTGTTCCCAAGCGTAAAAGAAGATCTTGCTTGGTGGATTGAAAATGTGGACAAGGCTTTTAATCCAATATCACATGGAAATCCTGTCATTGAGACTAGAACTGATGCGTCGAAAAAGGGTTGGGGTGCGTACTTTGATGGTGATATCACCCAAGGCTCGTGGTCTGGTACAGAAAGCCAATTGCACATCAATGAGTTAGAATTGAAGGCAGTCCATATCGCCTTGCAAGCATTTGGTGAAAGGCTAAATAATAAGCATGTCAAAATACTTTGCGATAACTCAACAGCTGTAACATAGATTAATACCTTAGTGTGGTGGTGCCTTGAATCACTCACATCAAGCCCTCTAAGACTGAGCTGGCGCATGTACTTGCTATCTCATGTAACCTTCCAGCACTTTATAACTATAACTTTAATTTTACCATTAACAAGGTTTCACAACTTCAAGTACGCAGCGACAAAATACAGCGTTCGGGAAACATGACGAGCCAGACGTTCTTAGCAACCGAAAAAAGAGCTTTGGATCCTGCTGAGATCGAGGAGTTTTACTCCACGATCTCAGCTTGACGTCCAGCAGCTTGCAACATTCCATTGTAACAATATCCCTGCTACTGATCATTTATGTTACGCTGAAAGTGCGAACTTTCGCGCGAGCGTGTTATAATCCTGAAACGAGAGTGTGCGTTTATAATTAAAATTTCTATTTTGGTAATTAAAAACGTGTCAGTGAATGTATGCCACGTTTGGAGTGAATGACGTATTTTGGCTCTTTGATTTTTATCAATAGGCCGGGGACAAAAGCGAAAGCGGACGAGCCGACTTTATTTGCTGACTTTCCAAGTCAGCTTTCCTTTTCTGAAACCGCTCTATTTTCTGGACCGTAAACCGCCAGACAAATACGTACGTGCCAGCAAATCGATACTAAGAAAGAGTATAATAGACCCTTTTTGTTGAACGAATCTCGGATTTCGTCATTTTGGGTCATTTTTAACACTCACGCGAAATTCCCCCTTTTTTAAGTCTGCCTGAAATGAACAAGGGACGAACCGGACGCCACGACTTTTGCCTTCGATTAATGCACGCAACACGCTCACGCTACGACTACAAACGAAACGCGTATGTCGATCAAAATGAGAACGTTGCGGAGTTTGACGGCGAAATTTAGCCGTTTAAACCGTGAAGTAGTGCGAATTCAGCATGTTAAATTTTTGATACTGTAAAATTTCGGTTATAAGCCCTTGGCTAATACTAACCGGGCGCGAGGGCTTAACTGTAAAATTCCAGACTGAGGGATGAAATTTTTGCTTTATGAACCGAGCCTCTGGGCGAGGTCCATAAATCAAAATTTCAGCCCGAAATTATGGAATTTTACAGTAAAGCCCGAGTAAACAAGGTTATTAAGTTTTTTTATAATATGGCTTCAAATAGGTAAAGCGCGTGAAATAGAGTGAACTTATACATTGCCTTCATTTTCCGTCACAATTTCGTCAGGATAATAAAATTCAGAAAAGAAATGTTTTTCAGAACGCATAGTTAAAGAAGAGATACGTTTTTTGTTCAATTTCTTGCTTTTTTTAACGAAGTTCCTTTCAGCGAAAGTCACTAAGTTCGCTAGGTTTTGTAAACCAAAACCGTGGCGGAAAAAATCTGCTATGCCCGTGGGCGTTTACCGGGGGATTACGGACCGCTAATTAACCAATCTGAGCGCGCGTACTATCGCAGCCATATAATAAAACTTTGTAAAGGGTTTTGGGTAGGTTTAGCGGATTGAAAAGCGTTTGGAAACAAGCCATGGTAATGTTGATCTAAATTCGTTTTTAATTTAAAGTCATATTAAAGCAAAATTTCCAGTTAGCACTGTCATCCAGCAGAGGGGGGAAGCGGGGTTATCGGGGGGCCTATAACCGGATTGTTTTGTCTGCAGGTAGATAATCTAACCAGAATTTTACAGTATACACTTCGGGTCGTTTTACACGGTACGAAATTATCGCAGTGTATTCAACAATTTCCCAGGCTGAAGTCGCAACACTTTATCTTTTAAAAGCCAGCCGTCTATCATACTGCATTTTCTTTTATTTCAACCAGTACACGACTGAAATAGGACACATCCAAAGCCCGCTCTCTCCCACCCACTTTATGATGCCAAAGTTCCCACTGAGGCAAGCTTTCACACGCGAAGTGAAAACACTTGGTAACGTTATCGATCAGTAGGAATGCCTGCGAGTGTGTTAATCGACCGAACTACATAAGTTGAATAAGTACGCTACGGTTTTTTTTTTTTTTTGAATCATTGGTTCTCGCCCCCTTTTGCTTTTTGTTTTCGGCACCACGTTTCCGTATTACAATTCCATATTATTTGAAATGATCCCCCCCCCCGGAAAAAAAAAAAAAAGAAAAATTGGATGATGAATAAATTTGGAACTTATTGAACAATTATTTGTTTTTTCATTCAAAGAGGGTATTCTTACGTTAAAAAAATAGCCGAATAGCCGCTATGATGGAAAGGGTATTCTGATAATAGTAATGAAAGGTAGCATCGTGAGGGAATAACATCATTTTCCAGGTTCTCCCATTCCATAATCTAACAGAAATACTTAACAATTATTCCACGAGTACGCATTGGATATGAGCTGGTAGATAGCCAACCAGAGGATTGAAGTTGGCTATAACCATGTCTTACCCAACACACGCGAACCAAAATACTTATTATGCTATATATCCCAGAAGCACTCAGGCATCGCCAGGACTTCAACCTGAAACCAAAGAGGATATATTATTATTTAACCATTCCCAGAAGCACTCAGGCATACAATTATGCCAGGACTTCAACCTGGGTGAACCAAAGAGGATATATAACACTTGCTAGAACTTTAGACCACGTTGGCCAAAATTGAAGAAATTCATCTTTATCAAAAAGCAATTAGTCAAGTTTCATGTAATGCTTTTCACCTGTGTGCCTGAGCTCATCGATTGACCGCCGTTTTTCACCTTATCTCGAAGGGCCTCTAACTGGGAAAGCACAACTTCAAGTTCATTTTCATCTTGACTCTTCCCCATGATACCTTTGCTGCGCGGTAAAGGAAGTCCTGCCGTGCCCTCAAGTCATCTGGATCTCTAACATCATCAGAATCACTTAGCTCACACAAGTAGTCACCATCCTCATTCGGACCAAAGTTGTATGATTCACATTTGATTTCAATGAAACAATGTATTTCACAAATCTTTGCTGTCTTTGCTCTCGGTGTGCTGATCACGTGATTTAGGAGAGCCTTGTTTGAAACTGGCTCTTCAAACTCCTTTGTTATGCATGGAACTATTTAAAATTCACAAGACCGAATAACTATCAATTATTGATTTCTGAGAATCGCAAATAATTTCGGGTTTCTTGTATGGAGTCTTTACAAATAGAAACGTTTCGATTTTAGTTGACAGCGAGACAATAACGATTAAAAGTCCACATTGCAATAAGGGACATTTGGCGCACCGACTTTATGAGCCATACTATTATATGGTTTCTTCATAAATAAAACAAAAGTTTCGCAATCACTTGACGGCGCGCTCCACTGCGAGAAAGGAAGGCTTAATGTAAAAAGGCTGGTGCACCGATTTTCAAATCCAGTCATTCAACCATAATTTGACAAAAACCGATTAGAAAGGGAAAGGAAAATGAAGATATTTTTTATTTGAGCGAAGGGCCTTGCTTTCGAAACTTTTTGTTATTTTTTAATAAAAGTAATCGTTAACATCAGAGATTAGATTGAGATGTTAGAGTCATATTAGGTGACGAAAAACAGTATGATTGTTAAAAATAGATTGATAATCTTTGGAAACAGTTGCCATCATTTAAGTGGAGCTAAAAGTTTAAAACCTGCTCTTATCTTTGAATAAATCCAAATTATCGTCGATTTAACCATCCATGAAAATTTGGGCAAAAATAAAATCCCTCCTATTCTGCGAGGCCAACGAAAGGCCACGAAAAGGAAAATACATAAGATAAAACAATTTGTAATCTTTGAGCTGCAAGAGCTGAAGGAAACCTTCCTTTGAAGCCCTACAGGTTCAATGATTATTCTGTTTTTGCCAAAAGGCTGGCTCTATTGTAATGCATTACCAACAAATTTTGTCTGTGCTTTGAGTGGCGGGTTAATTAACCGCTATAGAATGTTTAGGATAATGAAAAATTCTCTTTTGTAGTTTCAAGCACATTTATGCTAATTAATTATTAATGACCTCCTCGCCTCATTGGTGAACTATACTCCACACCAGGACTTTGAAATACAAAAAACAAAATATATTTGGAAGTTTTCTCTTCTCGTCACGGACAAACGACAAAGCAAAAATTCTGAGTCCTCCGTGAAAAATTGAAAACCTTGAACCGGATTCCGTGCTCCGATACTCTACCACTGAGCCACAAACTCTCTACTATTTGCTAGATCATTAATAGTTTCACATCTGACACGCTTCCTGTATATAGCTAAGATCAGTGATGACCAAATCGTTATGTCCGAAAATGGTACGAGACAATCCACCTTGATAAGAGAAATACAAGTGGATTCGAAATGTTTTTGTCAGTCTGTGTGTGAATGAATAGTAATGTCTGTCTTACAAATTAAGAACCATGAAGGTGTACTCAGAAAAATTCAAGTGTCAGCTGAGTGCTCTGATCGACTTTCTGGATTTGATAACTTAACTTAAAATGAGGCTTTTATTTACAGAGAGAGGAAGGTGGTGTAAAAAAAAATAGAAAAATTGAATTTTCAACGGCAAAACATAAACGGTAACCCATACTATCTTAACACAATTTTTTTATTATGTAAATTTAGGGATCACGTATGACGGGAGCCTGAAAGCCTCAGGTATAGCAAGGAGGTATCCATGGCAACCAAAACCTTGCCAGCAGCGGAGAAGATCTGCCGAAGCCAATCTGTAAGAAGCACACGGGATAAAGGACGACCATCTTGCAACATGAAAAGAGGACGTGAAGCGCACCCCCGAACGGAGAGATAAGCCATCATAGCCTACACCGCACAGAGCGGATGGCTGCCCAAACCAATATTCAGGTTGGCCCCCTTACTACAATATCCTGCACAGTCAAGTTAATTGAAGAAGACAAAATGGTCAGATTAGGCACTGTAAACTCACCAGCGCCGAGGAAACCAAAGTACCCCAGTGTGCACGCTGCCCAAAACTCACAATGATCCGTGAGGTGCACGTTCATGGATTTCCAGATGAAAAGCATGTGACTATCTGATGCGCAGACGATTAGACGACGAAGAACCCTGAGATCGCTTTATCCCACAAACGACCCGTTACAAACGCGGACAGTTCTGTGGAGGATCTTGTAGCCCTTGCTCAACATTAAGCGCGCGGACACCAGACAAATAGACCTTGATAGTCGAATGGTGTAAGAATCTCGCTAGAAAAGTTGCAAACAGACACAGAGTCCATTCATCAGTGGGACAAGGCGACCCGGAGAGGTAAAGCTGGCTTAGCTTAAGGAATAATTGAAGAACTTCCTTTGAGCGGTTGCATACTTCTTGCGAATGAATGGGGTTAGGCCATGCATAAGGAAGGCGTGACACTGCTGTTCTAGAGAAAAACTGGTCAATTCCGATAGAAGCTGGGGAAGAACCGGTGTTAGGGTTGGCTGAGCACCCGGGGCCAACTGTCGAAATTCCTGCCAATGGAAACGAGAAAGAGCATCAGCGATTTGATATTAGACGGCTAAGATTTATTGAGCTGAAAAGGAGAAGCTACAGCGTGCCGCGGAGAGTAACAAATTGCCGAGGAGTTGCATAAGGAATGGAATCTTTGAGGTCCTCGAATTTAGCATTTGGACCACGGCCTTATTGTCTGAGCGAAACAAGACATGCTTTTCGCACCTGCGGCCCCCACACATGTACTGCCACCACCACTGGAAACAGTTCCTTATAAGTAGTGGATTGCTTCTGTTGAGAAACAGCCCAAAGGCTAGCGAATCAGAAGCCCTTGAAGTAGGCCCCAAACCCAAGGGAACCAGCAGCATCAGATGCAACTTCTAAGTCAACCACAGGAGACAGTCCTGGGTATAACCAAAAACTGACGTCATGCCACTGAGCTAAGAGATGATCCCACCACTGCAGGTCGAGGTGGAACTCTTTGTTCAACCAAATAGGATGACCCTTCTTGCGAAAACAACTTAAGAGGTCTACCATACGTCGGAAGAATGTTCTGCCTGGCCATACCACTTTAGCCGCATGATGCAAATTTTCAATGAGTGATTCGAGTGTGCGCCTGAAGCACCAGTTCCGAGGCAGCCACTAAAGAATCAGCTCCTTTAAAGCCTGCAGCTTTCCTTCAGGGAGACGTGCCACCTGAGCAAGGGAATCTAAATCGATGCACCGGACAGTTAGCACTAAAGTAGGCCCCACGAACTTGCCGGGATGGAGAGGTAAGCCCAAACGATAACAAACCAATAGCGCAGTACTAAGGTTCTGTACACACTGAGGGGAGTAGGGGGAGGGGGGGGGGCAGCCGTTATGAAATCGTCTAAGTAATGAAGCAAACTGGGGACCTTACCTTACAATTGTTAACTAATATCCGTTTCACTAACATCTTAAACACAATTAAAGATATAGTGGGCTGAAAGGAGAACGAATGGAAAGGCTAAATCAACGTAAAACTTGCCGCACCATTTCATACTCAGGATTAAGCGGTATGAGGGGTTAAAACGCAATGTTCCGATGGGAGCTTCGACGTCGAGTTTTCACATCAGTGCTCCTTGACCAAACTGTGATACCATGCGAAAAACTTGATCTACTGTCATGTAAGCAGTGTAAACTCATCAGAGTTAATACCGTCATTCACGCTGGCCCCTCCGGGAGAGCAGAGATCCACAATGAGAAGCCACTTTCCCGGTTGACCCATATTCCAAATCACCCCAAAACTGCTAACCTGAAGAAGAGGAAAAGGAGGCGAGGCAAAAGGGCCAGCAACCCTCCCAAAGGACACTTAAGGCGCCAAGTACTCATCAACTACTGAGGGGTTCTCATAAGCTGATGTTTTGTTCCTTTGGGAGGCTTGAGAGATTATAAATGAGTACTAATGGAACACCAAAGCGAAGCCCATTCAAAACAAACTGCACGTGCTAAGGATTTGGATAATGCCTCAACTCCCAGGCAAAATGCTCCACCTTCAATGGACTGACTGCAGAAACTGGAGGAAGCGGGGCTAAAGGGAGGAGAGAAACAAGATCATACTTAGGGGATCAGAAAAGCCATACCTTGTTCCCCCCCCCTCCCCACCCCAAGCACAAACAGATAAGAGCTCCTCAACCACCCTATAATGGTAAAAGTGGAAGGACTAGGACCATCCCCCCTAACATAGGTAAGAGACTTACTAAAACACAACCAGGAACAACACGATGAAACATTTTTTAATGGAGAAAGGAATCACGGCCAGCCCTTCTCCTAACATCTAACAACGGGGAACTATGGCTGAACAAAAACTGAGAGGCACAGAAGCCGATAAATAATGCTGGAAAAATATGAAAGCACCACCTCAGGTGCTTCCAGGCTTGCTGCTTGAACGTGGAGATGCCGGAGACGGAGATCTCCGCTTTGAAGTTTCCTTAAATGGTGTCGAAGCTAAGGCAGGGCAGGCTGAGGCACGATGGGACCCTGAAGAGCTCCAACTACGATTCGAAAACGACATTGGGCATAAGGGGAGGAGCCACGACCCCTATTCTACGATTTGCGGACAATTTGTGAATTGCTAACTCTAGCAGGCTCAGCCCATTCATTAGCAAATTCGCCACGCCCACGAGTAGAGGCAAGTGTTAGGGTATTTCAAAGTGTTGATAGGTTCAGTACCCATTTAATCGTACTTCATTTCACATATTTCATTTACCCCTGCGAAATGAGTCACTAACCGCGCCATATTACCCTCCAGTCAAAAGCCGGTACTTATGAGCCTCACCTTAAAAGTCGTATACTCGGCTTACTTGGCGTTCCTATCAAAGTTTCTACGTCAACTCTTATCATGACGTCGTAAGCGATATTAGCAAGAAACTACTGACCATTCCGTAAATACCGAGCACCACTGAAATGGGACGTGGAGGAGATGAATGAAAGCTAAGAGAAATTTTCAAAACGTCGCAGAGCTTTTCTGAGATGAGTCACCTATCTAGTTACGATATTCATCAACATAGCATGTCTCATTAAATTCTCATTTTCAGACGTGAAAAACTAACGCAGCGAGAAACAAAGTTGGTAAATCCCCTAGCACAATATGTTTGTCTATATTTTTCGTCTTTCACAGGAAAACCATGTTGTCGAAAACAGAGAGGAGATTTCAGTATCTTCCTTCAGAAAAGTAACTTTGAAAAAAAGTGACAGATGAAATAAGCCTGTTGATTCCGGCTGCTTCAGAATGGTCCATTTTAGCGGCACGTGGACCATCAATCTGAATGGCAGCACCCTAATGCAAGGGTTGTGTGGCATTAACTCTGACAATTAAGACTGACTTCTGTCTTGGATGGGACTGCCGCAAATACGGGTTTTAAAATCTCAGTTACGAGTTCTGGCTTGGGAACGACAAATTTTTGCTGTTTGACACCATGTTGAGAGTTGACCTGGAAGACTTTATAGGGAAGATCGATTACGCTTCCGACCTTTAAGGTGACAGACGAGGTCAATAGGTATACCGGCTTTGAATTGGAGGATAAAGTTCCTTGGCAGGCGTCAACATGGTCGTTCATAGGTAAGCAGCTTTTGGTCAAGTTGTGATTGCTTTAAGGATTTACGCGTAAATTTGGATTATCGACGTAAGAAAACGAAAAATCAATACTTACATTGCATGTTACGCGCATAACGACTGGTTGGGGGCTAAGAGATCACGAGCGCTTTGAGGCTACCTACATTACACTAAATCTTAAGAAATTGTTCAACTATAAAAACTACTTTTTGTTTTGTTGGAATTCACAATGAAATTCTAGAGCAGCCATTTATTCTCCTGAAAAGTCTGAATAATGATTTATAAAGCTTTCGAAGCTGAATACGTAGAACTTCGATTATAAATATGATTATCGTGGACTACTTTATTTGTTTTACTGTAAATGCCCTTTCCCGTTCCGTACAATGTTATGCACTCTTTTTTAGAATTATTACATGAGACGTCACTGAAGTGGACACACGTGCAACGCTTTCTACCATAAGTACAGATTTATCACTGGCTAGGGGCGGGCCGTTCTATAGAATACGAAGTAGTCGAGAATAGTGTTTTATTAATGTAGCGTGTATACTTTCAAGAGATCCTTTGTGATTTTGTCCTCTGCTACAATTAGTATATCTATTTCTGCAGTGAGCCAATGTTCTAGAAAGTTCGGTAAAGTAATTGATCTCACAGGAGGACTTTTACGACTAAGATTATGATAACGTGTACTATGGGCTGTACTTAAAAAATAGTTCATGGGTATGAATTTTGATAAAACTGTTGAAGAAAATTCAATTTAATGGTGTCATCTTCTAGACGTATTTACTTGCTGAGGTAGGTTTGGCGCAAGCTCAAAGTTCAAATTGTTTCCATGTCGTTCACTCTAGCATAGGCACCGCTTATGCCTTTATTTTTACTTTCATCTCAGTGCGTTTTAGTGAGTAGTTAAAGCCCCGGAAAGTAAACCAGTTGACTCCTTTAGCATAAGGGGCTTCGGGGCCATTGAGGTACAATCCGTTCAAATTGGACGCATGGCAGTGTCTGTACCACCAGGCTCCCTTGTAGCGTTCGGCGCAGTTGAACACGTGATGACCATGATCATTGTCTGAGTCTTTCGTTTAAAACTGCATATTACTGAAATAAAGTAGAATTTCATGTAAGCTTGTTTATATCATGTTTAAACATGTGGAAGATGGTTACTGTTAATGAGAAACTTAGTCTACATATACAAATTACTTGAATAAATTGCATAAAGAGATTAGAGATCGGAGACACAGACAGACCGACAAAGTAAGATCTAAGAGTTAAGTGTATTCATCTGAGGAATGGGATTTTTTTTCACATTCAGCGATACATAATATAATCTAAAGCTATCAGTATTTTAAAGGGCTGGTTTGATCGCTGCTACAAGACATCAGCTTTAAAGCATCGCCAAAAAGTATTGTCAGCTATTCCAAGTTGATCAGCATAGTTTCTTTGAGGCTCATGAAATTCCTCTTTGTTTTTCGGTTCATCGCATCTTTAAAATAAGTTTAAGGAGGTTGCAATGGGTTTTTAATTTTAATTTGGGCGCACGGGATCTGGACGCGAACATAACACGAGCTATAAAAACGTCAAACAGGAAATTCAAACTAAACTTGGAAATTTAGGGTTTCTTACTGTAATGGCTGTGGCATTGCAGCCATAGAGTCACCAGCTGTGCCACTGTATCCTCCAATCGAAACCTGGTATTTCACAGCCTCATCTGCTATCTTAAAAGTCGTGTACTCAGTGTAGGCGACGTTGCCTTCAAAGTCTTTCAGGTCAACTTCAGCATGACGTCATCAGCGGCTATTAAACGATGAAGGTTGTCGTTTCCAAGTCAGAACTCGCCACTGAAATTTCCAAAGCCATTTTTGTGAGACTCCCACCCAAGATAGAAGTCGACAGAGCCGTCCAAACGTCTCTGAAAAACGGTCCAACCTCCACCGTCCTTTGTCATGTCACACAACACTTGGATTGGGTTGCCGCAATCAGGATTGATGATATATACGCCATTGAAAAAACTCGGCGCAGCTTTTTCGCTCTAACAAAACAAAACAAAAAAAAATTATCAACCAAAAGTTTTATTATTGGTGATGGCGTCATGTAAATAAAGTTGATTTAGCAAAAGAAACAGATAAAGGGGAAGAAAGCTTATCAGTCGGCTCACTGTATTCCATTCATAAACGATAGAGCTGAATATCTTGTAATAGGTAACAAACCTAGATCATAAGACTAAACATCACTTTATATTCTAATTGTAAGAAACACACTAAATATTCACCTTCACATAGAGACCCACCGCCTTGATATCCATCCTTGCACCAGCAGCTGTAGGACCCTTCAGTGTTGTTGCATAAGGCGTTCCCGTGACAGGCATAAATTCCTTCTGTGCACTAGTTCACATCTGTAAAGTGTGAGAACATTCCTTTAGCATCACTGAAACTTTAAGTCAAGGAAACTTAGGTTCCGTGAAAGGTTGATAGTTTCTACCTAACCCATTCTTGATTAGAAGTGATTTCCTGAGGAAATGAGTGTTTTTATTATATTTTCCAAATCCTATAATATTCCAGACGAGTTCCTTTTTCATTTTCAAATTGTAAACTTAAGTTAAGAAGAGCATTCTTTCTAAAAAACCAAAGAATAAAAGGAAAATAGGACTCTGCCATCGGTTGTGCTCAGCGCATTGCACTCACCTGTTTCACACCTCTCTCCAGTAAATCCTAGTGAACATACACAGAGATAAGAGTCGTGTTCAAAATCCGAATAGAATCGGGAATTTACAGGGCACTGAGTTTTAGCACATGGATTCTTTCGTAAGATGAAAAGAAAGTAAAGTTAAGAATAAATAAAGAGACAACTGCTAGGCCTTCTCATGGGATGCCTAGAATACCAATAGATATTTCATTTTAAAAATAGTGGTCTCGCCGTGGCACCAAGTGATCTGGATATCTAACACCAACAGAGTCATTTCAGCTCACACAAATTATCACCACCCTTGGTTGGACCAAAGTTGTATGATTCACACGTGACTTCAATGAAACATTGAATTTCACAAATCTCTTCTGTATTTGTTCCCGGTGTGCTGATCGCGTGATTTAGGAGAGTCTTGTTTACAACTAACTTTTTAAACTCCTTTGTTGCGCATGGAACTATTTAAAATTCACAACACCAAATAAGCAATTAATTGGAGACAGATAAAACTTTTAAAAAAAAATCACATTATCAATTAATGATTATTAAGAATTGTGCAAAATTTTGCCAAACTCTTATATGGTTTCTTCATGAACAAAAACGCTTCCGACGCTTTGACTTGACTGCGAGCTTCTCTGCGAGGCAAGAAGGCTGACAAGCCAACTTTGCAGTACTTGACTCTGATACACCGACCATGAAACGACAAGTTTAACTCCCATTGAAATTTTAAAAAATCTTCTAATTGAAGGAAACACATGCCTTTTAATTCCCTGTTGAGTGAGTTAATCACTAATAAACAGACTTGTCGGAATGAAAGCGTAGTCTCTTTGTTTTTTCCCTAACTCAATACATATCAAGCTCTGCTTCTATCTATCGAGCACTGTAATACGGAAAAACCGAAACACAGACTTTCCACACACACACACATATACATATATACAGATTTCGTATTTTTGTCATTATTTTTTAGTGCATTGTATCGACTTCTAAACAAAAGATAAAGACAAAGATGAGCACTTTGAAAATAACTACAACCAGGAACATAATAAAACCTTTATTTCCATGGCAAATATTTCACTTTGCAAATCATAGATTCAACTGGTTACACTGGAGGGGATGTCAATACTCACCTAAAGGAACTAAAGTGAGATTAAAGTCATATTCTTTAGCAGTATAACTCTTTGTTCTGGTCATTTCTTTGGACTATTGTTGTGTGCGACCCTCTTCAATCTTCGAGTGATGAGGGAATCGTTTCAGGGAGAAACAGATAATTGAGGATATATCTACATAATGCAGGGTGTTGTCTTATACAAGGTATTGTTTCGGCGATTTATCTTAGAATTTCTCTCAACAGTTATATATAATAGTGATGTTTCATACAAGAAGCAATGGAAAAGAAACAAAGCTGCTGATTTATTTAATAAGGATGTAGCAGTGAGCTTTAATGTGCTTTGCTCCGTTGTCTGATTTGAAAGGGCCTGCCTCATTTCCACATGAGTTGTTACCATCCATTCCGCCTCTAGTGCCACCCGAGCCAATTCCAATCCTTGAGTTGCAGGAATTGCAGTCTTCTTCGTTGTTGCTAATAATCCCAATTCTAGTAAGAGCCGAGTGGTTTCTTGTAGTCGGAGACTTCACATTGAAACCTTCCTTGTTGCATTTCAGCTGAAGAGAGGATTCATCTATAAGCGATTTCCACTTATCTCGGCCAAGGCTTGTCGGTTTGTGATTGTTGTCTGCAATTAATGAATGCAATGAGCTTGCTTGCCTGTCGATAGTTAGCCATTCTGTTAGATCGCCGACCCTCATTCCCAGGCAAATTTGAGTGAAGTTGTTACTCCAGTAGCTCGGCATCTTTGTTTCCTCGTGGTCAAATCCAGTTGCGCCCGAAATTTCACTAAACAGGTTTTTGTTGCTCCAGTAGTTCGAATGGTACGAGAAAGTATCCTTTGGAAGAAACACAAGATAATGTATGCACCTCATTACTCGATGATTAAGGCCAATTTTTGACCTTGATTTGTTCTGTTGTTGTTGTTGTTGTTTATTTAAAAAAAAATAATAGGAACTTTGATGAAATGGGAACACTTTTAAAATGTTGGACTTAGCACTAGGATGGGAAATTTACCGGTGGGCGACTTCAGATGGACAAACGATTATCTTTTTACCAGAAAACTGTCGAAATATTTCGACATGATCATAACAACATCGTCAATCATGTGTTACAAGGTATAAAATGGGAAGGAAATAAAGAGAAACTATTACTTCTACCAACCTCGTTGCCATCAATCTTCATCACTAGTGTCCATCCTCCTCCCCCACAGCCAGGAATAACATCCATATGACAATACGTGTGAGCTACCCCTCCCTGCTCTGTGTTGAGATAGTAAGCACCACTTCTAGACTCACTGAAATGAGACATATCTGTGTTTTTCATTGTAATTCAAGGATGACATGGAGGTTAACTCAACTTGGACACAAATCATAAATATGATCGTATGTACAGTTTTCTGCTTCTCACATGGCTTTGATTGTCGTGTTGCACAATTACTTTCAGTTTTTCCAGACCCTTCTTTCGTTTTTAAAACATTCTATTAAATAATTTGAATAAACTTACGGTCTGTTTAATAGGACATCTTCACATGAAATGGCTGGATTCTCTGGATCATAACCTTTAGAAGCTGCCGCAGCTTAGGAAGTAACATTTTAGAGAAATATTAATGTTGTTGTTCATAAGATGACCTGCCAAACCTACCTTTATTTAATTTCTTCGTTATATTTGAAATAATTTCCATTCTATCCCAAGCACTTCTTTAGAACGCGGCTAGGAAATATCCTTAAATCCTTAAATGCTCAAAGACAACATGAACCGTAGCCTTTAGTATAAGTCAGTCAAAAGGAAAGAACTCGAACTTATCGTTGTGATGACCGACGGAATTGAACAAAAAGAAAATGAGCTTTTACTGCTATACCTTCTTATACCTGTGCACAAGTCAATTCATTGGGTTTCAGCTGAAACATTCCTCACAAAATCACACTGAAAAAAATCCACGTTGAAGCAAAACGAAAATACCCAACGATTGTAATCAACTTTTCTTCTCCAGTCTTATTCATATTTGATAATACCTATGTCGCATGTCGTTCCTGTAAATCCCTGTGGACAAATACATCGGAAGCTGTTGTCAGCAGAAAAATTTGGTCTGCAGGTTGAACCTTCTGCACAAGGAGATCGACTGCACGGATTCTGTTATTTTTAAAAATAAAGCTTTGTTCAAAATCTGTTAGCAGTGTTTGTTTATATCTGAGAGATTCTGACGGCATTCAGTATAATAATTATTCAATAGACTGTAAAAACAAGGACGGAAGACCATTATCAATGGGGGAACAAAAAATGGATGCCAAATGACATATTTATGAACTAAAGGAGATTGGAAAAATTTCATATTTCACCTTCGTTGCGTAATATTTAAAGCCTTCGTCCTCAATAAGACTTTGTGGATTTTGTTTTTCGTCTGTGTCGCTCAATTCACATTTTCGCGTACCACTAGCACCGTTTGAGCCGACGTTAATTGATTGGCAGACTTCATCCAAAAAGCAGTGAATCTTACAGGTTTCTTCGCCTGGCACATACAGAGTCTTGACCACATGTCCTCGCAAAGCCCTCCCCTCAATAACCGCTGAAAATTCTTTGATCACGCAACCCTCTGCAAAACAAATTATGGATTTAATATTCAATTTATCCAACAACACTTGTAACTATATTTTTCCTTCAGAAGAATCCATGTAATACATGGAAATATTTTATTGTCCACGTCAGTTTATTTCCAAACTCCCTCTTGTTGGTTCGGAAAAATAATAGCGGTTTCTTCTTCTTTCTCTCTCCTTATTTTTAAGAATCAAAATTTTAGTAAAGATCTCATTTGTAGGAACCCAAATTTTATCGTAGGATATCACAACAAAACCAATAAATTCGTATTCAATTTCATTAGCTACATTGTAAATTGCACGGTCATTTATCCCTGGATTAGCTGTAACCCATATTTCACATTCTCTTTGGTTCAGGACCGCTTTCTTCATTTCTTGATGGACGCACTCCGATGAATCGACCAATTTCAAGTACTTTTTAGCTAAGAGCGACGGTTTTTTTTCTAATTTGGATGTTGAAGATAAATTCAAACGTGCAGATGTTTTCCACAACCATTGTTCTCGCTTTTTTGAGCCATCGAAGTATTAATAATCAAAAGCAGCTTAGTGTAATGTAGTATTACCATCATAATAAAATACATGAAGAAATAACGAGCTTCTAATAGGCTGAAAACGAGTGTATTTTTCATGTAACACGAGGGCAAATTATAGATAGCGCGCGCGCTGCCAAAATATCGTCACTACTTATCTTGACTCTCTGTGATGCTTTTTTCATGTAAATTATTAATAAGAAATAACCTGTGGCTCGCGCAATTTTTGTTTTCTTTGAAAGTTTACTCTTACTTATTCAAACCAAATTGCACTCAAAATAATGTTATTACCTATACACATAAATCTGACTTATACTTGCTTATTCATCCATCGTTTTTTATCTTCGGAGGTAACTTTTCCCCCCTTTTTGGTTTGTAATTTTTGTAGGAAAAAAATGTTAGTTTATTTACACTTTTTATGTAAAATTTACCAAGGGTAAAGCCCCTTCACTCGAGTCAAAGTCACAGTACCTGCGGGATTTTTCCAATATGACCAGCGTAACTGTTTTTTAAACCAGCATCGGTTTATTACCGCTGGATGTTTTAAGTAGATCCTTCACAAGGTTTCTCAATTTTTCTGTCATTTTTCACTCGCAAAATAATTGCAATTTTATTTCAGCAAGCAAAATTGATATCATTCTCAAGGATCCACAAGATATCTGCATTCTTATCAAATATAACGTACCTTTCCCGAGGATAAAACATGACAGTAATGCTATCGCTAACACCTCCATCGTAGAACCTCAGGTTGGTTAACTTCGTGAATATTCAAGTCCAACTTATTACATGAGTATTTAAAAGCTTGGGATTTCAGCAGGTGCTCCAATAAAGAATTGGAGAGAGACATTCACATTGTCATTTAAATTTCAGTGACCTCTTAATCAGAAACACACATATTCCGTGCACATCTAGATATCAGCAATTTCACTACAATTCCTAATTATATGTAAAGAAACATAATAGCCATAGAATCAACCAGAACAAAGATGGCCTAATAATATTTGTCATTAATTCTAGAATAAAAGTTAGCGACATTATAGAACGTTTCAATTTTCACAACCTTGATCCATGTCGATCTTATTTAAGGAAATAAAATTTATTTAATATCGAATAAAGTTTGCTTACTTTGTAACTTTCTCGAATCTTAATCTGAATTCGTCTTTACGTGGTCAGCATTTTACGTATCGTTTTTCCTGTCACGATTTATCAAATCTTCGAACAAATATTTTTATCCCAAATAACGTGATGAGAAATTATTCAGCGAATGGCACCACCATTGTGCAGACCAGCTTATCAACAGTGTTTTCAAAATACTTTAGATACGTATCCATAGTTTAAGCAACATTCTTATTTACTCAAGAAAATTAAAAATGCATTTGAACCAATTTGGGATACCGAAAGTAATACATAATTAAGACTCCTTCTTCTTTTAGATGGTTTTAGGGAGACTAGTGCCACTTCAGTTTTACAAAACCATGCTCATTTAGAAGATGTGGTAAATATGATGTTAAGATGCAGGGGCCAGTTGAGGGGAAATTTGACAGTAGTCAGACAACTGTATCAACAATATTCTCAAGATAATTAAACAATTCGTCTTCAATTATGGAAACCTGCGAGCGAGCTCAGTAAATATATGCAAATACTACTGAACCAAACTAAGATTTTGAAAATACTGCAAACTGAGAATCTTACTCCCTGATTGAACTTAAGGGGGTCTCGTAACATTTCACTTTCGTAAAAGAAAAATTACTTTAAGCCGAAAAGAATAAGTGGACGTAAAATTTGGCAGTAGGCAGACCGCTGTATCGATAAAATTTTGAAGATAATTTAGAGACGTGTCTATAATTTTGGCAAGATGTTAGTTTACTGAAAATGGTAATGCACTGGTGGCAACCTAAGTATGAGTCATAACTGGCCTCCATAACTATAGTTAAATATTTCTACACCAGCCGGATAATTTCTATAAGTCATGCTACATTCACGTGTAAGTGAGGTTGTTGTTAAAACTTTATTGTGCATCATATTCGATTATACAAGCTAGTGGCATGAGAAATTGCAGGTAGTCCGCTGAGATCAGCACGGTGTTTTTCCCGGATCTTTGGCCTCGTGACGAGAATAAAGGATCGTATTAAAATACAACTCGACGTTTAGAGGCAACAAGCGTCATCTGCAAGTTATAATCCGTGTGTTAAATATCAATGAGTGTTGTATGTTATCCGATTAAAATTATTTCCATAACATCTTATCAAAAAATGGATGGAGTTGTGTTCTCCATGAAGGCATTTATTTCTAAAAAACGACATTTCTTAAATTAGGCGCTTGATGAACGAAAGCCATAAGGCGAGTCATTTCGCTTAGAGAGGTCGTTCGACATATACTTGTACTTATTGAAAGTTCTGCTTTTATACGTTATACTCCTTCTACGATGTTCGTTCATTTTCTCACAAAGTTACTTTTCCATAACAAAGGAAAAGGACACCATTATTTTTTCATAATACGGAGTCGAAGCTTCATCTCCGTGCGTTTAAGTGAGTAGTAAAGCCCTTTGAATTGTCTCCAGCAAACTCCATCGGCGAATGAGTCAGATGGACCACCATAGTAGATGCCGTTGAGATTCAAGTCGTGGCAATTATTGTACCACCGGGCACCTTTTCGTTCTTACTATCTTTGGTCGAAAACTGCATCCTACTAGAAACATAAGCGAGAGTGAGAAAAAGATCATAGACATTAACTGTATGAGTCACCCTTTGTCATAAAATAGACAGTACTATTCCGAGCAGCACTACCCCCTCCTTGTAATCATCGTCGGGTTATTTGAAAAAAGTTTCATGAGCCTCGGGTTAGTTCACATGAGAGTATAAATTAAAAAATATCAAGGAGAAGGTTTGGCTGTAATTGAGAAGAGAAGGAGAATCGTCCTAAACTAAAAGCCTCTTAGAAGTCAACTTTTCTTTTTTGTCATTTGGCGTTTTTTCTCACCTCAGAACATAAAGAGGTTTCAGAATTAGAATATTACTTCGCCTGGAATAGTTATTGCTGACCGATTGATTTCCTTCTTTTTTGATAACAAATTGTTGCGTTAACTGTTATGATAAAAAAATGTCTGGATAACAGCAGATATGTCACGAATTGAAGGAAATATACGACATTTTTTAAAAACATGTTTTGACAGTTCTACTGTCATCTTCAGTACAAAGTTGAATGTAAAGTGTAAAACGAAATGCTCATTGGACAAAACAAACAATAGAACAGAACATTGAATGCAGTTAAAAGAAACTTTATCAACTTTTTCATATTCATTTGAAACTTTCCTCGTAACAGTACACAATAACTGTTTGTTTCTATTGTTTCTATTGTTTGTTTTTGACCTTTTATAATCAGAACTGAAGATGACAGGAGAACTGCCGAAACATGTCTTTAAAAAATGTCGTATATTCTCTTCAATTTATGATAGAAAATCGATAAGTGCCTCTTGGCTTTGTCGCCGAACATTTTTTGATCGAAATACATCACGATCTCAACTAATGATGCGTAGCCGTAAGAGAAGTTTAAAGAATTGACTCGCTCAGCTTATATCACTTTGAGCCTCGTTCAGATTTCATTTACCTTAGAGATTGGTGCCCAAGCATAGAGTCACCAGCCATGCCAGAGTATCCTTCAATCAAAAGCCTGTACTTATCAGCCTCGTCTGCCACCTTAAAAGTAGTGTACTCAGCGTAGGTGATGTTCCCTTCAAAGTCTTCCTGGTCAAATCTCAGCATTACGTCATCAGAGTCTGTCAAGTGATGAAGATTATCGTTTCCAAGCCAGAACTCGCCATAAGGATTTCTAAAGCCGTATTTGTTAGATTCCCACCCTAGAAAAAAATCTACAGATCCGTCCAAACGTCTCTGAAAAACGGTCCAACCTCCACCATCCGTATTCATGTCACATAACACTTGCACTGGTTTTCCGTCATCTAGATTAATGGTGTATACGCCACTGGAATTCCAACCGTGTCGAAGCAGTTCAGCGCAGCTGTCTGGTTCTATAGCTTTGAAATGGTACCAAAAAACAAGCAAACAAACAAACAGACATAGAGACACGTATGCAAAAGAAAAAAAAAAACTTAACTAAATTTGCCGAGTAAAATGCACCGTACAAAAGACAATAAAAGTCTGCCGAATAGAGGGGCACGCGACTCGTGATATTGTATAACAACTTGTTATAGTTGCTCTAACATTATCGCTAGATCTTAGTTTCTTTCGAATGCTTAAAAAGTATGTTCGAGACTTGTGTCTTTCGCCTCCTTCCAGTGGCGGCTTCACTAGCTACCACGATACGCCTGAAATTCAGTAGGGAGTCGGGGAGAGTTATCCTTTATCAGGAAGCCATGGGTTCAAAATTTTTCTAAGCCATCTAAGTAATTTGTCGGAGTGTGCTTGTGTTACTGCTTAAAAATATTCCATAATCGTCTTTTTCTGTTTGAATTCCTAAATTGTTAAGGCCAAACCATGCATATGACAACTCCAACACTAACCGCAAGTTGGTCCTCTATAGCCATCTTTACGTTTGCATCTTACGCTGCCGTCTTGATAGTTGGGAAAACTGATTCCTTTTTCGCCGCAGATGGAATCGCTTATCTTACAAGAGCTCTATATTTTGAGAGATGCTAACTTGATGCAAAATGCTAACAGATATAAATTATCAAATCCAAATAAGATAAAATTTGCCAAGACAGTTCTGGAAATTGAATTGCTAGATTTTTTCACAGAAGGCGTGAATTTTATCCTTAGGTATTTGATCTTTAGATGTTGATGTCCTTTAAAGAAAGCTGAGTGGTAAACTACTGAAATTGGTAAAGAATATTTTAAATCAAAGGATATTTTTTATGAAAAAAAAAATTAAATCCTGCCTGAAGAATTTCTTTTTCTTTTTTTTTCGACTTCTTCTACGTTGTACCCATTACACAATGCCTGTATTCCCCTGTAGTAAAATTCGTCATCTTGAGTGAAATTGTCCACAGCAGCAAATCGATCAGAGTCGCTTAGTTGACATTCGAGTCTTTTCCCGTCTTCTGCCGGTCCAAAGTTGTAAGACAGGCAACAGCTTTCATCCACACATTGTAGCTGGCAAGCACCTTCTGATTCCTCTTCTGTTTCCTCGATAACCCTCCCAAGAAGCTTACGTCCTCTCATCTCTGTCGCAAAGTTTACGGCATGTAAATCATCTGTTTATTCGACCAAGTCCTGATACCAACGTTACGGACAAAGCGATTGAGGACCAGAACAAGAACATTTTACGTGTTCATCGAGTTGAATGTTGACACAAAGTTTGACTTATGCACTGCTAATCTCTCCCTCCAATTCCTGGTCGACTCACATGATTTATTCATTGTTATGGTTTCAATAACAGCAGGTTCAACATTCATGTATCTGAAAAACACTTACTGTTCATTTCTAATCAACTCACAACGGTGTTCAAAGATTTCTCAAAAGTTTAACGTGTGGCCTGCTTTGTGAACTTTGCCTGTTTCGTTTTTTTTTCCTTCTGATGGTTAAGAATAAATAGGGTGCGTTTAGAATAGTTATGTGAATAGATAGGGTGAATCAAACTTTTCATTTAACATTTCGTTACAGCAAATTTACTCAGTCATCAAATGTCGCTTAAACATAGGAAAGACAGAGCTGAAGAACACTCTTTCACGTCCTACTTTCCTTGCACCGTCTCTTATTTCGAGATTCTGGGATAATTTCATGCAACTACATGAATGTTTTGCTGTTGGGAAAAATGATAAAGTTTCTCCCCATGCCTGCTGCTCAGAAATAAGACCAGTTATGCGCAGGAGAAAAAGTTGCTTTTTCAGGCTTTATTTTCACTACTGTATATGTAGTATTCATTACTGCAAAAAGCACTCTCATATTCATCCATACCATCCATAAGCTTGCGTGAAAACCAACATACATTTTCCCTTACATGATTTCAAAACAAAACTATACACTTTGTTTTCCAAAGAAGGCACCAGTTGTATTGTCTTAGTTGAGAAATGCGCCATACGTTTTTTTCATTTCAGGTCAGGTAGTTTCTATTTAAAGAATACAGCTTGACCAGAGGATCAACTATCTGCAAAACGTACAGGAGTGTCCAGTCGATTTTTTTTCAATTTTTGGCAGATGAATTCCTACTTCTTTTGATAATTATCTCCCTGATCGTTTAAAACTATTCAAGGGAAGGCTTCTTTTATTATGTTATTCTCAGAGCTTGTTGTCTAGATCTATATCTCTTGCATTTGTCACGTAGTGTCCTGCATTGAAAACTTAGAAACAACCTCTCCCAAAATAACGCGGGCCAGAGAGCCACATTTCCTTTTACTTACGTGTTACTCTTATCCTTAATGCACTTAATCCACATAAGTCTTTTTATTTCAAAACTGATGATAACCGTTAAAAATCCCTTAATCACGCAACCCTCTACAAGAAAAAAAGGAGTTAAATATTCAATTCATCCAACAATACTTGTAATCATATTTTTTTTTTCTAAAGAATTCACGTAATACAAAGAAATGTTCTATTCTCCACGTGCACGTCAGTTTATTTCCAAACTCTCTTTTGTCGGTTCCTTAAATTTCGGAAAAACAAATAGCGGTTAAAAATTCACTACGTTGAAATCTTTGGAATCTTTGAGATCTCTTTTTTATATTTACAGCTTCTCTCTGTATCGTCGAGCTTTTCCTCAAGTTACTGTCGCTTGGTAATTGAATTCTCCAAAGACTCTTCTTGCGCTCGTTTCTCGCCTCTTTTACGGACCCGCAGAGAATCCGCAGAGAAAGCACCAACTTCAGCAGCCTATCTAAATCGGTCGCAAACTTGACGAATTATTTACCAAAATAAAGGAACGTTCTCGCTCCATTCGAATTTGGCGGTAAAATTGAGATTCCAACATGCATGCGCAAAAGAGCTAAGACCCATTCTTGAGCGCTAACCGTGATACGACACTTGAACGCCTTCGAAAATTGCCTATCGTAATTTTAAGAAATGAAATTTAACCGATTAAACCCTAAAGCTTTGGTATTTCAAAGTACATTTTGTTGGTAAAATTAATCTCTATCAAAACGTCTCTTATTAATCGTTCCAAATTTTCTATATTGTTGAATCCCACCGTTGGTAAGGGCCTGGTCGTCGAGACTTGATATAAGCTTTTGTTAACAATGAGTTTGATATGCTGGATTGGCTGTAACCCATATTTCGTGTTCTATATGGTTCAAGACTGCTTTCTTCATTTCTTGATGGACGCTCTCCGATAAATTGACCAATTAGAATCAGAGTGAAGTATACTAACCACCATGTTCATTAATACTTTTTCCATTTAGAGCAAGGATTTTTTTTAATTTGGATGTTAAAGATAAATTCGAACATGTGGATAGTTTCCTCGACCATTGTTCTCGCTTTTTCGAGCCATCGAAGAATTAATACTCAAAAGCAACGTTGTGTAACGTCATCTTACCATCACAATAAGATACATGAAGAAATAACGCGCTATAATCGGCTGAAAACAAGTGCATTTTTAATGTAACACGAATGCAATGTTGTAACACGAGGGCAAATTATAGATAGCGCACGCGATATCAGAATATCGTCACGACTTATCTTGACTTTTTGGGATGCCTTTTCATGTAAATCATTACCAAGAAATAACATGATTACACGTGCAATTTTGAGTAAATAAGTATTTGAAAATTATATAAGACTACAAATTGCACTCGCCCTAAGGGCTCGTATAATTTTTGTTGTCTTTGAAAAGTTTACTTGTGCTTGTTATCACCAAATTGCACTCAAACTAAATAGTAGTAGTGTTATCGCTAACACCTTCATCGTGAGACCTCAACTTATTCATGAATATTCAAAGCTAAGGATTTAAGCAGGTGTTCCAAAAAAGAATCAGAGGAAGATATTCACATTGTCATTCAAATTTCAGCGACCTCTTAATTAGAGACACATATTCCGTGCACATCTAGATATTAGCAATTTCGCTGCAGTTTCTAGTTACATGCAAATAATTATAATGGCTATAGAATCAACCGGAGCACTGATGGCCAAATAATATATGTCATTAATTCGAGATTAAAAGTAAGCGATATTATAGAACGTTTCAATTTTGATAACTTTGGTCTGTGTCGATCTTTTTAAAGGAAATAAAACTTAATATCAAATAAATTCTGCTTATTTTGCAACTTTCTCTAATCTTAATCTGAATTCGTCTTTACATGGTCAGCAATCTTTGACCAAATATTTTTATTCCAAATAGCGTGATGAGAAATTATTCGGGAAATGGCACCACCACTGTGTAGACCAGCTTATCAACAGTGTTTTCAAAATACTTTAGACAAGTTTCCTTAATTTTAGCAACATTCTAGTTTACTCAAGATAATTAAAAATTCATTTGACCTAATTGGGGACACTGAAAATAGTACATAATCAAGACTCCTTTTTCTTTTTAGATGATTCTAAGGCGACTAATGATACTTCAGCTTTGCAAAACCATGCTCATTTATAAGATGTGGAAAATATGATTTTTAAGATGAAGGGGCCTCTTGAGGGAAAATATACTAGTATTCAGACAACTGTATCAACAATATTCTCAAGATAATTAAAAAACTTGTCTTCAGTTATGGCAACCTGCGAGCGAGCTCAGTAAATATATGCAAATATTATTGAACTAATCTAAGATTTTAAAAATATTGCCAATTCAGAATCTTACTCCCTGATTGGTCTTAAGGAGGTCTCATAATATTTCATTGTCGTAGAAGCTGAAATGACCTTAAGCCGAAAGGATCAGTGGACGTGAAGATAATTTAGAGACGTGTCCATAATTTTGGCAAGATGTTAGTTTACTCAGTGAATATATAAATACTTTTGAAATAAAGTTTAATACTGAAAATGCTAATACACTGGAGCAACTTAAGAATGAGTCTTAACAGACTTCCGCAGCTATTGTTAAATTTTTCTATACTAGCCCGATAAATTCTATAAGTCATGCCACAGTAAAGTGTCAGTGAAGCCGTAGTTGAAACTTTATTGTGCATCATATTCGATTATACAAGCTAGTGGCATCAGAAATTGCTGGTAGTCGGCCGTGATCATTACAGTATTCCTTGGATCTTTGGCCTCGTGACAAGTATATTAATTACAATTCGACATTTTGAGGCGACAAGCCTCATCTCCAAGTTAGAATCCGTGTGTTAAATATCAATGAGCAATGTTTTTTATCTGTGAAATAGGTCTGCTTTTAAACGTTACACTCCTCATTCTATGTTCGTTCATTTTCTCACAAAGTTAATGTACCATTACAAAGGAAAAGGTCACAATTATTTTTTCATAATACGTGGTCGAAGCTTCATCTCCGTGCGTTTAAGTGAGTACTGAAGTCCTCTGAATTGTCTCCTGCAAACTCCATCGGCGTATGTTTTGGTATGTGGTCCACCATAGTAGATGCCATTGAGATTGGAATCATGGCAACGACTGTACCACCACGCACCTTTGAACTTCAAAGCACACTGATATCCGGGACTTTTGTCGTTTTCCTTATCTTTGGTCGAAAACCGCATTCCACTAGAAATATGAATGAGAGTAAGAAAAAGATTTCATATATTAGTCGTATGAATCACCCTTTGCCACAAAATAGACGCTACTATTCCAAGCATGACTACCCCCTCCTTGTGATTACCGTCGAGTTATTTTTAAAAAATTTCATGAGCCTCATGTTAGTTCACACGAGAGTATAAATTAAAAGAGGTCAAGGAGAAGGTTTGGCTGTGATTGACACAATAAGGAGAATCTTCCTAAACTAATAACCTCTTTGTTGTCGACTTTTCCCCTATTGTCATTTGGTGTGTTTCTCACCTCCGAACATAAAGAGGTTTCAGAATCAGAATATTACCTCGCCCAGAATAGTTATTGCTGGCCGATTGATTTCCTTCTTTTTTGAAAACAAATTTTTACGTTGACTGTTATGATAGAAAAGCGTTAAGTGCCTCTTGGTTTTACCGCTGAACACCTGTTGATCGAAATACATCACGATCTCGCTTATTAATGTCTAGTTAATAGAGTAGTTTAAAGAATTTACTGGCTCGGCTCATATCACTTTAAGCCTCGTTCAGATTTGATTTACCTTAGAGATTGGTGCCCAAACATGGATTCACCTGCCGTGCCAGAGTATCCTTCAATCAAAAGCCTGTACTTATTAGCCTCCTCTGCCACCTTAAAAGTAGTGTACTCAGCGTAGGTGATGTTCCCTTCAAAGTCTTCCAGCTCAACTCTCAGCATGACGTCATTCGAGTCTGTCAAATGATGAAGATTATCGTTTCCAAGCCAGAACTCGCTATTAGGATTTCCAAAGCTGTACTTGTAAGATTCCCATCCTAGAAAAAAATCTACAGAGCCGTCTAAACGTTTCTGAAAAACGGTCCAACCTCCACCATCCGTATTCATATCACACAACACTTGCACTGGTTTTCCGCCATCTGGATTGATGGTGTATACGCCACTGGAATCATAACCGTGTCGAAGCAGTTCAGCGCAGCTGTTTGGCTCTATAGCTATGGAATGGTACAAAAAACAAGCAAACGAACAAACAGACATATAAACAAGTATACAAACAAAATAGCTTAACTTAATTTGCCGAGTAAAATGTATCGTACTAAAGACAAAAAAAACTGCCTAATAGAAGGGCACGTGACTCATGAACACTTATGAATAGTTGTTCTAAAGATTATTGCGAGAATCGTAGTTTCTTTCCAATGCTTAAATAGTATGTTCGATACTTGTGTCTTTCGCCTCCTTCCAGTGTTGGTCTTCACTATCGACCACGATACGCCTGAAACTCAGTAGGTGGTCGGGGAGAGTAATCCTTAATCAGGAGGCCATGGGTTCAACATTCGTTTAAGCCAGCCATCTAAGTAATTTCTCGGAGTATATAAATGTCTTTTGCTGTTTGAATTCCCAAATTTTTAAGGCCAAACTATGCACGTGACAACTCCAACACTAACCGCAAGTTGGTCCTATGTAGCCATCTTTACATTTGCATCTTACGCTGCCATCTTGATAGTTGGGAATACAGATTCCTTTTTCGCCGCAGATGGAATCGCTCATCTCACAAGAACTCTGGAATTTGAAAGATGCTAACTTAGTGCAAATGCTAACAGGTATAAATTTTCAAATCCAAATAAGAAAAGATTTGCAAAGATAGATTAAATTCCAAGATTTTTCTACAAAAGAAGTGATTTTTATCTTTAGATATATAACTATCGATATGTTCATAACTTTTAATGAAAGCTGAGTGATAAAAGACTGAAACTGGTAAAGTATATATTAAATCAGAGAATTTTTTTTATAAAACAAATAAATAATGCCTGAAGAATTTATTTTCTTTTCTAACATGTCTTTTCCTGCGTTGTACTCATTACGTAATACCTCAAAGTTTGCCGAATAGTAGAGCACGTGAGTAATGAACACAACTTATTAACAGTTGTTCCAAAGATTATCGGTAAACGACTGAAATTGGTAGAGTATACATTAAATCAGAGGATATTTTTGATAAAAAAAATAAATAATGCCCAAAGAACTTATTTTTTCTCTAACTTGTCTTTTTCTACGGTGTACCCATTACGCAATAACTCAAAGTTTACCGAATAATAGAGCACGTGAGTCATGAACAGTTTTTCCAAAGATTATCGGTAGACGACTGAAATTGGAAAAAGTATATATTAAATCAGAAGATATTTTTAAGGAAAAAAAAATAATGCCTAAAGAATTTATTTTCTTCTCTAACTTCTCTTTTTCCACTGTGTACCATTACGCAATACCTGTATTCCCCTGTAGGAAAACTTGTCATCTTGAGTGAAATTTTCTACTGCAGCAAATCGATCAGAGTCGCTTAGTTGACATTTGAATCTTCTCTCGTCTTCTGCCTGTCCAAAATTGTAAGACAGGCAACGGCTTTCATCTACACATCGCAGCTGGCAAGCATCTTCTGATTCCTCTTCTGTTTCCTCGATAACCCTCCCAAGAAGCTTGCGTCCTTTAATCTCTGTCGCAAAGTTTACGGCATGTAAATCATCTGTTTTTATTCGACCAAGTCCTGACACCAACGTTACGGACAAAGCGATTGAGGACCAGAACAAGAACATGTTACGTGTTCGTTGAGTTGAATGTTGACACAAACTTCGATTTGTGCGCTGCTAATCTCTCACTCCAATTCCTGGTCGACTCACATGATTTATTCATTGTTATGGTTTCAATAACAGTAGGTTCAACAGTCATAAATATGAAAAACACTAACTATTCATTTCTAATCAACCCACAACGGTGTTCAAAGACTTCTCAAAAGTTTAATGAGTGGCCTGCTTTTTTTAAACACGTTCTCTCTTTGTTAATTAGTCTTACATCGTGTGGTTTGCCTGTTTCGTTTGTTTGTTTTTTTTCTTTTGATAGTCAAGAATAAATAAGGTGCGTTTCGAATAGTTATGTCAATAGATAGGGTGAATCAAACTTTTCATTTAACATTTCGTTACAGAAAATTTACTCGGTCATCAAATGTCGCCTAAATATGGGAAAGACAGAACGGAAGAACACTCTTTCACGTCCTACTTTCCAAGCACAGTCTCTTATTTGGAGATTCTGGGATAATTTCATGCAACTAATTTCACTTCAAGTGGTATAAGTTTTACAAAAGGAGTCAGCCGATTTCTGGTTCACTGACTTAGAATTTTGTCGCTTCTATCACGTTTTTAAGTTATCGAAATAGTTATTTAGGTTAAATACTACAATTTTACAACGAAGACTGAGGTGTATTCTAGCCTGATTTGTATGATTTAAACTTTGTAAGTCGTTCAATTGTTCAAAGAAGGATGCTTATGCTCATCGCTCTAATGAAGAGCACGAATTCGTCATTACTCCGTTCATTTTCGAGAGAACTTGAATGAACATACGTGGCTGCATGAGGAGAATCAAACATTTCAGCACGACATCAGTCGGTCATCAAGCGTCGTTTAAACAAGCAAAAGGAAGAACGAAGGAACGGAAGAAAACTTTCACCTCCCACACACAGTGTCGGGATTCAAGGATAAATCTATGCAGCTACGTTTCGTCAAGGAAAAACAGGAAAAAACTGCTTCCTATGCCAGGAGGTTAAAAAGCCTTTGACGTGAATCAACACAGAGACGAGGACCAGTTATGCGCATGAGAAAAAGTTGCTTTTTCAGGCCTTATTTTCACTACTGCTTATGCAGTGTTCATTACTGCGAAAATCACTCTCATATTTATCCATTCTATCCATAAGCTTGCATGAAAACTAACATATATATGATGCTTTTTGTTTTCCTAAGAAAGAACCAGTTGTATTGTATCAATTGTGCGATGCGCCATACAATCTTTTTTTTTTTTTTTTTTTTTTTTTTTTTTTCAGGTCAAGTATTTTCTGACTAGAGGATCAACTATCTGCAAAACTTACAGGCGTGTCAGCCGATTTTTTCAATTTTTGGCTCCTTTTGATAATAATCTCCCTGATCGTTTAAAACTATTCAAGGGAAGGCTTCCTTCATTATGTTATTCTCAGAGCTCGTTGTCTAGATCTATATCTGTTGCATTTGTCACGTAGTGTCCTGAATTGGAAACTTAGAAACAACCTCTCCCAAAATAACGCGGGCCAGAGAGCCATATTTCCTTTTACTTACGTGTTACTCTTATCCTTAATGCACTTAATCCACATAAGTCTTTTTATTTCAAAACTGATGATAACCGTTAAAAATTCCTTAATTACGCAACCCTCTACAAAGAAAAAAAAGAGTTAAATATTCAATTCATCCAACAATACTTGTATTATATTTTTTCTTTTAAAGCATCCACGTAATACAAGGAAATATTCTATTCTCCACGTACACGTCTGTTTATTTCCAAACTCTCTTTTGTCGGTTCCTTCAATTTCGGAAAAACAAATAGCGCTTTCTTTTTCTTATCTCTTCCTATCTTCACGACTCAAAAGTTTAGTACCGATATTATTTACAATAACCAAACTATTATCGTATGATATCAGAACATAACCAGTAAATTCCATTATATTCCATTTCATTAGATACATCGTAAATTGCACGGTTACTAATCCATATCAAACTAGCTTCCCATGAGTGCGAACATTTGCTCTAGTTGGCGTCCAAGCTGGCGCGGACAACGCTTTCCCTACTGCGCTTGCGCATTACAGTATCAGTATCAGTGTGAATTAGTGGCAATTTACATTTGTGACCATGGCGGCTGCAAAGGAAAAGAGAGTCCCAAAATGATACTTTGACGAGGTCTTTTCAATGGGGGTTTTATTCAGAAAGAAGACAAGAACAAGAAAAGTCGGAAAACGAGTGAAAAATTCACTACGTTGAAATCTTTGGAATCTTTGAGATCTCTTTTTTTATATTTATAGCTTCTCTCTGTATCGTCGAGCTTTTCCTCAAGTTGCTGTCGCTTGGTAATTGAATTCTCCAAAGACTCTTCTTGCGCTCGTTTCTCCCCTCTTTTACGGATCTGCAGATAATCCGCAGAGAAAGCACCAACTTGAGCAGCCATTTAACCTATCTAAATCGGTCGCAAACTTGACGAATTTTTATTTACTAAAATATAGGAACGTTCTCACTCCATTCGAATTTGGCGGTAAAATTGAGATTCCAACATGCATGCACAAAAGAGCTAAGACCTATTCTTGAGCGCAGACCGTGATACGACACTTGAACGCCTTCGAAAATTGCCCATCGTAATTTTAAGAAATGAAATTTGACCTATTAAATCCTAAAGCTTTGGTATTTCGAAGTACATTTTGTTGGTAAAATTAATCTCTATCAAAACGTCTCTTAGTAATCGTTCCAAATTTTGAATGTTGTTGAATCCCACCGTTGGTAGGGGCCTGGTCGCCGAGACTTGATATAAGCTTTTGTTAACAATGAGTTTGATATGCTGGATTGACTGTAACCCATATTTCGTGTTCTCTATGGTTCAGGACTGCTTTCTTCATTTCTTGATGGACGCTCTACGATAAATTGACCAATTAGAATCAGAGTGAAGTACACTAACCACCATGTTCATTAATACTTTTTCCGTTTAGAGCAAGGGTTTTTTTAATTTGGATGTTAAAGATAAATTCGAACATGTGGATAGTTTCCTCGACCATTGTTCTCGCTTTTTTGAGCCATCGAAGAATTAATACTCAAAAGCAACGTTGTGTAACGTCGTATTATCATCACAATAAGATACAGGAAGAAATAACGCGCTTATAATCGGCTGAAAACAAGTGCATTTTTTTATGTAACTTCTTGGGATGCCTTTTTCATGTAAATCATTACTAAGAAATAATATGATTACACGTGCAATTTCGAGTAAATAAGTACTTGAAAATTATATAAGACTACAAATTGCACTCGCCCTAAAGGCTCGTATAATTTTTGTTGTCTTTGAAAAGTTTACTTGTGCTTGTTATCACCAAATTGCACTCAAACTAAATAGTAGTAGTGTTATCGCTAACACCTTCATCGTGAGACCTCAACTTATTCATGAATATTCAAAGCTAAGGATTTAAGCAGGAGTTCCAAAAAAGAATCAGAGGAAGATATTCACATTGTCATTCAAATTTCAGCGACCTCTTAATTAGAGACACATATTCCGAGCATATCTAGATATTAGCAATTTTCCTGCAGTTCCTAGTAACATGCAAATAATTATAATGGCTATAGAATCAACCAGAACATTCGAGATTAAAAGTAAGCGATATTATAGAACGTTTCAATTTTGATAACTCTGGTCTGTGTCGATCTTTTTTAAGGAAATAAAACTTAATATCAAATTAATTCTGCTTATTTTGCAACTTTCTCTAATCTTAAACTGAATTCGTCTTTACATGGTTAGCATCTTATGTCTCGTTTTTCCCATCACGATTTATCAAATCTTCGAACAAATATTTTTATTCCAAATAACGTGATGAGAAATTATTCGGGGAATGGACCCACCACTGTGCAGACCAGCTTATCAACAGTGTTTTCAAAATACTTTGGATAAGTTTCCTTAATTTTAGCAACATTCTAGTTTACTCACGAAAACTGATTAAAAATTCATTTGACCTGATTGGGGACACTGAACATAATACATAATCAAGACTCATTTTTCTTTTTAGATGATTCCAAGGAGACCAATGATACTTCAGCTTTGCAAAACCATGCTCATTTATAAGATGTGGAAAATATGATTTTTAAGATGAAGGGGCCTCTTGAGGGGAAATGTACTAGGATTCAGACAACTGTATCAACAACATTCTCAAGATAATTAAAAAACTCGTCTTCAATTATGGCAACCTGCGAGCGAGCTCAGTAAATATATGCAAATATTATTGAACTAATCTAAGATTTTGAAAATATTGCCAATTCAGAATCTTACTCCCTGATTGATCTTAAGGAGGTCTCATAATATTTCATTGTCGTAGAAGCTGAAATGACCTTAAGTCTAAAGGATCAGTGGACCTAAAATGTGGCAGTAGGCAGACCGCTGTATCGTAAAATTTTGAAGATAATTTAGAGACGTGTCCATAATTTTGGCAAGATGTTAGTTTACTCAGTAAATACACAAATACTTTTGAAATACTTTTGAAAGTATAATACTGAAAATGATAATACACTGGAGGCAATTTAAGAATGAGTCTTAACAGACTTCCGCAGCTATAGTTAAATTTTTCTATACTAGCCGGATAAATACTGTAAGTCATGCCACAGTAATGTGTAAGTGAAGCTGTAGTTGTCATTTTATTGTGCATCATATTCGATTATACAAGCTAGTGGCATCAGAAATTGCTGGTAGTCGGCCGTGATCAACACAGTGTATTCCTTCGATCTTTGGCCTCGTGACAAGTATGTTAATTACAATTCGACATTTTGAGGCGACAAGCTTCATCTTCAAGTTAGAATCCGTGTGTTAAACATCGATGAGCAATGTATACTATCGATGTAATAATTTCTTCACTAAACATCTCATGAAAAAGATGGATCGAATTGTGTTCTCCGTTAAGGCATTTTTTTTCTCAAAAAACTTGTACTTAATGAAAGTTCTGCTTTAAAACGTTACACTCCTCATTCTATGTTCGTTCATTTTCTCACAAAGTTAATGTACCATTACAAAGGAAAAGGTCACAATTATTTTTTCATAATACGTGGTCGAAGCTTCATCTCCGTGCGTTTAAGTGAGTACTGAAGTCCTCTGAATTGTCTCCTGCAAACTCCATCGGCGTATGTTTTGGTATGTGGTCCACCATAGTAGATGCCGTTGAGATTGGAATCATGGCAACGACTGTACCACCACGCACCTTTGAACTTCAAAGCACACTGATATTCGGGACTTTTGTAGTTTTCCTTATCTTTGGTCGAAAACCGCATTCCACTAGAAATATGAACGAAAGTAAGAAAAAGATTCCATACATTAGTCGTATGAGTCACCCTTTGCCACAAAATAGACGCTACAATTCCAAGCATCACTACCCCCTCCTTGTGATTACCGTCGAGTTATTTTTAAAATTTTTCATGAGCCTCATGTTAGTTCACACGAGAGTATAAATTAAAAGAGGTCAAGGAAAAGGTTTGGCTGTGATTGACACAATAAGGAGAATCTTCCTAAACTAATAACCTCTTTGTTGTCGACTTTTCTCCTATTGTCATTTGACGTGTTTCTCACCTCAAAACATACAGAGGTTTCAGAATCAGAATATTACCTCGCCCAGAATAGTTATTGCTGGCCGATTGATTTCCTTCTTTTTTGAAAACAAATTTTTACATTAACTGTTTTGATAGAAAAGCGCTAAGTGCCTCTTGGCGATATCACCAACTAATGTGTAGTTAATAGAGTAGTTCAAAGAATTTACTGGCTCGGCTCATATCACATTAAGCCTCGTTCAGATTTGATTTACCTTAGAGATTGGTGCCCAAGCATGGAGTCACCTGCCGTGCCAGAGTATCCTTCCATCAAAAGCCTGTACTTATTAGCCTCGTCTGCCACCTTAAAAGTAGTGTACTCAGCGTAGGTGATGTTCCCTTCAAAGTCTTCCAGCTCAACTCTCAGCATGACGTCATTCGAGTCTGTCAAATGATGAAGATTATCGTTTCCAATCCAGAACTCGCTATTAGGATTTCCAAAGCCGTACTTGTAAGATTCCCATCCTAGAAAAAAATCTACAGAGCCGTCTAAACGTTTCTGAAAAACGGTCCAACCTCCACCATCTGTATTCATGTCACACAACACTTGCACTGGTTTTCCGCCATCTAGATTGATGGTGTATACGCCACTGGAATCATAACCGTGTCGAAGCAGTTCAGCGCAGCTGTTTGGCTCTATAGCTATGGAATGGTACAAAAAAACAAGCAAACGAACAAACAGACATATAAACAAGTACACAAAAAAAAAACTTTACTTAATTTGCCGAGTAAAATGTATCGTACTAAAGACAAAAAAAACTGCCTAATAGAAGGGCACGTGACTCATGAACACTTATGAATAGTTGTTCTAAAGATTATTGCGAGGATTGTAATTTCTTTCCAATGCTTAAAAAGTATGTTCGAGACTTGTGTCTTTCGCCTCCTTCCAGTGGTGGTCTTCACTAGCGACCACGATGCGCCTGAAATTCAGTAGGGGGTCGGGGAGAGTTATCCTTAATCAGGAGGCCATGGGTTCAATATTCGTTTCAGCCATCTAAGTAATTTCTCGGAGTATGCCTGTGTTACTGCTAAAAAAAAATTATATAAAAGTCTTTTGCTGTTTGAATTCCCAAATTTTTAAGGCCAAACTATGCACGTGACAACTCCAACACTAACCGCAAGTTGGTCCTATGTAGCCATCTTTACATTTGCATCTTACGCTGCCATCTTGATAGTTGGGAATACAGATTCCTTTTTCGCCGCAGATGGAATCGCTCATCTCACAAGAACTCTGGAATTTGAAAGATGCTAACTTAGTGCAAATGCTAACAGGTATAAATTTTCAAATCCAAATAAGGTAAGATTTGCAAAGATAGATTGAATTGCAAGATTTTTCTACAAAAGAAGTGATTTTTATCTTTAGATATTTAACTATCGATATGTTCATGACTTTTAATGAAAGCTGAGTGATAAAAGACTGAAACTGGTAAAGTATATATTAAATCAGAGGATTTTTTTTATCAAACAAATAAATAATGCCTGAAGAATTTCTTTTCTTTTCTAACATGTCTTTTCCTGCGTTGTACTTATTACGTAATACCTCAAAGTTTACCGAATAGTAGAGCACGTGAGTCATGAACACAACTTGTTAACAGTTGTTCCAAAGATTATCGGTAAACGACTGAAATTGGTAGAGTATATATTAAATCAAAGGATATTTTTGATGAAAAAAATAAATAATGCCCAAAGAACTTATTTTTTCTCTAACTTGTCTTTTTCTATGGTGTACCCATTACGCAATAACTCAAAGTTTACCGAATAATAGAGCACGTGAGTCAAGAACAGTTTTTCCAAAGATTATCGGTAAACGACTGAAATTGGAAAAAGTATATATTAAATCAGAAGACACTTTTAAGAAAAAATAAATAATGCCTAAAGAATTTATTTTCTTCTTTAACTTCTCTTCTTCCACTGTGTACCATTACGCAATACCTGTATTCCCCTGTAGGAAAACTTGTCATCTTGAGTAAAATTTTCCATTGCAGCAAATCGATCAGAGTCGCTTAGTTGACATTTGAATCTTCTTTCGTCTTCTGCTCGTCCAAAATTGTAAGACAGGCAACGGTTTTCATCTACACATCGCAGCTGGCAAGCATCTTCTGATTCCTCTTCTGTCTCCTCGATAACCCTCCCAAGAAGCTTACTTCCTCTTATCTCTGTCGCAAAGTTTACGGCATATAAATCATCTGTTTTCATTCGACCAAGTCCTGATACCAACGTTAAGGACAAAGCGATTGAGGACCAGAACAAGAACATGTTATGTGTTCATTGAGTTGAATGTTGACACAAAGTTTGACTTATGCACACTGAATCTCTCGCTCGAATTCCTGATCGACTCACATGATTTATTCATTGTTATGGTTTTAATAACAGCCGGTTCAACAGTCATGTATTTGAAAAACACTAACCACTCATGTCTAGTCAACTCACAATGGTGTTTAAAGATTTTTCAAAAGTTTAACGTATGGCCCACTCGGTAAACACGCCCTCCCGTAGACATAAGCTTTAATAAATGCATTTTAAAGATATATGCTTTTCACAGAATCTCTCTTTATCGTATGATCGATAGAATCCTTCATCACTTCATTTGCTTCAAAATAATGGAATAGCTTAACAAAGACTGTTTTTGTTTGGACTTTAAATAAAATATAACAGACAATAGAAAAAGAAGCATTCGAAAATGTAACGTAAAATTGTTCAATTCTTTCCTTTCATCTGAAATTAAAATTAATGAAATCTAAGCCTTAGGATGAGAGGAAATTGTTTTTAAATCACTTAAGCTTAAGACACAAAATCATATCATGTGGTTCAACGTTATTTCAAAGCAAACAAAAAAATTTAATATCTTCCGCCATATTTTAACAAAAAGAGACTTCTTGAATTCAAAGAAGAGTGAAGGCGCCACTATTATGTAATTTTCTGTGTTCGCACTTTTCCTGTTTTGCTTAGTTTAGTTTTTTCGTTCTTGTGGCTTTTGTTAATTAGTCTTATATCGTGTGCTTTGCCTATTTCGTTATTTTTTTTCTTTTGATGGTAAAGTTCGCTTAAGTCACACACGCCAAAACCGATCAAATTCAAGGTAAAGTTTTGAAAAAGTGAGGCGTTCTTAACTGATCCAACTAACATAGCTAGGAAGTAGGTGCCATAGAAAAGGTAACTAAAGGAAAAAACTTTGCGGCCCGACCTTTACGAAAACTTTATAACTCCGTGAACTTACCTAATTTTCGGCAATCTCCAAGTTTGGTCGCCATTTTGAGGGACTTGTCTACATGAAGCGTAGATATAAATCAAGCAGCGAGATCTAAAACCGTCAGAAATACGTACGAAAGTAATTCAAATGAACTTTACTTTCAATTCTAGCGGCAAAATTTGAAATTGTTCGTGAAACTTACCATTCCTACATCCCCACGCGACCATTTCTTCCAACAATTCAAATACTACAACTAGTGTTCGAATTCCCCTCGTCGATTCAACCTTAAGAAATAGCCTGTGCCACCCAAGCCTCGACTCGAATATGAAGTACAAGTCAAATAATTTAACTGCTTTATCTTCAAGGCAATATTACGTTGGTATTATGATTTTCTGATCGACAAGAGCGGTGATTAGGTACCGATCGCCATGTTTACCTCATAAACGTGATCGCTGACCAGCCGCTGAGTGAAAACAATACGGCTCAGAGGTGAGGGGCGGGCTGTGGGGTGGGTGCGGGCAAATTATCAGAAGATTATTGGGAACATTCGTACATATGCACTAAAGTATCATAACAAGCAATTTGACCCTCAGTCTTAATGCGAAGGCACGCTTCGTGTTGCAGGCAGCTTTTGTTTTGCTTAGTATTCTTTTTTCTTTCAAATACATTTCGTCCCAAATAGGACTGGCATCAATTCATAGATTTATAAACAAATCTTTACCATGTAAATAAGTGTGTTTAGATAATCGAGATAACCACTGAACCTCTTGTATCGCATCAGAAGTAATGTGTCTTGTCTTTGCCCAACTCTGGGAGCGTGGAGCGGCATGCCATGCTCACAGGATACGCGTGACCTCACTATCTTTAAGAAAAATAAGAGACTGCTTCTTCTTCTTGAATCTTTATTAAGTCATAAGATAAATAATCACATATCCTATGTTACAACATTAAAAGAAGGTATATATATAAATTACAGAGAAAATCAAGATAAAAATTATAAGACTAGATTATGTTTAAAAATTAAGCGATTAACAAACGTGTTTTTGAACCTATCAGTGTTTATTTTAGGATGGTGACTTGTCTCTTTCCTCAGATTGTACTTGGTTAATTTCTTTTTTGGCATTATAGCTCTTAAAGGGTGTATTGTATTATTAAAAACATTCTTGAAGATACGCGTGTCCTGTTGAACTAACAATTCATAAACATTAATGTGATCGGATGTATACTTGCGCTTATAACATCGATCTAAGAAACATTGGATTGTTGTTAATTCCGGAATTTACAGCGCCAAATACGGACAACCCGTATAGTATATTTGGTAGAACCAGATTTAGAAACAGATGGTCTATTTCGGCCTGATTGTACCCTTCTTTCCTTAAAGATCTTAAAATGAACAGGCACTTGTTTGCTTTAATTAGTTTTTCCCGAATATGTGTTATGAACCTACTGTCTTCCTGAAATGTTACCCTAAAATAGTAAGCTCTTTTGTCTGTGGTATTCCAGACACCATCGGAAACTCTATTGTACAACCTTTCTTGCGGAAAATGATTTCCTTGCACTTAGATGGATTGCTACACATACCATTACTTCTAGACCACTGGGAAAACTGATTAATCAGTGCGATAGAATTGTCATTATCACCTATCACAGGCGAGATAATGGTTGTATCATCTGCATATTTTACCAGCACGCTCTTATTGTCCAAGTGTATCTCTAAATCACTGAGAAAGACATTGAACAAGTGCGGCCCGCTGACACTTCCTTGGGTGGTACCTTTGTTGACACTTTTCCATTTTCCAATAAACCCATTTCTAATGACTCTCTGCTGCCTGTCTTCCAAAAAAGCTTAGATACCAGTTAACTATAAAAGGATTTAGGGGGAGTTGCTTCAATTTGTGTGAGAGGAGATCGTGTTTCACACTATCAAAAGCCTTGCTGAAATCCATAGCGAATAGGCGTACCGCTTTGCACTCTGGGATATCAAGATATTGATTGACAGTATGTTGGATAGTCAGTAGAGCATTGGTACAGCTCCCTCCCTCTATGTATGCAAACTGTGAGATCCCAGAATGTTCATCGAAGGTCTCCCTTGCGTGTGTTCCTAAGACAGCTTTCTCAAAGCACCTTGCGATGACAGGTGTCACATTTATTCCGCGGAAGTCTGATATTCCCTTAGGTATATCAACCTTCGGCAAGGGGTACAGGTCTGACTTTTTCCAAGAGACAGGCCAGGCGTGTGTTCTAAGAGACAGATTCCAAATCCAGGTGATCACTGGAACGAATAGCTCGGCGTGGTCTTTCCATATAGTATACGGGATGCCATCTGGTCCGGTTGCTGTTTTAATAATAATAATAATAATAATAACGAATTTTTATACAGGATTGAAACCCATCAGTGTGTAACACTGTTGTCCTTGGGGTCCTGTCAAAAATAATAAATAAATAAATAAAATAAAATTTAACAAGATATAATCATTGATCTTAAGGTCTAGAAAAGCATACAATAAAATGAAAAAATTAAAAATTAAATAAGAATACTCTGAAAAAGATACCTATAACCACGTTTAGATAGAATTTAACTAAAATAATCTCGCAATTTGTTCTTAAATTTCAGTCTCGAATCTAACGACCTTAGTTCAGCAGGCAGGTTGTTGAAAGTCTTTGCTCCTTGGTAATAGAAGCTCTTTTTACCAAATTCTAAACGAACTTTGGGTAATTTCACTGATATACCGTTATTCCTAGTGGCCTTAGAATGAACCAGCCTTTCGAAGTAGTTCTTAAAGGGTGTGCAAACATTATTCAGGAGACAGTCGAAAACAAACAGACAGCTTTTACGCTTGATCAAATTGTTCACGGATGGGGGATTAAAAGAACTATTGCCGATAACTTTAAAGCCTCGTCGTTCGATGTTCTTTATCATTTCCTTTCGGTAATCCGGAAAGCTAAGACCAAGTGTTCCGCAATAGGTAAAGATAGGTGCGATCATAGTGTTATAGATCGATTCTGCACACTTTTGGTCGATCAAAGGACGAATTGATCGCAAGAGATTGATTCTGGTTGCAGCTTTTTATAGATTCGGTCAAAATGTGATGCGAGGTTTAGTGATGAGTCAAGGTGAACACCTAAGTACTTATAGGTAGAGGTATTATTGATGAGTGACCCATTAGCAGAAAGTTTAAGTTCCTTGTCTTGAAGGTTGATTCTTTTAGCTGTTCCAAATAACATAGACTCCGTCTTGTCCTTTTTTTTTAGGTTAATGATCAGTTCGTTGTCTTTAAACCACTCGCACAGGTTATTCATATCCTCGCTAAGGCTTCTCTGTATAGTATCAATATCTTTAGAAGAGGTATAGATGACTGAATCGTCGGCATAAGTGATAATCTTCGAGTGTTGAAGCGGTTTATGTACATCGTTGAAAAAGATAATGAATAAGATAGGACCCAGGATACTTCCCTGAGGAACACCTGTGAGAATGGGTTGAGGTTCTGATAGCACGCCTTTATATTGGACAACTTGTGATCTGCAGAAAAGGTAATCAGTGAACCATGCGAGTTCTGTTCCACGAACTCCGTAAGTTGAAAGCTTGCTCAGGAGGCCAGAGTGACTGATGGTGTCAAACGCCTTGGATAGATCGATGAAAACACAGCCTGTCAGGTTACCATTCTCACCTTCTCTTCTGATAACATCGGTAAGATGAGTAACGGCCAGTTCAGTAGAGCGCATGCGACGGAAGCCGTACTGAAAATGAGAAAGTAGACCATTCTGTTCAAAATGAGCCATCAGCTGCTTAAATACCACTTTCTCCAGGATCTTTGACATTGAGGGAAGTATTGAAATAGGCCTATAATTGTCGATTTCGGCCATTGAACCAGATTTAAAAAGTGGTACAATTTTAGCCGCTTTCCAGTCAGTAGGTACAGACCCTGTTGCGAGAGACAGGTTAATTATATGCGTGAGAGGCTTGGCTATTATATCAGCAGAGTCCTTTAACATTCCAGAAGGAAAGTTGTCAAGGCCAGAGGACTTATTTCTCTTAAGGCTCTTTAATGCATTAAAGACAACCTTTTCCGAGACTGATCTAAACTCAAAGTTCTCTAGCGGCTGCTGGGTGTCTATTGTAAGGGCCTTTTCAGACAAAATTGCAAAGAGGGAAGATCTTTCTTTTTAGAGATCGCGCAACATCAGTGAAGAATTTGCAGAACAAATTTGCAATAACCTCTTTGTCGGTTTCTACTGCTTCATTAACGAGAAAAGCTGCTCCTGGTTCCTTTGTAGACTTTGTAGGGTATAGTTTTTAATAACTGACCAAAATTTGTTAGGTGAACCCACAGTCTCCTCTAAGAGTTCACGGTGATACCTGCTTTTGCAATTTTTACCATACCGTTAACTTTGTTTCGTTGGCGCTTGTACGAAGACCAGTCAATTTCACGATTTGTCTTTCTCGCTTTTCTCAAAAGCTGATCTTTGGTATTCATTTCTTGCTTTACCTTCTGTGTAAGCCATGGGCTGAGTTTCCTTTGATCCTCTTCTTTATAGCTGGCGCATGCTTATCAATACATTCTTTCAGAATGGCTTTCAAAAAAGACCATGCTTCATTAACGCAGGAGGATTTAAAGACAGGTGTGAAACTATTGGACCGTAAATCATTGCAAAAGGATATAGGATCATAATTAGCATTAGCAAGGGGTACAGGTCTGACTTTTTCCAAGAGACAGGCCAGGCGTGTGTTCTAAGAGACAGATTCCAAATCCAGGTGATCACTGGAACGAATAGCTCGGCGTGGTCTTTCCATATAGTATACGGGATGCCATCTGGTCCGGTTGCTGTTTTCTTTATACGCATAAGAGAATTCAGGACTTGTCGCTCTGAGATTTCTGGGACTTCCTGATCTTCACTAATCTCCAGAGGTGTTGGCTTTCTGTAGGCGTGGTCAGTACATAGGTCACCAAAGTAGTCATTTAACGCGTTGAGTTCGTAGTGGCCAAGAGATAGAGAAATCACCGGCTTGCGGCGCTGAGATGTTTTATCCACTTTTTCCACCAATCCCGAGTTCCAATAGAGGCGATAAAGTCCCTTCTGTTTCTGAAAATCACTTCAGAGATCCTTTTATTCATAACTTTAAGACGGTCTAGATTACTGAGTGATATGCGTGATTTGGCTCGTATCATCGATCGAACGAGCGGAGTCATCCAGCCTGGGTCTCTTGAAGACATGCGCACTGTTTTCAGAGGCATGCAGCTATCCAGGTGCCCTAGGATGGTATTTTCGAGCCTACCAACCACTTCATCGACATCAGTTTCCTGTATCATATCATCCCAGTTTTCCTTCGCCAACGCGATATACAGATCACGCTTTCTATGAGCCCTTTGGTCACGCACGTATACTTTACGGCGGATAGGTGGAAGCTTTATACCGGGTGGTAAAATAACTCCCATGTGATCCGTCTTGGAGAGCATGTGAAAGGGATAGCACTTTGAAAAGAGATCCGTGCGGTTCGTGAAACAGTTGTCCAAACAAGAATTCCCTCTGGTGGGGAAATTAACCAGAGCATTCCAACCAGACATTTCTTCGAAGCGTTTGATATCCAGTTTGTTGACATCGCCACCGCACAACACAACTGTTTGTGGATGTTTGTCTAGTATATTATCCACGGTATTTACAAGATGATTCATTAGATCGATCTCTGCATAATTAAATTTTGGGGGATGATAAATTCCACATATTACAAATCGATGTCCCTTGGGAAGTCGCAGAGTTATACAAATTAATTCATAAAGACTAGAGCGGTAAACATCCTCTACTGCAAGATTGTTCCTGATGTATATAGCAATCCCACCCTTATTGCGCATATCTCTGCCATTCCAATTTCTGTCTCTACGAAAGATGGAATAGTTCTCAATATTTACAATCGCATCCGGTTGTGCCGGTTTGAGGTGTGTTTCCGATACGACACAAACATCAATATCTTTAGATCGCAAGTCAGCCTCAAGTCCAACCGCCGCACGCACTTTGTTCTTAGTTTTTGCGAGACTGCAAATATTGATGAACATACACTTGGGAACGGCAAACCCGAGCAATCGGTAGATGATTTAGTAGGCTCTCGAGGAATAGCTGTAAGATATCTGTTCTTAGCGGGATCTTGGAAGCGATAAGGTCTAGCAAACCGCCGGGTTTTAACAACTTCAATGGGTCGACATCTGTCGGAGTGTTGCGATGCAGAGATATTTTTAGTAATTTTCCCCAATCTTCGTAATCCCGGACCTCTGTATTTCAGAATTCCCAGGGATTTAAGGGTATCGAAAACATGAGGCGCAGGTCGGCCCGCCGAACGTCTCAGCGAAAGTAGCCTGTCACGATTGTGAGAGCAATGGATTCTGACTGACCCAATTGCAGGTTGACAAGCAGAGTCCGAGGAGTTGGAGCTCTGTTTTCGTTTACCGTGGTCATTATCCACTTCTTCAGGTCCAGGATGTGGATGGACATCCATATTAACGGTAAAACAAACTTCTCAGGGGCGGCCAGGAAGACCATGCCTCGACTGTCCCATTTCACCATAGCCCTTCTTACCCGGAGATTTCGAGACCGGGATACTCTCAGCTCAAATCTAGCCATCCAACTAATGCATCTTGATGTTAAAGATTGATTTCGATAAGCTCTTTCGACTGTTATCATAGTTATGAAGGTAAAAATATAGAAAACTGCAAGAGCTCTAAAGAGCGTGGCAGCCATATTGGCATGCATATATAATAATCTCGTTGTGCTCGGAGTCTGTATTCCGTTAGACCATTTTCTAGGAGTGACGCGAGTCTTTTCAATTTAGTGAAAAAGTCACAAACCCATTCTTTACCTCACGAGCATAACCGCTGACCACTCATGAATTACAGTAGGCTTCTCCTTTGGCGCGGAAATCGAAATCATATCGAGTATACAAGGTTGTACTGAGTTCCTTTAGATCTCCCGAACTTGGATCGCGTTGGAAACAATTACAAGTACAGGAAGAAGTCTTTTGTTAGCGAGACGTTCATTATGTCTCAGGACTGCTTTTTGAATGGCAAAGATAGAAAAAACTTTGGTTCATCGCGAGGCTTAAGTGGTTTGGTACGACTGTCTGAATGCAATGATGAAGTAAAATATCATTTGATAAGCTGCCACCTGTCTAAAGAGGTCTTAAGAGAAAATGAGCTAATCTTGGCAAGGACTGGCCTATTTCACCTCGCTCAGGAGGATAAACAAAAAATGTGGATTTGCTATAGGCATCGCCACACTTTGGGGAAGTTTTGGAGAAGTGCAAAGGTAACATGTCAGTATCCTGATCATGATGGTGTCAGGAAGCGTATCCCAAGGCAGAGATGTAATTACCTTGCATATGTCTCAGGACATTCAAAAGCTGTTTGGAGTTATTATTCCAGTTGAATCAGGTAGTCTTCCGTAACATTTTCGGTTATCTATTTGTCTTATGACATATCTGCTCGAAAAGAGAAGAAACTCTTTATTAGATTAAGGGTATTTTAGTACACATTACGTTGAAAAAACATAGATCCATGTGTAAGTGCTTTTGATTGCAGATGGAAATATGTACAATGTTGCTTGGTTGATAATCAATAATGTTCTTGTAGAAGATCAAATCACCTGACAACGCAATACACTTATTTATGCGTACAGTTCACAATTATTTGCGGTCAGTTTTCAACAGTTTGTATGATACTCATCAACCAGTATAATTAAATTTGCAGACTAAAAACCCCTTATTTGATTAAGAGTAAAAAAAGTAAACAGTGCATGTCGGTTTTCAATTCCTGATGGATGCTATCGGCTCGAGCTTCACTTTAACAGAGAAATCTGCAATCGCTTACCTCAGCTCTATGTGTCCCATGCCGTAAGAAGCACAAGAAAAAAGTTGATGATAGTGAGTCTTGGCCGAGACAAGAAGAATCAGAGAAGAATCTACGGTCCCAAGAAACGCCACTTTTAAACAGGAGACAACTAAGGTAAATTGAATAAGGTGGTATTTGTTTTATTGAAAACTATGGTTCAGATTATAAGATACGCGAATTACTCTGCCCACCGATTTTTTCTTACATTCTGTTAATCAAAAATTTTAGTAATTATTAAGGCTTTCTTGTTAATCGTCTTAATAGTAACAGTTTCCAGGCTCCGAGGGGAGCAAAAGAGAGAACAATTTTCTGTGTAGTTAGGTAAGGCAACATGCCAGCTTTATACCTCATCCAGCGTGATAAAGATGATGATGACAACAATGGGTAAAAGCACCGTCTGCTAATAATGACGATTATCGTAGTTATAAACAAATCTCAGTTATAGTCCTGAAAAAAATCTCAGGGGGTCCTTTGAACCATCCACTTCATCTCGCCAGAAGTCAAAGTTGCCTACACTCATTCTAAGGTTCGAGCGATTTTACGAAGAATTTTCAATTCCGGTGTGTTGCGCGCGTGTGTTTCTATTGATAGAAAAAAACCTGCACGCGCCATAAGTTAAAAGAACGTGTCAGCTGAATGAATCAAATCTCTATCATTTTTCATACATTCTTGGGAACAGCAAAAATGACCTAGAACAAACATTCTAAGTATAGTGTTCATTCCGTGCAATGGGGCATAAATAAAGCGTTCTGGTTGAAAAGGCGTTTTATTTTATACCACTGACGACAAGCAAAAAGGTCATACGGGTACCCCGTTAAAAAATATATATTGATAACTCTGTTAATTAATACCAATTCTAATTTAAAGGAGAAAGTTATGAGAATAAAATAAAAGTTGTCTGTACCACGAAGCATGCCTCCACTGTTTAGACTGGGAGTCCTAAAGGTTTTTAAGCATGTGTTCGAATATCTTATGACGATAAGCCCGTCACCCACCCCACCCGCGTTATACTGTTTTCACTCAGCGGCTGGTCAGCGGTCACGTTCATGAGGTAAACATGGCGATCGCTTCCTGGTCACCGTTCTTGTCGATCAGAAAATCAAAATACCAGCGTGATATTGCCTCGAAGATGAAGCAGTTATGTTATTTGACTCGTACTTCACATTCGAGTCGAAGCTTGGGTGGCACAGGTTATTTCTTACGGTGGAATCGACGAGGAGAATTCGAACACTAGTTGTAGTGTTTGAATTGTTGGAAGAAGTGGTCGCATGGAATGTAGGAATAGTAAGTTTAACGAACAATTTCAATGAAAGTAAAGTTCATTTGAATTTCTTTCGTATGTTTTTTGACGGTTTTAGATCTACCTGCTTGATTTATATCTGCCACGCTTCATGTTGACAAGTCCCTCAAAATGGCGACCAAACTTGGAGACTGCCGAAAATTAGGTAAGTTCACGGAGTTATAAAGTTTTCGTAAAGGTCGGGCCGCAAAGTTTTTTTCTGTAGTTACCTTTTCCATGGCACCTACTTTCCTAGCTATGTTAGTTGGATCAGTTAAGAACGCCTCACTTTTTCAAAAATTTATCTTAAATTTGATCGGTTTTGGCGTGTGTGACTTAAGCGAACCGATAAGGTGTCATTCAAGTCTTCTTGTTTGCTTGATTGAAACGTGATGTTCACGAAAGTCGCCTCGATGGATAAGATAGAGTTAATATAAATGACTGTGGTATTTTTTTTTTTTTTTTTTTTTTTTTGAGTTCCGAATTTTTTTGTAAATTGTTCTCCAAAGTTGTCTCAAATTAACGTCTTGAAAAGTGTCACTACAAGCCTTCGAGTAAAATTTAATTTCCGTAAAACTCTGAAAAATAAAGAGATCCGATCAAACGGATTGTGGTTTTAGAATAGATACATGAATGAATGTCTTACAACACACAAGAAACGAGCGAAATCCGTGTCTCAAGCAAAATCGAGCGGACCGCTCATACAGAGACTCTCTTAATTAGAAACACATATTCCGTGCACATCTAGATATCAGCAATTTCGCTGCAATTCCTAGTTACGGCCATAGAATCAACCAGAACACTGGTGGCCAAATAATATTTGTCATTAATTCTAGAATAAAAGTTAGCGAAATTACAGAACGTTTAAATTTTGACAACCTTGATCCGTGGCGATCTTTTTTAAGGAAATAAAACTTAATATCAAATAAATTCTGTTTATTTTGTAACTTTCTCTGATATTAATCTGAATTCGTCTTTACATGGTCAGCATTTTACTTATCGTTTTTCCTGTCACGATTTATCAAATCTTCGAACAAATATTTTTATTCCAAACATCGTGATGAGAAATTATTAAGGGAATGGCACCACCACCGTGCAGACCAGCTTATCAACAGTGTTTTCAAAGTACTTTAGACACGTTTCCTAAATTTAAGCAACATTTTAGTTTACTCAAGAAAATTAGAAATTCATTTGACCTAATAGGGGACTCTGAAAATAATACATAGTCGAAACTCCTTCTTCTTTTTAGATGATTCTGGGGAGACTAATGATACTTTAGTTTTGCAAAACCATGCTCATTTAAAGATGAGGGCAAATGTGATTTTAAGATGAAGGGACCAGTTGAAGGGAAATTTGACAGTTTTCAGACAGCTGTACCAACAATATTATCAAGATAATTAAAAAACTCGTCTTCAATTATGGCAATCTGCGAGCCTACTCAGTAAATAAATACAGATACTGTTGAACTAATCTAAGATTTTGAAAATATTGCAAAATGAGAATTCTATTGCCTGATTGATCTTAAGGAGGTCTCCTAACATCTCATTTTCGTAGAGGAAAAATGGCTCTAAGCTGAAGGGATTAGTGGACGTAAAATGTGACAATAGGCAGACCGCTGTATCGATAAAATTTTGAAGATAGTTTAGAGACGTGTCTAAAATTTTGGCAAAATGTTAGTTTCCTCAGTATGTACAAATACTTTAAACTAATCTGTAATACTTAAAATGGTAATACACTGGAGGAAACCTACGAATGAGTCATAACAGACTTCCGTAACTATAGTTAAAATATTTCTAGATTAGCCGGATAATTTCTATAAGTCATGCTACATTCACGTGTAAGTGAAGCTGTAGTTGAAACTTTATTGTGCATCATATTCGATTATACAAGCTAGTGGCATGAGAAATTTCTGGTAGTCTGCCGTGATCAGCACAGTCTATTCCTCGTGACAAGAATAAAGGATCGTATTGAAATTTAATTCGACATTTTGAGGCGACAAGCTTTATCTGCAAGTTATAATCCGTGTGTTAAATATCAATGAGCGTTGTATGTTATCCGTCTAATAGTTATTTCAATAAACATCTTATTGAAAAATGGATCGAGTTGTGTTCTCCGTGAAGGCATTTATTTCTAAAAAACGACATTTCATAAATAAGGCGCTTGATGAACTATAGCCATGAAGCGAATCATTTCGCTTAGAAAGGTCGTTCGACATATACTTGTACTTAGTGAAAATTCTACTTTTTATCTCCTCGTGCGATGTTCGTAAATTTTCTCACAAAGTTACTGTACCATTACAAAGGAAAACGACGCCATTATTTTTTCATAATACGGGGTCGAAGCTTCATCTCCGTGCGTTTAAGTGAATAATAAAGTCCTTTGAATCCTTCCCAGCAAACTCCATCGGCGTATGAGGTATATGCCCCACCATGGTAGATGCCGTTGAGATTCGAATTATGGCAACGGTTGTACCACCATGCACCTTTGAACCTCAGAGCACAGTGATCATTGGGATTTTTGTCGTTTTCGTTATCTTTGGTCGAAAACTGCATCCCACTAGAAACATGAACGAGAGTAAGAAAAAGATCACATACATTAACCGTATGAGTCACCCTTTGTCATGGCTTTACCGCCGAAGATCTGTTGATCGAAATACGTCACGATCTCACCCACTAGTGTGTAGCCGTTAAAGAAGTTCAAAGAGTTGACTGACTCAGCTCATACCGCTTTATAACATAGCTAGTAAATTTGTTTAATCAAATTCAATTGCGCGAGCGTGCTTCATATTCCTATTGTGCACACTCATGACGTCAGCAAACATATCCTTCGAGAAAAAAATTTTCCATCGGGTTGAAAATGTTATAAAACAATTGGTTCATACGTTAGCTGTGCGTTCATCGAGATATGAAGCACTTGGGAAGTTAAGAGAGCACTCAAGAAGCTAGAGTTGTTTCGGCTACGCCTCGAGCAACTCTTACGCATCTTTCGTGCTCTCCAAACTTCCCGCGAGCTTCATATCTCGATGAACGCACGCTGACCTATGAATCAATTGTTAATTAAGCCTCGTTCAGATTTGATTTACCTTAGAGGTTGTTTCTCAAGCATGGAGTCACCAGCTGTGCCAGAATATCCTCCAATCAAAAGCCTGTACTTATCAGCCTCGTCTGCCACCTTAAAAGTAGTATACTCGGCGTAGGTAATGTTACCTTCAAAGTCTTCCAGGTCAACTCTCAGCATGACGTCATCAGAGTCTGTCAAATGATGAAGATTATCGTTTCCAAGCCAGAACTCACTATCAGGATTTCCAAAGCCGTATTTGTAAGGTTCCCATCCTAGAAAAAAATCTACAGAGCCGTCTAAACGTCTCTGAAAAACGGTCCAACCTCCACCATCCGTATTCATGTCACACAACACTTACACTGGTTTTCCGCCATCTGGGTTGATGATGTATAAGCCACTGGATTTCCAACCATGTCGAAGCAGTTCAGCGCAGCTGTTTGGCTCTATAGCTATGAAATGTTAAAAAAAAGCAAACAAACGAACGAATAAACATAGAAAGAAGCATACAAATAAATACACATAACGTAACCTAATTTTCCGAGTGACATGCACCGTACCGAGGATTGTAAAAGTTTGCCGAATAGTGAGGCACGCGACTCATGAACACAACTTTTCAATGGTTATTCTAAAGATGATCACGAGGATTGTAGTTTCTTCCGAATGCTTAAAAGGTATGTTCGAGACTCCTGTTTTACGCCTCTTTCCAGTGGTAGTCTCCACCAGCTACCACGATACGCCTGAAATTCAGGAGGGGGCTGGGGAGACTTTTCCTTAATCAGGAGGCCATCGGTTCAACATTTGTCTAAGCCATTTAGGTGATTTCTCGGAGTATTCCTGAGCTACTGCTGAAAATATTCCACAATCGTCTTTTGCTGTTTGAATTCCTAAATTATCAAGGCCAAACCATGCATACGACAACTCCAACACTAACCGCAAGTTGGTCCTCTGAAGCCACCTTTACATTTGCATCTTGCGCTGCCATCTTGATAGTTGGGGATACAGATTCCTTTTTCGCCGCAAATGGAACCACTTGTCTCACAAGAACTCTATATTTTGAAAGATGCCAACTTAATGCAAGTGCTAACAGATTTGAACGTTAAATTCTCAAATTCAAATAAGTTGAAATTTGCAAACAACCAAATTGTGTATTGTTTGCTACTAACATTTCGTTGGTGCTGCACTCAGCGTGCATCGGAAAACGTTTTTGTGCAAGAAAACAACAAACAGATGTTGGATGACTTTTTTTTTCAACTGAGTTGGTAATGTGAAGGGGCCAACTTAAATAAACTTGTGACCGCCAATTCACATTATCATCTTAGTTGATATAATTAAATTATCTTGTGATATCCCACCGTCACATCACAAAAGTTTCCTTAGAAACGTATCCGCCTTAAAAATTGAATATTGATTACTCAGGCAGCTCCGTAACTTGAATTGTTAAATTTTTTTCACAGAAGGAGTGATTTTTATCTTTAGATATTTAACCATCGATATGCTAATGTCTTTTAATGAAAGCTGAGTGTAAATGACTGTAATTGGTAAAGTATACATTGAATCAGAGAATTTTTTTTTTTTTAAAAAATTAATACTACCTGAAGAATTTACTTTCTATTGTAACCTATCTTTTTCTACGTTGTACCCAATTACACAATACCTGTATTCCCCTGTAGGAAAATTCGTCATCTTGAGAGAAATTATCCACTGCAGCAAATCGATCAGAGTCGCTTAGTTGACATTTGAATCTTTTCCCGTCTTCTGCCGGTCCAAAATTGTAAGACAGGCAACGGCTTTCATCTACACATTGCAGCTGGCAAGCATCTTCTGATTCCTCTTCTGTCTCCTTGATAACCCTCCCAAGAAGCTTACGTCCTGTAATCTCTGCCGCAAAGTTTACAGCACGTAAATCATTTGTTTTCATTCGACCAAGTCCTGATACCAACGTTACTGACAAAGCGATTAAGGGCCAGAACAAGAACATGTTATGTATTCGTTGAGTTGAATGTTGACACAAATTTCGACTTGTGCACTGTGAATCTCTCACTCCAATTCCTGGTCGACTCACATGATTTATTCATTGTTATGGTTTCAATAACAGTTGTTTCAACAGTCATGTATATGAAAAACACTTACCATTCTTTTCTAATTAACTCACAACGGTGTTCAAAGATTTGTCAAAAGTTAAACGTATGCGTGCTTGGTAAACACGCCCTCCCGTCGACATAAACTGTAACAAATGCATTTAAAGAAATATGCTTTTCGCGAGATCTCTCTTTAAAAAAAAGTTGGTCAGGTGGTTACCAATTGAACTTGAAAAGGTCCTGATCAATTTTTGCGTGTAATTGCTGGAATCCTTCATTATTCAATTGCTTCAAAATAATAGAATAGGTCAACAAAGACTGTTTTTGTTTGAATTTAAATATAATAGAGGATAGAAAGAGAAGCATTCAAAAATGTAACGTAAAATTTTTCAATTCTTTTCTTTCAACTAAAGCTTTGGGTTTGATTTTTTAACTAAGCGTTGGGATCGAAGGACATTATTTTTCAATCACCAAAGCTTGCATAGGACACAGAATCTTGTTATGTGGTTCATCGCAATTTCAAAGCAAACAAAAAATTTCGTATTGAACTCAAGGAAGAGTGAAAGCATCAGAATTATGTAACTGATTTTCTGTGTTCGTCCTTTCGTTTTTTGCTTAGTTTAGTTTTCGTGTTCTACTGGCTTTTGTTAATTAGTCTCAAATTGTGTACTTTGTCTCTTTTGTTTTTTTTCTTTTGATGGTTGAGAATAGATATGGTGCGTTTAGAATAGATGTGTGAATAGATGGGGTGAAACAAACTTTTCATCAAATATTTCGTTACTGCAAATTTACGCGGTCATCAAATGTCGCTTAAACATGGAAAAGACAAAAGGGAAGAAAGCTCTTTAAACGTCCTAATTTCCAAGCACAGTTCCCTATTTCGAGAATCTGGGGTTATTTCATGCAGCCACATGTTTGTTTTGCTTTAGGGAAAAATGATGAAGGTTGTTCCCATGCCAGCTGCTTAGAAAATTTTTGAAGGCGAAGCAGTGCACAGGAAAGAACCATTTGGATGACTAAGCGAAAAAAAAACACATCTAAGGCGGAATAAAGTTTTACAAAATGAGTCAGCCGATTTCTGGTTCACTAACAAGAGTAATCTGTCGCTCCTGTCCCGTTTTTAAGTTATAGAAATATTTATTTAGGTTAAGTGCTAAAACTTTACAAAGAAGAGGCACATTCTAAACTGATTTTGCGTCAGTAACACTTTTTAAGTGATCAAATTCTTTGAAGGAAACTCGTGCCCATCAAAAGGGTTAGTTCGTCAATACTCCGTTCGTTTTCAAGAGAAATTGCAAGAACATACGTAAGGAGAATCAAACATTTCATCGCTTCATCTGTCGGTCATCAAGCGACGTTTAAAGAAGCAAAAGGAAGAACGAAGGAACGAAAGACAACTTCTTTCACCTCCCACACACAGCGTCGGGATGCAGGCATAAATATATGCAGCTACGTTTCGCCAGGGAAAAACGGGAAAAAACTGCTTCCTATGCCAAGAGGTTAAAAAGCGTTTGACCGTGAATCAGCACAGAGATGAGGACCAATTATGCGCATGAGAAAAAGTTGCTTTTCCAGACTTTATTTTCACTACTGCTTATGTAGTGTTCATTACCACGAAAATCACTCTCACCTCATCCATATTGTTTAAGCCAATTTACCGTCTGAGTCAATCTCTATCCTGTTATAAGCTTGCATGAAAACAAGCATATTTATGAACATAATCTTTGACAATGATTATCAAGTAGATGGACCTTAGAGAACTAAGGCTACAACGTCACTTTCTTTAGTCGAAAAAGCCGCAAAAAAAATGAATTCGCATAACTGAGCAAAAGCAAAACACAAATAGACCACTAATTAAACTTCATGAAATGAGTCAGCTGATTTTTGGTTTATTGACGTGAGAAACCTCTCGCATCTATCACGTTTTAGGACATCGTATTGATCCTCTTGATCCTCTTGCTCTTTGCTCTTTGGAGACTCAAACTTCAGAAAGAAGACGTACATTTAAAGCTGATTTTGCGTCATTAACAATCGTTAAATTGTTATAAGAAAGACACGCATGCCAACCATATAAATCAAACAACATTTTTAAGGATAGGATTCTTCATTACTTCGTTTAGCTTCCAGGAAAAAGAATTGTATGTAAAGTTCAATTACCTTACAGGAATAAGACGGTAGTTTGATTCTTCTGAATGTTTTTGGCAACTTCCATATTTGTGACGAGTCAAACCATTACGCATATGAATTCCTTTAATTTTCATAATTCTAAATTAATTTGCGAAGCATTATTTAAGCTGTCAAATCTTGTGGTCAGCCTGACCACAAGACCGCACAACAAGGAAACACCTGCTTGGAGGAACATGACTTTTGGCACGTTCCAGTACCACATTACTTACGTGTTACTCTTATCCTCAATGAACTTAATCCACTTAAGCCTGCTGGCGTTTTTATTTCAAAATTGATGATGCACGAACCTAGTTTCTGTAAGAGGCGGAAAAGCTAATCCATTACAGTAGACACATCTAAGAATAATAGACAGCCGAGTCAAAGGATTCTGGTTGCGGAAAAAAAGGGTCATTAAAATGCTAATAATACACTCAAAAATACTTTATTCATCATAGAACCCCAAAAACCAGTCAGATGTTTTATTTGATAAGTCGGGATCACACCAAAACTGTAAAATCTTTTTCTCCTTAAAAAGTAGCAAAGCAACAATTAAATAGTGACAAGCTGGCAAGAAATATAACACACAAAAATTCTCATTAGGCTTATGGGTGACAAAAGTGTGACGCGTTTGTGGGGGAGTTAATGACATAAATTGAGCCAGATGAAAATTGGTTAACGAATTCAAAACTGCAATTGGTCAAGATCAGAGCATACGATAGCGATGCGGCGAAGTATTGTAGTAGCGTCGATTAATGAAATTTATGGCAGAGGAGGTACAAATTCCAACTACTGTCGTTTCAAAGGAAATTTGTGAATGGATGGTTTCTTTGTGGGTTATAATGTGTAATGTAACCACTGCCTTTGTATCTATTCCACTAATTGGCCACACCAACTGAATTCTATTCATCTGTTATTCCATTAAATTGTCTCAAACCCACGCAGACGCCTCATATCGATCTCTTTTAGGTGATATCCGGCCACAGAAAACTTGATCTTTAATCTTATTTCCATCAAATAGCTTTATACAAACAACAATATTGGTAATGAATCAGCATTGCTTTAAAACCATGGCACTGTTCCTGTAATCGTTGTTTGATAAAAAATCAATCTCTGATTCGCATGAAATAGCTGAAAAAGAAGTAATTCCTTAGATGATGATGACACGTGCAAAGGTTTCAATGTTGTTTCAGTCTGCATATAAAGGTTTTCAGGTTTAAGTTACCTTTGGTCTTGAACCACTTCAATAACACATTCCGTGTTAAGCCTTTCGTTTGCCACGTTTGCAGAAAGGCCGCAATTAATCTGAAGGCTTTTTTAACTAGATCGAGTAAAACCCTTTGTAAAAATCTAGATAGCTCACAGTTATTTACAAATCTGGTTATTAGAAATTTTGTTATTTACTCCGACGACTACAGCTCACCCTTTTTATGTCTTAGTTGGGTTTTTTTTAATTAGTATTATTTTCCTCTGTATTGTACGAAAATCAAATGGCGCGCGAAGAGTAATGGTAACATAGAGAAATTAAGACAATTCGTATCGTTCGGAACAAAATTTTGAGATAAATAATAGTCCATCCACGATGCAACTGCATTTAACAAAGTTTAACACAACTTAAGGACACCAATGAATTTGTAAAGGAGAACGAGGTATCAGAAGAGAGACAAATAAACTCAACCACTGATAGCCGCGCAAGAGTTGACGGTGGCGAGCGTAAAGTCTACTTCATATCCTGATTTAGCCCTGTCCCTGTACCATCTATTCCCGATAACTATTCCATTTCAAAGCAAACAAAATGACAATTGACATTGCTTAAAATGATTGTATCTCGAAGTTTATATTACTATTTTAAAGAATTTTGGTTTTTAAATGAGCTTTACGGGCGAGTTGGCAATTACGATGCACCTCATTTATCGTTTATCCGTCTCGAGTAGACACATCAACTCTGTTTTTTTAAATCACCAACTGCAGTGTCAAACAATTTTCACTATATGTTTAAGCCAGTTTGCTCTTGTTGGGGCTGAATAATGTGTTACAAGCTTCTGGTAATAGGAAATTAAAATTTCAAGCTCATATCGGCTTTATGGAGTGAAAATACTCTGTCATAAGCCTCTGATGACTTTAATTTTACTTAGTCAGCGATTTCAACCATATATAGCACTAATTCAAGTAAAAAATAAAAATATCCTCTTCCAAAAATGAACTCTTAACAAACTTTGATACGCAGGAATTATTACATTCATTTAAGTGGTTTCTTCTGTTCCTTGGAAAAGACCCCAAGTTAGTGGACCTCGTCTAGTTGCCAAAGGAGAAGGAAAATCTTTAAACCTTAGGTCCAAAGTAACTAAAAATATATTGTAAAAGATTAATATTGTTCAAAGTCAAATATTAATAATCATTACCATAAACAGTGGCCAAAGTACATAATAAGCAAATGTTAAAAAGCCCTCCCTTCCAAATAACTCACCGAATAAGAGGCTTCAAGAAAGTGAAGTAAAAGAACAGAGCACATTTAGCCATTTCAGTATTTCTTTATTACCGTGATCCTTCTGCCGTCAAGGCAAAGGGGTTTAACAAAATCACGCAGCAACGGCAACGAGAACGTCACTAAACATGAGGTTTACTTAGCAGAACAATAGCTGTGCACGTGCGTTCTAAATCTTTGTCAAATTTTTTGCGACCTCCGCAAAACAACAACACGACATGACCAACCTTCGCATTGAAAAAAACTGTGTTACATATTTGGTTTCGAGATAGTTTTGACGGCGAGAAACAAACTACATGACTTAATAGTATCGCGAGGATCGTAGATAAAACATAAGTTCATTTCTTAAACGACGTTGTCCAAATTAGTTCTATGTCAAACGTGTGTGAATTTACAACTTAAAAAAACGTTAATCCCTCGAAATTCTTAGAGGTGATTAAAAAATAATTCCAATGCTGTTCTAGAAGGAAGACGTTTCTAAATTACCGGGAACCGTAGCGCAATCTGCAATCTTGGAAAAGGGAAGTGATTGGTTTTTCGTGGAGGAAACTTAGCCTTTTGCATGGAATGATCCCTGATCAAGACTACATCGAGCTCCATTCCCTCTCAAATGAATTTGCCAAAACGTTTTTACAAATTACAAAGAGGATGCTTAAAAAAACATCCAGAATTATGAGAAATATAACATTCCATTCGATTTCTTTCTGATAAAATTATCGCCAAGATTCTACCAGAAAGTTTTGCTTTTTGCGATAAATCCATGAACGATCCGGATTGATGCAGTTGCCGGTAAACCAATATCGTCAGCTGATCTAAATGATCAAAGTTCTACGTCCTCTGACTAAGGGTCAATAAACACGACAAAACTTGTTCACAAAATAATGGACAGTTTCCATTCATATTGTGCAGAAGCCTGTTTGCTTATGAGACCAAGACTCGAATACGTAGCTTTCCCATCAAGCTTAAACATCGCGATGATGTCTCTGAAAGAGTCATTTACTCTTTGGAAATTGCAATAGTACTCTACGATTATATGTGAACAGTATCAGTCAGGTGCATGTTTGGATGATTGGTTGCGCGTGAATCCCAGATACCCGCTGGAATCAAAACCGTGACGATGACGAAATTTGTCTTTGCAGCGTACATTTGGAAGGAACCATTTGCAATAAAACTGGAATAAATGTTTGACAGCTTTACATGTTGCTTGAAAGTTAATTTTAAGGATTTCTGTTTTTGATTTTAAAACTAATAAAGAATAAATGAACTAAGAAATGCACTTGTGATAGGCTCTTAAAGGTTGTCAATCATTTTAAGCAATGATTGATTTAGGAAAACAAGAATCCCAGCCCTCAGAAGCGGGGTAGAATTTTTGTTTAGAACCAACAACTCACTGAATAACACAAATTATATCTCTCTTAGTATTTCGTAAAATTGTACAGTGAAAATGAATGATTTAAGACAAATATTGCCATTCTTACATCTGAATTATTAATCGTGCAAATCGAGACCAATAACTTTCCGTAATTCTTTTATTTGTTACTTTTAATGAGGTTATTATTGAAATCACTGGTCTAAATATTAGATGATTTTTTTAACTGGCGTGAAGATGATGAAGCAGTTTATTTCTAGGTTTTTTGACGAATACACAGTCATACTGATTAATCATACCGTCACATTTATTGATATTTAAACTTTTGCCATCGTACCAGCCTCTCAAGGCAGAAAATTGTTTTCTTCGTAGCAAGTAGTATTTCTTTTAATTCCTAGGCTTTGGACGGATAATGAAAGTAACGTATGAACTAACTCTCTTTCCTTTAAGGACAATAGAATTTACAAATCTTAGATTAATTATTTCTACAGGAAAACCGTAATGCCTATTCAAATGTAAATGAAGCTGCAAACAGTGACTAAGCGAATCTCTCATAAGTGATCAGTAGGTCAGGCATAACAGAGATTACGTAGAAGTTTTCATTAACTGGGCCCCTTTTGGGGCTTGAAATACAAAAAAGACCCAACAAAACATCAAAAACGTTGTCAGATAACTTGAAAATAGGAAAACAACCTACCAAAACAGAAGGGAAAAAGCTCTAATATTTTATAGATCGAACAAGTAATTCTAACTAGTTTTTCTGTTTAGTATAAACGTTTTACATTTCCGTTGCCTCAAACGGCGAAGGAAAATGAAATTGGTTAATGAAATCTCTTTCCTCTATATATCGATCGCATTCAAACCGGTTTTAATTCTCTTAAGCCCGATTACAGTGGCAATCTCGAACAATCCAATGTAATGCAGGGGTCATTCCCTCCAAGGGGAAAACTCAACTTTACAAATTCTAGCGAGGAAAAACGACCATCCGTTGGAAATGTTGCATTTTTATCATTTTCTCTTAAACAAAATAAACATACAAAATCCACTTCATTACGAGAAAGGATGTAACGGTAACAATGATTCAGTAGAAAGGAGACGAGTAACGATATCTAATTGCATGAGTCAGGAATTTTTCAGCCAATGCCATTTTAAAAAGGTCTTTATTAACTTTGAAATTAGAAATTTAGAAACCTGACCATTTGACACACCTTAAGTTTTAATTCCAAATTTTTTCCAATCAGCTTTTTAAGATTTTTTATGATTTCCTATTGAATTAAAAGAAAGATAACTTTTTTATATTTCTGTTTTGATGTGATAAACAGGGATCAATATAAAGAAGCTTTCCCTTTAATCCAAGTGAATGGCTCAATAAGGTTGACTTTCAGGGGGAGAGAAAGGGGTCTGTTTCATTTGTTTTATCCTCTAGTTTTTCTCATTTTTCTTACTCCTAAAGGGAGATTAGTCATGTGTTATTTTTCTTTTAGAAAATACTATGAAGCTTTTGTGGTTTTAGAGTTTGAGGTTGTGAGTGAAGTATTTTCCCAGGCTTTAGAGTAATAATTTCTGCCAAAATATACGCTACAAATATTAGAAATGTTTTTCAAATAAAGATTTCAAATTAAGAAAAAAAACCAATCAGGGATAGACTTATCCCCCAAGACTCTCACGAAAAGAAGCAAATTAAAGCAGTGAGATGAAAAGAATTTCAATCAAACTTCGGATTCCCGAACCTATGACGTCAATGTACTCGGCAGAAATATTTCCTGACTGGCCCACTCAAATAATTAAAGCATCGAAAATTAACTTTTGCACGAGCCTCATGTTAGAAATCTCAGTGAGGCCATGAATTTTCATTTCATTTAACGGTTTCTTCTTGTGTTCTTTACTTAACATTTGGCGTCATAAGCGCCACTCAGCGCCACTCAGCAAGGGCCACGCACCAAGGAGATGTTTACTAACACAGAACACGTGAATTCGAAACTACAAAGATATGCAATCTATGTTCTAAAAGCGATTCAATTAAAATAACACATTTTTATTTGCGAAAATGATGAGAAAAGTCCAACCCAAAGAACCAAAAAGTTGCCTGTTCAACTACAGCCCACGCAATTTAATGTTTCAATTTGTAGCTTTCAATGAAATTTTTAGCGCTAGGAGTGAAATCCGAGGAATATCACCGAAATCATGCAAAATGTCATGAACAGTACGCTAAAAATAAGTCATTTGTTTGATTCATTGCTTAATATTGTATTTCAGAATGGATAAAATATCGAAGAAGACCCAAGAAATCTAAAATGGTCCTACTTGACCGCAAAGTAGCTTGCCCTCGGCACATTCTCATGAGCGAATGCCATTCCAGGAAACATATATATCTCAGACTTGTCACTACGAGTCTAATTTGGTCCTGAATCGATTATTATCCACTTCATAATCAGACAGGAAATTCAAAAAAAAAAAAAAAAGCTTAAATTGGCTTTTGCTCAACTATCAAAGTGTACGCTCAGAGTTATTTTCTTAATGCTTGATAAACCGCGTAGAATAATAAATACCCCACAATATGAGCAGTCGCCCGTTTATAGTTGAAAGTATGGCAGATGGTTGTATAGATTACCCAGAAAAGTTATCCGTTCCCCAAGATTTATTGAACTTGCCGCAAAAATGATAAAGGCGTGCGCAATTAGACATTAATGAAGCATTTGCGTGTTAGCAGTTAGAATACTTCTGTCATATGACGTAACGCTCGAACAGGAAATAGGGATCACTAAAGCGCGCGTGGCACAAAAGATCCATTTATGGTTGTGTGGGGCTTGTTCCGGTTCGTTTTTACTTTAAATACTCTTTTACTTTCTCAGTATAGAAATCAAAAATGAAAAAAAGAAAACAAACGCTTTTGACGGTCTAAAGTAAAAAGCAAAAAACGTGTTTGGCGTAAACAACACAATATTTTATGCATCAAGAATTCTTTTGTGAAAAATTAGTGTAGACAAGTAATCTTAAGTACGACCAGCGTATTCAGATAATGCCCAATCGCCCAGCTCAAAAGATGGAAATTCATTCGATCTTTTTGCTTCTTCCTTTTAAAAATCTTGCCTTTACCGAAATTCGACCCCAGGTCAACAACTCTGATTATTCTCCCGTAATTCGTGGAGGGTCCGTTTTTGATATTTGTGTACTCCAAGAATGGATTCCTTTTTTGTTTTTCAATCACGCACTTAGTATGCAAATTGGTTCGTAGTGACGCATACACCCACGCCGCTCGTGACGATAACATAAAGGACGACAACAGTAATTTTTCGAAATCATTTGGAGGCTCACGCCATGGCGGACAAAACTATTCTGACTGCGAATGTAAGTGGGACTGTCGATCCAAAAGATGGTGGCAAGGATCCAGAGGTAAACTGCTCACAATTCCTTTCCAAAATATTTGACATCGCGACATTGAAATAGAAATTCCGATAGACTTGATGATAGTTTACGAAACAATGTGTGTTTTAAGTAGTGTATCTGTTAGTAGAGTTATTTGTGGAAAAGCTATCATCGTTAAGCCATAAAAAGGTTATTTTAATCGTGTTCAGCATTTGAAAATGGCGAAGAATACGGAGATTTACGCATCAGTTATCTCGTTACGGTGAATATCAGAAATCTTTCATACCTGAGGGTTTAGTATGCGGCAATTTTTCATTTAGGAAGTCGCTCCGGAAAGAGGGAAAATGCTAGAAAACTAACAATTCTGCGTCAAAATACTTCCTTGTATTTTGAAAGGGAACATGTATGGAATGATGAGTTACAATGATTCGCAGAAAGCGGGAAGGATTTGAAAATGTTCGAACATTTTGGGGTAATTTGGTACGCCTGCAGTTCAAATGAAACGATACATGATGTGCTAGGTTAATAATCTCCATAATTATTTTTAAAAAGTTGTACTTCTTGCCCTTTTTGCTTACAAATAGCGGTGTTTTACCGTAACCGTGTGGTATCACTGCTAGCTCATGCTCCAGAGCGTAGATCGCTATTCACAAGGTGCTGGTTGATTACTAATTACTTATCAGTAAGTCCGTCACTAATTTGCTCCAACTTAGATACGAAGCGCTATGATTTACACACTGCGTGAAAGAACAAGGCTGATTTTAAAAAAATAAGATTTGCAATCATTAGTGAACCACGAGCTCTGTGAAAGGGATACTAGTATGCAAATAAGTACACGTACTCAAGAGGATTCAATCTAGGTCTGGTTTCTTGTTTTTGCAGGCCTATAAAATTACTGTCGTTTTCTGCGACGGTACCAAGACGGTTTTACGAAAGAAATACGAAGAATTTGTCGACTTGCAAGTAAGTTTCATGATTTTTTGTTACCGGCCCACACACAAACAAACTAACAAAAGCCTCTTCAGTAGCATTGTTCACCCAAACCGTTAAACGTAAATCTTATCAAAAAGGATAAAATTTGCATAGGTATTTGAAGCGAGACGATAATACTGTCTTTCTTTCTGGCCAAAAATTTAAATAAAAAAAATCCAAAAAAAACAATCTTATTTCAGTGACAGCGGAAGACTATATTGTTTTTCTTTCAAGCCAAAGAATTAATTAAAAAGAAAAACAGGAAAACAGTAAAACGCAATCTTATTTGGTTAAAAACCGCACATCCGTATTCATTGCGAATGAATACGTGGCAGTATTTTTGGATTTTTCCTTGTTAAACTGATAATGTTTGAGCACAAAGGCGTTCATTCATTTTCCTTTAGATACAGGGAATAAACAACAAATCGAAGCCGTTTGAGAGACAGCTTTTGCTTTGCTTTCTCGCAAAATAAATCTAACAAATAGTCACAAAAACCAGAATCAATCGATATTGACGTTTGGCCCGTAAACAAACCCCACTAAACACAATACAAACTTCTGATACTTCAGGATTTTATCGATAGGTTAAGGTGTACGAGTTGCTAAAAAAGAAAGGTGGCTACTCCAGGAAAACATCGAGGACTCTCGTTTCTAGCTTGCCAGGTGTGTATTGGTAACAAATTGGTTTTTATCATCCAACGAGTGCCTTCCTAAAGTCTATGGGTTATTTTCCTTACCTTGCGGATAACAGAAATTTTAACCAATCAAAATATTTTGCGTTACAGAAAACAACTCAGCACTGTCCAGAATTCTTTTTAAGGATGATAATTTGAAGAAGATGGGAAGAATAGACGAGTTTATGAAGGTAATATTTCTAATCATCAATTTATAAATGTGGCTTATTTTCACCATGACTAAACTTGACACGAAAATCACACAGCCAAGTCCAATGTTTTACGGTCCTTTTTCCTTTTCTCTTAGGAGCTATTAACCCTTCCAACATCTGTGAGAGATTCAGAGGCTATAAAGACTTTTTTTGGTTTCTTCGACGAGCAACAAGGAAAAGCAAACAGGCGAGTACCTCTGTACTGTGAAGCATGAGGTTGGGACGTTGAGAGATAACTATGGATCTTATGTATTGCAGATCCCGTGAGGAAGAACTGAAGAAGGTGACCAAAGTTGCTGAAATACTTAGCGGTAAGGATAATAACAAACTTCCATGGTCATTTAAGCAACGACTCTTTCACAACACATCTACAATCGTAAGGGCATTGGCAACCAATCTGTCGCCCTAAAAGAATAAGATCAGCGATATTACTTCTAGTAGAGTAATGGATACCACTCCATAACTTCATGAATTTTTCAAAGGAAATCCATTCTGATATTTGCAGGAAGAGATCCACTTAGGAATCTGCCCAATCAAAGTCCAGTAACAAAGCGAAAATCAAATCACGATTCCACTTGGATGCCAGAGGATTTGAGTATGCTTAGTGAAGAGGCGAGAGCTCATCTTTATCAAAAGCTGAACAGACTTAGCGAGAGGCGTCCAAGCAAAGAGATTCCATCTCTACCCGGCGGTAAAATAAGAGCAGTCTCCGTTGATGATGACATTCTGGTGAGGCCGAAAGGATCTCCAAGACCAGGCCTGACTAGGAGGCCAATCAGCGTCCCGGTGGGATTAGCCAGTATGGTTAGGGAAAGCGATGAGTTAAAGGAAAACCGTCCAAGCACTCCCAAACTTTTAAAAGGTAAAGTTCCTTCGTTACAAACTCTCAATGAATTGAACAGGCAAGACTCTGGAAGCGAAAGCAGCATCTCAGCACTAACGGACACGTCAGCCATTGACTCTGAGTTTTCCGAAGTAGACGAGCCACGCTCAAGAAAGATATCAACCCAATCTAGTGTGAGGAGTATTCAAGGTAGGACAAGCCCAAGCAAGAAAAAGTATGTTGCTACCTCAGCATTCATTGCAGAAGGAACTGGTGAAGTTTCCCTGGAGGAGGGTGAAGAAGTCGAGGTCCTGCAGAAAGAATCCAGTGGTTGGTGGTATATAAAAAATGACTTTTGTGAAGGATGGGCACCAGAGGCATTTCTTGCACCATCTCAAGGATCAAGGTCTTCATCTCCTGGGTCCCAGGTTCCACCCCAGAGTTTGGGAAGCCAAGATCAATCAAGTGAAATAAGGTCGAGGATGGAATCGCTTTCAGAGAGCCCGTATATAAAAGAGGAGGAAGTTGATCCCCAAACAAAAGTGAAGGTAAGTAAGCGTCGAACTGATGAATTTGACACTTTTTTGGCTTTTTCAGATCTGTTCAATCTTTCTAGGGTAAACATATGCTTGTATAACTAAATGGAGAAACGAATATCCTCGTGTGATTTTTGTCAAAGTTTAATTTCCATGTTAGATCCTTTTTCTCTCTCGTTCAGTGAGAATAAATGTTGTTTGAAAATTGCAAGCTTAGGAACCTTTTTACTGAGCAGAAATGTTTCCTGATACAAACGACATCAAAGAGAGTAAAAGTAACTGAGTCGTCAATGATCACGCAGGATGCACGTGTTCAGCTTCAAGCTTCATTGTCTATTTTCAATGAAAGACAAAAGCCTAAATATTGTACATGATTATCGATCCATAAATAACAGGACTTTGAAGTCATAATATAGGAATTCAATGGCTAACATAGCGAAAGGACAAACAACTAATGTATGTTAAAGCTTTTGTGATTAAAGAATTGTAAAGCATTTTAGCAGCAGCTCCATAGCTCTTGAGAGATGCTTAATTCACGCTAAATTTCTCACTGGTAGTAGTTAGATGATGCCCTCAAGAAAAACCTTCACTAGGATGCGTTCGAAGGTTAATCAAGTCGAACAAAGAAGTTCCTAAGAAGTAGCAACGGTCACGGTGCCCGAGAATTAAACAAATAAACAAACCAAAAACAAGTCAAAAAACGTGGTCTTAGATTACCTAATAGCATTGACGCCATTTCCTTATCACATGAAGTGACGCTGTACAATGATGGTGCAGTCGACACTGATATTAAAGAACTCTCCTTTTTCCTTTTCCTAGTCCTTGGAACGTCACGTGGAAAGAGGTTCTCAAAAGAAGCAGATAGAAATGAATCGACGACCCAAGTTTCTCACTATTGAGGGAATACAGAAGCGAAAAAACCCAGACAAAAACTACGTAAGTGTTTTGGTCTTTTCTTTTCAGCTGGATTTGTTATTTTTAATCTTTGATTTACCAAGAATTATCAATGAGTCCGCAAGGATCCTAAAGTAGGCCGGTCGGGACTCAATGATAAGTAACAATTCGCACGATTTGGTTGTTATTAGTGGCCAGATGTCAAACTGTGTAAGGTGAAGTTAAGGAAGGAAGTAATTTGATCCATGTGGAAACTTCATTTAACTACAAATAACCTTCCGAAAATCTTACTCTGGTTTCAACTTGTGTTTCACTAAAGATGACGTACTCCAATAATTTCCACTGTTAAGCACAGTATCAAATTGAATATCTCGAATTTCTCATATTTTGCATTTCTCAACTGTTAATTGCATAGCTGTTAAATAAGAATACTACATTGACAAACTTTCCAGGATTTTACAATTCAAACATTTCTTACTTTCAACGATAAAACCATCTCGCGTGCAAAAAATTTTGTCGATGACGACTAATTGGCAAAAAGCCTCAGCCTCAGTAATGCTCAAAAACAATGACATGACATGAAAATCAATATAGATGTGGCTTTAGCGGTAACACTAGAACATCGTCAATTTCTTTTTTTTCCTCCATTTACGAGGGAAACGAATAAAAATAGTAACACGGCGTGTCTGCGCGCTTTCCTTGTCAGGTTTACATCCTCAAAGTGGTTTGGTCAGACGGAAACATCAATATCATCTACAGAACTTGCAGCGATTTTTTCTTTCTTCAGGTAAGGCAAGAGAAGATTAGGACACCCTTACAAATCTGAGTTTTTTTTTTGTTTTCATTGATACGGCTTATCTTTCATTGTTAGTGTAAGCCAATGAAGATATTGCCTCTCTGCGGGCTCTCAGAAACAAAAGCTTTACGCAAATCACTTTGTGGTTTGACAAACAAAGGGCATACCAATATAACAACTACACCGTTAAATTCTTTTGATGCCTTGCTATAAAACAAATTAATTTCGTTGGAATATTGCCATGTCATCACACATGAGCCATCAATTCGACGTCAAATACATCGGTTAGCGTAGCAGGTGATAACTAGCATGATGGACACGCCAGATGAGCGCGTGGGTCAGCCTAGGGGTCTATACGGCAATTTAATTCTAGTAACATTCCAGCGAAAAATCTTCTTTTTTAACTCATTCGCAATCATCTAAAGACAAAAGAGTGAACAAGCCATTCAGTACTTATTTGTTTGTTTGAGATAAAGGAGTTGATATCTGCCATATTTTCAAAAAAGCCTCACATAGCAAGAAATAAAAGATATCGAATCGTGCATCAAGTCTTATTTGTATTTGTTTTATGACACTTATCAAGATCGGCTTTCCAGTTTATCGATCTACAGGGGGCTATTACCTGCAAATAGGATTTTTCATAACTTTTGTAATTCAATACTCCATGTTCTGCTTTGAATTGTCTTAGGAAAATCTCAGAAAGGAATGTCCGAGTGCCATTGGAAAGGAGATTCCTGCTTTGAAAGGTAAAACCTTACAAAAATCAACTACTATTTTTTGTGGTAATCAGAGAAACAAAGATCGTAGTGCCACAAAACAGCATTTTAAATCCAGGAAGAATATTAAGTAATGTCATCTATTCCCTAATGATTCAGAATAGGACAAAAAAATGTTTAAAAATGGGGATAGGTTTTACACGGAACATGTCAGGATGCAAAAGAATTGCGTGCGTGAGATCCAAGAATTATGGCGGGTCTGCTATGAAGCAAGCACAAACAATACGCCCCTTGCACCATAACTGGAGTGTTAATATGTATAAAATGTTTTGTTTCTTCTTTTCTATGTTTTGCAGGAAGAAAATTCACGGAGAACTGCCAGTTCTGCTTCAAGGATGGAACATGCAAGAGACAAAAATTTATGAACCAGTTTTGCCATGTAAGTTTAAAAGATATTCATGGCGATAATCCTTATCTTCTGAAAGACCTTTCCCCCTAAACAAGCACTGGATTGTTATAATGATTTTTGTCTTACTCTCTCTTAGGAACTGGTCAATGCACCTGACCACATCTCTAGAAGCAACATTGTCATGAATTTTTGCAGGTCTCGACCCAGCGATGTTCTTCCTCATGGAGAGTAAGTAATTTTTTTGTTTCTTCTGGTTGAATAATTTTTTTATAGTTGCGCGAAAAAAACTCACTTGACAGATTTCTTTGATCACAAAATAGATCTGTCGATATAGTTTTTCATTTGAAATTTTCGCCAGATCACTTCATTGATAACTAACATTTATTCTACTTTTATTTGCTATTAGAGTTGGAAAGAAGGATGGAAAGTCCTCGGGCGGTGAGTGAAATCAACGAACGCAAATTTGTCAGAAATACGAAATCATTTGATGTAAAACTAAACCACGTCTTCCCAAATTTTTTCAGATGATGATGAGAACGTACAGATCTCTGGTCCAGTAGTTTTTGAGCAATATGAAGTAATATGCGATTACAAGAAGAAGAACAAGAATGACATTTCCCTGACAGCTGGAGATGTTGTTGACGTAATTGAGAAGAATGATTATGGTACGTATTCTGGAATTTCACAGCTTTATCTAGCCCGTTATCGTCCTCGTTTTGGTGAATATTCTTTTAACCACTCTTGGAACCTTTTTTCAAATCACAAGGGAACTTAATATCAATTTTGCATTCTCTTCTTTTTTCCCAACGTTCTTAACCAGCCTCTAACGTGTTCTCCATCATCTTCTTCTCTAACAGTTCAATTTTTTATCTTTTTTCGTCAAGGCTGGTGGCTTGTTGATCGTGATGGAGAGTTAGGATGGGCTCCTGCATCTCATCTTGAGCCTACAGATGATGGGGCAGAGGTTACTTCAGCGAAACACTTTGCACCAGGAAAAGGTACGTTTAAATAGTTGGAATAGATTTGAAATTTAGCTAGTGAAGTTGTAGTCTGTAGTTCCCTTGCCAATTACTTTTTCAAGAACTTCCTGCACTAAAAGAACAACGATTAGAGTTACCTCTTCAGCTATTCAAAATGTTGTAATGACATTTTAAATGCGTAAAATTAAACTTTCTTTTATATAATGTGCATAACTGGAGGATTGTAGAGGATTTCAGAGATCTCGATATGCTCATAGAGTCATTAGGTGCCAGCTATGATCCACACCATAAACGATATAGTAGCACAGGTAAACCTAGCTCAAACTCCGGCCAAACGATCCACGACTATTTAGCTGCCTCTTCCATGGAGCACGTGTTTGATCGATTTGCCAACACATGTTTTGTACATCAAATGAGATGTTAATCAGGAGTTGCAATAACTTTAAAAAGGGACAATGAAAAAGGTAAAAATCCTAAGTTGATATATATTTTTCTGTTCAACAGAGGAGATCTACGTGTCAATTAAAAGCTATCAAGCTACAGCTGAGGATGAACTGTCTTTTGATGCTGACGTTATGTTAAAGGTGGTTGAGAAGACTCTGGATGGATGGTGGCTCGTAAGGTATTACTCGAATAAGAATCACTGAAGCTCCTCTTTGAGCTCGGACATTTTATTATTTTTGTAATTTTAAACGTTAGTAGAGCGAGTGATGAATTCTCCATTATTTAATTTTTGTTGCTAGGTATCAGGGTGAGGAAGGATGGGCACCTGCCATGCATCTAAAAAGGGTGAATTCAGACGATTCAGCGAATGCGGAAGACAGCACTTTGGATCAATTAAACATCGGCTCCTACGATGAAGGTATAGTTCAACAATTAAGTGTTTTTTTCTTTAAGGTATCTTTCACGTGAAAGATGATTTAATTTTTCAAAACGTCGTCGTAGAAAGAAATATATTTTTAGGCTCCCTGGCCTGATGTAACATTTTTCATTCATTAGCATACCGTTTCCGGAAGACGAAAGTCTCAGAATAAATGCGAAAACCTTTCATCAGAACTTAATAAATCTGATGGTATTTTCATTTATTTATGATAGAGCCTGCCAATGATGAAAGCCCGCGAATTCCTCGCACCGCTCCTACTCGCCGAAGTCAAGTAAGTCAGGCTTAAGATGACTCCTGTTGACTCATAGCCTCTTTAATGATTAATTTTATTATCATTACTTCAACTTTGCTGCTAATAAAGAGCCTCACAGTTCCATAAATGAGAGAAGCAGTAGAAAACTGAGAATGTCTGCGTTTAGCTTTATAAGGAAATAACATCTCAGACTCCGTCACCACGTTTGCCCTCATGAAAAATATTTCCGACCTACCCAGACAATCATGAGATGAACAGTAAATAAAAGTTTGTTAAATTGCTCGTCCATAACTGTGCCCTTCAAAGAAGGTATCTCTATTTAAACACAAAAAAAGTCAAGGCAAAAAAGAAAGACGAGTTTTCAGTTTAAGAAAATAATGTTTACGAAGTATAAGCAAATAAGAGCTTATAGAGGAATCTAATTCCCTTATTTTTACTATATTTTGCAGGTCCAAAAAACGGGGCGAATTAGACAGAAGAGAAACTCCCATGAGCTTAATGGAGTCCCAGAGGAAAAGGACAGTGAAGAAAAATCCACAGAAGAAACACCATCACTGCCAGTACAAGTGAGTACACCTTCTCTGGCCAAAAGGATTTCGGGAAATAACTTGCCTCTACCAAGATCACCCTCACGACCACTGTCCAGCGAGCTTTCCCATGGAGACGTGGCTCGCCAGTTCTCCATGTCAAGCAGTGGGTACGAAAGTTCTCCAACTGGCAGCCTTACCTCCCTCGTATCTGACGTTTTTCCCGAGGATGTTTCGCCTAGGGGAATGAAGAAGTGCGCAACACTACCACAGTTTGACCACATTCAGGCTCAGATTGCGACCACGCAAAACTCTCCGGAGATTCCACGTTCACGATCTGTAACGTCTATGGCACAATACAAGAAGGAATTAGAGTTGAGTCTCAATGGTGTCCAATCACGAGTCAGAAAGCCCAGCTCAGGAAGAAGCAGCCCTGTTCCCACCCAGAGAAAGATTTCTGCATCCAATAGACTGAGTCCACTAGCTACTTCACCCTCCAGAAGTCGGGAGTTTGGTGCTGCATCACCTCAAAAGTTGTTGTCACCGAGAGACCCGGTGTCTATGGTTGACGATGACAACTATCAAAGCAGCGGTTCTGATTACAACAATGGGGATCAAATCGAATCAAGGATGTATAAAGTTATTTATACATACATTGCTCAAGAAGATGGTGAGGTCAGCCTTATCGAAGGAGATGATGTTGAAGTAATTCAAGCGAGCGAAAATGGTTGGTGGCTCGTTCGAACCTCCGAAGAACTTGGTTGGGGACCTTCAAATTTTCTACAAGTGATGACTTGTTAAGCTCTTGCTTTACAAGAAGAGAAAAAATGAACAGGAAGTGAACTTTTCTAGCAAATAGGCCACACGCACATACGGTCGTAAAAAACTATTACTGGGTAGATGTAAAACACCTGTGCTTTTTGCTGGAACCTGAGTGTGTAATATTGCAAAATGCTCATCGCCATACCAAAAGTGAATAAGTCCTTTTCAGTTGATCTTGACCAAGAGAGAAGTGGAGGAAATAAGGCGCAAGTTTTAAACGCAGTTTTTCCTGACCAATACCATAATTTTCTCATTGCCTATTATTCCAATTGGCGTGTCTATTCCGAATCTGACTCTTCTTCTAAAAAATTTATAAATCGTGCCACTACTTTAAAAGAGTATTCAAAGGTACTTCGTAAAAGATATCAGTAAACATGAAAAATGTGCGTGTTACATTTTCCTTTGATACAGTTAATACGGAAAAAAAAAACATTTCGAAAAGATTTTTTTGCTTATTTATTCTTCACGGATCACAGCTAAAGCGATAAATGATGAGCGAAGACTAGTGTTAAACTGTAGATTACGTTATTATTAACCTAAGGAGCCAGTTGATCTTATCACTTGCTTATAGCGAGCGCGTCTTACGAAAACATTGTGAAATAAAACCAGTAGAGCAGAAATACTGTTAAGTAAAGATTGTACAAAACATAAGGCTTACATACTTTATTATTTTGACAAAACAAGCTTAATTGTACGCTTTTATAAAAATATTACTCACGGTAATTAAAAAAAAAATAAAAATTCTTGTAACTGTTGTAAGTTTTTTTAATAAAATGACATTGTATTATGAAGGAAGCTACCATGATCCTTACTAATCAACTTCATTCGTATAAAATTTAAGTACTTTAATATCAGTTTTTGATAAGCGAAAAACTGAAATTTTTATATGAAACAAATGCCATCATTGGCAAAATGCCTTATGCGCTAGCAACTGTTATGCTCGCCTCACAAGTACAAAGAAAATTACTTGTCCTTTATTCCGTCCTCTTATGAGAAAAAGAACAGTGAACAAACTGAAAAATATCTGCGAGAAAGGTTAAAGATAACAACGATAATGAATCCCCATTATACACTGTATTCGAAAAGTACTTGTTCACTAATCAGTGAAATTATTTCAGCTTACTGAGTTAACATCATTGAATTGAAACTTACACTTTGGTAGACATTAACAATGACTTAGGAATCGACTGTCGATTCACCAGAGGGAATCTTGCCGAACGATCTATTTATTATCTAGCCGACTACAGACTGTCCCTCAAGAAAATATCTCAAAAATTGAAAAAAAAAATTCAAAGGGTATCATAATCGAAAGAAAGGTTCTAACATAAGAACAGTCCGCTATTCATAATTAGTCTTTTGCCAAAGTCTCTTCGTATGTAAAAGATATACCAATGTTAGGCCTTACGAGGCAGTTCAATTTTTCAGTCTGACATTTCAACGAGAGAATTCGATATCTTCATCATCGTTGAACTCTTCCAAGTAATTTGAAGGTGCCCAACCTATCTCGCCTTCCTCATTTCGTACACACCACCATCCGTTTTCATTCTTTTGCAATATGCGTAAATATTCTCCACTCTGTAGGTCTATCTCTTGGCTATCATGATCTGCTTTGTAATCATCAACGGCACGACAAGACATCTGAAGCGTGCCTTCTTCTTCTTCTTCTTCTTCTTCAAAATCTTCTTCTTGCAAAGTGCGTTCTGTTTCTCCCCAGACTTGAGGAGCAGGACAAAGTAGGCTAGACGATAACCAGCCTTTCATTCCTGCTTCGTTCTTGACCAACCAGAATCCTGTAGATGCTTTATCTAAAACTCGGACATACTCACCTTTGGAGAGGCTCATTTCATCGTCAACTTCGTAGTCCTCAATCGCACGATAGATGTTAGATGAAAGGTCATCTTCATCTCCTGGAACGTTTACTTCGATTTCAAAGCTTTCTGTGGAGCGAAAGCTACCATTAAGGCTCATTTTCTCATCGTAGTCAAGAACCTCTTCTGTTTCTTCTCCTTTAGCGCTTAGCTGTCCTGTTTCATCAACAACAATTGCAGGGGAGTGGCTTGTTTTAGCATGCAGAACCACTTTGCTGAGCGACATTTGCGCCAGCTCGGGATCTGATTCGTCGTCACTCGAGCTCAAATTCTGAATTTCCTCATTAAGTTCGACTGACTTCTCTTTCTCTATCCCCCCTTGCCGGATGAGTTTCCCACTAGGCGAAGGAGGGAGCCTCTTAGGAGCTGCAGTCCGAGGCGATTCGTATCCTGAGGGCACTGGTGGTAGCCTCTTCGGTGAATGAAGTCTTGGAGAGTCTTCGACTACAGCAATTGTTTGGAAGTGCCTCGATGGATCAAGAGGCACTTCGAAATTTATCGGTGTATCGGAAAAACTTTCGGGACTTTCTGCATTTTCGGTTGTCGTAGTACTATCTTGTCTACCGTCAGAATAGTCAATGTTTTTATCGTCACCGTCTAGGTCGTGCTGCTGAAGGTTACTTGTGTCGTTCTCGTTTCCATTAGCGGAGTTTGAGTCTTGTGGAGAGAGGTTGTTGAGATCGTTTCCTGACTCTAATGTTTCTGTATTTTCACAGCCATTTTGATTTGATTCTGGTATCTCGTGGGTCTCTGGCATTTGACTTGTATCCATACTTCGACTCTGAGAAATCTCCATAGGCCGGTCGTCATTCGTTGGAGGTTCGGATACCTCTTCAACGTTGTGCAAAGACGACATTAAGGACCTCAGGGATGGGGCAGTCTTATCGGTTGTTTGTACGTTTGCGTTCCCTCTTGGCTTTTTGTTTCGTCTATTCAGTTGCAAAAAGTCAGAACTTTCAATAATTGTGCCATCAGAATCCCCATCGTCTTTTACACCACTAAACCTCAGTTTAGTTTTCTGTCAAACAAAATGATGTCGATAAATTACATCACATGCAATCAGAAGAGAGCCAAAAAAGCCTACTACCATAATTTAAAAGATTAAATAATGGATTAGCAAATGTTATTATCGAGATCAATATCAGCGTTTGTCATTCTACTTAGTCCTCCTCAGTAATGAGACAGATTTTTTCCTCATAAAAGTTATCTTTTCCCGTCTTAGTTAAGGTCCCTTCAATGCCTATCTTGTCTCTATTTAACCACCCAATGAAGCAATTCATTTATACAAAAATAGTTCTTAATATGAGAGCTGTAATGGTGTGTTTTTCCTTTCCCTCAATGAACTTAATTTTAGAGAAAGGTGTTCTGAGTTGAATTTCTTACCTTTTTACTTTCTTCCTGAAATTCAGGAATTTCTGTAAAAGGTAAAAATATGAAAAGACTCGTTACGATGTTTGTAGTTCCACAGACACCAATCTGGAAAAAGACTTTCTCGTTTGCTTTGTAATTACAACAGCATTTTCCTTTTTTTAAGATGCCCCTTTTGATATGTATCACACATAAGAAGAAAAAATCCAACAGAGGTCAATACATGCTAATTGTGGTTACATATGTGGGTGCTAATGGCACCGAAAAAAATATCAAAATTCTGTTGGATGTTCAAAAGTTACTCGGAATTGCGTTGTTTTTACTGCGCTTCCCTATATGATTTGCCCAGAGAAATTCGCATCACCCTCTTAACAAATAAAATGAAAATCAAAGCCAATCATGATTATTTAATTTTCTTTTACCTGTAATTCGGAAAATTTGTGTTTTTTTTCCAAGAAACTCACTTGAAAAGTGCCAAAAATGAGTAACGTAAAGATAAGCTGCTTTTTTTTCGGCTATGAAAACAAATTTATCATCTTGGCCAACGTATGATCTATAACATGTTATGTTTTGCCACATCGGACTCTTTCTCTGACACAGAGAAGAGTCCACCATTTCAAACAACATGCGACGTGATTTAATTAAAATTTCGTACCTCTGATCATTCCCATGTCGTCATCGTCATCAAAATCACGGAGCTGGTTTTTAGCAAACAATCTGGATTTCCTTCTTCCTGTTCTCGATTGCCTTCGATCGTATCCCAGCCGTTTCAGATACATGGCAGGTACCAATCCTTCTCTTCCGAGGTATCTGTCAATAAATGACCACCGGTATAATTATTGATAATCCGGAAGACGCAGGGGGCACAATTTAGCTTATTAACTCGTTGTGTTCCGTAGCGAAATGGTGTATAAATTGGGGAGTCCTAAGGAAGCCTGATGAAAATTGTGGGGAGACGAGGGAGGGGCATTCCATCCAGGCAGGTAACGATTGGGATAACTTCCGGCAGCGATAGCGATGTTCTGCACAAAGTGAAGCTATAACTTTCGTAATGCTGGAGATATGTTAAACGGTGCCGTTCTTAAGGGGAATTCTTTCGTAAAGGTCAACTGCCTGCTGGTTAATTCCAAAACCATCACAAGTTGAATCAAAATTTCCTTTTCCCCTGTTACTTTCAAAGGAAGAACGGCAATACGACGTAGATTTTCTAGCTCAGACGATGACCCATAGCTGGTAACCTTGCCCACAGCTCGAAAGCTGCTGGGTATAGCTAGTGGCCTGCATCGCCAAGCGTTGATCGTTGGGCCCTAAGTTTACTTCTGGATTACACTTTGATAAGTTATTTTTTTGGATATTGCACGAAGCGCGAGAGATGTAATTAAAGCTTTTCTTGGAACTTACGAGGCTCTCCACCATCCATCGTAGTTTTTCTCCAGGATTTGCAGGTTTACTCCTATTTCAAAACTCAGTTCATCATCTTCAGAGGCAACATAACGCTTAGCTGTCACATAGAATTCACCTACAGAAACATATCTGCATTAGTTAACGAGAAGATAATTAATTTTTGTCCATGACATACTTTATCAATACCTAGCATTGTCTAATTTCAGTAACTTTTAACTTGCGATACGAGATTGAGATCTAACTGACGTTAAACTGATCTTACCTCTTCCAACTTGAAATGTCTGTATATTGCCATATTCCGTCATTTCGTCCGCGGGCTCGAGATACAAAGCTGGAGCCCAGCCCACTTCCCCTTCAGACTCGACCAACCACCAGCCTGTGCGAGTAATTGATGAGGTTAAGTCCATCTTCCCACCCTAATTGTAAACTAACAGTATTTCTGAGACCCCAAAAGTCTCCTTGTTTTACATCTTGGATGACTTGAGCTTCCCGCCTAGTCCAAGAGGTTATTTTCGCTTAAGCATCGCTTCAAGGCGTTTCTTTAAAGTGTGAAACATGCCCCAGGTCATATTTTGCTTCTCCAAAAATCTTCTGTGCTATGTTTTAAAAGGTAAATCGTTGCTCTTTCCTCAAATAAACGTAATAAAAAGTCCATTTGCGTGACAAACGATAGGACGCCTTATTTGCTAGTATCAGTTGTTTGTTCGTTTCTTTGTTTGTTTGTTTTTTTCGTTTCTCCTGATTTACCAATAAACTGAAACCGTTTTATTACTTCCCCTAAAAGGCCTGAGGGAATGGGTCGTCATGTAAGCTACAAAAATTGGTAAGTAACATGAATATCCGTCGTTTATTTAGTATTTTTTTTTTGTTTGTGTGTATGTACTCACCACATTCTCTCTTCTCGATGACATCAACGACTTTTCCTTTCTTCAGGTTAATATCGCTCTTAGCTATCTTCCTGTAATCATCCATCACCACAAAGTGCTCCAATATTATAGGTGAACTTATCTTGTTTCCCCCTGAAAGGAAAATCAGATATAATTCAATAAACTCACAGATAAAAAAAACACTTGATAATATAACCGGCAAATTATACTCCTTTTATCACAACTACTGGACGAAGTTTCGTTCTACCACTGAGATAGAGATAACTCGAGAGGGGCTGGGCCATTTCTAAGTTTACACATTTTCGTGTGAGATCATTCGACCTAGATGATTGAAAATACAGATAAGCGTCATCATCGTGAGGGTAACATAAGATTTGGTTCCAGCAATTGAGGGTCTTTGCGTGTATTTGAGAAACCTCCTTTTAAACTACGGGCGCATAATATGTTTAAATAATTAATTCAGATTACTACCAGAGCAACTTCTTGTATTAGCCACGCTGTTTTATTCTTCAGAAGAATTCAAGAAACTGCATGACAGTCCAAACTCTATCAACTCAGCTTTACCATCTCCTTATAGGGAATGATTCCAGCGAAAATATAGTATGACTCTCATCACAGGTACAAGCATCACTATGATGACCTGGCCGGTATTTTCTCAAGTACAACAAAATGATTTATGCTTGAATTAATTTTTCATGTTATGGACAGAACAAAACTGCGTGGCATTCACTCCAAACACTATCAACTCAGCTTTACCATCTCCTCGTTCTCATCACTCTCATCACATGATTACCTGGGCGGTTATTCTCATGCGCCACAGAATGACTTATGCTCGAATTATTTTTTTCATGCGATGGATAGAACAAAACATCACTTACAAATCTTAGTCTTCTTCGTAAACCTTCCTCTTACAGTCTGTGTGAAATTACTGCCTCTTCTACCACGGTTCCCCTTCTTGACTTTTACTTTTCTGAGTGTTATGGAGAAAGAAGATACAAAATAAGGTTTTCACTATTTTCCCCACTCAAAAGAAGTAAACTGAAATGTTCTTTATGATATCGTTGTACACAATACTGTACATTTGTCAAGCCTATGTTTATTAAGCCAACATGAGGATCTTCTTCACCAAGAGGGTTTGAATTTTTCTTTGCATTCCATTTGCCTCACAAATGTTTTGCCTCTTTAAATTTTCTTTGGAGTTTTATGATATCATACGAAAGATAACTCCATAATAACTTTGCCCAAAAGCTATTTTATAAGAAAACACCTCACCGTGGCTGTGATATCGGTTCAAGATCCTCTTGCGTGGGAGTTAGAAATTTTCTAACGTGCTGTGATTGTGCCACTTGGAAATCCATCGCAAGAATATCCTGATGAGAGAATAGCATTTATTGTTCCTTGTACCGAGGCAAATAAACACCTTCAACGAAACAGGATCCAAAATGCGTTTTGGCGAACAAAGCAAGGAAATTAGGCCTGTCGTGAATTTCAATGGCTTCAGGTTACTCTCCAGTGTGGTCTTAGGGATTGAGCAGTTTATCGCCCAGGAGGTGAAGGGGTGGCGGCGGCTGGATTATATTGCTTGTGTCACGATGAAATTTACCTGATCCCCCTATAAGGCTCTGGCCCCCCACCAGAAAATTCATTAAAAATTATCTACCTTGAGGAAGAAGCTCACTAGCTCCATTCTTGTAAATATTGATTCACCGACAGTAATCTTTGATGCGAATGAATCTAAAATAGGCAAGAACAAGCTTAATGTAGATTCTAAATATTATGGCGGTTAAGGCCTAAATTCCATATGACCGCAGGGATCTTCCAGATTTTCCTAACTTTGGACGACTATTCCAAAAATCCGTGCGATCAGGCTTACTTTGATATATACGTTATCTACGTTAGCTATCTCAATACGTTATCTGGCAAAAAGGCCATGAGGACGGAAGGATTTATCATCCACCTAAGGTTTTAATCGTATACAAGACCAAATTCTTCTGTCTGTTTTACGAGAAAATGAATTGGACTTAGTAAGAATAATTTCTCATTGTATCTTGGGAGTTGAATGTTTAAGCACTTATGCAGAAGATGTGATCGTCCCGACTATTTAGGTCATAGGTAGTCTAGGCCCGAGCATCCTTTGGGTCCAGACAAGTAGCAACAGAGACTTTTGTGAGGAAAAAAAGCTTTAGGGAAAAAAACTGACTGAGCAAATTTATAACAACCTAGAAAAGGAATGGTCTTTTGAAAAATAGATTGAATTCAGTCCTCAAGCAGTTATTTAAATTGCGATAGAAAAAGGAACTAAATAGAATGGAAGATAACGAGGTTTACTGTCTCACCAGGCAGTGGAGTGAAGTTTCGTCTCTTAGCACTTTTTTTGCCAAATGAGCCGGGAAAGGCTTGGAATAGCATTGCCTATAACACCAAAAAAAGACAAAAATTCACTTAATAAATCAAAATTAGCAAAAAATTAAAACTACTATTTAAGGTCCATCCTAAACATAGGCGCTCGCAAATATTGGACAAAAGAGTTACCAGGGACGAAATTTCTCGAACGCAAATTTTCAAGAATTGATTAAAGGTTGTTGTGTCTGTGTTTTAGGTAATTGTACAATAATGCAGAAATGTCTGCATTGTTATGGACGGGAAATATTTTCAATTTTATGTTGGATCTCTGAAAAGAATCAGAAGGAAAGCAAGCAGAGCAGGTTAGTAGACAATTTTTTTCTGCTCGCGTTAGCGGAAGTCCCATCTTTGGCTACCTAGAATCATGGACTAAATGTAAATAGAGTTTATTTCAGTACGGAACATTAGAGGAACATTTTAATACCAAAAATAAATAATTTGTAGGTTAAGAAACGGAGAAACAAAAGTGTGGATTGAACCATAGAGAAGACAACTACTAAAACATCAAGAAACAACGTATATTTTAACGTAAAGGAAATTGGCGGGGCATCATTGGTCATCAATTATATTTTCCGAGCTGCATTCCAACCTTAAAAGAGGTGTTTGACGATTAAAAAGTTTAACAAAATATAAAAAAGGGGTCTGACATGTTTAGGTCGGTGACGTTGGGAGTTATGATGTCAGCACAGCAACAACGTCATTAGGTTAAATTATCTGATTTTTTTCAACTTGCGCACGTCTCAAAGAAAGTTGTTCTGATTGTTTTTCAAATTTTTTTTGATCCAGTGACAAGTAAATCTATTGAGTTGTTTGGGGTTCCTTCAGTTAATTGTTGGACGAATCTTTTTTTTATTTATCGTAAACACTGTTCGTTGCTCAGGAAGCTTTGCAAAATAACGTGATCTGAATTGTCATCGACTATTCCTCTCCAAAACTCTTGCTGTTATTGAATTCCTTAAAGTTAGCTTTGCGATTTTATCCTACGATACGGTTGATTGAATGACAGAAGGCGATTTCTTTGTTTTAAAGTTACACGCGAGCGGGTGTAAAAGGCTTGTTATGAAAGATCAATATTGCCCGCCTCGCTCACGCAAGAAAAAATATCACTTGAAACAGACTTTTGGCATATACTGAGCAAATTCTTTCTCAATCAAGTTGGTTCAGTAGAGTGGTTAGATATTGCCTCGTACTTCAATAGAGTACTTTATTTCACTTTTTCCATCCTCTACAGCGTCATGGTTGTCTATAATTCTAGTGAGGAACTTAGTGGATGCCAAGCGATCTTAAGTTAGCGCTCAGGTCAATGACGCATACGCGTGAGTTGTTATTCACGCTTTTTCTTCGATTCAAAACAGCTCCTATGCCCATCAAAGTTTCTATGAAAGATCCAAGTGCCTCTCTCTTGAGTTGAAGTGACATTTTGTAAATCAGTTCCTCAAGAAAATAGGGAGAAATTTCGAGAGAGTATTTCTAGTTTTTTCATTACTGTCGTGATTATTTCCTTGGCTGTCGGTTGCTTCACTAACGAGATAAACTTATCAGGAGTACAATATTACAAGTACTTCACATTTGATCGTATCGTAATTTCCTTTCATTTATTCTCTCTAAGATATTACCCATAGACAGTTTTCTCAAAGAAATGAAAAGACAGAAAAGAAGAGTCCATGCATAGCCCAGTTGATGGAACACGATCTTCGTGTTGTCGAAAGATGTTCTATAAAAATTTCTGCTTCCTGTCAACGATTCAACTTTGAGGCCAAACTTATTAGAGATAAAAAAGTTTTAGTAATCTTTCTCGTTCGTTAGTAGTTAACAAAGTATGACGTACTTTGTAGTGCGTGACTATCGAGAATCAATATTGTCTCTCTGCCTAGTTAATGGGTCACGATAGCTTTGAAGGAATAGTATCAATCAATACGAAGAAGACTGCTGAGCCCAGCAAAAGTGAGCTGCACAATGAAAGTTCAAGACTGCATGAGATAACGGTCAAACATCATTTTAATTTTAATTTTTTTATCTTTAATTTTCTCCTTTTCTTTTCTTTTAATGATGAGGTGCCCTCATACATAGAATAAGTTAACATTTAAAAAGAAATGTTTTGGAGGCAAGTCTTTGATCTATTGATATGCAATGGCTTACATCAAACCACGAAAAAAAATTTAGCTGAATTGCCTCATTCACTACTACATAAAAATTTACTAAAAATTAGACTCACTATGGAAGAGATCCCCAGATTTCTAGGGCTTCATTGCTTCAAGACACGAAAGTACATCCATAATGGTTCCAAAACACATCTTTTTTCAAGCCTTGAGCAGAATAAACTCAAAGTTGAAGGCCAAAACCGAAGGATCCAAGTTTTTAAAGCTTTCCCTTTCATTAGCCATGTTTTTGGTACATTATGAGCTTAAGTTCATATAGTAGGAATTTCCTTAAATTTGAGAGTCCAAGGAAACTTAATTGACCCCCAATTTAAGATTTTCCAATTATCATTCCAATTATCTCTTTCCCAATTCGTTGGAAACTTATTAATCGCTCAATATTTTAAGTGAAAATGTATGGTTCAGCAGGTGGAAATTTAAAAATTACATTCTTTCCACTGTTGAAAATTCAAAGGATCAACCATAAAGGGAAGATATTGTCTCCATTTCAAAACAAATTACCATTCTTATAGGAGTAAATACATGCACTAATCAATTAACATGTTTTGTGCGAACAAACCAACAAACCTGTAAGTGTAGAAATTCGCTATATCTGCGATATACCAAGTTGACTGTGCCATCCGACCATGAAACTTTCACACAAAAAATCTGTAAGAACGGATGAAAACGAACAGGATAAGTTTGGAAGTATTATAAAGAGGGACAGGCCTCTGAGGTCTTTCTTAGTCATTGAATAAAGAGTTGCAACACGTCTAACGCTATTGCGATTAAAGAGATGCAAATATGAAACCATTTATGTTATAGTTTTGCCTAAGTCTATTGAAATGATAGTATTGTCGTACCAATTGAAGGCCAAGACCGTCACATTTGATAACATACACTTGCAGTCGTATTGATGCAATTTGTTTTAGCTCTTTAAACAGTTCTAATATATTTTTTCCCTTCGGTGTTTTAAAGCCACAAATATTCTAAAGAGAGTATTTTTCGGTATAGTCTATCAATGAAACTGAATTTCGAGGAACCTCAGCGGAAGAAGGTCCTCTGAAAATCTACTTATCACAAGTCACTAACACCTCGATACTTTCTAATTAATAACTTTAAATGTTACCCGGTAGACTTCCAGGCGAGTCCATTAACAGAATAGATTTTGACTTTTGATTTTAATGAGAATACTCCCAAATACATTCTTTTTAAAATCCACTTGTAAACACTTTTAGATTTACATTCTCGATACTAAGCTAGTGGTATTGAAATTACACTAATTTTACCGATTAAGGTGTTTCTTAAGGTACAACCTGATCAGCACTGCTATAATTTTTCAATCGCGTGCATATGAAAATGGCCTAACTTCGAGCCAACTACAGTTATTTGATACTTTACAAACGCTAAAAGCTATCTTGAGAACGATTATTAAAATTAATTTTCTCAAGCGTTGAACACGTTGTCATGTTGTGCAACAAATCCGTTAAATATTTGTTAGGAAAAAAAATAATACTAAGCGGAACTAGCCACTTTTTCTTTGCCTGAAAAAAGCAGCTACACGCTGTAAGCTGTAGTTGGTGAATTCTCGGGAGGAGAGAAATGTTGCTAGCTTCTCACTTACACAAACATGATCACAAATTTGCATACCTGTTACATCTGTTTCAAGGTTCAAATTTGGCAGAGTATCAAACCAAAGAGTAGCAAGGGTTAGTTATGTACTTCAGCAACATATAGAGATCGTGGCAAGCAATTATTTACCTTTTTAGGAATTTATGTTTTTCTGAGCTACACGGATGAGTTGACAAATAAAGCACCAAAAAAACACTTTTTCGCCACTACCACTCATCACTCGAATCACGCAAAGATTGTTAAACACAAATTCCCTCACTGCCGAATTTCTGAGCTAAAACTTTGAACACATTGATATTTACGTATCTAGTTTTAAACTACTGACTGTCAAAAACAGATTATTTCGTTACAGACATCGCTCAGTCAAGATATGCTAATAAGTGAAAACTTACGAAGTGTTTTTTTGGTTTGGTTCGTCGCTGCACTCCTTCAACAGATGCCTCTTTCACCGTTCGATTCTCCATCGTAAACCTTAAACTGTTCACGATGTTTTTAGTTCTTCCAAGTACAAAAAGTAACGCCTAATCTCTTCTGTCGCAGGCTCCAAGGCCACTACAATAACGAACAACAATGAAGAAAATGAATTAGCATTTTGCGCCTTCGCCCTAAGAAGCCCACTATTGTCGCATATATTCAATGCTTCACCTGTCAAGTAGAATAGGAAACGTGATCCTTAGCAGCGACGTAAGCTTTGAGGCGAATATTAAAGTGGTCAAACAAAAGTTCATGATCGGTATGAATGTCGAATGTAGCAGACTTCGATGCAAGAACCCGCTGTTTCAAGGAAAACGAATAAAAGATCACATTTCTTCCCCAGAACTTGAAGACATTTCCTTAGGCAAATATTAGGGAGTTATCTATTCCTTAAAATTTGGAGGCCCATTTGCTTCGCACAGAGCCTGAGGTGATTATTCCAAACAGACTGCATTCGCACTAAAGTTTGAACAGTTCTCGTTCATGTCCACATTTCCAAACTCCGGTATACTGAAGAAGAGGCCTTGCTGTTTTGTATTTGCCCATAATAATGAAGTCATGTTGACTCCCAACCGTCGAGCAATATAACTTTCTTAGAACATTTTTGATGTATCCCAGTTTCTTAATTACTAATTGAAAAACAAATTCTGCCCGTCTCACGAGATTCATGTTGTTTTAGAGAAAGCATGACTTTAGTCTCTGCTTGCAGAAGTCATGAATAAATGTAAAAGATATAGTTTAACATTCACACATAGATATCAGGCACGCTCTCTCAGAGCGGGCTGAAAAGCAACACTTGAAATATGTGTATTCTCTTACATACTCGAGTGTGGGTCAATAATGGCTGTTAATAACTCTGGTGCAAGGAGTGAATATTCTATAAAATGGAATTACTGCAGTATTTTGTTCTTGCCTAAATGATCGAAAAATCCGTCGCAAAATGTACTGTAATGAAAAACAAACGGGCACATCTGATATGAAAAATTTCACTTAAAAAAGCAATACTACGGTTATAGCTATGACGCTCCAAATGATTCTAAGCGATTGCACATCATCCGATGAAATTGCAACAAAGAATATTCAATGACGCATGAATGCGGTCAAATGTCAGAGCGCCCCTAAGTATCACCCTTTGTTTCAATATTCCTGTTTCTAAAAATAATATTTTTGTTTAGACGCAAATTCGGTTGGAATAAGTACAGTTTCAGATCTGTGTGTTGTATTTTTGAAATGGATCCAAGCTTTTCTGTGTAAAAAGCAATCGATGAAGTATCGGACCTCGATGTTGTTCTTAAGTCCTAAAGGTTTTCCGCCAGAACCGCCCATAATTTCCTTCTTAATATTTCACATGGAATATGCATGTCGTACGTACTTTAAATGCTTTGTAAATTTTTCTAAGGTTCCTACGATTTAGAACATCGTGTTCTTTGCCAGGTAAGCGTAGGCGGAAGCCCAAAAGACAAATCAAGATAATTTATGTCCACCTCTCTCTCGTTGAAACGCCAACGCAACGATCAGTAATAGCAAAACAAACCTCCGTGTTCCCGTATTGCAGCGAGGCACCAATGTACAACCGCACCCTTCTTGAAATATCTTGGCCACGCTCCTGAGCGGCTTAAAGAGCATGATGCTTCTTGTTTCCCACGCCTGTTTGCGCATGTACCTTTTACCCGCAAGTATATTATCTCAAGTGTTGTAAGAAGCAGCACTAAGAAGTAAGTAGGTCCCTTAGGAGCCCGTTAAGTTTCCTAATTCTTCAAATTATTGTTCTTGTTCTAAAACCTTTTTTGTAGTTCCTGATTTTGTTGTTGTTTTTTTTAATGTTTCATCAAGCAGAATCAGATGGATGTTTATTAAATTTGAATAATGTAAATTAATCAACACTTAAAACCCTTTTAATAGTAGAAGGCCGATTACGGTGTAAAATATTGAAAGGAGCCGAAAGAAAGAGCACGAGCCCATTTTTTCGGAATACATGCTTTCTGCGATTGGTGCATGGCGATGGATTTATTTATTGAAACTCAACCAAGCATTTCACAGATAAGTCTGCTATATACACAGGCAGCCCAAGCTCACGTCTCGAGAAAGCCAACGATGAATTCATGAACGCGTCATAAGTACGTTTTATTGATTTTAAGTAAGTTTTATTGATTTTACGTGTAAAATATTCATATTTCGAAATATTTATCGTTGTAAATCGACCATATTTCGTTCCCCATACTATTCCTTATAACGTGTTCAAATTTTCAACGGTTCCTCCCGTTACTTAACACCGAGTCACACAACGCATGACGCGTCCATGAATTCATCGTTGGCTTTTTCTCGAGACGTGAGCTTGGGCCGCCTGTGCTATATAGAATGAATATATTAAAAAAAGACGATGCTAATAATAATGATGAGTTTATGGACTCATATTATGCAGTTATCAATATATAAAACTTCAAACGAGCATGACAGTGCTGAAAATTGAACTATACCTTAATATTAAAGCTACAAATTAAAAAACTGACTTTAAAATTGATTTATAAAATTGACTATAAAGATGTTGGTATCCATTTCAACTTTAAAATGCAATTGAATTATTTACAAAGTATTACAGAAAAGAAGGATGAAAACACGAGGAAAGCACTTTAAACTTCTTTTATCTCTCATTAAATTTTGACTGAGGGAGACCTAAACATTGCAATGGCACTGATTTTCTTTTTCTCCATTCGTTTTTAACCTCAAGACCCTCATCATTAGCGGAGCACCACACCCGTTTCTCCGCCCGCGGAAAGATTTGAGACGATTTATAGAGAGTTTTGCTAGGGGTCTGGATAATTTTCAGTGTTAGACCGCTTGCAAACCTATCGCTGGCTCGTGTCGCTTAAGGCCTCATGTTTCCCGCCGGTGAAGACACACCCGTTCCGAAACGCTAATAATGAGAGCTTGTTCGCAAGATACACATTGAAAAGAAGGATCTCCACGAAAATATTGAGTCGCTTCTAGTGAATTAATCGGCCAATATTGGCATTACCAAGCCCAAGTTTTTTTACCACAGCGCATGATCGGCTCAAGAAAATTAGACGGTGCCCAGCCTAGTTCATCGTGAATTTCCACGAGCCACCATCCACCTTTACTTTTACGTATTACCTGTACTATGTCTCCCTCGTACAGATCAATCATACTGTCTGTTGTGGCCTGGTAGCTAGCAGTCGCTTGGTAAATTTGTCTTCTGTGCCTTTTATAATGGCTATTTGAGGCATTGTAAACAACTGAATTTCTGGGGTTTAAACGTTTTCTACCCTTTCTGTCCTGTGATGTGTACGTGTTAAATGCCGAAAGATCGTCACTGGAGGAATTTTCGTTAGCCATGTGGTTTCCCATCACTGAAAACACCTCGTCATCTGTAGATTCATAGGCGTAGGGTCTGTTTGAAGGTCTGCCTCTGGTTCTAAATTTGGAGTAACTTTTCATGTTGTACTCGTTGTCCTGTGAACGTGAGCGCCTGGAGGCCGTTGAGTTAGGGTAATGACCCTCTCTGGCAGAAGGCAGAAAGGCCGAATCCACGGAATTTCTCATCTTTCTGATAACGCTGATTCCATCTTCCTCTAGAAATCCAGAATCATACGAAGACACATTTCGTCTCACTGGGTCGTTTTCGTGGTGGAAATAAGGCATCCTTGGGGAAGAACCAACACAACCCATTGCCTTAAACCTTTGGCTCCACCTCTGTGATCGACCAATTGACTCCTTCTGAAAATTTCTCGAGTTGGCCACCCTTTCTGCCCCAATTTGACTGCGATTTCTTTTTCTTTCATACGTGAGTAACTCTGACTCATCACTGGAGGAGCTATCTGTGCTGCTCTTCGGCCGGGCTCTCGGTGACGGTCTGGTGGTAGCGCAGTTCTCATCGAAAGCGCCCAATGAACACCTGCTTTTATGGTCCAGCATAGGCAGTCGTATCGCAGCTTCCCTCTTTTGATGATAAACCTTCGACGAAAAGTGATCAAAAATTAATATAAGCAGGATTTTGCTAAAGAGTCATATCTTGTTGCTATTAGGTTTCATTTGTAACAAAATGGTATCTAAAATGAATGGAATTACTAATATCAAATTGTGTGAGTTGCAAAATACTTTCAGGTTACACCATCTCTACAGTAGCACCAATTTTGACTGCCATGTGGTTTGTAGACATTCAAATACCATTAGATTTACCAGTATGTATCAATTGTGAATGTGGCTCTTTCAATCGATTTAATTGTCAAATTTCTTCTTTGTCTCCATCTTATCTTATCCCATAAAGCCACCTGCTGCCTCCCAAAACTATTATGAAAATTTTCAGAATAAGCTATAACACGCGTAAATTCCTACCGCTTTAATAGCAAAAATTGTTATAAACACATACTTACATTCGTGTGCGGTGTTGGTCGTGGAACTGGATGAATCCAAACTTTAGATTTACCTATTGCAAGTAGAAGCAGAAGTATTGCATCCCATTTATGACATTATCCCACAGGAAACCATCTACCTATTTAGGTTCAATTTCCATGAGTATGATACTATATATCACAAATTCAGCATTTAGCCTGTTGCCTACCTGTTCTTCTATCTATTCTTCGGAGAAACATACATTCCTCTAGGTCCTCATTGCCAATTTCATAGAAGACTGGGGCCGAGGAATAAACCGCACAAAACGAAGCTTAAAGCTAAAATACACTTGGTCAATGAGAAACGGCATCTGTTTCTTCGGAGCAAATCTATCAACAGTTTATCTTTTATCTGAAAAGGTATCGGTACTGGGTTCAAACTTACCCTCATCCCAGGTTTCATTTCTTCCCGCATCATCCTCGTCGTCTTCGTCTTCGTCTCCATCATCGTTTTCCTTGTCCACGTCTGATTCGACACTGTGTTGACCGTCTTCTTCTTCCTCCTCAGGTTGCTCTGCTGGTAGCAGAAAGTTTGACGGAAACCATCCTTCTCTATCATCGATTCGGACCATCCACCAACCACTAGAATCTTCAGCGAGAACCTCAACTTTATCTCCTTCCAATCCTGTTACTTCGCCAACTCCACTTGCTTCATAGGTTGCAACAGCATAGTATGTGGCGTCATCTGTCTCACTGGTGTTATATGTCCGAAACGGTTCTTGTTTCTTCTTTAGTGGCACTTTATAAACAAGCCTCTGCCTCTTCTCCTTTTCATTCGTATCCCTATTCTCTTCACTATGTTGCAATTGCTCTCTTTGTCTGTGGTTTTCCTGTTGGAGTTGTTCTTGAAACCACTTCGTGGTAACATGAGAAACTTCCGTCTCTTCCTCATTAGTCTGCGAAATTTGTCTCTCTTCGAGCTTTCGGTCTTCTGTTATCTCTTTACCTTGTCGTAAAAGAACTGAGCTAATATTTGGGAGCCCGCTTCCTTCAGAAGACTCGTTCTCTGCTAAGTTGGAGCTTTGAGAGACAAGTGGCTCTTCTGTATCACTAACAGGTGGTGTGAAGACGATAAGTGGCTTTGAACCTAAGAAGGGCTTCAGCCCTGGTAAAGATTCACTTGATTCTGCTTTGCTATTACTCGAAGTAGCATCTGAAACACCTGAAAGGCGTCTTTTTGACAATTCACCCAACCTTGGGAAAATGGGAGAGAGTGCTACCAAAATTTCTGGTGGGGTATTTTTCGCAGCATCTTTTTTCTCGGAAAAACCCTTGCCCAGAGGGGTCTTGCTCTTATTCGCTTTCTTGCTGTTGCTCGAGGAACTAAACGAACGGTTTCGCCCGAGTTGGTCAAGTTCCAAGCGTTCTTTCTCTTTCTTACATGCTATTTCAAGGTCGAGTTCTGAGATGGAGAGCCCTCGGTTCGGTAACGCGTCCCTTAAATCTCTAGTGGAAAGAGACTGACAAATTGAAAATGACCTTTTTTGATTTTTAGCTAGGGAAGGAGATCTTTTAACTTCGGCTCTTTCAGTAACAACTCCGGGCGTGGAAATCGCTGTAAGGAGTTTTTCAGTTGGATGGCAATCTAATCCTCTGCTCGGTTCAAAAACTCCCTTGTCGTTATCCGAGAAGCGAAACGATTGTACTCGTCTTAATACTTCCACTGTGGGGCGTGCTGGTTGAACATCAGTTGCTGAAGCAGAAAGTTCGTAGTTTGAAACCGAATGCCGCAAAAAGTCACCTGTAGGAATTGACAGGTCGCTCAACAAGGATCTTTCCCTATAGTCTTTTGCTTTTGAAAAATCCTCCAAAGTTTCTATTTCAGAGCTTCTCAATTGTATTGACGACTCTACTGAAATTGTTCTCGATGACCCATCATGTAGGCCGATTTTCTGTTCAATAACATTCTTCACATTGCACAAGAAAACACATGAGCGAGATCGTTTTAATGGCCTGGCTGAAGCTCCTGGGCGTTTTTCGGCTAGTCGAAGGTCAAGCTCAGACATTACTTGCCTGTTCTTTGAGAACACCTTCCTAGGATCTCCCACGGACGCCGAACGACACCTCGACAAGGACTTTTCATGACTCTTCTCTGCCGATGACGATACATTAAGGTGTGCCCCTTTAGACACAATTTCTTGTGTGGCTGGATCTTCACTGGATATTTGCAGTGGCACACTGTGTGCCCCATTTCCTTGACCAGAATTACCTTTCTCAATGTCTACAGAAGAATGCCAGCCATTCGGAATCAGTGAACCTTCTCGAATCTCTAAAGATCTCTCATGGTCAACCTATTTATAAAATTCGAAAGCCTCTGTTATATGAGGTGTGATGTCCCCTACTCATACCATTAAAGCTCTTCTGCTTATTATAAGCAAACCTTACACATTTACTACCCTTTAATCTCTACATTTCCATAACACGAGATTGAATTTTAACACTCGAATATTAGCTGCATTTAGGTTTTTGGAAAACTCTTTTTTCTACACAGATCCTTTGCTAATATCACCTTTAGCAGCGCATCAAGCACATCTGTGATTGTATCCGCTCATTTTGAATGTTCTCCTTTTCAAAAGGCGGAATTCTCTAAGAAATATTAAGAATATCTTAAGTTTCCTTAAGAGTTGTTCTTTCCTGGAAATGGTTCACTTTTGTATTTGTTCCAATTCCATTTGCACTTGGTTAGGGCGAGAGAACTTTGTTTTGTGCACATTGGCCACATGCTGATATAAAAAATAATTAAATAAACTCCGTTATTCGAAACATACCTTACTGTCACTATGACTCCTGTTCAAATTGCTCATCAAACCTGAAAGAAAAATGGTTTTAAAGTATTTTTTTAATTTCATCACAAGACCGCTGGAATATCTAAACCCTTTCTCAGATGAATTTTCATTACCTGGTTACAACTCTATCGTTTGCTTTAGACTTTTCTCTGTATACAATTATACCTCAACGTACAGAGAACTACAAACTCATATCGTTCTCCACATCGACCATTTATTTATGTTTATTATTGTGTGACTGAATATATGGAATACGTCGATATCAAATAATCTCACGCTAACAGAACTGCACAAAGAATGTTAGGGGTAGAGCTTCTGATTTGTCGAATGTCTCTTGGAATGCAACATGGAGTATGAGAAGTGTTTCTAGAGACAGCTAAATAATCAATGATCCTGCGATCGTTACCATTAGGCAGTGCTCCTCCTTGCAGCTCTCCATTAAGGCTACCATCCATTTCGTCATCTCTTAGCTGAAGACCCATTGCTGTCAGCCGTCTCAAACTCTTTGCCGGGAAAACGGATGCATTACCAACTCTCTTAAGATAAACAGATGGCGCCCAACCTTCTTTGTGACCATATCTAGGAAACAAGTTTTTATTTTACAGTTTTAGACGGGCATGAGCTCCCCAAATTTTTTCTATATTCTCATCTCTCATTTGGTTGATATTATATAAATATTGTAAGGAGAAATTCTGTCTTGGTCACTCATGGGAGTTAAGGGAAAACAGTATTCTTACCTAACCTTCCACCATCCGTCGAGAGTTTTCTCGATCACCGAAAGATTCACACCGATATCAAAACTGATTTCATCACATTGCTTTGCCTGGTAAGAACGTGTGGCCATGTAAATCTCTTCTGTAAAAATGACAGCGAAACGAAATTTGATTATCTATTTACTCATGCATTCGCAAGGATGTTTAGAGGTACTGAGTTGAAGCCATTTAAACAGGGTTTAGACACAGTGGCAAAACTTGTTAGTACAGTAGATTCCTAGTCTGGGTTCCACTACTGGCTATTCTGGTTTGCAAAAATCTTTATTACTCTGATTAAAGTAGCTCTCTCTCCAGGAGTGAAGATGGGTATCAGACAACTTCCAAGACATATATGAAGTAATATTACCCGAAGGTTATCAATCCAATGGAAACTGGTATAAAGTCTGATAACACCGGGTAGGCTGGTACGAATCAATAACACAAGTATCCAAATTTTGTCCAGTGTTATTTCTGTTTGTCAAGACTAGTCTGTTATTGGATTTTCAAGATCGAAAAATTAACTGGAATCTCATCTTCTCTTTGAAGAAAACCACATGTTAAAAGTAGCTTTACTTTTTCCTTCCACTTATTTTTCTGTCTGTGTTTACCCCAGCATTCGAAAACTGTACGTGAATTCTTACCTTGACCTGGAGCAAATACCTCTGTGACAATATCGTCGTCATCATCACCACCATATACAGGCTTTATGAAGGAGGCTGGTACCCAGCCAATTTCACCCTCACAATCTACATGCCACCAGCCTGACATAAAAACAAAGGGAAAACGTTGGTTTGCTCACTGTATTCCCACATGAACACGATCCAAAATTTGGTTTAATGCTAATAAGTGAATGCTGATTTCGCTACCGAGGGACCAGTCACTTTTTATCAACTCATCGAGGGTCGGCGGATTTATATGGGGAATCACTTGGTTTTCAGGTGAACAGTTGTCTCTAACAGAGTGTAAAGAGGGGTGGGGGGGAGGGGTATGACAAAAATAACTGCCAGTAAAGGGAGATCATTAGAATACTACAAAGCTGTCAAAGGTATCAGGTTAATTTTATTTTGACACAATCCACATCCGCCTACCCTCTTCCCCTCAGGGTTCCTTAGCCTTATTTTATGCACTCACCACTCTCGTGTTTTTCGATCACGCCCACTGTGTATCCTTTGGTAAGGCTGATGTCATTGAGATATTTCTTCTGGTAATTCTCCAGCGCTACAAACTGTTCCAGAAGCACAGGTTCTCCAATAGAATTTGCTATTTGAACGAGAATATCACAAAAATGTGATCTACTAAATTACCAACTGAAGCTCCAGTGGAAATGTTCCTTAGTATCCTCACCAAACTGACTTTTGATCAACTCAAGGTTTGGCTGTGTCAATTCCTTCGCTACCTAATTTTCCAGTTTTGGACAAGCCTACTGTGTCAATGACTTATTATTAAAATTGGAGAAAAAAAACTTTCTGTCACGGACTCTTATCTAATAAACGCACCTGTCAGAAATTTCGATGACAACCTCCTTAGCAAAGATGACTTCATCGAAAATTTCGACTTTCTTTTTTTTCGAGGCGGATTTCTGCAAGAGAGACACACGTATGTTCAATGCTAAGCAGCTAGAGGATTCGACCTGATGTTGACAGACACCATTAAATATTGATTGATTAAGTCAAGGAAGTACTAACTTTCTTTTGACAATTTCCAGATCCTCAGAGCGCGGAGTAAAGAAACTTGTCACCAGCTCGCACTCGGAAATGTGTTTGGGCAGTGTGATCAAATCCTATACCATAAATACAATACTAAGGGTAAGTAATATCACATACAAAAGGCTTCCTAGAAATCTGTTTGCCAAAATTATTGGGGCCAAATATAGTATTTTTAGATCCTAGGGAAATCAGAGGAAAAATCCACCATATATAAACAAACTACAGCTAGCTATCCTTCCAAAACCGTACAGACATTTTCACGTTGGAAACTTTATCACGCTTCCACCAACTTAAAATCAAAGAAGCTATTCACATTCAGTGGGAGCAACCAACACTTAATCATCAACTTTATCATGTTAATCCAAAACTTTTCTTTTAATTACATACATTGTTTTGTTTCTATTGTTTGTTATACACTTTAAATTCAACTTTGTACTTTTTATAAATCAGAACTGAAGATGACAGAAGAACTGTCGAAACGTTTTTAAAAATTGTCGTATATTTTCTGGAATTCTATATCAATTTCTTCATACAAAATTTATTAAATTTAGGCGACAATTCTTTTAGGAAAAGAATAATTGCATTTTGGCCTAAGTACGTTTTTTTGAGCTTCCCTTCTTAAATAAACCTACCCTCTCCAATAAGAACCATCTTCCCCCGACGCCAAAATGACAATTTCCTCCCTTCCTAGTCTCTTACAAGTACAGACTTCTACAAAGCTAAACCTGCTTGGTTACTCACCAGAACAAAGTATCGAATTCTTTCTAACTTTGCATGTACAGTTGTCGGTATAAAGTTTATTTTCCCTGAAAAATTAACAGTGTTTGTGAGTTGCAGATTCTTTATTACGCGCAGTAAACTATAACGTGGAAAATATCCTGACGATCATTATAAAACGACTCTCTGGGCAAATTCTGTGAGACTCCAACAGTCAGTTTTGAATCCTTCAGGCAAGATGGTTATTCAAATCATCATACATAAGGCTTTACTTCACAGAAATTTACCTTGAAAGAAATGTTCCAAAAAAAAAGTTCATACGATAAACTGATTCATGTGAGCGATGGAAGGCTTAGATTTCCTGCACAGTCCTAAGATTGCTATTTTTTCTCGTAATCGAAACCCAAGTAGTAACCTATTTGAGTACAACGAAGCATCATTTCGGCTAATTATCTGGAGAGACCTTCGTGTTGACCGGGTAAATGTTACCTTGAACTGACGGGATCTCGATTCTGCTGCGTTTTTTCCGTGGAAAAGATGCTCGAAGGTTGCGCTAAAAATTGAACAAAAAGCACCTTAAATCAAATGGAAAGAAACTGCTTTCAATTTTGTTAATTGAACATCAGAATACAAAAAGACAATTTTCGCATCGAAATGAGCTCATTTAATTTCTTAATTGTGTTCTTTCTCTCATAACAAAAAAAGGATTTATAGCTGGATGAATTGTTTTGATCATAATTCTATTCATGTTATACTAGTTTCAAGTTTTAAATAGCCAGCTCTCTGAGCCTGTATTGCGCTAGGAAGGCGGCGCCCTCGATAATGGAAGGCTCCGCACATATTTGGGTAGGAAGCAATTTCAAATCTAGCAAATTTAAAAGATCGTTTAGATGAAAAACATAAATGACACCAAAAGCACAATGAAAGGAGACATTTTTGAATACATACACCCGAGAGTCTTATAAAGTATCTTCCGGGGATCAAACTTAACTGCTATAAACAATGTTGCCATTAAATTTTGCGACAACTCCTATCCTAAAGCTTAACACATTTTGTACAATTCATCGCATAATCCCGCTTTAAGTCATTTTGTAACTAACTCTAGTTACCTCAAGCTGCATAATTTCGCTGAATCTCCGATAAATAATATTAATAGTACCGTCCGACCATAAAACCTTTATGGAGTACACCTTAAAACCATAAAACAAACAATGATGATATTAGTTGTCCATCTTTTGTAAGGTAACCGTAGATTGTGAAAATTTGATGTACTTACAACGTGATTGCTGGGTTTTCTTCTCTGAGAGCCTTCGACAGACAGCTCTCTTATCACCCTTCGAGGCGTTTCGGCTACTTGAAATTGCCCGCTCATTCTTTACGATATGCGATCGATCACTGAGAGAGCAAACCAGCAAGGACAGTTGGCTTTGTTTTGATCACAAAAAGGTATGTAATAATTAACCAGCCCACTGGAAACTAGCCGAGTATTTGCAACAATTTCTTTGAACTCAGTTATCTAGAATCAATTACTTTTGGACAGAATTCAAACCACGCTGTATTCGGTCAGGTCCTGACTGAAGCACGTCTGAAATTCTCTTTAATTTTTGACTTCTAGTTCACAAAAGAATGCTTGAAAAGATAATTGTACCAATTAAATTTGGGCGCTTTTGTTCAATCATGAAAGAAACCAAAAGAAACGATGCATTAAGAAATTTCAGGTTTTTTTTAGTGCTTTATAGTTCATCCTTCTTTGCGTACCGTTAAAAATCTTTACGAGAAGGGTGGAGACCGTTTCCTGCCCGATTTTTAATACAAGTGTCAGTCAGTAACAATTTGTTAACCTCAGCTAGGTCATGACCAAACATAAAGTTTTCGCTAACTACCGGAAAAATACTTCGAGTCGCATCCTCTGGGAAAACTTTCCTGGTGTTAAATATTTTAAATTATACGTCCATGCATCAGCAGTATTGTTTGTTAATGCTTAGGTGCCAAAACAGTTTTCGCCGTTTTTGTTCTTCTTGGTGGAGAGACCTTTCAACTGAATAAGAGATCCATTGATGACGACACTGTAGAAGCGTTCCGTAACATTTCTACCCTCATTAAATGACAGATATTTCTTCCCTCTTCTGTCACAAACCCAGGTTATCCCAAAATAAAGGGGGTGAGTTTCCAGAAAAGACGCCGTATGGCTCCGTCGGTGGAGTGTATAACAAGAAACATCGGTTTTACCAACTGAGTAGGTAATCTAAACTGGCTATCGTCAAGAACTTTGAAGCTGACGTTATGAGCCTAAGCACTTCGTCAGAACAAACTTTCCTTGCATCTAGGCTGTTCAGAAAGCTGCAAAACTCTAGAGCAAGAATGTATCTTTCTCATCGACATTCTTAATCCCCGCCTCGGTATCAGCGAATTATTTTCTTTCAACAAATTTTTCTCTAGTATTTTTCACGTAAACATGTTTTTGCTAATAACGTAACTCCCTCTTTCTATATTTAAATCACACATAACCCACAATTCCTCTATTCACTCTACCCGCGCCCCTCCCCCCCCACCACTCCCATATCCGAACAAGCACCATAATTAATAATCTTTATTCAATACTCATAAAAAAGACCTATGTACAGTGCTTCACTTAAAAAGAATTAAATTTGTACCTTAACATCTGTTAGAAAGAAAAGAAAAAATCATAATGTCTCAATATCTCTTGAACTATAATCCACGAAAATGTTTCTCTACTAATTATTATTACTATTACTATTAGCAATCACTACCAATATTTAACATCTTTTCACAAGCACCATAATACCCTCTTTTAACACAATGCAAGGGCGTCCATGAATTACTTGACTTTGGGCAGTTTTAAGCTACAATTGACTCTAGTGCGTCATTGCAAGCACGTAGCATATGAAGTGACGTCACAGTTCGTCACTCGCAGCTCGTTTATCTCTTCCATCCTCAGCTGTCTTTGTGAATTATTTTTCGGATTATTATAATCTTGTTGATGTTTGTTTGCCGTAGCAACCTATTATTATTAGCGCTTATTCTATTAGATAACAGAGAGATCATTCTAGTTTTTACGACGAGAAAGTGACCCAAACGATTGTTTTCGTAATCAGGACACTTACGAATAACTAAACAGATCTGGTAGATCAAATGTCACGCCGATGAGTCGGCTAACGTTCGGCCGACGCTTAACCGATCAAAGTGTCGGTAAGCAGTCGCCCGACAATCATCCGACAATCTGTCGATTAGGTAAAGTTCTTATTTAATCCCTTCACTGCTACGTGACTGTTAAAATGAAACTCCATTCTTGCATCCAAGTTAAACCACGATCCCGGTAGGCGAGCTGCAATTGAAGGAAATACAAAGAAGAGGCCTGGAATAAAATTTAAAGGCTTTAACGGGAAATTGATAGGAAACATTTCTCTAATTTTTTTTCTCTTCCGCACTTCTACGCTGGAGTTAGTTATCACAATCAAGTTTCACAATGTTGTCCTATCCGATTCAAGTATCCAGATCTCGCTCCAACTGATTGTAGGGTCTCAGTAGATTAACCGGCTAACAGTTAAAATTTTGGCCATTTAATGGCTAACGTTTATTATCGTACCATTTTTATTACTAGAATTGGTTTTTACGGCCAACTTTTTTTACGACTATCTGTTAAAGTTTATCAATTTTTACGCCTTAAGGCTAAATTTTATGGTCCTTTTTCGGCTATCGATTGATTCCACAGAGACCTTCTGATAACTGAATACCTGTAGATCAAAACCCGTCACGCATCCGTTGAAGGCGTAGATGTATGCAACCCCTTTATAGCCTGGCAATTGTTGGCAACCATTAAAAAAAGACAGAAAAAAAAATGGATTCGCCAACTGTGGAACCATTTACATGCATTTTGGACAACGGTGAATTCTGATTAGGTTGAGAAGCAAACCAAGATAAGCTAAGAAAGAACCGAAAAATGCTGAATAAAAAGAGCATGGTATATTCATGGACTTGACCTGAATGAACTTGTAAGTCTGTCCAAATCAAATTAAAAGCTAAACATTTTTGTATAAAGAGACAAGAAGAAGAATGCTCTGGATTAAAAAATAGAGGGTGGAACCTCAGTAACAAAGACTTTGTGGCGGCGGGTGAATTTATTACAATTTGACCACTTAACTTTACAGTTACTTTCGACATCTTTCATTGACTTTTAAGCTAAAACGCTGTGTTCAAAAACTAATACAAATTCGACAGAACTATATTTAAAGGATGACCTTTTAAGTTCCCATTCTTGCTCTCGTCAATATGCAAAAATAGGATCAGTCTTTGCCAATATTTTGCAAGATTTTTTCTGGGACTTTACGCTCTCCTAATAAAACCTACAGTAATTACATATTGACATTGCGAAAGTTGATTATCGCAATTAAGTGCTAGCGAAGTCGTCAGAGCTAAAGTCCGTCCAATTGGCTGATTCTGCGGTAAAGACAAACAAAGGAATTTGCATCAAAATACTGCAATATTTGAGTATCATTATCTCACACCATTCTCTCGGGATTGAAAGCAAACGAACTAATTAATCTCACTAGCAATAAATCCTTTAGAGAGACGGCAAGCTGGTGATTGTGTTTCTGACAGAAGGCCAACAATTGTCTGGGAAACAACCCAAGATGGGATACTAAAGAACTCGCGTTGGCAACGTGATACCTCTGGAATTTTGACGCTTTACTTTCTACGACTAAACAAACAGTTTGAGTTGTTCTGAAATAGAAAATCCATCTCTGACCACCAAAAGACTTCCGTTTCCAAGGTCATTGCTGAAAACAGACGATGGCACTTTAAAGAAATCAACTTTCGCAACAACTTGAGAATTGTTGGGGAAAAGACACTGAAAGCTACTTGAACTATTTTCTCAGCCAATTCTAGGTAATTGTTCAGCAGAGCAACTGGACCAGCAAAAATTTCGCGTCTATGGTGGAACAAAATCACTTCAGTTAAAGTTGGAGGCGTGGAATACAACACAACAAACACACGGTCGATATCGATTTTACTCTGATTTTTTACAGCCCCATTCACCACAAAGAGCCTAAAAGATATCTGGTAAACTCTTTGGACTTAAAATACTTCAATTTGATCCGATTCCTGCGGCAACCGTAAATTCAGCAGATTTATAACTGCTTGTTTGCACAACAAGATCTATTGTTTGGTTTCCATCGAGTAACTACAGCATCAACGAGAAAAAGTCGCACCATAAATATCAATTCTTTGGGTGGAATCACCTTAAACAACTGGTTTTAGAGAAACCACGAGAAACATATTAACAATTTATGCGATACAGTACATATTTATAGTACAGAAAATTAAACATCGAGTGATTTTTCGTTCAAGGTTTACTCAGAGATTAGTCAAAATGATACACATTCGGAGTGCCTCACACCAAGACAGTGAAGCCACGGTAATAAAAGCAAACAGGAAACATCAGATTGTTTTAAACATGGAAGTCAAACGCATTGAAATGGAAAAGAAAATGCGGGAAAGATATTTCTTTTTTGAAATGTCGCTGATAAATGCTCGTCGACTCAAAATAATTGATCGTCAAAAATCCCTGGGAATCTATCGGCCGAACTCGAAGGAACATGGAAGGGACCCACGGAAAGAGAGGAGAATGGATTCAATTTTCTTCACACAATCGGTTCCCTTGGATTCCAAAGTTAAACTTCCACCCGTAGATAAGCGAAGAGCTATTCCTGGATATCCAGTGAAGTTGACGAACACTGAGAATTATTTCAAAGCCACAAGGCTTTCGAAGAATATTAACCACATGAAGTTACTTGACATAAAAAAGCCAAGACAGTCAGAAGACGGAGGCGGACATATGATAAAAGAATCTTCCGACTCGAAGGAAAGAGAATCAAATAGTAAAGGAGCTAAACAGAAATCTTATAAAAACAAAGAAATACATGGCTCCATCGAAGCATTCAATGAGGATTTATCCATTCCAAAGGATCAATCAAACGGCAAAAATTCGAAAGAAGAAAACGACGGTCGAAGCAAATGTTTAGAAGCTAAAGGAAACAACCAACGCAATGAAGAAAGGGGTGCCAATCGTAAACAATCAGCTCTACACGCACCAGAAGAAAAGAATGTGACACCAGAAGAAAATAATATCACACCGGAAGACAACAGTGTGACATTGCTGCAAAATGCAAAGGATATTGCAAATATTCAAACGCTATCGGAAACCACCGACAAAATACAGACAGAGCTGAGTTCGCTATCCATCCATAACAAAATTGAATTTCCAAGTTACCAGGAACTGCGAGCATGGCGTGACAACTTTGAAACAACACGTTTTAACTTCGTACAAGGTACTGAGGTATTTGGCAGATTGAAATCGGCTTCAGTAACAGAAACTGGAAAACGTATTAAAGTGAAACAAGCTCGTGCACCCGAGGTTAGACCACAATCTGCACTAGCAAGACTATCGCACGAATAAATCTTGTGAGTTCACGATAGAGTGACGTCAATTCCCATCAGGTGATGGCCTGTCAATGTTCAGAGCACACATCCATAAAGATTCTTTGAAAAAAGGTGATTACTACAGACAATCACAAGACCTCAGAAGTAAAACAATAGAAGTACTCGTTCCGGTGCAGGAGTTACAGTGCATTTTGATTAAGTGTCATAAAACCAAACAAAAGTAATCAAAAGGGCAAATCGGAAGAAGAAAAAATACCTTAAAGAGGTAACAAGAACTCAAAGTAAAAACAACCAAACTGCCTAAAGCGCGGGAAAACGCGGGCGATCAAGTCGTGACTGATTTTAGTTTTGCATCTGATTGGTTGAGAGTGGCGCGAGTTTTCCGAACCAATCACAGAGCGAAGTAAAGCAAACCCAATGCAGTTACGGATTAATTTCAAAACTCAATTCAAAATTGCACCAGTGACTGAGTCGTTATAATTGGTTTGAATTCTACATGTAAATGCTAGTGTTCTCAACCAACCACAGCACTGAAAAAGAAATAATTAGATATCTCTCTTAGCAAGTGTCTTTCCCAGACCCCAAACCTGCATTATCAATTCTTCCTCAGTTAAGGGGCTATTTGTTGTCATGGAAATTTTAAAATTACCTCCCCTGATATGTGAAGTGCTGTTTATTGTAGATGGAATAAATTCAAAATGTGCTACAGCTTCTTTTGTGCTAGAATATCCAACTTACAATAGACTATAAATACTACTCTGCTGATAAATAAAACAATTCAACTGTTTTACAGCCAAATGGAGCAAACTAGTTTCTTCATTTCATTGATTAATGATATTTGCTCTTTTTGTCTTTTAAAGACATAACTTTAAAATACACATTCAGGAAGATTTCCAAAGGCATTCACTAAACCTATGTTAGACTATTAAAGTTATGCAGTCCTTGCACTAACAAGTTGATTACTGGTAATTTCAACTGTCCTTATGAATAAAATACTGTTTAAAGCCATAAAGTGAAAAGTTTATTGTTCATCACTATGTTCCTCTTCACTCTGTTCTTCTTCACTCCCCTCATATGATCCTTCCTCACTAGACTGTGAACAGCTCACATTTTTATCATCCTTTCCAAGGAATGTTTCTTCTTCTCCACCAAAATTCAAGGCATGCAAAAGATAGTAGGCTGTAAAGCGGTCATCTAACTTGGGGATGCGCCCCTCTCCTTCCATGCATTTATTTGCACCCTTCTGAAATAGCTCCGTAACTGGACTCAACATTTCAACTTGAATAGTTTTCCTCCTGTATGTGCCGTCTGAATTCAGTTTCAATTCTTTGCCATCTGGTAAGGTGACTTTAAGCTCCAATTCATCCCAAGTTGGGTAACTTGCCCCATCCCCACGCATGCCACCCCAAGCTTTCACGACTTTACCTCCTGAAAACCTGAATGAAGCTCTGCTTTCTACAAACTTGTCTGCAACTGTACCAGGGCTGTAATCACTAAATTCAAGCTCTGTTCGCAAAAGCAAGTCCTGCACAAGTGGTTTGGGCAGTGGCTTCTGCTTAAGGTCGGAGGCAATCTCATAAAAGCCATTAGCATCTCTTTGGAGCTTTTCAAGGAATTTTGTCTCTGATCTCTGGATCAAGACAGCCATAGTTTCAGCAATCAAACTGGGAAGGTTTGAATCAGGATTATTCCATTCAGACACTAGGTTTTTCAACTTGGTTTCAGCTTGAAGGTTCTGGTGAAACAGATCTATAGCTGACTGAACATGGCCTGAGGTGGGTTTTTCATTCCTGGACAGGTCTTTAAACCTGAGTTTGTGTTCTACTGTCAAGGTGTACTGGTGTGGAAAGAAGTAACACAGCCAGATGAAGAAATTGTTTGTTATGGGAGGAACTGTCTCACCAAGCTCTTTTTGCAGGAGTTCCACCACTGGTTTCATTGGTTTCACTGCAGCTTGAACTTCATTTTCTTCCCAATACTCATAATCATCTGGGCAATAGCGGGTAAAATCTATACAAAATGGTATTTTAGCTTTAAAATATTAATTTAACCATATAGTCAAAATGGCATAAGAGACAGTCTGCTAACATAGAATTGTGCATAATAACATGATATGTACTATGGCAACTTGACCAAAATTGCCACAAAAATAATAAACTTTAATGACACTGAGCACTTTGTTATAGACAATCATTAGAGGGTCCTATACTTACTTTTCCTGGCATTCAAAAGCATGCTTGTTTTTCTTATAAATTGTCAGTTTTCCCTAAAAAGAGGGGGTCACCATCGTCACCCACACCCATGTTTGCCAAACAAGTCTTATTTTCAGTTCAAATTTTTTACAATTATTTTGGCTGGAATACTAAAACTCACTAGTGAAACCCAACCAGGCACGGCATAAATAAAGGTTGCTTACTGGATAAGTCAATTTATCAATCCCAGACTCACTCAATCAATTCATTCAGTCAGTCTGTCAAACACTGAGTCTGTCAGTCAGTCAGTAAAACCTGTTGACTCTCCTAATGAGATGATCAGTCAGAAGGTCAGCCAATCTCTCAGTCAGTCAGTCAGCCACTGTATCGATCAGTCAGATAGCCAATTACAGTCTCAGGCAGACAGTCAGTCACTAAAGGCCTAGGTAAATGGGGCTGTCATAGTATGTCAGTCAGTCTGTCACTCTCACAGTACTAAGTCAGTCAGTCAGCTAGTCAATCACTCTCTCAATTCAGTTATCTCAACCAGTTCCACTGTTATCTGCACTGTAGTCAACTAATCTTTAATCAAAAACAACCTGCAAACTCACCTTCTGACTTTACATCCAAATCTCCACAAGTGACGTGGATGCTCAACTCGTTGTCGTAATTACCGATGTGATCATGAAAGTAGGTGGTATCGATCTTTAAGTCCTTGTCACATCCTGACAAATGCAACGTGACACTTTGGTATTCTTTAAAACAGGTCGCTCGCGGTTCGCCTTCTTCTGTTCTACTCTCCAGATTTCTGATCCATGTAAACAATTTAGCTGCCACGGGTCCGTTTCTCTCCCAAACTTTTACCACTTTCGCATAAGTCAGGAGTTCCTTAGCTGCTGTAAGGCGCGCAGCATTGGACAGAAGATTCTCCAGATTTCTAAACTCGTTGTAGTCTCTCTTGTCATCGGTGATTTCCACAAGGTAGCATTTTATGTAATATTCAGCTTTTGCTCGCAGCAACTTTGGATGGAGAATGCTCCGAGTGTTGTTAATCACCTGTTGAACCCTCTTGCAGGAGAGAGCGACGCTGTGAAAGGAATCAGGATCGTCCAAAAAGGAAATAATTCTGCAAAGGCAGTCTTCATTGAGAGTCGAGAAGGACGCCATAATGGCAAAATGGAACGAATGAGGTCCGCATCACGTACATACAATTAGTTACGGGCTAAGGTGTTACACGCTATTCACAGCTTTCTAGAATTTTCTTCACTTCCTTATCCCTGTAAATATAGCATATCGCTCGAGAGTTTCCATCTAAATTATACCTGTTCTTAATTTTTGCATTCAGTAAAGAATGTAGTTTGATGATGGACATCTAGCCTTTGAATCCACATTAAAAATATTAATTATAGCTATTTTTACAATGCTCATAATCATTTGTGAATTTTGTCATTCTTAAAACCTCTTTTACAAAATGAAAAAAAAAAACAAAAAAAAAAAAAACAATAGATTAAATTTAAGAGCCAAAAAGAATAATGCTCCCAAAATTACCACCCTGTCAATGTAACAGCAATATCCTTAAAGGCATTCCTTTATTTGAAACTCAACTCATTACAAACACAATTCAACCACGAGAGGTAAAAAAAGGAACAATTATAAGAGTGAAGAGGGGCATGTTACTAAAGAAACTGTGATGCTGCATCAGTGGGGGAGTATAACAGGGTAAATAAGTATCATCAACTGAGTTGATCACATGAATTGGCCATCATAATGAGTTTCAAAACTGATATTTTGAGCATTAGCCCTTTGTCAGAGCAAATGACAAAGGGCTCTGATGCTTGAAACGTCAACTTTGAAACTCTTTACAGTGGCCAATTTATGTTATCGACCCAGTTGATGATACTAAATCAAGAGAGTGGAGAACTTCATCCAATATCTGAGTTTTGTCAACCTAACCAAGATAAAATTTTCTTGAGTTAATATAATAATAAAATGTTTATATTCTTTACTTTTCTGTGTTAAATGAACTAAACGGCTAAATAACTGTAAGACTGTGCTGAAAAGTGTTATCACCCAAATGAAAGAACTTGGCTGATGTACATCAATCCTTAGGGGGAAGACTAAAATAAACAAAAAGGCAGACAAACGAGAACACAAACAACAAACAAATAACTTATAAAAACAAAGTCACAAAACTGACATTAATCCTTTACACCATTATCAGTATGCATCTTCTCCATACTGTTCTCAGTACATTTCCTAATGTTGTGACAAGGAGAATTTGTCTACCAGTGACAATCAAGAGGTTTTTTAGTTAGTAGTCATCTCCTTTATTCTGATGACCTTAATGTTTGATTCAGGGGTGATATTGTAACGAAAGTACACAGCCATCAAATCATTAAAAAAAAAAAAAAAACCATTTAAAAGCCATTAAAACAGTCAAAGAGAGTGAAGAAAAGATATATTGCAAATCATATATTAGACCCCAGAAGTAAAACAAGAGCAGTGCCCAAGGCACTGGAGTGAAATACAAAGTCACTATGATTGTTTTTAGTTTTAGAGACCAGTCAGTATTCATTGTCTGAGGAGAAAGGGGAAGGTGAAGGTGGGGGGTGGGGAAAATTTGGAGCAGATCACATGGTTTTCAGGAACATTTGTTACACGTATGTTAAAGTTCAAACTAATACAGTTACAGTCCTTGCACTGTTATGTTGACTAATTTCAACTGTCCTTGTGAATAAAATACTGTTTAAAGCTATAAAGTAGGTGAAAAGTTTATTGTTCATGAATCACTATGTTCCTCTTCACTCTCCTCATATGATCCTTCCTCACTAGAATTAATGTACGGATCAGATTCTCATCATGTCTTTTCTTCCAAGGAATGTTTTTTCTTCTCAGCCAAACTTCACAGCATGTAAAAGATAGTAGGCTGTAAAGTGGTCATTTAACTTAGCAGTACTTGGACCTAGAAATTCAACATGAATTTAAACTTGTGAGCCATAATAGTTGTATTAATTCTGAGTATCCTGAGTACTGACTGTCATGCAGCATTCTGAGGTACAAAATTAATCTTCCATCCTCACCCTTTGATTTCTGCATAAAAATTAAATATTCTGGCCGCCTTCTGCCTAAAAGACTTGCACTCAAAAAGTGAGATCAAATTTTCTTGGTTAATGTTTTCCTTAAATTATGACTTGTAAATTGAAAAATCTGTCAGATTTCATGTCAGACAGAAATTTTTCCTACCCCAAGGCAGGTAAATGGTGTCTGTTTTGTTTCAAAGAAATAGGTGTCATCTTCTTTTATTGACAGTTTTTCAATATTGTGCAGAATGATTGAAAATCTTACTGATTAACATTTAACAATACACTGATTTAAAAGCAATCGGTTTGCATTTTGAGTCAGTTCAGTCCAATTGGATGTCAAAGTTATTATTTGCTGTTCTTGCTAAATACACTGACCGGAAGAAGCATTCAGAAGTATTAAGGTTAACCCAATAGAAGTGACAATACTGTTAACAACTCATCACAGAAGTAAGGTTCAATTGTATATTTTTGGTAAGTCTTCCTAGTTAGGCGCACGCTATTGAACATTACACATGAATTAATTACGAATTATGAATGTATTACTCTTAGATCAAACAACTACATATTAAAGGTTGAATTTAATAATATATGGTTTGTGGTGGTCTCCATCTATGCTAACTGGTTCCACAAGGAAACAGTGTGTTTAAAATTGGTAAGACTTCATAAAATTTGGTAGGATAAAAAATGATAGGTGCACTTGTCTCATTTAACTGATAACGTTTTTTCTTTCTTATGGCAAAATAGACAAAAATTGACCTTGTATCCTGGGCCCTAATCTCTCAGTCAGTCAGTCAGTTAGTCATTCTCTCAGTACATAATAATAACAACTCAGTTAGTCAATCTGTCAGTCACTTCAGTCAGACAGCTAGACAGTCAGGCATTCAGTACGTCAGACAATCTCTAAGTCAGTCCGGCAACTGGTCTATCACTCTCTCAATTCAGTTAACTCAACCTATTTTACTGTGATCAGAGCTACAGTAATCTAACCTTTAAACAACCTGCAAACTCACCTTCTGACTTTACATCCAAATCTCCACAAGTTACGTGGATGGTCAACTCGCTGTCGTAATCACCACTGTAAAAGATGGTGGTATCGATCTTTAAGTCCTTGTCACAACCTGGAAAATATTTGATATTCGGTGAAACAGGTCGCTCCCAGTTCGCCTTCTTCTGTTCTACTCTCCTGATTTCTGATCCATGTAAACAATTTAGCAGCCACAGGTCCGTTTCCCTCCTAAGCATATACTAATTTTGCAGTGAAGAGTCCGGTACCTGCTGCAAGACGCTCAGCATTGGAGAGAAGATCTTCCAAATCACTACATTTGTTGTAGCCATGGTCGCTCTTGTCATCACAGCCAGCCCAAGCTCACGTCTCGAGAAAAAGCTAACGATTAATTCATGAGCGCGTCACGCGTTGTGTGACTCGATGTTAAGTTACCAGGGGAACCGTTGAGAATTTGAACATGTTATCAGGAATGGTATGGGGAACGAAATATGGTCGATTTACAACAATAAATATTTAGAAATATGAATATTTTACACGCAAAATCGATAAAAAATACTCACATCCTGTGTGTCCGTTGTAGTTTCCGGCGATTTCTGCTGTTTTAAGCTTGCTTACCATCACTGTTATTTATATCAAAAGATGGTAAAGCAAGCTGAAAACGGCAGAAATCGCTACAAACTACAGCGGACACACAGGATGTGAGTAGTTTTAATGATTTTACATGTTACTGTGTATCAAAGAAAAGTGAAGGTGGAGTTGACGTCTTCTCAATTCGTACGCAAGACTCTTGGAGCCACGATTGACCGCAAATACTAAATCAAGCGAAGTGAAAGACCTGGTAATCAAGAAAATTAAAAAACCTTCTCACCGAAAAAGAAAACTTAAACACACTTATCCCCGGTATATTGACCGAGATGTTCGCGCTCCTGAAGACAGGAATCCAAAAGATGAGGAATATCTCCATCAATTCACCAAAAAGATGTGCCAGTTAAAAACTGATGCACCTGCAGTTATCTTGCCCCTACTCAAAAGACTCCACTACACTTCCGAAGCTCCCTCAGAACTGGACAATAAGCCTTTTAATAAGGCTAAGACTGGTATCATGAATACCAAAATACAAGAGATTATTAAAGGCCATCCCAACATCTCTGGCAAAGATGTGTTGAGATTGTTTACCTTCAGTGATGCAAAAAGAGGTCATGTAGAGAGCACCACCTCAATGCAATGGCAATGTGAGGAATGATATATTCACAAGGCTGGTTTCATAACAGCTTAAAGGTGTAAAAGAGTCTTCACTAGGCAAGAGGCCATTGAAAAAAGGAGAAAGATGTAAAAAAGTTGGTAGAGGATATTGTGCTACCTAAGTCACCACACAGTTGTGCTCAAAATCAAGAAGTGGGACCACAATATCCTAGAGAGTGGGGCTAATTATTTCACAAGGAGAGTGCATGTAAGGCATATCAGTGAGTTGCTAGCCATACCCACCACAAACTGGAACTGGTCTCAAAAGGCTTTCAACCCAACCATAACAACTCTGGTTCCAAAAACCTAGAAATTCCTAGAAATTCCCAGAAATTCCCAGAAATTCCAAGTTTATAGCCAACAGGACTTGGAATTCCTAGGAATTCCAACTCAGAGAACCAATGACTTTCCCTGAAAAGCTGTTAATCTAAAAAATTCCTAGGAATTTCTGGGAATTTTTAGGAATATTTAAGAATTACTGGGAATTTTAAGCAAAAATTTGAGGCTAATGATATAAAATAAATACTTTAAATTAAAAAACCCAGCTAAAATTCAAGTATTCAATGAAATTTATTTAGAAGCTTAATTAAGGCTTACATGTAAAATATTTTTGATTCATTATTAACATCAATGTGTGGTAATATTAGGATGGAATTTGATTTTTCTTTTCTTGAAAACTTCATAAGGATTAATCCTCAATTACAGCTATTCATATAAAATAGTCCTAATCAATCATTAAATTTGGTTTGACACAAATTGTGAATAAAATCTGTTGATTCTTATCCATAAAATACAATATCTTAAATTATATTTGAAAACCAAGCACTCTTAGGAGTGAAGGGGTTAATTACAGACAAATAAAATTGATTTTTTTATTAAAATCTTGTTGTAACTGTAACAATAAATTAGAATGAAGTTATCCTAAACTGCAAACTTAGCTGCTGTTTGTATTTTTTCCTGGGCTCACAATGAGTTGGCCTTGAATGAGGTTGTCTACAAGAAGCTTGACCATTTTGTATCTGGGTTCCATGACATCTGAATTTGAAAAATATATATATATTTAAATATATATATTTAAAGCTCAGACCAGGCCTTTAAGATGGCTATGAGGAAAAGTGCATTCATTGGATTCTCAAATTGAGAAATCTCTGTTATATTGAGTGACTTTTATATTGGTGTTAGTACATCTCTCTCAGAGATTTTACTAAAAAAGGGCTGAATACATTATTTTGTTTTTACCAAGGAGGGCTTCTTTATGTAATAAGGTTTGTTTAATAACAGCTCCTATTATGAATCTTGAATGTTCCCAAACGTGACTAAAGGAATCTTGAAACCTTACTGATAGGTTTATTTCATTGTAAAGCATAAGCTTAAGAAACTGCGGCATGCAAGTGACCGATTCGATTCTCAGAATTATTCTAGTTTCAGTTGCGCCGAGCGTTATGTAAGCTTAATTCAACCCGCTACATCTATTCTTTTATAAGATTTTGATCACGTAACGAATATCGCAATTTTTACTCACCACAAACTTTCAAAATCGTAGCTTTACAGATGGCCACTCGACCCTTGTTTGTACCAGTCAATATGTCAACTGCTGTCCCTTCTTTTAACTCCACGGCGCCAACGACTTTCATTTCTTTTACAACACTCACGCTGTTCTCGTTTTCCCATTGAACCACAATAAAAGCTATCTTTAGAAATGTTATATTAAGTAAAACAGTTGAGAAAAACGATCAACCGATGAAAAGTACATTCAAAGATGAGCGCCAAATCGAGTCTTCTTTGTTTCCGATCACGTGCATGATCACGTGGATCTTTTAGGACTTGTAATTGGCTAGCAAAGTGAATCCGCTGGCTTGCCGATTGTAGTGTTAGGAGAAGCGCACAACTTTGTTCTGACTTCTCCGGTTCTCTACTTCTAGACGATGGATACCTTGGTGATATAAATAATGATGTGAGCTCACTCTATGTAGAAATAATCGACAAGAATCGATCATATTACAAATGCACGATTTGTGGCCGAAAGTTGTCGAGGAAACAAAGACTCGAAACTCACTTGAGTTGTGTTCATGGCAACGGTGAAATACAAGCTAATCACAGTTTTGAATGGGAATACAAATCGTCTTTTACCCTCATATTTATAAAAGAAGGATACCACATTAGGAAGTATAAGAGAAACATAGATGATCCCATTGTACCAGTACCTAAATCTACAAAGCTTGATCGTAGCAAGCGTTCAGCAACATGTTCCAACACCGCCATCTCGATTCCTCAGTCAGTCGTTTCCACTGAACTTAAAGCAGTAGTGACAACAGAGTAGAGTACGTCTTACAAAGGAGAAACATTTGTACAAGAGACAGAAGTAACTATATGCGATTACAGAGGTGCGTTGGAACTCTGGTCCACAAATAGTTATGCACTATCCGAAGTATAAAACAATTTTGTTGATAGCTGACAGACAGAGAAGAACAACAAGTAAACTTTAGAGCTGTTATTATTGAAGTGTGACTTGCAATTTTCATTTTTATATAAAGAAGGACTTGTATTTTACATAAAAAATAAAAAGATGTAATATTTTTTGGGAGATCCAGTGATTGGGACATTTAAGAAATTAAGTTATGAAAGGAAACTTGGTTGGTACTTCTCACTACTAACAAGTCTTGTTGACAAATATTTTCAGATCAGAGTTTCAAATAAAGTAAATTGAAGATGTCATTTAAAAGGTGTTTTTTCTCAAAGGGCACATTGACTACCTCTGTCTTGTCTGTATGCCAAATGTTTGCAAAGCGTGTGGATGATCCACAAGTATTGGAACTCTTACAAAAATGTTTTATAAGAATAAAAACAGCAAAACAAATTACAGCAATTAGTCTTGAAAACAGAGCAAAAAACTGAAAAAAAAACAGCAACAACAATCATGAAAAAAGAAAGATTAGTTAGGTGTTGAATTTGTTTGTCTAAGGCATGAAATTTCTACTAAAAATGTTGTCAACAAAAAGTCTTTGACGGTGTTTGAGGCAACTGAGCTTGACTGTTCCAAGGTTTTCTAACAAAGGTAACCAGTAATGTAGGTTAGGGAAGTAACTTATGTTCACAACTAACAAAGTTCTTTAAGTGTAGATAACAATGTAATTATTGTTAATTATTGTGGAAGTTGTGTACCAAGGAACAGCCAATGAGTGTTTGATGATTTTGGCACATCAGTGAACATGAGACATTAATTTACATCACAATAAAAAAATTTTTTGATCATGGAATCCAAGAGTCCTTTGAGGTTAGAAAGCAAATCTGTGATAAGAGTACATTGGATTAATTGGCAATTTCCATTTAACATAACTGACAGCTGGTTCATGAGAAAATCCATATTAATGTAAAGATTTACTAAAACTTAGTTTCAATAATAAATTTCATGATCTTTAAGTTATAAACATATACATGTATGTATATCTCTCGGTTAGTTTTGTATAGCATACCTTTTATTGAGCCAAAGTTTTAAGCCTCTGAAATTACTCCTTTTCTTAAAACCTTCACATTCAAGGTATTGAGAATTTCTTAGAATTTATGTGGACCTCAGGGTATTAAAATTGTCTCAAATTCAATTCCCAGAAATTCCCAAGAGTTCCACAGTTCTTAAATTATAGGTAGTTTGTAAAGCTGAGAATTCCTAGGAATTCCTAGGGATTCCAAGTCCTCACAAAACTGGAGTCTTCCTTTCCCAGAAATTCCCAGTAATTCCAAGCTTTTAATCAGAGTTAATTTGCATAGTTGGGAATTTTTGAGAATTCCCAGAAAACTGGGAATTCAGTTTGCAAGGGTAATTTGCATAACTGGGAATTTTTGAGAATTCCTGGGAATTCCCAGGAATTCCCAGACAACTGGGAATTCAGTTCGCAAGGGTACTTCCAACTTCAGCTTCAAATGTTTGTGAGTGAGCTTTCCTTGAATATCTTAGTTGTGTGGACAAAACAAGGTGTCTTTACTCTTGAGGTGCCTTTCAATGCAGGCTTCATGACTAAAGTGTGCTCCAAGCTTGAGATGTTTGGGTCTCAACAGATTCTCCCTTTCATGATGAATAACTTAGTTTCCACTGGTACTTTTCTTGGTATGTAGCCTTTTTCTAATCATGATTTCAAATAATTAACTTGTAATTTTTACTTTTCAGTATTTTTCAGAGCTCTGATCTCTACAAAAAGATTGATAAATTATAGGGTTACTCAGCGTAAGATTTCCATGACAGTGATACTGATATGTTGTCATCTTTTTTTTTTAAATAGATTCAACAGATTTACAGGAGGTTTGCTCATTGCTAAATAGCTGTGGTTCACAGACCATCAGTTCTGCAGCTCTGCAGCCAAGTTATTTTTGCGGCAATATCATTTCTTCATGTGGGGTATACTTCAAAGGAGATACCAGTATCAGCCCCTCTGCACAATCAGATCTTCATGAAGTTATAGATTTGTCAACTTTGCAACCAGACAATACCCCTGCCACATCTACTCCAGTTAGTGTTGAACTTTCTGGTCTGCAAATTTACAAGACAGATGTGGCAAGTGTCCGACCAAATACCATGATCACTGACACAATAGTTTTCTTCTTGTTCAAATGAGTATATTTGTCAGTGTAATCATATATATTGTAAACTTAATTTCTGTTGCTTGCAATGTATAAAGAAACATGTTTAGATACATAATACCAATTTTGTATTTTGTTTCAGGTAGCTACCCCAGTGTATGTATCCCATTGTGAGTACCAATTTCTAAACCATTTTAAGTGGGGAACAAGATGTTGGACAAACTTTCTCAAGGTACAAAAACTTTAAATGGTATTGAATTTCATGGTTGACGAAATTTAGCTTTTTATACACAAATATACTTCTACTCTATTGTTACATAATATTCAGTTTTTCATATTTTTGTCTATTCTAATTCTTGTTAGAATGGTCCAACTAACATCTGCAGATAAGTTTTTTAAAGGAAACCTGCTGAACAGTGGCTATGTATTCATTCCAATCAACAGGAGGTGACAGAAGCTACCTAACTATAAACACTGTTTTATAGATAAATGTTATAAAAGATGAAATGGTTTAACTCCTCCAACTTATAAAAACAACTTGTAAGATTATTTTGATAAGAATATTTATTTATTTTTCAGTTTACATTCAATTGGTTCTTGGTTGTCTTAACCCCATGGTAAGCATATGGTTAATGCAAGAATAAACATTAGTAGGATTTCTCTTCCTGAAAGCAGTAAGATTCCTTTTCATGGAAGGTATAATAACCATTGTGACAGTGTTATTGTCCTTTTGGCCAAATTTATAACTGTTTCATTTACATTCCTTTTCTAGGCACTTTCTGATAATGGACTCACTAATGTGGGATATTAGCATTAGGCAAGAGGAAGTACATAATATCAACAGGTATAAATCTTCATAAATGAAAATCTTAAATATGGTCATTTTTAAATCTCCTTTTTTTGGTCAAATAGTGTAATACTTTTTGTGCTACATGTTGACATTTTTTTTAAAAATATTAATCAGCTTCTTGGATCATCTGTGTGCAACTAATGATGTATCCACAAAAATAAGGCAGCAAACGAATCATGTGCTTAAGGTAATCTATTTGACAATATGTTTACAGTACAGAATCCTGTACATAAACTATTGCAACAACATGATGTCAAGTCTGAATTGAACAATGCAAACTGACACCATTACAGAACAACTAGGAATATTTCACTTATCAAATGGCTCTCACTTTCAGGTACCACAACAATTGCCAGGAAGCAACAACTGTGGATTTCACCTGTTCATGTTTGTTGACCATTTCTTAAAGGTATATCAGTGCATGTTATAATGTTGATGCAATATGATCATATTTACCCTAGACCATGGTAAATCACATGAAAATGGATCAAAATCCTGGCTGTTTTAAAAATGTTGAGTTCCTTGGAATTTAACAGAAGTTAAATGACATTCATGCTAATACATTATCCCATAGGATATTGAGGAGTATGAAAGTGACCCCAGTGGGTATGTCACTGCAGAACACACCCGTTGTTTTTTATCCACAAGATGTGGAAAGCAAGAGAACTTTAACAAGGAACTATTCAGAGGCTTTATTTGTAACGGAATAAAATGTACTTGAGGATAAAAAATTATACATTAGACATTTTTATAAAAATTTTAGGAGATCTGTTTTTAGTTGAATATATAAAAAATAAAAAAGATAAATTGAAATACAAAACTATACTGTTGATGAGCTCAAGCATGATTCAAGAGTGTCAATACTCTTGCAGTATTGATTTACTGTTAGTATGGTCAAGTTTCATTTATTACTGATGGTTGCAAATTTACTAATATTGCAGAGACAGTGACTGCTGAGCTAATGTATGGTTTACATGTAAGTGGAATAACTCCACTAAAAAAATTGAATGATTTCAAACGCTTAATGATACGCTCAATATGAACCCTTGCAGTTGCAACACACCTTGTAGCAGTTGATGCAAGTGAAGAAACATTATTTTTCTTCATGACTGGAGGTGCAATAAGTATAGTTTCATGAAGAGCAAGATAATCCTGTTTGTTGAAACCCTTATTAGCCATTACAGCATTTCACAACTGTAATTCTTCCAGAAAACCACTGGCTTTCACAATCTCCTTGTCACTGATACTGCCACTGTATCATTGAGACAAAAATTTGACATGCAAAACGGGAGACATTGAAATAAGTAATTTAAATGTGTTTGAGGAGTTATAGTGGAGCTCACAGAGCTTAGCCCCATAGCTATACAAAATAGTAGTAACCCATCAAGCCCCAAAAAATTGGATGTACGACTGTACGACCGTACAAGGTGCTACTTTTAACATGCGAGGTCAACTGTACTGGGCATGCCAGTGCCATGGCTTTGTCAGGTAGTCTCTCATATACCAGGTTCTGAAATAACTAATAATTAACTGATAGATGTAGCAGAAGGGTAAAGTGAGTGGGACCAGTGAGTACAGAGGACCAGAGGAACAGTGGGAAGAGAGGAATAGTGGGAACAGAGGATCAGTGGAACAGTGGGCACAGAGGACTAGAGAAACAGTGGGAACAGAGGACCAGTGGGTACAGAGGACCAGAGGACCAGTAGGTACAGAGGACAAGAGGGCACAGAGGACAAGAGGGCACAGAGGACCAGTTGGTGAGAGGACCGGTGACCACAGTGGACCTGAGGAACAGTGGGTGAGAGGACCAGTTGGTACAGAGGATCAGTGGGAACAGAGGACCAGAGGAACAGTGAGAACAAAGGACCAGTGGGTACAGAGGACCAGAGGAACAGTGGGCCCAGAGGAACAGTGGGCCCAGAGGAACAGTGGGCCCAGAGGAACAGTGGGCCCAGAGGACCAGAGGAACAGTGGGTACAGAGGACCAGAGGAACAGTGGGAACAGAGGACCAGAGGACCAGAGGACCAGAGGACCAGTGGGTACAGAGGACCAGAGGACCAGAGGGTACAGAGGACCAGAGGAACAGTGGGAACAGAGGAACAGAGGGCCCAGAGGACCAGAAGAACAGTGGGAACAGAGGACCAGTGGGTACAGAGGACCAGAGGACCAGTGGGTACAGAGGACCAGAGGACCAGTGGTAACAGAGGACCAGAGGACCAGAGGACCAGAGGACCAATGGGTACAGAGGACCAGAGGAACAGTAGGAACAGAGGACCAGAGGAACGGTGGGAACAGAGGACCAGTGGGTACAGAGGACCGGAGGGTACAGAGGACCAGAGGAACAGTGGGAACAGAGGACCAGAGGAACTGTAGGAACAGAGGACCAGAGGAACTGTAGGAACAGAGGACCAGTGGGTACAGAGGACCAGAGGAACGGTGGGAACAGAGGACCAGTGGGTACAGAGGACCGGAGGGTACAGAGGACCAGAGGAACAGTGGGAACAGAGGACCAGAGGAACTGTAGGAACAGAGGACCAGAGGAACAGTGGGAACAGAGGACCAGTGGGTACAGAGGACCAGATGAACAGTTGGAACAGAGGACCAGAGGAACAGTGAGCACAGAGGACCAGTGGGTACAGAGGACCAGTGGGTACAGAGGACCAGTGGGTACAGAGGACCAGAGGAACAGTGGGATCAGAGGACCAGTGGGTATAGAGGACCAGAGGAAAAGTGGGAACAGAGGACATGAAGGCACCAGATGGGACAGTGCCAGAAGACACCCAAAATTGTTGAAATCCCATGGCTGCATTTAAAGTTATTCATTTAAGGTAGTGAATCATTTTCCAACTCTAAACCTTGTGTTTCTGTACTGTCAGAATATGATTGGGAGAGGAATTGCATTTTGTGCTTACAAGATGATTATTCCACTGACCAGTAAATTGGTTAACTGCATTATTAATCAGTGGAATGTAGACTAGATGAATACAAAACAGATGCACCTCATCTGTTGGATCTAAAATTCCACTCTGCTCAAGAAAGAGGGAAATGGTAAAAAAGCAGCTCACAATAACCTGGTTGACATCACACCAGAGATACTTTATTCTTTGGCTATGAACAGATTTTCCAGTGATGTGACTGCCTCTATTTAAAACCTCTTTCTTGCAGCGTGAAGTGAGCAACTTCTATGCTTTCCATTCCAAGATCACTGCAAACTCTTGATGGTAAATTGTAGTGCTAAACATCTGACTGGAAATACTGCAGTACAGTTGAAGCCTTGTTGTTGGTTGATGCCTGAAGGAATACTATCATTCTTGAAAAACCATCTAAACCACCATTAATGACAATTTTGTATGGCTGGATTAGTTTGTGGTTGCCATCAATGAGCCTGTTGGACACCATGGAGACATTTGTTCCACTACACCATCACATATAAGTTAGGTGAAAATATGGTATGTAAAAAAAGTTAAATCTGCCTATCTAAGTGATAGTGGTAATGATAATAATAATAATAATGACAACAACAATAATGATCATAACAACAAGAGGCATTTGTTGACCACCCATGAGTAACAGGCAAGTATGTGAAGTTCATACAGTAGTAAAAATCTGTGCACCTTGCATAGTGCTTCTCAAAGTTCACTGATCATCTGCTTCTATTTCTGCCATTTTGAAAGTTAGATCCCAGAACCTTTTGTTTCATCTGACTTTCGGTCATTTCTATTTCCGCTTCCTCATCTTTTAGCTTTATTGAACATCTTTTAGTTACATAAGGTCATGCATGAATGAGTCAGGAAAGTGATGTATGCTGCACAACATTGATGTATGGCATCCAAAATCGATGTATCCTGGATGAAATTGATTTCTTTTATTTTAAGACTTGTGTTATAATACATAACAATGTATCCATGTTTGATATTTTTTCCGTTAAAAAACCTGATAGCAGATATAATTCAACCAAAAAAAGTGGACAACTATATCCCATATTTAAGTTTTGTCAACCTAAACAAGATAATATTTCCTTGAGTTAATTAAACTAATTAAAATGTTTATATTCTTTACTTTTCTGTGTTGAATGAACTAAAATTATGTGCTGAAAAATGTTATCACCCAAATGAAAGATATTGGCTAATTTACATCAATCCTTAGGGGATGAAGGCTAAAATAAACAAAAAAGCAAACAAACAAGAAAACAAATGACAAACAAACAACTTATAAAAATAAGGTCACAAAACTGACATTAACCCTTTACACCCTACCATCAGTATGCATCTTCTCCATTCTGTTCTCAGTACATTTCCTCAGGTTCCGACAAAAAGAATTTTTCTACCAGTGACAATCAAGAGCTATTTTAGTTGGTGGTCAGCCCTTTATTCTGATTACCTTAATGTTTGACTCAGGGGTGATACTGTAATGTGAGCACACAGCTATCATGTCATTCAAAAAAAGAAATAAAAAATAAAAGGCATTAAAACAGTCAAACAGAGTGAAGAAAAAAATATATTGCAAACCCGATATTAGACCCCAGAAGTAAAACAACAGAGGTGCCCAAGGTACTGGAGTGAAAGACAAAGTCACTATGATTGTTTTCAGTATAAAAGACAAGTCAGTATTTATTGCCTGGAGGGGGTGGGGAAGAATTTGGGGCAGGTCACATGGGTTTTGGAGGGAATGAAGGGGGGATCAGTTAATTGTCACCAACAGAGTCAATGGACCAATAAGGGAGAATTGTAAGAATATTACAGAGCCTAATGGAAGGTTTAGGCAAATTTTGTTATGACACACAAACACAATTCTCTCCCCCCCCCCTACCCCCTACCCCCCTACCCCCCCATCACTCATCACTTAAGAACTTCTTTGTTTTCACAGAAATATTGAAAATGTAAAGATTTGTTTCATATTGAATTACTTCTAAGTTAGATTATCCAATCTAAAATAGACTGTAAAAGAAAGAAACTACAAACAAAGATAATTACTACAGACAATCAGGACGAAGAACAAATATTTTGCAAACTCAGTACAGGACCTCCGAAGTAAAACAAGAGAAGTGCTCAAGGTGTGGGAGTTAGAGAACATTTTGATTAGGTGTCATAAAACCAAACAAAAGTAACCACAATAGGCAATTGGAAGAAAAGAAAATACCTTACAGAGGGGAAAAAGACCTCAAAGTAAAAACAACCAAACTGCCTGAAGCACAGGAAAACATGGGTGACCAAGTCGTGATTGATTTTAAATTTGCATCTGATTGATTAAGAGAGTGGCGCAAATTTTCTGGACCAATCACAGAGCAAAGTAAAACAAACCCAATGCAATCTCAGATTACTTTCAATATACTCAATTGAAAATTGCACCAATGACTAAGTTGTTATAATAGGTTTTAATTTTACATGTAATTGCAAGTATTCTCATCCAATCACAGCCCTGAAAAAGAAATAATTAGATCTTTCTCACACAGAGTGTCTTTCCTAAACTCCAACCCTAAATTATGAATTTTTCATCAGTTACAAACCTATTTGTTGTCATGGAAATATTGAAATTACCTTCCCTGATATGTGAAGTGTTGTTTATTGTAGGTGGAACAAATTCAAAATATGCTACAACTACTTTTGAGTGAGAATATCCAACTTATAATAGACTATAAATCCTATTCTGATAAATATAACAATTGGACAATTTCTGTCTTTAAAAGACATAACTTAGAAGACACATATGCATCACAAAAGATTTCCAAATGCACTTACTAAACCCATGTTAGACTATTACAGTTACAGTTCTTGCACTGTTATGTTGACTGTCCTTTTGAACTGAATACTGTTTAAAGCTAAAAAGTAAGTGAAAAGTTTATTGTTCATCACTGTATTCCTCTTTACTATGTTCCTCCTCACTATGTTCCTCTTCACTGTTCCTCTTTACTATGTTCCTCTTCACTGTGATCCTCTTCACTATGTTCCTCTTTACTATGTTCCTCTTCACTGTGTTCCTCTTCACTATGATCCTTTTCTCTGTTCCTCTTCATTGTGTTCCTCTTCACTATGATCCTCTTCATTGTTTCTCCTCACTATGATCCTCTTCTCTATGTTCCTCCTCACTATTTTCCTCTTCTCTATGTTCCTCCTCACTATGTTCCTCTTCACTATGTTCCTCTTCACTATGTTCCTCTTCATTGTGTTCCTCTTCGTTATGTTCCTCTTCATTATGTTCCTCTCCTCTATGTTCCACCTCACTATGTTCCTCTTCACTATGTTCCTCTTCATTATGTTCCTCTTCATTCTGTTCCTCCTCACTATGTTCCTCCTCACTATGTTCCTCTTCACTATGTTCCTCTTCATTATGTTCCTCTTCACTGTTCCTCTTCATTGTGTTCCTCTTCACTATGTTCCTCTTCACTATGTTCCTCTTCACTGTGTTCCTCTTCACCGTGTTCCTCTTCACTATGTTCCTCTTCACTGTGTTCCTCTTCACCGTGTTCCTCTTCACTATGTTCCTCTTCACTGTGTTCCTCTTCACCATGTTCCTCTTCACTATGTTCCTCTTCATTGTGTTCCTCTTCTCTATGTTCCTCTTCATTGTGTTCCTCTTCACTATGTTCCTCCTCACTATGTTCCTCTTCACCATGCTCCTCATCCCCTCTGAGGAACGTTTCTTCTTGTCCACCAAATTTCAAGGCACGCAAAAGATAGTAGGCTGTAAAGTGGTCATTTAACATGGGGATGTGCTCCTCTCCTTCCATGCATTTATTTACACCCTGCTGAAATAGCTCAGTAACTGGACTCAACCTTTCAACTTGAATAGGTATCCTCCTGTATCTGTGGTCTGAATCCAGCTGCAATTCTTCTCTATTTGGTAGGGTGACTGTAAGCTCCAACTTATACCAAGTTGGGTAGCTTTCCTCATCCCCATGTATGCCACCACAAACTTTCACAACTCTACCTCCTGAAAACCTGAATGAAGCTCTGCTATCTAAAAACCAACTCTCAGACTCATCTCCAACCAAACCAGATTTATGATCCCTAGATTGAAGCTCCGTTCGTAAGAGTAAGTCCTGCACAAATGGTTTGGGCAGTGGTGTCTGCCTAAGGTCTGAGGCAATCTCATAGAGGCCTTTGGCATCCCTTTGGAGCTTTCCAAGGAATTCTGTCTCTGATCTCTGGATCAAGACAGTCATAGTTTTGGTGATAAGACTGGGTAGGTTTGAATCAGGATCATTCCATTCAGACACTAAGTTTCTCAAGCTGGTATCAAATTGAAGGTTCTGATGAAACAGATCTATAGCTGGCTGAACATCCTCAGGGGTGGGTGTTACATTCCTGGATGGGTCTTCAAAAATTAGTTTGTGTTCTGATGCCAAGGTGTTCTGGTGTGGAAAGAAGTAACACAACCACAAAAAAAACTTGTTTGTCATCTGAGGAACTGTTGCACCAAGCTCCTTCTGCAGGAGTTCCACTACTGGTTTCATTGGTTTGACTATTGCTTGACATTCATTTTCTTCCCAACTATCAATATCGCAAGGGCAATAGTGGGAGACACCTACACAAAATGGTATTTTGGCTTTGAAAATGGTAATTTAACCACATAGTCAAAATAGTATTAGAGACAGTCTGCTGATGTAGAATTGTGCACAATACCAAGAAATGTACTATGGCAACTTGCCCATAATTGCCACAAAAATAATCAACATAAAACGCTGCTGCACTTTATTACAGACAATCAGTAGAAGGTCCTTAACTAACTTTTCCTAGCATTCAAAAGCATACCTGGTTTTCTTATAAATTGTTGTTAAATTGTTAAAGAGGGGGTCACCACACCAGTGTTTGCCAAACAAGTCTTGCTTTAAGTTCAAGTTTTGTGCAATTATTTTGGCTGGGATTAATTTACTCACCAGTTACACCCAAGCAGGCATATTGCATAAATAAAGGATGCTTACTGGATAAGTCAATCAATCAATCTCTGACTCACTCACTCACACTTACTCACTTCCACATCCACTTCTTTCTGTCCTTCCTTTTGTCATTCATTCATTCATTCATTCATTCAGTAAGTCTATCAATCAGTCAGTCAGTTTGTCAGTCAGTCAATACAGCCAGTTGACTCTCTTAATGAAATGGTCAGTCAGTTGGTCAGCTAGTCTCTCCCTCAGTCAGGCAGTAAGTCGGCCAATCTCTCAGTTGGTCAGTCACTGTTTGAATCAGTCAGACAGTCAGTAATACTGTCTCAGACAGACAGTCACTACAGGCCTAGGTGCACTGGGCAGACAGTATGTCAGTCAGCTGTACCTAGTCAGTCAGTTGGTCACTCACAGCTAGCACTAAGTCACTCTTTCAGTCAGCTGGTCAATCACTCTCTCAATTCAGTTATCTCAACCAGTTCCACTGTTATCAGCACTGTAGTCAACTTAAATCATTAATCAAAAATAACCTGCAAACTCACCTTCTGACGTCACATCCAAATCTCCACAAGTTGCGTGGATGCTCAATTTGTTGTCGTTGTCATCATCGATCTGAGTATGAAGGTAGGTGGTATCGATCTTTAAGTCCCTGTCACAGCCCGGCAAATGCAACGTGACACTTCGAGATTCGGTAAAACAAGTCGCTAGCTGTACGCCTTCTTCTTTTCTACTCTCCAGATTTCTGATCCATGTAAACAATTTAGCTACCGCGGGTCCGATTCTCGCCCAAGCATTTACCACTTTCGCATAAGTCAGGAGTTCCTTAGCTGCTGCAAGGCGCGTAGCATTGGACAGAAGAGTCTCCAGATTTCTAAACTTGTTGTTGTCTCTACTGCAATCGCTGATCTCCACAAGGTAGCATTTTATGTAATATTCAGCTTTTAATCGCAGCAACTTTGGATGGAGAATGCTCCGAGTGTTGTTAATCACCTGTTGAATTCTCTTGCAGGAGAGAGCGACGCTGTGAAAGGAAACCGGATCATCCAAAAAGGAAATAATTCTGTAAAGGCAGTCGTCATTGATAGTCAAGAAAGAGGCCATATGGCTGATCTCCGGTGTCATAGCCACAGCTGACGTTATGAGTCTCTTACTATCGGATTTCGCATAAATAATATTTAGATTTAGCCAAGCCTAAAAGCGGAGCTCTTGTTAGTTTATTTTCTAGCCCCTCATTATAATTAAATTATTTGCTGTTCTTTCTGAGTGATGCTATATCGAAGGGAGTTACTACATCACGGGCGACGAGCGGGAAAAGAAGATAAGATAAAAATACGAGCGGTCAGCGGGGAAACAAATTTAATACTTCATAGCCTTCATAAGGCTAATGTGTTTAACTTACTTAAATATTTATAATCAGGGCCACTTGTTCAGGAGACCTTTTTTCAAAAGATCCAGACGTTAAAATAATTCTGTTTTCCGTTCGAAGTGTTTTTTTCCTATTTAATTTAACAAATGAACCCGGTATGAAAACTTAACTTTCGAACCGAACGGCAGGTGAAATGTTGTGTTGGTGTCTCTGTCCCCCATGTAAATATTGATTCTAATAGGCATGTAGGAAATCTCTGAGCTTCGAGAAACAGTCAAGTTAAGGCTAATGTGTTTACCTTGCTTAAATATTTATAATCAGGGCCACTCGTTCAGGAGACCTTTTTTCAAAAGATCCAGACGTTAAAATAATTCTGTTTTCCGTTCGAAGTGTTTTTTTCCTATTTAATTTAACAAATGAACTCGGTATGAAAACTTAACTTTCGAACCGAACAGTAGGTGAAATGTTGTGTTGGTGTCTCTGTCCCCCATGTAAGTATTGACTCTAATAGGCATGTAGGAAATCTCTGAGCTTCGAGAAACAGTCAAGTTAAGGCTAATGTGTTTACCTTGCTTAAATATTTATAATCAGGGCCACTCGTTCAGGAGTACTCTTTTTTCAAAAGATCCAGACGTTAAAATAATTCTGTTTTCCGTTCGAAGAGTTTTTTTTTTCCTATTTAATTTAACAAATGAACCCGGTATGAAAACTTAACTTTCGAACCGAACAGTAGGTGAAATGTTGTGTTGGTGTCTCTGTCCCCCATGTAAGTATTGACTCTAATAGGCATGTAGGAAATCTCTGAGCTTCGAGAAACAGTCAAGTTAAGGCTAATGTGTTTACCTTGCTTAAATATTTATAATCAGGGCCACTCGTTCAGGAGACCTTTTTTCAAAAGATCCAGACGTTAAAATAATTCTGTTTTCCGTTCGAAGTGTTTTTTTCCTATTTAATTTAACAAATGAACTCGGTATGAAAACTTAACTTTCGAACCGAACAGTAGGTGAAATGTTGTGTTGGTGTCTCTGTCCCCATGTAAACATTGACTCTAATAGGCATGTAGGAAATCTCTGAGCTTCGAGAAACAGCCAAGTTAAGGCTTATGTGTTTACCATGCTTAAATATTTATAATCAGGGCCACTCTTTTAGGGTTTTTTTTTTCAAAAGATCCAGACGTTAAAATAATTCTGTTTTCCGTTCGAAGTGTTTTTTTCCTATTTAATTTAACAAATGAACCCGGTATGAAAACTTAACTTTCGAACCGAACGGCAGGTGAAATGTTGTGTTGGTGTCTCTGTCCCCCTATAAATATTGACTCTAATAGGCATGCAGGAAATCTCTGAGCTTCGAGAAACAGTCAAGTTAAGGCTAATGTGTTTACCTTGCTTAAATATTTATAATCAGGGCCACTCGTTCAGGAGACCTTTTTTCAAAAGATCCAGACGTTAAAATAATTCTGTTTTCTGTTCGGAGTGTTTTTTTTCCTATTTAATTAACAAATGAACTCGGTATGAAAACTTAACTTTCGAACCGAACGGCAGGTGAAATGTTATGTTGGTGTTTCTGTCCCCGCACCAAATTTTTAAAAAAACCCTTAAAACTAGACTGGTGAGCAGCACTCTACGAACAGCAGTTGTAAAATCTCTTTACTCTCCGACGCGTTTCGTCTAATTGTCGTAAACTTCTTTGGGGAGTTTTACAATTAACACTAAACACCTGTATTAATAAGCCATAGTTAGCGGTTATACGAGGGCCAATGACCATAAAGGCTCGGCCGGACCTACCAATAGGAACAGGTGAAGTTGCGAAATATTTCAAAATTTTTTGGGGGAATTCATTTGGGGACTACGGTTTTGGTTATCTCTTTTTCGTCACGCACGTCACGCAGCAAGTTACAAAACGTAAATATAATTCTTCTTGGTGCCTTTTTGGATGCCACCGATGCCTTGTATGATGCCTCCATTGTTTATTACGGCAGTGAAAGACATATGTGCCATCAACACTTTTGAAAAATTGCTTAAAATTTTATTTAGCGAAGTATACTGTTAACATTTCGGCTTTACAACACTATTTTTTTCTGCAACTACAACTGATATGTCTCTACATGAATTATTAAGTTTGTTTCCCCGCTGACCACTCGTATTTCGCTCTTTTCTTCTTTCCCCGCTCGTCGCCCGTGATGTAGCCGTGATGTAGTAACTCCCTATATCGAAGGCGCTCGTCGAGGGTCGAACACACAAGTTTATAGTACAGCGGTTAAATTTATAATACGTCATGTAAGCTTCAGCACTTGTTCCCCACGAAAAATTTTTCAAAAAATTGTTCAAGATCGTTCTGAACAAAGGAGCTTTGAGGTCCTGCGGCAGTTTCTTGATTTTGTTTGAGTATTTTGTGGTTATCATAAAATAACCACTGAGATATATTTCTTTTAAACAATTTCCATGGGATCTTTACCTGTATGCTAAATGCAAGTACAATTTTTTTTTATAACGGGCACATGAAATAGCATTACACCGGGCCGTTACTATTTTCTTCCAGTATCAATCATTAGGAGAAGAAGAAATATTACTAAATGAGTGATCGCGTAGTTTACAGCGATTCCCAAAATCCTAGATTCATGAAAACAAGCCATCAAACTATACTTCTCTGTTTTTATTAAAGTTCACACGGCAACCAGGTGGACAATCATTCATGGTTTGCTGCTACTCTGGTTTACAGATTTAATGAATGTAACCGAAGAAGTTACAATTCATAGACTCAACGCTTCGACACTCCTGTCTAGTGCCTTCATCAGGGGTGATCTAAACGCTGCAACAAGAGGTCTTTTTATATGATCACCAGCTAATTAGCTGCCTTTTTTCTGACGAGGTGTAAATAGGCGTCAGGAAGCAAGCCGCCATCGTCACGATTTAAAGGAGCGTGGGCGGAGTTAATATGCCAAGCCTCCAAACAGAGGCGCTGGTGGTAACAGACATTAGTGGTGACAATTTTAGAATTATCCTACCCAATTGTATGGTTAGTTAGGCATGTTTACTCACATGTGGCTCACAGATAAAGATATACAAAAACTAATAAAAATGTTTTCAGTATGTTTGAGCTATTTACTAGGTTATCAATGCGCTAATAAGCCCAACAGTAACGTTTGGATTTTAGTAAGGTCGTCTCTTAAAAAGTAAATTACGAGAGAGATTCCCCTTGCAGCGTTGAGTCCGTTGAGAGAAGTTCAATGTTTTTTACTTACGTAATACAAAAAATTTGTCAACACTGAAACTTCAGATAATTCGTGAAATGACGAACGGGAATTTCAGGAATTGTTCACACGCTACGTCTATGGGAAATTCTGAAGTAAATGGATGTAAATGACCTTCCCGGTTTTGTTTCCTCAGTATGCAAAAAGCTCGATGGATTCCTCCACTCAAATACCTGGAAAAATTAAAACAGTTTCGCGGATTATGCAAAAATCGAATACTACAGGTACGTTTCATTATATTTCAAACTCTGTTTTCAAAAGGAATTCTCACCTCTGTTGGTCCGTGGAGGCAATGTTGAGTTTCATTGCTTACGATGGTAGACGGTTTGCCAAGAAATTGGATCGGTACATTACCACCACTGTGTTCAAAGACGGGAGACGCTACAAATGCATAATGCGCGAGTGTTTTCCAAGGGCTTTCCTACATATGAAATACTTTTAAATATTTCAACACTTTTACGCCCGGTGCATTGCGTAAGTTTTTACAAAATTGCCCACCCAGGTTTCCCCTGTAAGTACCCAAGTGCCATCTGGGACAGCATCTGATACTACCCATACAGTATTAAGGGAGTAACTGGGACAAGCCCTGCAGACACCCAAGTGCCATCTCTGGAAGCATCAGTCACTAGACCTATACAATCTGGAGCCAACCTTGTTACTTTACCAGCACAGTCTGAGGTTGTCTTTTCAGGCACTCTTATGCCCTTAGGGGTGGCCTCCCTTAATACCCACAGAGATAGCACAGAGATAGCCAGATAACTCTGGCTATCTCTGCGCAGTCTGAGGTTGCCCCCTTTAATACCCTTGTACCATCTGAGCCTGTACCATCTGCCCCTGAGCCTAAAATAGAACTGGATACTGTCATCCAGGAAATAATAGAACACTGTAAGACGGCAGACATTGAAAACAATCCGGTTGAAATACTAAGACATGCAGAATCGTCTAGTGCTTGGAAGGGCTCTTGATGTTGTTGATCCAACACAGTGTTCTAAAGGGCACACAAGCTATATACTTGTTGATAGGAATAATATTCTAGAGACATCCTTTGAGGAAATTGAAGTTATTAGTAACAAATTCCTCACGCTGGAAGTGCAACTTTATAACAAGGTATGCTATGTACTACACCTCATTGAAGAAACATTGACCATGTGAAAAGCATAAACCATAAAGGATATGACTCAAGGTTTGTGCTTTTCAAAGGACAACCATTCAGGTGTTTTTCATAACTAAAATCTAATCATCTCCTCATTCCACAGAAAAATCGGATCAATATCAGTATCTGGGCAACTGCCCACCTACCCCTACCCTAACTCAACAACAGTCAATTGACAACAAGTTAAGGTTAATGTTGGGTTAGGGGAGGGGTAGGTGGGCAGTTGCCCAGATACTGATATTGATCAAGATAATATTTCCTCGAGTTAATAAAATTAATAAAATGTTCATGTTCTTTACTTTTCTGTGTTAAATGAAATAAACGGCCAAACAACTGCAAGACTGTGCTGAAAAGTGTTATCGCCCAGATGTAAGATTTTGGCTAATGTTCATCAATCTCTTGGGGGAAGACTAAAATAAACAAAAAGGCAGGCAAACAAGAACACAGACACAGACAACAAACAAACAACTTATAAAAACAGTCGCAAAACTGACATTAACCCTTTACACCATCATCAGTATGCATCTTCTCCATACTGTTCTCAGTACATTTCCTAAGGTTGTGACAAGGAGAATTTGTCTACCAGTGAGAATCAAGAGGTTTTTCAGTTAGTGCATGGTCATCTCCTTTATTCTGATGACCTTACTGTTTGATTCAGGGGTGATATTGTAATGAAAGCACACAGCCATCAAGTCATTAAAAAAAAGAAAAGAAAAAAAAAGAAAAAAAAGAAAACCAAATAAAAGCCATTAAAACAGTCAAAGAGAGTAAAGAAAAGATATATTGCAAACCATAAAGTAGAACCCAGAAGTAAAACAAGAGCAGTGCCCAAGGCACTGGAGTGAAAGACAAAGTCATTATGATTGTTTTTAGTTTTAGAGACCAGTCAGTATTCATCATCTGAGGAGAAAGGGGGAGAAGGGGGGAGGTGGGGAGAGAATTTAGAGCAGATCACATGGTTTTCAGGGACATTTGCTACACTTATGTTAAAGTTTAAACTAATACAGTTACAGTCCTTGCACTGTTATGTTGACTAATTTCAACTGTCCTTATGAATAAAATACTGTTTAAAGCCATAAAGTAGGTGAAAAATTTATTGTTCATGAATCACTATGTTCCTCTTCACTCTACTCATATGATCCTTCCTCACTAGACTATGTACGGATCAGATTCTTGTCGTGTATTTCTTCAAAGGAATGTTTCATCTTCTCTGCCAAACTTCATGGCATGCAAAAGATAAGAGGCTGTAAAGTGGTCACCTAACTTGGGGATGTGCTCCTCTCCTTCCATGCATTTATTTACACTCTGCTGAAATAGCTCAGTAACTGGGCTCAACATTTCAACTTGAAGAGGTTCACTCCAATATCTGCAGGTTGCATCCAGCTCCAATAATTTGCCACCCGGTAGGGTGACTGTAAGCTCCAATTCACTCCAAGAAGGGGAACTTGCCCCATCCCCATGCATGCCACCTACAGCTGTCACGACTTTACCTCCTGAAAACCTGAATGAAGCTTCACCTTGTACAAACTTGTCTGCAATTGAACCAGGGTCGTAATCACTAGACACAAGCTCTGTTCGCAAAAGAAAGTCCTGCACAAGTGGTTTGGGGAGTAGCTTCTGCTTAAGGTCTGATGCAATCTCATAAAAGACATTGGTATCCCTTTGAAGCTTTTCAAAGAATTCTGTCTCTGATCTCTGGATCAAGACAGCCATAATTTGGGCAATCAGACTGGAGAGGTTTGAATCAGGATCATTCCATCCAGAAACCAAGTTTTTCAAGCTGGTATCAGCTTGAAGGTTCTGATGAAACAGATCTATAACTGGCTGAACATCCTCAGGGGTGGGTGTTACATTCCTAGATGGGTCTTCAAAACTAAGCTTGTGTTCTGTTTCCAAGGTTCCCTGGTGTGGAAAGAAGTAACACAACCAGACAAAAAAATTGTTTGTCATCGGAGGAACTGTCTCACCAAGCTCCTTCTGCAGGAGTTCCACGACTGGTTTCATTGGTTTAACTACTGCTTGAACTTCTTTTTCTTTCCAAAACTCATAATCGCTAGGGCAATAGCGGATGTAACTCTCACAAAATGGTACTCTGCCTTTGAAAATGGTAATTTAATCATAGAGTAAAAATAGCATTAGAAACTGTCTACTTACATAGAATTGTGCATAATAGCGACAGATGTAAAAGGGCAGCTTGCCCATAACTACTACAAAATTGATAAACATAAAATACCTCTGCACTTTATCACAGACAATCAGTAGAGGGTCCTAAAATAACTTTTCCTAAAATTCAAAATTAACCTGATTTTCATATAAATTGTCATTTTTCCTTGAAAAGAGGTGGTCACCTTAGTCATCCACACCCATGTTTGCCACAAAAACCTTGTTTTAGGTTCAAATTTTTTACAATTATTTTGGCTGGGATACTTAACTCACCATTGAAACCCAAGCAGGTATATTGCAAAAATAAAGGATACTTACTGGATAACTCAATTAATTTATCAGCCAATCCTTGACTCACTCACTCACTTCCACACCCAACTATTTCCATCTTCCCTTTTGTCATTTATTCATTAAGTCAGTCAGTCAGTCAGTCAGTCACTGTATCAATCAGTCACACAGTCAATTACTATCTCAGACCGACACTCAGTCCCAAAGGCCTTTGCGCACTGGGCTGACCCCTTTTTTTTTTGCTCCAGCAAAAATCTTGAGAAGATTTATCCCCCTCAAATTTACAAGTTGTTAATTTTAATAATCATTTGTTAATCACCACACGCCAATCCCATGGATATACAACTTTAGCAGTACTTGGACCTGGGAATTCAACACGAATGTAAACTTGGGAGCCATAATAGTGTACTCTGAGTATCCTGAGTACTTACTGTCATGCAGCATTCAAAGGTACAAAATTAATCTTCCATCCTCACCCTTTGATTGCCGGATAAAAATTAAATATTCTGGCAGCCTTCTGCATAGAAGACTCGCACTCAAAGAATGAGATCAAATTTTCTTAGGTAATGTTTTCATTAAATTATGACTTGTAAATTGAAAAATCTGTCAGATTTCATGCCAGACAAAAATTTTTCTTATCCCCAGGCAAGTAAATGGTGTCTGTTTTGTTGAAGGAATAGGTGTCACCTTCTTTTATCGACGGTTTTTCATTATTACTAATCTTAAATAAGCTTAAATGCATCAGAAACAACCTGCGAACTCACCTTCTGACTTTATATCCAAATCTCCACAAGTTACTTGGATGGTCAACTCGCCGTCGTTATCACCGCTGTGATCGTAAAAGATGGTGGTATCGATCCTCAAGTCCTTGTCACAGCCTGGCAAATGCAACATGACACTTAGATATTCGGTAAAACAAGTCTCTCCCAGTTCGCCTTCTTCTGTCCTACTCTCCTGATTTCTGACCCATGTCAACAATTTAGCTGCCACGGGTCCGTTTCTCTTCCAAGCATTTACTACTTTTGTATAAGTAAGGAATTCCTTAGCTGCTGTAAGGCGCGCAGCATCGGAGAAAATATCTTCCAAATCGCTAAACTTGTTGTAGCCATAGTCGCTCTCGTCATCGGTGATTTCCACAAGGTAGCATTTTATGTAATATTCAGCTTTTACTCGCAGCAACTTTGGATGGAGAATGCTCCGAGTGTTGTTAATCACCTGTTGAACCCTCTTACAGGAGACAGCAATGCTGTGAAACGAAACCGGATCGTCCAAAAAGGAAATAATTCTGCAAAGGCAGTCGTCATTGATAGTCAGGAAGGAGGCCATATTGGTCACAATTTAAATTGAACAAATTAGGTCCGCATCAGGTACATACAAAAGTATAACACGCTTAACTGCTTTCTCGATTTTTTCCTCTTCCTTATCCCTGTGAATATGGTATATCGCTAAAGAGCTTTCATCTGAATTATTCCTGTTCTTAATTTTTGCATTCAATAGGGTATACAACTTGATGATGAAAACCCAGACCTTGAATCCACATGAGAAATATTTGTAATAGCTATCTTTACAATGCTTATAATCATTTGTGAATTTTGTTACTCTGAAAGACTCTTTTACAAAATGAAAGAAAAAAAGGAGATTAAAATGAAAAGCCAAAAAGAAATGCTCCCAAAATTATCACCCTGTCAATGTATCAGAAATATTCTTAAAAAGTATTCCTTTATTTGAACCTCACCTCTCTGCAAACACAATTCAACCAAAATATGTAAAAAAAGAACAATCATAAGAGTGAAGGTGGGTATGTTTCTAAAGAAACTATGATGCTGCATTGGTGGGAGAGTATAACAGGGTAATTTAGTATGATCGACTGTGTAATATTAATTGGCCACGGTAAAGAGTGTCTGAAAGCTTACTTTTGAGCAGTAGCCCTTCATCAGAGCATACAACAAAGGGCTAACATTCAGAAGTAAGCTATAACACTCTTTATGGTGTCAGAACAAGGGTTCTGATGCTTGAAATGTCAACTTTGAAACTCTTTACATTGGATATTATTTATGTCATCAACCTAGTTGATAACACTATTATGCGAGTGGACAACTATATACCGCATTTGAGTTTTGTTAACCAAACCAAGATAATAATTCCTTAAGTTAAATAATAAAACTAATAAAATGTTTGTATTCTTTACTTGTGTTAAATGAACTAAAGTGCCAAATAACTGTAAGACTGCACTGAAAAATGTTATCACCCAAATGAAAGATATTGGCTAATGTATATCAGTCCTTAGGGGGAAGACTAAATTAAACAAAAAAGCAAACAAACAAGAAAACAAACAACACATAAAAACAAGGTAACAAAACTGACATTAACCCTTTACACCCTAACATCAGTATGCATCTTCTCCATACTGTTCTCAGTACATTTCCTAAGGTTCTGGCAAGGAGAATTTGTCTACCAGTAACAATTAAGAGCTTGTTTAGTTGGTGGTCATCTCCTCTTTTGTGATGACCTTAATGTTTGATTCAAGGGTGATATTGTAAGGAGAGCACTCAGCCATCAAATCATGAGAAATAAAGAAATAAAAGCAATTAAAACAATCAAACAGAGTGAAGAAAAAATATATTGCAAACCTGATATTTGACTCCAGAAGTAAAACAAGAGAGGTACCCAAGGTGCTGAAGTGAAAGACAAAGTCACTATGATTGTTATTAGTTTCAGAGACCAGTCAGTATTTATTGCCTGGAGGAAATAGGGGAGGAGAATTTGGAGCAGATCACATGGTTTTCAGGGAGAATGAAGGGAGGATCAGTGGTCACAACCAGAGTCAATGGACCAATGAGAGGGAACCATGAGAATATTACAGAGTCAAATAGAGGGTTCAGGTAAATTTCATCATGACACACAACCAAAATTCTCCCAACCCCCCCTCCCCCCCATCATTCATCAATTAAGAGCTTCTTTGTTTTCACAGAAATATTGAAAATGTAAAAATTTGTTTAATTAATATGGAACTCCTTTTGAAATAAAAATCATATAATGCTTACAACATATTACCATTACTTTTTAAAATCTGTTTTAACTGCCTTAGAAAGGCATAACTACAATTTACACATCACAAAAGATTGTTACAGGGCTGGCTTACAGACTGTTGCAGTTATAGTCCTTCTACTTACTAAATAATTTACAACTATGTTCAATTTAATTAATTTCTTGACTGTCCCTTTGAGGGAAAAAAGGAATACTTTTTTTATGATGAATTGTTGTTGTTAATATAAGCTTTTATAAATCTCCAGATTGCTTAGTCAAGCTGACATGCATACCAGCATTTCTAGAACAATTATCAAGTTACGCAGTTATTAATAAAGTAATACTACTAAAATAGTTCTTTTGTAAGCTTCTGGAAGGTTCCCAAACACTTTGTGAATATACACATAAAGATTAACTTATGTACTAGCTGTTGTTGTTGTTGGAGTGATGACTGTTTTGAAAGCTAAACCAAGAGAGAGTTACCGCAAGAGATTGCTCATTTCAAGGAACTCTGAAGACAGCAGTGAGATTATGTCAGTGGTGAGCCAGGGTAGAGACTGCAGTGGGCTTAATTAAGTTTATTAACAATAAGTATTGTGCTGCTTTTAGGAGTTGCTCCTTGTTAAGAACATTACTGGCTGTTTAATAAAGTAGTTGAATTTGTAGGATTGTAGTGTTTTTCTGTCAGTTAGATTATAAACCTCAACACTTTCTAAAGCTATAACATGAGTGAAAAGTTTATTGTTCATCACTCTGTTCTTCTTCACTCTCCTCCGATGATTCTTCCTCACTAGATCCTGTACTGATCAGATTCTTAAAATCCTTCTTTCCAAGGAATGCTTCATCTTCTCTACCAAATTTCAGGACATGCAACAAATAAAAAGCCGTAAAACGATCATCTAACATGGGGATGTGCTTCTCTTGCTCCATACATTTACAAATACCTTGTTGAAATAGCTCAGTAACTGGACTCAACTTCTCAATTTCAATAGATGGTGTGTGACGTCTGTAGCTTGCCAACTTGAATTCCTTGCCATCTGGTAAGGTGACTTTAAGCTCTAGTAAGTCATCCCAAGATGATTCTCCTCTCCCATCCCCATGAAAACCACCCCAAACTTTCACCACTTTACCTTCTGAAAACCTGAATGATGCTATGCTTTCTACAAACTTGTTTGCAATTGAACCAGGGCTGTAATTACTGAATTCAAGTTTTGTTCGCAAAATCAAGTCCAGCAAGAGCCTTTTAGGCAGCAACTTTAAGTCATAATCTGAGGTAATCCGATAAAAGCTTTCAGCAACCCCTTCAAGCTTTTCAAGGAATTTTGTCTCTGATCTCTGAATTAGGACAACCACAGTTTTGGCAATCAGACTGGAGATATCTGACTCAGTATCATTCCATTCAGACACTAGACTTTTCAACTTGGTTTCAGCTTGAAAGTTCTGATGAAACAGATCTATAGCTGGCTGAGCATGGCCTGGGGTGGGTTTTTCATTCCTAGATGGGTCTGTAAACCTGAGTTTGTGTTCTACTACCAAGTTCTTTCTGTGTGGAAAGAAATAACACAGCCAGATAAAGAAAATGTCTGTTATTGGAGGAACTGTATCACCAAGCTCTTCCTGTAGGAGTTTCACCACTGGTTTCATTGGTTCAACTGCTTCATGAACTTCTTCTTCTTTCCAGTACTGGTAATCATCTGGGCAATTGTGGGTGAAATCTGTACAAAATGGTATTTTGGCTTTGAAAATAGTATTTTGACCCTATAGTCAACATAGCATTCAAGACATGCCTGCTGATGTAAAAAAGTGCACAACACTATCTGATTTAATATGTTAACTTGCTCACAACAAATTCCAATTCACTTTGATACATACATTCAGTAGAAGCTAACTTTACCAGGCATTTTAGAGCCTGCTTTGTTTTTTTGTTTATAACCTGTAATTTTTCTTTGAAAAAGAGGGGTTGAATACACCTAGGACCTTAGTCAACCACACCGGTATCCAATCAAGTCGCCAATGGTTTCACTCACCAACCTCAACTTGCCAACATATAAAATCAAGTAGAGACATTGGCGAGTTGGTCTTCAATCCAGTACAACTTATTAGAAGTTAAAGATATAGAAAAGTAAAAGATCTTTAATAAAAAAACATTTTCATTTTTTTTCTTCCAACAAAGTTTATATGGATCTCATGATGAATAAAGCAAGGTAAACATTGCCAATGACTGTAAAAGCTTCAGACGCGAACAAGTTATTGTGCAACAACAACACCATAAAGATTCATCATGTCAATCGGTCAGATTTTTTAAGAAAACTTGGCTTTCTAGACAAGATCTTTAGTAAAAAACAATTCTTTTTATCTCCAACAAAGTTTATGAGGATCTCAAGGCGAATAAATCAAGGCAAACATCATCACCAATGACCAAAAAAGCCTTAGACATGAACAAGTTATTGTGTGACAACAACACTCTAAAGACTTATCATGTCAATCAGTCAGATTTTTTTAAAAATACTTAGCTTTCTAGATAAGATCTTCAATAGAAAAAATTCTTTTTATTTCCAACAAAGTTTATAGGGATCTCAAGGCAAATAAAGCAAGGTGAACATCGCCAATGACCAAAAAAGCTTTAGACGTGAATGAGTTATTGTTTCACAACCAGCATCATTCTAGATTCATGCTTTGGTAGCTCATTTTTGAAGGTGTTTATGTTTGGTCCGTCCTAATATCAGGCTATGCCGGTGAATGGCCATAAAAATACGATAAGTATCTAACCAGAAGCTGACCAGAACCCAAAGAAGGGCTGATAGGCAAAGCTAGTTGTTTGGATTTTGGGAGAAACATGAGTTATTGCTGATGTTTACCTTGCTTTATTTACCATGAGATCCATATAAACTTTGTTAGAAGAAAAAAAAATGTCTTTTTTTTAACTAAAGATCTTTTACTTTTCTTTATCTTTAACTTCTAATAAGTTGTACTGGATTGAAGACCAACTCACCGACGTCTCTACTCGATTTTATACATTGGCGAGTTGGTGTTGGTAAGTTGAACCATCGGCAACTTGACTGTAATTCATCACACCCATGTGTGCCAAACCTTTTTTTTTTTGGTGCAAATATTTTCATGACTATTTGGCTGGCATGACTTAGCACACCATTTAAGCCCAACCAGACATGGCATAAAAAAGAGAGGTTATTGGATCAGTTAATGAATCAATAACTGACTTATTCATTTAATCAGTCACTTCCATAGCCTCTTCCTCTCATCATCTCTTTCATCATCAGTCAGACTGGTCAGACTCTCTCAGTCAGCCAGTCTGTCAGTCAATAAAGCTGATCAGACTCTCTCAGTCAGTCAGAAAGATAGTCAGTTAGTCAGTCAATAAAGCTGGTCAGACTGTCAGTCAGTCAGTCAGTCAGTTGATGAAGCTGGTGAGACTCTCTCTGTCAGTCAATCTGTCAGTCAATAAAGTTGATCAGACTCTAAGTCAGTCAGTCAGTCTATAAAGCTGGTCAGACTCTCAGTCAGTCAGTCAATAAAGCTGGTCAGACACTCAGTCAGTCAGTCAATAAAGCTGGTCAGACTCTCAGTATGTCAGTCAGTCAGTCAATAAAGCTGGTCAGACTCTCTCAACCAGTCAGTCAGCCAATAAAGCTGCTCAGACTCTCAGTCAGTCAGTAAAGCTGGTCAGACTCTCAGTCAGTCAGTCAGTCAATAAAGCTGGTTAGCCTCTCAGTCAGTCAGTCAGTCAGTCAGTCGATAAAGCTGGTCAGACTCTCAGTGAGTGAGTCAGTCAGTCAATAAAGCTGGTCAGACTCTCAGACAGTCAATAAAGCTGGTTAGACTCTCAGTCAGTCAATAAGTCACTTAACCAGTCAGTCACTCTCTCAATCTCTCAGTCAGTAACTCACTTAATCAGTCTGTCTGTCAGTTAGTCAGTCACTCACTTGGAAAGTCAGTTGGTCACTCTGTCAATCTGTCAGTAATCAATCACTCAGTCAGTCACTTTCTCAATCAGGCAGCAGTCTGCCAGTCAGTCGCTCTCTTGTATTTACTCTGATGAAGAGCTACATATAATGCTTTAAACTTCAGCTTTACAAACTCTTTACATTGGCCAATTTACATTTATTTATCAATTCAGTTGTTGAAAACACGACTCTCCCAACCAATCTGTCAATCAATCAGTCAGTCAATCAGTCACTCTCTTAATTAGTCAGTCATTCACTCAGTCAACAGTCAAGTCAGTCAACTGAACGAGTTGATTGACAGTTATCAGCAATGCAGTCAACTAAACTTGAATGCATCAATAACAACCCGCCGACTTACCTTCCCACTTTACATCCATATCTCCACAAGTTATGTGGATGCTCAACTCGTTGTCGTAATTATTGTAGTAGTCATAAAAGTAGGTGGTATCGATCTTTAAGTCCTTGTCACAGCCTGGCAAATGCAACGTGACACTTTGATATTCGGTAACACAAGTCGCTCTTGGTTCACCATTTTCAGTACGACTCTCCTGATTTCTGATCCACGTGAACAGTTTAGCGACTACAGGTCCGTTTTTCTCCCAAACATTCACCAATTTCGCAAAAGTCAGGGTTTTCTTAGCTTCTGTAAGACGCACAGCATTGGAGAGAAGATCTTCCAACTTGCTAAACTTGCGGTAGTCGCTCTTGTCATCGGTGATTTCCACAAGGTAGCATTTTATGTAATATTCAGCTTTTGCTAGTAGTACCTTTGGATGGAGAATGCTCCGAGTGTTGTTAACCACCTGGTTAAATCTTCTGCAGGTAAGAGCGAGGCTGAGAAAGGAGGGCGGATCATCCAAAAAGGAAATAATTCTGCAAAGGCAGTCTTCATTGAGAGTCAAGATGGAGACCATATTAGCAAAACTGCAACAGGACAGGCCCGCATCACGTACATACAATTGGTCAGGACAGGCCGTACTTCGCAATCACGTCACATTAATATAGCTCATAAAAGTGCTTTTGTGGAGACACAGCACTTGAATGCCTATGGGAAGTATTTATCAGCCAGTTATTGTACAACGTTCATAATTTCATTTGTGAATATTGTCATTTTGAAAGAAACTTTTACCAAAAAAAAAACAAAAAAAAACACCAAAACAGCCAAAGAGGAAGATCCATAAGTCTGAAACCCACCTCACTGCAAATGAAACTAAACTCACAATGAGTCACAGGCTTAAAGTTATGAGTCACCTAAACCCACTGGCATACTTCATGAAGGACTTACAAACAAATAAGCAAATAAAAACATGAGTGAAACCAACATTTAGCAACACAGGGTTGTTGTTTGAAGTCGGTAGGTGGTGGAAACTGCTCATCTGTCAGACTATTTTTCACCAGCTACTTTGAGAACTGGGATCAAAGACATAAAATAACTATTTTCAAATTTACTCTTGCATCAATGGCTGGCTTTAAAAAACCAAAGTATGTGTCAGAATGCTGGGAATCACGTCTCAGTGGGTTCCAAATTTTTGTGGGAGAGTATGCCTCCAGACCCCCTACAAGGGTGTGTTGCTTTGCAACATACCTTGCCTACTCAGTTCCTCCCACACATGAAGATAAAATCTGACAGTGAAACATCAATACATTAGACAGTAATACCCAAGAAATAAAATCCCTTGAATATTAGGACACAACATTGAGAACATACAATCTGCATTAAAAAATAAACTTGCTTTATTGTTTCTAACATTTTAAACTAAATTTCATAATCCTATTAAAGCTAACAAAATAGATCATGTTACTTAAAGAATACTTACAACATGTATCTATTCCTCTTTAATTAAATTTGTCTTCCCTTGGAATATACACACTGAATTTTACTTAGCATTGCCAGCTTACAATTATTTTCTCAGACTATAAAGGCATCTCATTGGAATACATACAACAAACTGTACATAAACATGTACAATTCTATTACCATAAGTCCTTGCCTAATATTTTGAATATCTTTGTATTAGGAGCTCAAAGAAACACTGTACTGGTTAGTTTTTCATGTTACACCAAATAGTACAGTGTAGCATTATTTTATCATATGATAAGCTGAAATATGCAAGCATTTTGATCGGTTATTACTTATGAGCCATTGGAGGACAAACACAAAGATAACATCACCATTAACAACATTTTGCTTATCAACAAAGAGATTCTATGTTGGTGCAGATCTGTACAGTAATCAAAGATTATGTCAAAATGTGGTGGAGTATTAGTGACACAACCTGCTGCAGCCTTGTGTGCCACTTTAAAATTCTTACCACATTTTGTCACCAACTCTGATCTATTACTGAACAGGAGTACAGCAACATGGAATCTATTTGTTAACCCTTTCACTCCTTCCATCTTGATACAAATTCCCCAATATGTCTTCTATGCATTCTTGTGATTGTAGCTCTGAGAATTTGGTGTTGAATCAAATAACGTGCCCCCTGCTGATAATTTTCTATCTTCTCATCATGTTTCTGGTTGATGTTGCATTGATATTGTTAGGAGAAATCACTCATTAGTCACTTGTAGGACTGAAAGAGTTATAAATAGATATTTACATAGATAATTATGATTATCAGTGATTGTTTAAGCAATCATGGGGTAATTCTTCAGAACTATTCAAACAAAGGACATTTTAAACTTTAATATATCTTGGCTGTAAAAACCCTGAGTTTGAAAGGAGTTACAAGCTCAGCCAGCCAAAGTATGTAGGAACATTTCTATTTTAAAACAAATTGGTTATATAAATAATCATCACTGTTTAACAGCCATCTTTGATTTGGCTCTATGTTCAGTACACTCACTGGGCCTGTTATTTTCATGAGGTCTAACCCAAACCACAGTTTTACACAATCAGTGGGCCTCTGGCTTTCACTTTAACCCTTTGACTCCCAGGATCTGATTCTTAATTCTCTTCACTAGCTGTTACACAGTTCCTTGTAGGATAGTTACAAGAATTTGGTGTTTGATCAAGTTAAAAACTTCTACTTGATAAGTTTGAGTATTCTCATTACCTGTTGGCTGGATAGTGTATAGATATTATAGGGAGAAGTTACATGTTAATCACTTCTGGGAGTTAAAGGGTTAAGAGGGTTGATTTAATGAAACAAATGTCCTTCCACTGTTAGGTCTTGGCCCTCTTAACACTGTTCACTAATTAAAAACAAATGTTCAGATAAAAGGTTCAGCTGAATAAAGAATTGTTTAGGACACAGTTTTGTTAAACTAAGACAGTCACTCAGCTTTGTTTAAATAATCACACCACTCAATCAATACCTGATAGTCTCCTCATTTCTAGCCCCCAAAGTTCACAATTGAGCTCACCAATTACGCAAAGAAAAAAACAATTATTCCCTAATTATGCTGTGGTACAGATTAAAAACAGCATCAAATAACTTTTGTCCCTTTCTCTGTAATCAAGTAGTAACTCATTAATTTTGCACATTTCTTGAATGTTAGTCATAAATCACCCTGTTACAATAGCTTGAAGGTTGCAAAATACTGACAGCAAACCACACCAGCCAGTTTCTGCAACTTAAGTCCCTCTGTGCATATTGAAACTACATCTAGAACAAGTCGCAGTGACAAATTACCAGATGTGCCAGGCCTTCAGTTGCAGTGACTACTGGGTATAGCATGTGACAAAGACTTGATGTAAAATGTGCCTTGTCTTAAAAGAGTTGCAGAGAGAAAGTTTCTATGTTTATAGTGATAGCAGAGCTGTATGGCACATGGGGCATTTGTCTTGGACATTTAACCATTTTCGAAGGCATAAACTGTGAAAATAATGTCTACAAGGAGTTACTTTTGCAGCTTTCAACTCCTCCAAACAGATTGAACAAACATCTTCAAGTTCATCAATTTCTTTCTCTGTTGCTGATGGCAATGAGTTCAGTTTTTGATTCACCTGATGACGCTGTTTTAAACTCAGCCAACCTTCCTTTGCAGGAGTCCAGATATTAAAGTAGAGATGCAGCACTGCCATAACAATTTGAAACAGTGTCCACTCTAAACTGAAGTCACAAACTCTGTAGAAAAGAACGGCGGAGATGACCACAAATTCAAAAACTTTACAGGAGCCATTGATGAAGTACACATAGTCATCCAGTTCTTCCCATATTTGAGTTTGATGGGACTCATACACATACAAGAAGTACAATACAAGTGCAGCAATTATCTGAGCAATGGTAATGACATTTGGAGTAATGAAAGGAATTTTCTCTTTTAAAAAGTACAAATTTACTGCCAGATAAATAGATGCTCCCAGGAGTGAAATGCAAAATGACAAAACACGTAAATGTTTGCGGTAGATGATGCTTGGTTGTGATGCAAGCCCCAAGAGAACAGGTTCAGTTATTTCAAACATTGATCTTGCTAAAGCTGAAATGATTAGATAAAAAATCAATTCCAAAAGCACAAGCTTTCTACTTATCTTTGAACTTGAAAGTCCAGTGTAAAGACCAAGAAAGAAAAATCCGAAACCTTCTCTAAGACCATCAGGAGAGCTGTAAGGGTCACCAGGGGGGGCAATATTATCCTCATGATGGTATCGTTTGATGATATTCAGTATATATCCAGATAGCTTGTAAATTATGAAACAACATGATGTCATTGAGAGAACTGAGTTGCAAGTTAAGGCCATTGTTAAATTAAACAGCTGCAAAACTGTCACTGATTCACTGGAGAACAGCAAAAAACTCAAACTGTTGTATAAAAATAATATCCCCCATAGAGTCATCATACAGAACGGAACTTTCACTCTGCGCCAGTGAAACACAACAGTGACAGTCAACCCATACATTCTGTACATCCACTGGATAATTTGTGCTGATGTAATAAAATGCGTGACAATATCATGAATGCACTGGTAGGTGCCTGTTATAGCCAAATAAAATGCAAAACCAAAGCAAATGCAGAGCCATAAGGATGGATCATCTTTCTGATTTGAAGCTGACATATGCCGTAACATAACAGGGAATGCTGCCATTGAAAACATAACTGGTTTCAAAGAGTTATACACCCGTGAGTACATTCCAAGTGATATTAAATACACCATCCAAGCTCCAGTTATCATTAATAGCAGAAATATTGCACCATCTTCCGTAATCAACTTTGAGAGACCTTGTTCCTCTAAGGCATTGTACAGATTTAAGCTGTTGTATGCATTCAGGTACAGCATAAATGTCACCACAGTGATGAAAAGAGAGTGGCTGTAGAAATTAATGAGTTCATCTCGGCCAAGAAGGGATAGTACCAAACATAAAACAATTCCTAAAAAAAAAAATGCAATAGAACTGGGTCATTAATATAAGTTATGGTTAAAGACAGACCTCCTGATACAGAATGTTGTGTACTCTTGTTAACCCCCTCCCAAGATCTCATGAATAATTCTCCTTACTGTCTAGCATACAATTCTTATCATGTAAGTGCTGAGAATTTGGTATGGGATCAACTACTAATCCTCATGTTGATGTTTTTGTTTATTCTCATCACTTGCCTGTTTGATATCGTATTGATATTGTAAGGAGAAATTCTATCTTGGTCATTCATGGGAGTTAAAGGGTTAATTTTTTTCAATAGTTTGTTTCCATATAAATACCATTAAGAAATAATAGTAGTTATAATTATAATAACTAAAACAGATATCACAACAGTAAGTATTAAATACATAGGACAAAATGATTATGCATTCCCTTTCAGATATGTTAAGACATTGAAAAATAACGAAAACTAGGGCGAAAACATCATAGCCCAGAGAGAGTGAAAGGAGCATAATCATTTACTTGTATTGCTTCTCTGGTCCACCAAATGGCATTTAGAATAAGTGCGATGAGCTTAGATTTACTACATTATTTTAATTTCGCAATAAAGGAAAAAATGTAATTAAAAAAAGGTCTTTGGCCAAAGGTTCATTCTCACGACAGCAGGAACTTCCGAAACTGCTTGCTCATGTAAACACACAGTCAAAGAGACAGGGCTGATTGATATACCAACTACCATTGATGGGTTCAAGCTTATGATAAAATTCTAAAACATGGATAACGGACTGAAAGTCTAGGACGCCTGATCAGCGTATCTTTAAGCTCAAAATAACTAAATTCGACAAAAAACGTAACAAAAAACGTAACAAAAAACTGGATATATAATCACCTATACCATGGCTTTAAAGCCTTTAAAAAACACGTTAATGTGATCAAAATGAGATCAAACTCACCCGATAGCTGCATTAATCTTGCATAAGGCGTCCATTCACTGTAATGTGCGATATCCACGCAAAGGAACCACTCTAAAAGGACCAGAAACGGCACACGAAATATAACTTCGCCCAACGCCATACTTTTCCCGGAAACACTCTCTGTCTGGTAGCAAAAGTACAAAGAATCTGATTGGGTGAAAAATATCTAACCAATGAGTGATATTCTCATTTCAAACTATTTTTAGATATTAGAAATGCAATGATTGGTAGAAGGGTTGACCAATTAAAACAAAGGAAAGAAATAGTTGGCGGATAACCCCCGGCATGCTTCATCTTGTTACTTTACACATGTTGAGTTATGGCGGCTGCTGTTGCTGAGGTGCCGACGCAAGAAAGCGTGAACGGAAAGGTAAAATAAGTGGACTTATATTGTTTAGGTTATCTTCTGTTTGATCCTTGATTTCTTTCTTGCAGCTTTCTTTTGTGTTTTAGGGTTCGTTTCCGCCTGAAACGTACAAAAAGTGGCACTTTGAACATGCATTTGTTAACTCCGTTGAAACAAGAATAAATTTAATCCTCGTGTTGTTTAAAATCGTGAGCGAAATTATTGATGGTTCAGTATGGATATTTTTTATCGCTATGTGTAGCATATGTCTCTTTGTTTATTTTAATGTTTATTTTAAAAGCTAAGCTCATTTCGTAAAAAATATGTATTCGGCGATAAACTGTATAGATAAACTTTCAAGACTGCGGCAGCTTTAATTTCCTTGCTTGATCCCATGGATGCGTTCATCAACTAATCAGTTGACCTTCAGCGAAATAACCGTTCAAAATTATACTAATGGCTTTCGTTATTTTAGTTTACCTCGTACACTGCTGTTTGGGCAGTAATGTAAAATGCTTACTTTCGATTGCAAGATATTCAGCTCAAGCAGGAACTTCATGAGTGTGTTTGTCCGACGATGTGTAGTCTAAGAGTCTAGTTGTCCACAGGGCAGCTAATGGTAATTACTTATACCTGATCACTTTGAGTATTCTCGGTAGCTGTTTGCTGGGTGATGTGTGTAGTCATTTCATGTTGATCACAACTGGGAGTTAGAGGGTTTGTCAAAACCATAGCAAAATTTTAAAACATGGTTGGTTATCTTCAGCCCCATTTGCACTTTAATAGGGCATGTTATGCTTGTAATTGGACAGGGTAATAGGACAGTTGACACATTGTGTGTGTGTTGGTGGACGATAAGCGTCACGTGTACCCTGTTGTTGCACATTTTACCAAGTTAACTATTTGTTTTTTTAAGGAAAATGTATAGTGGTTGTCTAGATTCTCTCTCAAATTTTTTCATAGTTTTTATTAATTGGTGACAGGACTTCGCATTGTCCAATTTGGTTGGTAATCATACTCATGATTAACATATCGGACTCCCGCTTGGCAGTTGTTTGAGTTTGTTGTTCACTGGTATGATTACAGACTGAATTAAACTTTACTCAGTCCTGTTACCATTATTAACAAAACATACTGCCCTATCCACCAGATGAAGATTTTTCCAATGGATAGCATTGTCCATCCTTTGAACAACTGGGATCAATAACTAAACATTTTGGCTCTTCGTACACATTGTAGGTTGATCAGTTGGCTGCTCAAGCACCTGAAGAGAAGACAAATGGCGAAGGTGATGGTAGCCAACGGAGAAGACGGAAAAGAGGCTTTGATGTTGGGCCAGGGGGAGGTTTGTTGGTCTTTGAAATAGATCTTCAATAATGCTCATGAAAGAGTGCAAAGCTTTGGCTCCTACATGTACTTGAACACTCTGCGATATTATATATCATCTCTATATTTTTATTTCGGAAGCTTTGAGCAGAACATGCACATGCAGTTGAAGAACAAAAAAAACAGACCAACCCAACTTTCTTGGGTTCATCTAGTGTAGCTGATTCAAGACATTCAAAATCCCTCTCTTTAAACTACACACAGTGTTTAAAAATTTGGGCCTCAAAGTTTTCAAACAGCAAGAGAAACCTAAATTTTCTTGTTTTTATGTTTTCAAGACTTTCAGCTGTTGCCTCTTCAGCAACAGCTGTAAGCACAAACGGAATCCTTTGATCAAAACAATAGCATATTACACACATCTGGCAATTTAATAGCCTTTGTTTATTATGCTACCACTACAAGAAAACTTGAATATAAATGAAAAGCTTCCTGAACCAGTAGTAATGTCCTAAAATCCTGTTTGAGTTAAAAACATCAGTACAAGCTGGAGCAAGAGTACTCTTCATACCACATGTAGTAACTTGCTGTAAATCTTCATTCCTTTTCTTTTTTTTTTTTACGGTGGTTGTATTAATACAGTGTAGATGGATGATAACATTTCTTTTTGCTTTCTCTCTTTTTTTCTCTTTCTCTGTTTTTTGTCTTTTGCATCCAAATCAAGTTAGCCAGTGCCGGTTTGGCTTGAAGCCAGGATAATCATCATGACACTGACTCGATCTTTGGTGGTAAAACAAGTGTATAATGGTTTAGAAATATTTATACCTGTAATGAAGAGTTATTCTATCAGTACTCTGTCACTTTTGTCAAAGAGACTGACTGACATTATCAAATGCAAATCTGTTGGAAAGGGATAATTTTATCCTATAGAATACGTGGAAACTTTTTTTTTTGATCATTTGTTTTCACACATTGACCGACATGCTAACAAATGCTGAAAAGATTTAGACCTAAAACTTTCTCTTTTGGCTGACATCGCATCAATATTCGACAAATTTGATTCTTAACTCATCATGCCAGAAATTTTTCTTTTAAAAGGTGTGCTTGTTGATGGAACTCCGATTAAACATGAAGGTGGTTATAGGTTTATCATTGATATCTTCATGATTGCTATATAATTATCCCATAGAATCACCTGTGGCTGGCGCAGCAAATGGAGATGTAGAAGATCAACCTATTGATGATGGATCAAATGGAGAACTTGTTATTGGGCCAGGAGCAGGTGGTATGCAGCCACGCCCCTCAGAAGTAAAAAGGGCACTGCCTCCTCTGACCTATCAACAGGAAGAGATGCTCAAGAAGGCAAAGAGATTTGCAATGGAACAGTCTGTCCAACAGGTCAGATTTTGAAACATGAAATCTTTTAGTGTGGTGGTGTTGGTTGAACTGCATGGAAAATTTAGGCTAAGAGTTTTCTGTTCCATAGTTATTGCCTTTTTTCATCATCCATTGTTGTGGTCAATGCTACTCTAACTTAAGAACTCTCAAGCAGACAAATTGCTTTGCGGTCATGATAATTTATTTATAGTAATGAGGTAGATAAACGTTCTTTCCCTCCATCCCTTCGGCCACTGAATATTAAAATTTTTATCAGGGTTCCAAACACAATTTGAAGTTTTGAAAGAGTAGTGAAATTTGTGAGCGAGTATTGTCAGCTTGGAAAACAGCATACTTAACTTCCAGCCTTGATCTGTGAAACAAAAACTGAATGTATGCAAATTGCCATGGCCTGAGCCCTTAGCAGCTGCCTTTTTCTCATGCTACAGTAGGTGTTTTTACTCGTCACAGTTGTGTCTGGAAAGTGTTAAGATTAACTTGGAATCTTTTCCATAGATATGTATAAAAACCCTTTATATAATAGCCTGTATCTGTGATCTTACCCTTTTTTCTCTCAGGTGTTAGCAAAACAGCAAGCTCTCCAACAGCAACAGATGTCTGCCCTACAGACAGCTGCTCAAAGACAGAGAGCATTAGCTCTAATGTGCAGGTAGACTGAGAAGTCAACAATGTACTGTAGTTATTCGGTTATAAGGCGCACCGTTTTTTTCAAGAAATTCCTAATTTCTACTAAAAATTACTACCAAAGTTTGGGTGCGTCTTATAGGCGAATATTTTCCCGAAACAATTTTTTTTTATCACAGTTACTGGTACGATTTCAAGCAAATAAAATGACACACACACATTGACTTTTATGAATATGGTGGTTCTGAAAAGACAAGGGAAGTCAAATTTGCATAGATGTGATACATGCTCAAGAGCACGTGCTTAGTAATTTGATACGTCACAAAACGAAACGAAAATAAACAAGCGAAGAGGTAAATACCTTCTTCATCCTTTCAGCCTTTTTAGTGCACGGAGACCTGCATTCTCGGCAGTACATCTTGTTTAATCAAGGCTTTTGTTTGTGTGCGTGGTCGCGTGTGCGACAATTCTGATTTTGTTGATTAATGGTAAACTAAAATCAATACGCGACTTTTTCACTTTTTTGTAAGTTTATGAAAGAATTTACAATAAACTTGACCGATCTTTACTCCCCAAACAACGGTGCGCCTTATAACCAAGTATTTTAGTGATTTTCTCAGTTTGAAAACATGCAATAATGAAGTTGCCAAATTGGGGGTGCGTCTTATAGCCGAGTGTGCCTTATAACCGAATAACTACGGTAATTACAGCCCTAGCAGTGTCTTTCATGTTCTTCACTGATGAATGCCAAATGGTCTATGGTCTTTCTCCGAATGTGCATGATTGTAGTTTGCATTGTTGAACTGCCTCATCTTGTAACAGAACTTTGGCAAATTTTTTTCTAACACTCCCTAATATTTTTATTGCATGAACGTTGAGAATTAAAATAATATCTTTGATATTCTTTTGTTTTCAGGGTGTATGTTGGGAGCATCAATTTTGAACTCCGTGAAGAACATGTCCGACAAGCTTTTATCCCTTTTGGTCCAATTAAAAAGATAGATTTGTCATGGGATCCTTTGACCATGAAACATAAGGTATGTTCGACTAACAAGCGGGGACCACTCTATAGTAAATTCTTCTTTTACTAGACTGCTCTTCTGGTACATGCTGTACTTTTAAATGAAAACCCTGTGTGCGTCAAGTTATATAGATATATATTCTATTTAGGGCTTTGCGTTTGTGGAGTATGACTTACCAGAGGCAGCCCAGCTTGCTTTGGAACAGATGAATGGTGTTCTGCTTGGAGGGAGAAACATAAAGGTTAGTATTTACGCCTTGTGTCCTTTTGCAGACAGTGATTTTCCATACTTCTGTGGGTCTTTTTGATTAAAAATAGTTTGTTGCTCTATTATTTCCGAGATAGAAAAGTAGAGGTTTACATCAAGAGTCATTTGCATTGCAAGTAATGCTAACGTTTTTTGTCTGTTCATCAGGTGGGTCGTCCAAGCAATGTACCACAAGCAGCACCACTGATTGAGCAGTTTGAGCAGGAAGCTAAGAAGTATGCCAGAATCTATGTGGCTTCTGTTCATGCAGATTTGGCTGAGGATGACATAAAGAGGTGATTGCATTCAAAGTATTAGATTGTGGCATACTCTTTACTGTAGTTCAATTTTGAAGGTGACACAAGCTTGTTTGATTCTTCTGTTAAATTGACCTTCTCATACAGTTCAGTTTTTTTTTATTATTTTCCGTGAGTGATTGTAGCCATTTTGTTGGAAAAGTAGTTTTGCTTGTGTAGGTGTAGGCTCGTTTTCTGTTTTTCTTGGGCATAAATTTATTGTTTGCCTGTTTCTTTGCATATTAGTGTATTTGAAGCATTTGGTAAAGTGCGCAGCTGTGCTCTTGCTCCAGACACCATGCCAGGAAAGCACAAGGGCTACGGCTTCTTAGAATATGAAAACCAACAGTCAGCCACAGATGCCATAGCCTCCATGAACTTGTTTGATCTTGGTGGACAGTACTTGAGAGTAGGTCGAGCCATCACACCCCCAGCATCGGCACAGACTAGTAACGGTACATTGCCACCTGCAGCTGCATTAGCTGCTGCTGCGGTGTCAGCAAAGATACAAGCACAGGAGCAGGGGCTGACAAGCACATGTAAGGATGAATAAGTTTGTGCAAGTTAGATTTAAACTTGGCTTCTGCAAGTGGTAACATTTTTGAGACCAGATGTAAACCAAAGAGAGTTTTATGAATTCATGGATGAAACCAGATTTAGGGCAGCAGGATTTTCAGGTTTTAATAATCCAGCAAAATTTTCTCCTGTTATAGTCATGAAACAAAATTGAAAATAAACAACAATTGAGTTTGGTGGACAAACTATATGACAAAGTCAAATAATTTGAATTATTCCTTACAAGCATGTGGGACCCTTTTGGAATTTTTATAAAAGACACCCAAAGTCTAAGATAAGGTTTCTATGTTACTGATATAATGGGAAAGGTTTACTGGACAGTCATCTGTAAAGAGGTGTAAAATACTTTGTTATGTAAGAGACTAGCACAAAAATCCCAAACAAGATTGCTTAAAAATATCAGGAATTGGGAAAAAACTGTGTAACTGTAAAATTTTCAGATCTAAAATGTTCAGTTCCAAGATCCAAAATCCACATATATGAACAAATAAACAAACAAAAAATTAGGCTCATTTTTTTTTTATTTCGTATATTTTGTTCTTTGTTCCCAGTCCCAGCCATTACAATTGCTGGGAGTACAGTGATCACTTCCATAGTGGGTACAGCAGGCCTGGTTGCTCTGCCAACCATGGCAGCTGGAACCCTTGCCCCTGGAACTCTTGCACCAGGAGTGATGTCAACAAGTATTGCAGCACAGCCAATTATGACAGCATCTACAGCACTGCTAGCAGGTAATGTCTTTCCCTTTCCCTCACCCCTTCCCCCATTTACCTAATCCATTCCTTTTAAGCTACATGTACTGTTTTGCCAATAGACAAAAAAAGTGCTCTAGTAGAAAAAGTAACCCACTCTGCAGGTTACTGTAGTTGCATTTTTAAGATATTGTGATTTAAGATGCTAGAATTGAGTGACCAATGCATGCATGTGTGCTATTCCTAGTCAAGTTAGTCACTCATTTGATTTGATTATAAATCAGTAGTTTACTGTTTTATTCTTAGGTCCCCCAACAGCAGTTGTGACACCAGTGCCTGCAACACCTGTGGTAACCACCACAGGCCTACCAGTCCAGTCAGCAGCTGTTCAACAGCTACAAATTCAACAGCAACAACTTCTTGAACAGCAACAACAACTTGTACAGCAACAGCAGTTGCAACAACAGCAGCTGCAGCAGCAATCGGCCCAGGTTATTGCAGCACAACAGGCTGAGGTGCGTGCCAAGATTGAAGAGGAGACGCAGAGAAAAGTGGCAGAGAGTAGCATAAGTCATGAGGAGAACATGTCAATATCTGGTAGTAATGCCAGGTATATGGTCATGCAGAAACTGTCTCGCAAAAGTGAGGTGAGTGCTATATGAGGAAATGATCCTAGATGTGAGTGTAAAACAGCTTTCTATGCAGATTTTCTTGGGAACAAATATTTAAATAATGTTGCCTATTATAGGCATTCAGTCAGTGGCAACAAGCAAAATGCTGGTATGTGGCAGAAGGTGATTGTAATTGTCAGGTCACCAGTTTGTACAGACTCTAATTCTTATTTTTTCCTTTGCCTTAACCTTCCATTGATTTTTTGCACCTCTCTTTTTGCCCATTTCCTTTCACTGAGAGCCTGGCACAAGCTGATTGCTTGTGCAAGTTATGTGAAGTAAGCAAGTAAATTTGGTTTTTTTTAAAATGAGCCATCTCCTTATTTCAGTCTAAAGTTCTGGTGCTGCGAAACATGGTAGGAGTGGAAGATTTGGATGAAGAACTGGAGCATGAGGTGACAGACGAGTGCAGCAAGTTTGGAGTGGTCAGTAGGGTGGTGATTTATAATGAGAGACAAGGAGAGGAGGAGGATGCTGAAGTCATAGTTAAGATATTTGTGGAGTTCACTCAACCTTCAGGTGACTAGAAATACTGTTATCTTTAATTATTACTTGTACTGCCTTTGTGGTGATATGGATTAAAGGTGGTGCAACTAGTGCGATTATCATTGTATGAACAGTTTCCACAATCATACATATGCTTAATGGCAAACCAACAATAGTCTTCACTGTCCCAAATAACATCTCGAGTGCCTGTTTTCTCTCCGATCGTTCAAATCAGTACATCTAGTGCAAAGTAAAATGTTGGCCATTCAGAACTGTACCAGTCTTTGGTATGCATGTTTGCAAAGCTGTAACCATGCTTTTAATCAAAATTCAAGTGAAAGCTGAATCAATACTTACCTTTTTCTTCACAGAAACCGAAAAAGCTGCTAATGCTCTTAATGGAAGATGGTTTGGGGGCAGGGTTATCAAAGCTGAAGGATATGATGAACTGAAATTTGGTGCTGGAGACTTATCAGGATAGACACTGCCCTTGTTCCCTGTGTATTATTTTGCACTCACAGAAAAAGAGATACACTCTAGTTAGCTTTTTCCTGACTCAGTTCACTTAACCATGGAACTGCTACCTGCTTAGAGTATTTTGACTGAGTTTTTGGTAGTAGCAGCACTAGCTATACTGGTGAACCAAAGAGAAAGATGACAGAATTCTGGCCAGCACCGACCAGCATTTTCCCTCTCACATGGCATGCAATGTTTCTTCTGACAGGAGCCCATCAGCAGCAGCCTCTATCTGCATTGATTCCTTGAGTCAACCCTTTCCCGAGTAGATTTATTTTTAGAACAACTTTTTGCTGTAGAAAGTATCACCCTTTGGTCAAGTCAACCACGAACCACAAAAACTGGTTTTCCTCACAAATACATGTTTGGTGGGAGTTTGATGTAAAACATTAGGATGGTGAAAGCTCTGTTTTGATTAACCCTTTACACCCTATCATCAGTATGCATATTCTCTAAACTGTTCTCTATATATTTCCTGAGATGCTGACAGGGAGAATTTTTTAAACAATCAAGAGCTTCTTTAGTTGGTGATCATTTCCTTTATTCTCATAACCTAGATGTGTGATTTGGGGATGATATTGTAAGGAAAAATAATATTAGGTGCTAATTACTCTTAAGGGTTAATGGATTAAGACTTCCTTGGGGAGATAGAGGCTCCTTTCCATGGCCTCCTGCCCCTGTACATAATCTCTGTTACTTTTAATGCTTTAATGGGTCACCTGTGGTATTTTGATAGCACCTCAAACATTTGCCTCTGAAGAGGATTGAAACTGAAGAAAAGGTTCCCCTTTCTATTTTCTAAAACTAAACGTTCCACAGTGTCTTCAAAGTTGCTTTGTTAGTAAAGAATTAAGACTCTAGGTTTGAGAGATTAGGAGAAATGTCACACTGTTGTCAGGCGGTAAGTTGCTAAAGAAACTCTGGTGCTGCATGGGGGTACTACAAGATAATTGGGTTTTATCAACTGAGTGGATAAATGTAAATTAACCTCTTTAGAGAGTTCCTAAGGCGGATGCGTTGAGTGTTAGCCCTTCATCATTTGCCTTGACAAAGGGTGAAAAATGTCAGCCTTAGAGAAGGTGTGCTAATTTACATCATCAACTTACTTGATAAAACCAAATTATGTTGCAACTATTAAAAGCTCAAGCCCCACTCAGACAGTCTTAATGTTGTTGTTTTCCTAAATAAAAGCTTGGAAGTAAAATCATTTTGTAATGGCTAGGTGCTTGCAAATTCAAACCGATTGATTTGTGGTTAACAAAAAAATTAAAGGCAAAAGGTTTGCTCCCCTTGAGGGCAAAAACTTTTAAAAAGTGTTGTTATTTTTAACCAAACCTTAAGCAGTTCATAGGCAACTTGTAAATACTTATGAAAAATACGTTTACCTGTACAATGTTAATAAAACAACAATAATAAAAAAAACAAACAAAGGTATAAACTGTATCTTTACATTCATTAGATTTTGATCATTTGCATGATAACTTTGTGCAACACAGAAAATCATTAATTGTGATCTGTAACATGTTTTTATTGGAGATAAGTTACATTTTCTTCTGCCAGTCTAAAACAACAATAGCTTTGTTTCAATGTCAAGAAAAAGCATTTAAATTTTTTCACAGATTTTTGTCATTGCACTGTTGTAACCTATCGATTTCCTGATATTGAGCATCTAACAGGTCAACTTTGAAAAATAATGTCACTGACAGTCTTTCATCCTTAAAACTATGATGGTACTTCTGGATTTTTTCTTAATTTTTCTGAAATTAACCAGTCAAGGTGCTTTCCAACTCCCCATCTTTATCAAGCTCCTGTAGGAACAAATGATTTGAAGTTCATTTACAAACTATCCAGAGAATTTTCAGGGAGAGTATGGACTACAAGACTTTCAGCAGCCATTTTTTTTTTTTTAAGTGTCTTGCTGCATAAGAGACCAAATAACAACTGTGAAGGAACACAGGAGATGCACATTATTGATGGGACTGTAGGAGAGTGCTGGACTGAAGACGAAAGGGTCCCAGAGTTACAAATGCAGTCTAAAATTACTCAGAAGTTTCAATTGAAGCTAGAATCTAACAAGAAAAGTTGCTTTCAGCCCTTAGCCCTCACCCCTTTTGCAGTGAACTACAAGGGTGGGGTAGGGATAATTGATGTGCCCCTTCCACAGTGTGTGGGGGAATAGTTCATGACATGATGGACGCCACACATACCGCGATGATGTCTATTCCGCCAATTAGTTCTCCCTTCACATAAATCTGTGGATAAGTCGGCCAGTTAGAATATGTCTTGAGACCCTGGCGAACCTGAGATGTAAAAGAGAGTTATTCTTAGTTTGCTTCTCCTGTTATTGTTGTTGTTATTGTTGTTGTTGTTGTTGTTGTTGTTGTTGTTGTTGTTGTCGTTGTCTACTAGGCAAATTAAATTTTACCTCTTGATCTTCCAATATATCAAAAGTCTTGAATGGGACACTGAAAAAATGGAAAAAAAAACACTCAAATTATTCTTCATGGGATTATTACAGATTATGCTTAAAAACCCTAAAATGTTGCAAGATTTTTACAACCAATCCAACAAGCCTTGAGTCTCTAAACCTTTTTCAGTTCTCGCATGTTTAGTTTCTGAAAGCCTTAATTAGAAAGACCTGAACAAAAACCTAAAAATTCCAAACCCTGCTAGAATAACTCAACTCACCTAGGATACTTTTTCAAGATTTCACACAATTTCCTGCTGAAACCACACCTTGGACCCTATGAAAAAAATTACTAAATTTAAGTTACCATGACTATAATCACAATTTTAATTCACTAAACAGACTTGTCAGTTTCTCTAGCTTTCCTTTGAAGATTTCTTAGTTGTATGCATTAAAAATAAAAGAAGAAAGGTGAACATTATATCATTCTACAGATTAAGACGGGTACATGTTAAAAAAAAGAAAGGAAAACACCAGCAAAAGGTTCAGGTGGATATAAACGACTAAGTGGCATAAGATTTCACTTCTTTGTATAATTAAAGTACTCAGCACCTCAGAAACAAGAAGGTGGTGAAAACCCAAGTCCCCTGGGCTCATGGAGGACACCACACTACATAGCCATCTTTGCCATATGCAGCTAAAATTCATCATGAATTAATGAAATCTAAACCCACCTCAGGATTTCCTTTCATGAAAACCATCACAGGGGCAGCTGAGATAAGAGACTGTAACCTTGAAAATAAAGTTAACAGTAGTGTGACACATGCAGAATATATGCATAAAGCAAGAGATGGAAGGGTGGGCTTATTGGACTGAACCATGTTTTAATAAGGCTAAGTTTCTAATTGTGGTGCTGTGTGGGTGAGTCAGCCACCACAAAGAGTTTCTAAAGCTAATGTTTCCAGCATCAGCCCTTCATCAGAGTGAATGGTTTTGTTTGTTTGTTTGTTTTTTTGGGTCAGAAAACTTTTAGACTAAACCTTTCCCTTTTTTTTTTTTTTTTTTTGAGGCTGGTATTTACCTTTTGTTAAGATCTTCTTTTGTTGACAATGTCGATGTTAATTCCCCACTTGCTGCAAGTTCCTGCAATGAAAATACATGGAAAAGGTCTTAGTAACACAAAGATCATGCTGATAGCATTTTCCTTTATATTAACCCTTTAACTCCCAGATCAAATTTTTAATTCTCCTTACTGTCAACCATACAATTCTTATGATGTTAGATCAGAGAATTTAGTATTGAATCAACTAATTATCCCCATATTGATATTTTTCTTTATTCTCATCACTTATCTGGGTGATATTGTATTGATACTGTAAAGAGAAATTCTGTCTTGGTCACTCATGGGAGTTAAAGGGTTATGAGTGTTTATCTGGAAATAGCAAGTGCAGCTGACAAAGTAAAAAAACTGAATTTCCTTCTATTTGGCCCAAAGAACCCTTCTGAAGGTAAATGATTTCCAGAAATGTCATTTAAAGCTTCAGTTTACTTCCTTACCCAAAATTTACATACATCAAAATTTCTCAAACTGGGCCTGCTGCAGCAGCCATGAACATTTGAATTTGGTGTATACAAAAGTCCTTAAACTGTAAGTGTCAATTATTTAAACAATGTTTAGTGGTTGTTTAAGAAAACCATGTTTTTAGCCATCTTCAATTTATCCAAAAGTTCTATCTGAAGATTTATTTTTGAGAACAGTGTCAAGACAGCTGAATGCTAATAATGAATGGACATTTATTCAATCAAATCAGTCAGCCCTCTTACAGAGAATCCCTGAGGTACACAACTTGCATTAAACTACAGTTTGGTTAGACCTCATGTAAATGACCAGGCCTTAGGAGTGACAAGCTTCTAACTTTGCCTTACACTAAAACTACTGAATCCTTCATTAAGATCATGAGCAGAAAGGAAATGATTGCCAACCACAGAAGCTTTGATTGTTAAATGAATTCTCCTTGTCAGCACCAAAGGAAATGTAAAGGGAAGAGTATAAAGAATAAAGATACTGATGTTAGGGTGTAATGGTAGGGTTAAACTGCCCAAATAAACATAGAAAACACTGTCTAAAAATATCCTTTATAAAGTTGGTTGCCCATTTCCTAAACTTTTAATTCCCTAAAGCGATAAAAATGCAACTTCTCCCAATAATAACCATACATTTTCTAGAAAACAGCTAGTGAGAATACTCAAACTTATCAGGTGGCAGATATCTTGATTTAAAACCATAACCTACAAGGAACTGTGTGATAGCCAGAGGGAATAACTAATCATCAGATCTTGGATTAATGGTCTTAACAATACGAGGAAGCATTTCCAAACCTTCACTATGTCCAGGCCTCCAACAAGTTCCCCATCAACATATAACTGTGGGTATGTGGGCCAATTTGAGTACACCTTTAAACCTATTATAAAATAAAACAACAACTTCAGATAGATACCTCATGCTTAACTGAGATAAAAATGATACAAGACCCAACTCACAGCAATTTATGTTCCTTCTGTCACTCAAAATGAATGAAAGATGGGGAAAAACTGTGACCAACTTACAAACCTTGTCTGACTTCATTGTCTGTAAGGATATCAAAGTGACTGTAATCTGCTCCATGTGAATTTAACAACTCTACTATTTGCCGACTAAATCCTACAATCAAAACAAAGAATCAATTTGCTGTACTGACATGAAACAATACCATCTTATAAATGTTTAAAGCAATTTCACAACACTCTGAACTTCCCAATGGCCTCCTCAAGGCAAACACTTAAAAAAAAACCTTTAACACTTTAAATAATTAAACCCTGAGAGCTATGAGCATGTAATTTCTCCTCACAGTAATACTGCTGAATCATTCATTAAGATCATGAGAATAAAGGAAATGATCCACAACCAGAGAAGCTTTGATTGTTAAACAAATTCTCCTTGTCAGTACTAAAGGAAATGTGCAAAGAAGAGTATGGAGAATGTAGATACTGATATTAGTGTGTAGAGAGTAAAAAAAAACAACAAGTGAATTCCCTAAATATCAGTACAAAAAAGCTAGATACAGACCACAGCGAGGCTCCTGAGGTGATCCTTTCATGAAGAGGACATTTGGTGCTCCATTTATGATGTTCTTCAACCTGGTATTTAAATCCTGAGAAACAAACAAAACTATAGTTAATAGTAGTGACGCATTAATGTACCATTTCTCATCAGCAACCACAATAAAATGATATGAAAGTAGCTAGCTCAAGATGGCAGACTTGCCAGTTGTTTTGACCAGCTACTATCTCTTAATGACACATGGTTCCCACATTCATAGATCTTTTTAAAATCCCTGACTTCTCCCAGACTTTTCTCAGACTCTTCCCTGAAATTCCCTGACCAACTGAATAAACAATATCGATTATAAGTCCTGACAATGGCCTCATACCTCCCTTCCGTCCTTTAAGTTATGTTTTATTCAGACAAGTAACATGTAGAGCTTATGAATTGACAGTTTCTTAAATGCAACATAGAAAAGTAGTTGATTTTCTTGAAAACCAAATATATCATCTTGTTCTTCAATTTCATGAAACAGTATTCTACCAATCCAACACATTTTATGTCCATAAAATGTAACACAGAATATGAAATGTTCAAAACCATGAGAATGGGAGAAGTTTAATTCACGAAGTAACTTGAATCACACAGGGGAAATAAAAATGCTTGTGGGAATCTATTAACTGCCAAAAAGGGTCAGCATTTCTCATCACAAAAAGGGCCCCCATAAGATTAAAACAAGATTTCACTCTTCCCTGACGTCTTTCAAAGAGGTAAAATTTCCGTGACTTCCCCTAACCTTGCAGAAATATTTTTTTCCCTGAATTTTCCCTGACCTGTAAAAGTACATGTACATGTAAGAGTAGAACAAAACCTGTAGAAAACCTCTGGAACAAACCTGTTTTGTGTCCTGTTCTTTTTCTGCAGTAACAGTCGTGGTGATAATACTTGCATGATGTTGAACTTTCTTGGTCAAGGCTGGAGCATTTGCTCCATCCAACCGATCCACAACCTTTTGGTTCTAAACATAAACAAGTTAAAAGTCATGTCCAACAAGTTTACTAATAATGTCATCCACAGTAATCAAAATTAGTGCCATTATTTTTGTGGGATGCCCGTGGCAAACCACACTTAGTATCCACTTTGAACATCATAGTGGTAGTTAGCCACATCCTTGTACTTCTCACTGAAGTTAAGCTTGAAGTATTAACACTGAAGGGTTAACACTTGGATGAGTGACCACACATAACATGTTACACTGTTGCCTTTTTCTGTCTTACTTCTGTATTATGATGAGTCAGCAATAAATTTATTACTTCCATGTAAAACCAGAGTGACCAAAGATAATGACCAACACATGCCCTACGAACGCCTCCAGATGTATTGTTATTGCCATAATTATTGTCGTCACCATTATGGATGTCATTATCCAAGTGATTATCATCATGCTCATCAACATTTCTCAGGATAATCCTCATCAAAATAATAGTTAACCCTTCCACTTCCAAGAACGAAATATGAATTATTTACACTGACAGCCATACATTCCTTTTAATTTTCACACCAAGTATTTAGTGTCAAATAGAAAAATAACACCAAGTCTATATTTTTATTTCCTCTCTGCTTAGAAATGTATTGATACTATAGGAGAAAATTATTTTTTATCACTACTAACAGAGAAAGGGTCAATCAGATTAACCTGGGTAGTAAGGACCCCCACAATGGGAAACGCAAATCTTATCCAATCCTATCCCGTTGTCCTTGACCCTCTGCTGATTGACTGGCATATTATCTCTCTTTCCAATATCTCCCAGCCCCCTCCCCCAAATCACATATTACACAAGAATAAAGGAAATGATCACCAACTAAAGAAGCTCTTGATTGTTAAACAAATTCTCCTTGTCATTACCTTAGGAAATATATAGAGAACAGTATGGAGAATATGCCAGGGCGTGAAATTGCTCCTAATACAGGGCCAATGCGATTACATTTTTCATCATAACCTTACCAAGAGATATAGTGAATTAAAAAGATTTGCAAAGATAAATCTGCAGCAAACTTCCTCATTAAGTTTGTTTCCAAAACGTACCACAGGCATCTCGATCGATAACTAGACGCCATCTTGGATTTAGGTGAGCCTGAATGTTGTATATCATCCATCCCAGTGTCCACTTTGTAGCACATTAGAGATCGTTTCCCTTACTTAATTTTGGAGGGTTTATCTAGAACGCTGACAGCATAAAGAATGGTTTTGTTTGTCTTTGAAAATGGCGACCACCTTTTTTTGAATTGGCTACCACTTTGAAGAATTTAGGAGCCAAATGGCTATCAGAAAAAAAAAATTTATTTCACGCCCTGTATGCATACTAAAATTAGGGTGTAAAGGATTTACCCACCTTGAAAAGGAGAAATGTTGGAACTGCACTTATTTCATATTTAAGAGATATTTCTGGTAGATTCTCAGCCTCAATCTACAAACAAAAAATATGTGGGACAGAAGTTGGTCGGGCAAAATAATTTATTGATTATTGAAATTATTGTGCTGTGTTTGCAGGAGTTTATCAATGTAAAGTTGATGTCAGTACATCTCACTCAGAGACTATTTATTGCCAAGGAGGAGGTTGCAAGGGATTCTGGGAGATGATCACATGGTTTTCAGGAGGAACAGAGAAGTGATCAGTTATTACCAACAGAGTGTAAAGGGGGGACAGTGAAAAAATTACTGCCAGTTAAATGAATGGGGGAGGGGAGGGGGGGTCCTAAGAATATTACAGAGCCTTATAGGAGGATCAGGTTCATATCATGGAGACACAAACAAAATCCTCCACACCCTGTGATTAATAATGAATTGTCCCCTAGGACTTTCCAACAATGGGACTGACCTTCACAAATTTGACATGTGAGTTCTCCTTTGCCAACTCTGTCATCACTTCATTCATCTGTTTACATTGAGGAGCCCATGGAGCATGGAAATGTACCACAGTAAGGGCACTAAAATTGATTAAAAAAAGAAGACAGGGGATTTTGTTCAATACCACTAAGACACCAGCACTTACAACAGTGACACATTTTTTTCATGTATCACAGAACAAAGCACATTGCTATTCTTTAAAAAATACTCTCTTTCCTTAGGTCATCTTATTGCCAATTGGAAAAAAAAACAGTCAAAAAATAAACAAAGACAGCAAAATAAATTGGAGGTTATCAACATTTCAACAGGGACCCTGAAGAAAAATATTCCAAATTCCTTCCACATAAAATATGCCTGGTGTACATGTTTTCAAGCATACATAATTTATGAAGTACCACCCTAACAGTAACAAATTTTATGTTTATTTCCTTTTCCTGTAAATAAAACAAGAAAAACATAAAACTAAGCATTTAAAGCTAACAGCTTTACAACATGGACATTATGCTACAACACACATGACAACTATGTATTTGACATTTTCTATTTAAAAACGGAGACTTCAAATTAATCTATAATAATTTGAGTTCACTCTAAATGTCAAATTATGCTCCATCATTTCTTTCATACAGGATTAAATATTAAGGGTGATCGGACAAATTTTTGTTGAGCCTCAAAAAATTAAGAAAGTTTAAATTTGAAATTTAAGTCACAATTGAAATATTATACAATAGAAAGAAACGGACTTTACGAGCTAAAAACACCACGCCTTGGTAGTGTTTCTCGCCAAAAAAATCTCGTACTGAAAATAAATGTAACTTAAGTTAATCGCATTCAATTTGAGATTTTTGGTTGTCAAGTTCGAAGCTGAAAGTTTTTATGCAAAGCTTAACTTTAATTTTATAAGCAAAGTGTCATCCTTGAAAGTGTCACCTTGTACAAATGGAGCCGATCGTGTCGAGAAAGCCAAAATTAAACTGAGCATTTTCTGTATCACCTAAGCTTGCGGCGATCTCGATTCCTTTTCGTATTAGGACAGCACATAATTTGCACATATGTTCCCGCGATTTCGTAACAAACATTGGTTTTGCTATCAGCAGAGAAAAAATTATAGGCAGGTTGAAACATAGGACATTAACTCACCTGGAAGAATTACCCAAGATTTTATCAAATTCCGTGTTGGAGTTAACTTCTTCAAGCGCCATGTTCTTTGAATTTCTACCATGCACTCGCGTAACAACCAGCAGTAATAATAGGAAATTTATGCGCAGTAGACGCGCAGTGCTTTTTTTAATAACCACAGGGAGCGACTGGGAACGAACATCTGATGAAACCAGATCGCGTGAGGTCGCGTGAGATCGTTGGTCTGATCACGTGACTTAAAATGGCTTGGTAACGGCATCGCTCCCGCTTCAGTCAGAAGGGAAGATGAAAATTCCCAACTCACTGCACGTGCGAGCTCGTTCAGAAAAAGTTCACCCACTGAGACCTAAGGGAGGTGAATCATCCTTTTCGTTGCCAATGAAGTGATTAATGTGAAATTGCCTTCTTTTTTCATAGTAAAACGTTATTTCACCTCGTCGAGAGCAGGAATAATGGGGTCTTGTCTAGAGACATGTTTAACGAGGATATTAGATGTAAAATGAGAACTGAGTGTTAGACTCACCTTGAAGTACGATTCAATATCAATTTCTTAATCATTTTTTTAAACCGAAATTTAGACAATAAAGCTAAATTACGACGATATGGTAAGTCTAAACTCAGCTGTCACACTGAACTCAAACCAGACTCCAATAGTTATTGCAGAGCTTGAAAAAGCTGTTAGAAAGAGTTACGACGCTGAACTATCATTGAAGATGCACCTTTTTGGAGGACGGTAAAAAATACAGCCCTATTGGAATGTAAAGAGCAGTGCCGTTTGCTGTGTGTGCGATTCTCCGAAAGAAAGCAATGTCATTTTAGAAAGTTCAGAGGTTTATTCTTTCGAGCATTTTGTTTACGCCTCGTGTGGCGTCATGCGTGTGCACCCTCGGCCCTAAGGGTTCCTGTAAAGAAAAGAGATTGCATGGGGGTAATGGCAGTGAGAGGTACCCTAAGTCATTGGATTAACCATTTTTTCAGGGAAGGAAGGGGGGGACGAGGAGAGATTGCTCGCTTAAAAGATTTTAAAAAAGAGGAAAGAAAAAGATTTTTGGTGGATCTGATCAGCAGAAAGAAGCAACTGGAGAAAAATATGGCACAGACGAAGACGTAGAAAAGTGTGGTCCTCTTGAAAATATTCCAATCTCCCCACTTACTCTAAAAAAATAAAGGGTTGGTCTCTTTTTTTTTTGGAACATATGGCTCCACGAGCATCAACTGTGAAGGACACTAACTACCGTGACCTAGCGTGCAAGTAGGCCCTCATTAATAGTGCTGCCGGAGGCACGTTTTCCGCCCAGGGAAAGAAGATTTGAGACGAGTCGCCGATAAGTTTGCCGAGGATCTGGCACTAATATTTTCAGTGCTAGACCGCTTGCAAACCTGTCGCCGACTCGCGTTGCCAAAGGCCTTAGAATTTCCCGCAGGCGAGAAAACGACTGCGCCGAAGCACTAAAAAGGGTAAGAGACCAGCCCTAACGGTTCTGTGAAAAGAATAATAAACCCACACAGGCGTCACAGATTTTGGAATGTTTCTTGACGATATTTGTTAACAGCTGAATTAGTTGGTCACGTACATGAAGTATAATTATATATGTACTTCTGATTTCATTTGTACATCATAATATATCTCTAAAAATAAATGAATCAATTTTTATAAATGTCTGATAAATTAATAAAATTGTCTATTGCTTTCATAATAAATATTTTATATCTGTATTATAGAATTCAATTAAATTATTAAATAAATTTGAAGCCATTAGCTCAGTTACCGAATATATCGATAATAGCCTTGTTACCAAAGTCATTAATCTTTCTCTCAAACAATCATAAAAAGAGCCGTGGTAACAGCTCGTTAACGAGGACGGTTAAATTTTTCAAAATGAAACGAAAAGCACAGTTATCATTAGGAAACATATTTCGTCCAAAACATTCCACGTCCATTTATGTTTTCGGAGGAGCAAGACAAAGACAGGAGCCCATCTCCTGACACAGGCGACATTTGCATCAATGTCAAAGGAAATGCACACCTACCCCTTCCCCTAAAGCTGCGTTAGGGGAATTGTGGAAGCGCATTTTCTCAGATATTAACATTGATCCCGACAATTACCTTGACCAATTTTCTTCAACCTCGTTCCCATCGTCTTTTCCCTTACTTGGGGGTAGCCCGCCCCACCCCCAAGTAAGGGAAAAGGCCATGGGGACGAGATTGCAATTTTTTAAGGATTTTTTTCGACTTATCCGTTGTCTTAAAATATATCTACATCGATTCATAATAAATACTTCGCTCAACCCTATACAAATTGAAATCGTTCATGATTAGTATTTAAAACGTATGGTTTGTTTGGTCGTTAAGCATTCATTCTTTCATAAAATATGAAATGATTTCAACATCTGACAAATAGTAAAAATTTATACAACAGTTATGATCATTTTCATTGGACTGCAATGGTTCTAATGAACTTCTGTGTGCGGTCTGTAAAACCTAGTTATGGGACGCACACCCTAGATCCTACCATGTAACTGGAACGGCTTGGCCGTGGAAGGTCTAAATACGAGACTATGCGCACCCCCCTTTTACTTCTTAAGAGCTCCATAGGAAATTTAAATCACAGGAAATGGTTTGCTATTTACGTCGAAAATAGTTTACCGCGAGGATTATTTTTTGTTGTTGTTGTCCATTGATAGAAGGCTCTTTGTAATTAGTTGTATGTGAGACAGCATAAAGGTACATCACAAATAAAATGACTTCCCTGAAGAAAGAAGCTATAATTTATCGCCGGAGGGGGAGGGGGTGGGAGTGTAAGATTTGTTGATAAGATAAGGTCGGAGAGAGGAGCAGTCGTCAATGACAGTCAACACTTTTATCCCATTCAACCTCTCTCCTCTCCCCTCTTGCCTTCTTCAGGAGCCTGAATATGCAGGCCACAGATCACTGAAAGGTTCAGTCAATCCTAATGTATTGGTAGAATGCAGAAGATATTTATTTGAGAGGGTTCCTTCGTAAATACAAGTGCTGTTGCTAAGAACAAATTAAGCCAAAGAATTGTCAGTGGTACTCTCGCGTGAGAAGTCCCAGCCCGCGACCGACCACAAAAATTGGCGGCAAGTGTGAAAAGTTTTCGCGTCTCAAAGGGTAATTAAAATAATTTTTAAGGGAAATTATTTACATTTTATGCAGAAAAGCATGTCGTTCTGGAACGGAAGATATGGCCGTAAATTTTTTCAACAGCAACTGGCCATGTAGTTGAGAAGGACCCCCCCCTCCCTTAAAGCTAAAATTTCATTTAAGAAGCTCAGCAGTTGTACAGTCGTCAAAAGAACATGCCTTTCAGCTTAACCCCCCTCTCCCCTTCCCTGGCGATAAACTAGGAGCGATCTCTGATAGTAAAGTCTTTCTTGTATTTTTACCTTCTAAAGGCACGTAGTCTGCGCAGAATATGAATGCTCCATGTTATCAAACGAGCGCAAAAATAGGGAAGGTCATGACCAGCCTCTAATCATTTACGGCATCTCATACCAAGGCTGACAAAATCGATGATCATGTAATACACTTTCCACGTGAAAAGGAGTTTAATCCTTTCGCTCATGGTAATCCCTCTCATTCTACTCCTCGTTCTTCGAGTCGGAACAAAGAGAAGAATGGGGTAAGGGAGTGGGGGCTCTGAAAATGTGTTAGGGGCCCTAGCATATTCGCCTCGTTTTCGTGAGGCTAAGCTCCATCTGTTTGAAGTCCCCCCCACAGGGACATATATCCGCCGTGTCTCTGAGCTCTACAAGTAGATGTACCTGAGGCCGTGTGCCACTAAGTGTCTTTGAGCATTTTTAAGACATCTCTAGAATTCTCATCAAAAGTTCCAGCTCATAACTTTCCGTACTTTCTTCTTTTTCTTCGGTTTTTCTTTCAAATTTCCTACACTTCTGTTTGACTTGGCGTCTTCTTCAACGGTCTCTTCGACAAACCCGTCCGTTACATCTAGAAAGACACGGAAAAATTATTCTAATTAAAAGACAACTGTGAGGTGTACTCGTTAGCGAGGCAGCTATCTTAGCTGCAAAGCTACGGTAGAGCTTACCTAAATCTTCTGGAATACTACGGTTTTTCGAAGTTCTTCTCCTGTGTTTCTTTTTTGCCTCTGGAAAATAAACGATCCGCTTTATAAACCGCAATTAACACATTACTTACAACTTATGAGAGTTCTAAGCAAGCAAAACTCAAAATTTGTGATGAAATTTGTCGGCTAATACCTGGATAGCAAAAGAGTCATCGACTCACGAGTATAAACAATAAAATCTGAGTCAAAGACACTAATTAATCAATTTCTGATGCCCCAACAAACCCGTGGGGTTATTTTTGATACCCCCCCCCCCCAAAAAAAAAAAAAAAATACCAACCTAACTGATCCTGCCTGGATCCTTGAACTTGGGTCACGTGACTCGATTTGTCTGAGATTGCAGGCAGGATCTGGCCAGCAGCACTAGCTGCGGAAGGACGCTTGTCTTTCACCTTACGGTATAAATCTGACTCCAAATTATCACTGAGAAATGAAAAAAGACGACTACAAAGTGAGACAATTAAATAGATCTTTTTCTTGACAAAACAACTGTTGCCTAACGCAAAGAAAGAAAAAAACTAGTGTCAAACAAGGAAAAAAGGTAAATTATGCTAACTACGAGGAAAAAAACTAGCTTCATACGCGAGAAAAATGCAAAAAGTTCAATCGGTGCCGAAGGCGCGAACAAATGCAATTGGTGCTAAGCGCAGGAAAAATGGACCTAATGGTGTGCCAACAAATGCAACTGGAGCCAATTGCGTAGTTATAATATCTGGAGCGGAACGAAGAAAAATGTAGCAAGAGATTTTCAAATCATTCTCCAGAACTTAGCTGGAAACAAACCTGACAGTGTTAAGTGTGAGCGTGTCAGCCTTCACTTTTCCTTTACGCGCCCAGTATATGTCATTACTATCTGGAGTCCCCGCTTCTCTCGGACTACCTGTAGTAGGACTCGAATGCTGCGTTTTTGCATTCACTGGTACGGGGCTTTGTTTTGCTTTAGCTATCTTCAGTGGTGCCAAAAGTAACTCTGTGGATGGGGAGGGTGGCTTCATTTCTACTGGTTTCAGCGGGGTGGGTTTGTAGTTGTCCAGTCGTAACCTTTCAGGCATTGTCTTTGATTTGATAGGTGCAAGGGCAGGAACTGGAGCGCCTGAAGGTCTTACAATGGGGGCTTGATCCTGAAAAAAAAAAAGGAAAAAAAAGTGGTTGTGAAAAGAATCCGTGATGTTCACTTTCGAGAAATTTAAAGAGGAAACTTTGTAAAGAAAAGGGGCCCCGATCCCGTTTTGATGCACGCGTTACATATTTAAAAGGGAAACTTCAAATCTCTCCCCTCGTGTACGAGGTTTCAGGGAAATCTTGAAGTTTTCACGAGCTAACAGAAAAAAGAATCACGGGTCGCGTATATTTCAGGAGGCAAATCACGCCTTACTCTGATTCATAAATTCACGAATCACGCTCGGTTCTCTGTAAAATCAACGCATCACATATTGATTTTGGCATTAATTACGCGTCAAGTAAAAACCCTTTGCTACCCTCCTTGTCAAATACGAGGTAAAATGTGGCCCGCACCTCTCGTGACTGCTGAGAAATTTTGCATCAGTCCTAGAGAAAACAGGTCAGCCCACAGGTGGAGTACCAATTGAAGTTTTTGAAACAAAGCAATTCTCATCAATTCCGGATCTTAGTACATATTTTGAGAGATCGACATACCTCTAAAAAAATCTGCGCGAGACAACCCAATTGCCTGAGACCCCCAATTTAAATTCCGTTAAAGATCTTTTTTATTTAATTTCTTCAAACTTCATCGATACCCAATTACCTCGAACAGAAATTTTCACTACAACGGTAATTGACTGTCGTAATGTAAAATTCATTAAGAGAAACTGACTGATCAGGCAACTGAGTCATACCTCAAAACTAAATCTTGGCAAGATGGGTGGTCTTGTTGGATTGCTGTGCTTGCCATCCTCTGGGGGTACGGGTGAGGATGGTATGGGTGTGAGAGCCATCTGTGGGGGGTAGCGACTGTCCTCCTCACTGCTGTAGCCGCCTGTGTCACGCTCTCCATTCAAGTTGGGATGAAGGAAATCTAGGAAAAGATTCCTTCAATCACTAGAGGACATTTCTCAAGAAGAAAACTTACTTAATAATTGTACCTATAATCCTTAGATTCATGTACTTGTAATCCGGCAGAGCCAGTTGCCTGGTGGTATAAATACCAACCAAAACCACTTACCAAATGAGAAAAAGTTTTAAAAGTTTAAATTTTTACATAGTAAAAACAATGTAATTTGCCACTTAAACTGCTACCTTACTAATGTAAAAGGTAGGTGTCTACAATATTCAGAGTCTTCCCTTAAGTGGCTTGCAGACCCCCAGATATAAGACTGCCATGAGTCTCCGCTCAAGGCACCAGCTAACATTAGTTGATAGAAGGAGCAAGTCTTGTAGCAACTGTGGTATTCCATCAGTGGTGGTACAATAAGATGACTGAGTTTTATAAACTGAGTTGTGATCATGCAAATTGGCTGCCGTAAAGGGTTTCTAAAAGGATGTTTTGAGCAGTAGCCCTTTGACAGAGGGAATGGTAAAGACTTAACACCTTGAAACTTCATTTTCCAGTTTAAAACATTATCACAACTCAGTTGATAAAATCAAAGTATCTTCAGTTCTAACACTATTTGAGTTGGTGGAAGGGGAATAAGGAGGGGGGGTGGTGTGAAGGAATAATTGAAAAAAAAAAAAACTACTAAAGCCCTGTGGATCATTGAGGAACAGGTGATACACAACTGCTCTAAATCTCAAGGAGCCAGCAGTAGCAAAGGTGCAATGAGAGCCTGCACTTATAACAATCACTGCTGATCCTACAAGCTCCTGAAGCTTGCGATGATTAACTATGTCTAATTGTCTATCTACATTAACGTGAAAGAAAGAACTCATTTTTAAATTTTTATCTACATTACAGTAGATAAAGATGATATCAACCTACAGGGTGATGCCGGGGGTGTAATACTGGGCCATGCACTAACATCATGCAGCAATGAAACCATGTCCCCTGTACAGAAAATACCCCGAAAATTAGTCACTATGCATGCATAACTTCACTGCACAGTTGCAGTATCCACCTGGTCAGTAATATAAGAGAAAATCACAACAAAATAACATGATCTCCAATAAAACAAATAAACAAAGGAAACAATAAAAAATTAACATTTTCTCAACTGTAAAAAAAAAAAAAAAAAAAGTATAAAATCAAGTGCATAGTTTATATGCACTGCCCTTGGCTTCTGAAAAGAGACCCAAAAACTACTACAATGCAAAATATTTCTAACCCATTTCATCTTCAAGAGAATCTCGAAATTGCAAACAAGATTTGCTAAAGATTCTAGGATACTGAGAATCCTCACTATAGGGGGGAGCAAGAGACATGCAAAAAAATCAAACTCTGCTTGATCAGTCCCCAACCTGTTTCTATGCCATCCTCTTCTTCTCGGTTCATTTCCACAAGAACTTGTACAGTTGTCGTACTGTTGCCAAGGATTTCTTGCACCTCTGAATCACTGGGATCTGTTTGAAGCTGAGAATCAAAACCATTTGTTACTCCATCATGGATTTGATTAAAAAGCTGGACACCATCTGATCCACGTCGACTATTTTCAGGAACAGGAAGACTTTCTGCAGGTGAACCTATTACAAAGAGAATTTACAGGAAAAGAAAAACCTTCAATAAGAAATAGCACATTGAGATTTTCCTGTAGTAGGGTCAGAGAGGAAGGAATTTAGTTATGAAAGTTAGTTTATCTTATGGTAAAGATAAGGATAAAAATTTGGTCTAAAATGAAATTAGTTCTGATGTTTTTACTGTTTTCTGCAGCCATAGTCACATTGATATAGTGATTAAAAAAAAAAAAAAGTGGAAAATTAATGACAAGCTTTAATCTAACAATGTGGGTCTGAGAGCATCTTAAGTTTTAAATAATGTTTTTTCATATTTAAAAAAAACCATGTCTGCCTTAACAAGGTGAAAGCTAGAATGTTTGTTCATTTTAATTGGCACAAAGTTGAGAAACTGTATGTAGACAGGTGAAGATTCTTTGTTTTGCTTTGTTTTTTTTTTTCATTTCTCTGCAATATGACACATTCCTATAAAAGTAAAATGTTAAATGAACTTACATTTCAGTACAAGAAAAGAAAAGTCTTTGTTTGTGGAAGAAAGTCCACCGAAGACTAGTTTGAATGTATTAACACTCTGTGACACCTGATAAGAACATGTTTGGAACATCACTAAAAATATTTAGAACAGTTTTGAAAATCTGATGTATCTTTGGATGTGATTGAATAAATATACTCTTAATCAGAAAATTCTGGTACTTAGGATACAAGAAATTCCTGCCTTTGACTGAAAAAAATCAGAGTGGAATGTGTATGGTGTATCTCAACTCACAGAACTTGCAGGCAAGATATTAAGGTAAAGATATGCACACAATTGGCCGCTAAAGAAAACATAACAATTTTAAAAAATCTTATCATATTCCATGGTACAAAGTTTAATAATATATACATTTTATAGAACAATTAAAAGTTATATCATAATTTCTTATCCCTGTAAAATTGTACATTGAAAAATGAATCAAGCTCGACTGTGAAATGCTCTCCTGACAAAACGGTGAACGAAAATCCACAGAATATACCTGCAACTTACTAGAACTGAAATTCATAACAGAATTATGCTTCAAATGTGTTAAAACTCTAAACAATTTTAAAGCTAATATTATATCTAAATGTTAGATAATATGCATGAAAGCAAATTCATAATTTTTTTTTTACCAATTGAAAATCAGTTCTTTAAAGTATACTGCAGCAATAAGCTGCATGTTATTGTTTCACAAAGGCCTCTTAGTCTAAAAATGGAAAGTATGTGACAGTGAATATTTGCGTACCTGCATTTGACACATTTCCACATAAAAACAATCACTTGAGAACCTCCATACATATAAAACGAAAGCTAAAAGTAACATAATGACCCTCTGAACAGACACTCTTACCATAAACCAAATGAATATTTAAAAACTACATGGATGAATTAAGTACTTACTTTATACACAAAAGAGTTCACAGTCTGATATAAATAATACAGTGTCCACCGGTTTTGAAAAGTAAACTCCAACCATGTAATCAGCGGCAACAATCATGTGTTCAAAATAGCATGCAAATCTAAAACTGATTTTATCTACCACACACTGGGCAGAACCTGTCTCTTGTCTAAAATGCAAATTTCAAACAGCATTTAATTTCAGCAAACAAACCCCAAACAAAAGATGAATTAATTGAAGACAGAAGCCTAGCTACTTCTTGTAAAATTAAAAAAGGTATGTTTTGATAATTAAAAACAGCCAAGAAAGAGATCAAATGTAAAACTTATACAAATTAAAAAAATTTATTTAGTGGTATTTAAAATATAGGGCAAGACAAATTTCTTGCTTCATCATCATAAGCCACATTTACAAGAGTTTTCACATTGCAAGTCCTCTATTTAGCAACAATACTAAGATTGTTTTTTGCAAAACATAAAAACAATAATTATTTGTACGTACAGAGGCAGGTGTAAATTTGCATATCAAAAAACAGCCAAAAGGACATAATAGGAAAAAGAGCAGCTGGAGGGGAAATAAAAACCTGAAGTCACTTAAGGTGAATATTATTTCACTCTGTTGTAAAACCTCAACACAAGCAACAAAACTGGATGTCACAAAATTATGTAGAAAACATCATCACAATACCCACAGAGGGTTGTGTACATCTTTAACTCTGCACAAAAAAAAAATTATAGCTACCCTATTTTTAATGATTGTAATTTCATAAAATGTTTTCATTTCAACATCAGATCACCAGCTTATAATTTTTTTCATTTGCATGTGATTCCAATGTTCATTAAGTCTGCAATGTAAGACTCTATAGTGATCAATTTAATTCCGAAAAATTAATATGATCAGACAGAAGAAGCACTAATATTTTTTTAGCCCTTTAAAGACTTATTCAACTCAGAGAATAGAGATAGATATTATTGAGCATGTATGATTATCCAAATAAAATTTTTAGTACGGTTCAGTTATTCTAAATGTGGTCTTTGTTGATATCAGTTCAAAGAGCCAAAAATCTTTCTATAAAAATCTTTATAAGTCTTGTAACATAAATTCAATCTCACATTTTTTCAAATTCACATCAGACTTGCAATGGTACATCTTTTAACTCTTTATAACCCCTCAGAGTGTCGAGCACCTAATTTCTCCTCACAATATCACCCCTGAATCACATGATTATGAGGTCACAAGAAAAAAAAGAAAAGAACACCAACTAATTAAAGAACCCCTTGATTGTTAAACAAATTCTCCTTGTCAGAACCTTAGCAAATGTATGGAGAACAGTATGGAGAATATGCATACTGATCGATGGTACGCTTTTAAGAGTTCAACCTGAGTAGGGTTTAAACAGTTATCTACACACTGTGACAAAAGTTTTCTCGGGAGAGACCTATGTAAACCAATTGTGATATTGAGTTTCCTAATAATCTTCATCAAGAAGTGATCTACACAGGAAACCCAAGTTAAGGTTGCCAACATCAGCATCATTACTTTTCCCACAACGATGATGGTCTGTGTTTTCCAAAGATTTTGTAGTAGCCATGCAGACAAAGGAAAAAATGTATTCCAGAACATGATAGGTATTTGACTGCTTTGTCTGATTCTGTTAGTTATGAGTAAACCCCTTAATTCTCTCACTCCCAAGATCTAATTAGAAATTCTCCTCACTGTCCCCAAACAATTCTTATGATGATAGTTTGGAGAATTTGTCATTGGATCAACTAATAATCCCCTAATTGGTACTCTTCTTTATCATCATCATTTGTCTGCTTGATATTGTATTGATACAAATATTGTAAGGAGAAATTCTGTCTTGGTCACTCATGTGAGTTAAAGGGTTAAATTTCTTTTCCTCAGGTGGGTTATGTATTCAATTATAGTCTTCTTTCATCATAAAACATTAACCTTTTTATGTTGTAATTACAAAATCAGAGCAGAATTACCTTTTCTCACTGGTACTTCTGTAGCAAGAGGATTTTTAGGATCATGAGCCATTAACAACTGAGAGCAGACAGAGTGGTGTCCCTGTTGAGCATACTGTAATGGAGTTCCACCATGTTTGTCTTCAGCTTCCTTGTCACTTTCAAGTCTCAGCAAATGAGCAACACAATCAGCATGCCCAGTAGCTGCTGCCCAGTGAAGAGGAGTTCTATCACACAAAAATAAATAATGTTATAGACACTTCATTTTTTTGGAAGTTGCGAATGTTTTCAAAGATGGACTGATAAACAGGTTAGTTCCTAGAAAACATAGATTATCTTTACCATCAGCCAAGGTACAATCAGTTTTTCTTGATGCTATACTGTTGAGTGCAAAATGATCATAACCCTCTTTGTGCTAACATCAATATGTATTCTCTCCACACTGTTCCAAAGTCAGAATCTAAGCAACTGCTCACCTTCCCCTCCCCTTATCCAACAACAGTCAACTGATAACTGGTAAGGGTTATTGTTGAGTTAGGGGAGGGGACTAGGTGCACAGCTGTTCAGATTCTGAGTTTGGTCTGCTATCATAAGCTCAATGACTGGGGTTTAGTTCAAGAACCTCAGTATACATATTCTCCATACTGCTCTGTATACTTTTTCTGAGGTGCTGACAAGGAGAATTTGTTTTACAATCAAGAGTTTCCTTAGTTTAGGATCATTTTCTTTATTCTCCTGACCTTAGCATTTGATTCAGGGGTTAAATTGTAAGGAGAAATTAGATGCTAGTCCCTCTTAAAGGTCAAAGGGTCAACAGTCACAGAGTGATTACCACTTAATAATGATAAATAAAGTAATGTGCATGCCCCACTACAAGATTACCATCTACATGTGTTATCTGATTGACTATTATTACCTGCCATCATTATCCAAGGCTTCAATATTTGCAAATGGGACAGCAGTCAGTTCAACAAGGACATAGTACTGTCCTGCCGCAGCTGATAAGTGAATGGGTGACCGTCCCGAGAAGTCTTTTCCATTGACAAGGTTGTGACTGTTGCACATTTCAAGCATCACTTGACAAGTTGATACATAGCCATTCTAATGGAGAAACAACGATAAAAATATTAAGTAAAATTAAATTGCAAAATGTTCCAATTTGGGTATATAGTCAAGATCGAATTACATGCAAGCCTGTTCATTTTAGTAATTAGCTGTTGAACTCCTCGGAGTGAATGGGATCTGATCTCTCCCTACAGTGTCACCTTAAAATCAATTGTACAGATCAGGAGAATATAGGAAATGATCACCAATTTGAGAAGCTCCGATTTGTCAAACAGATTCTCCTGGTAAGCACCAGAGGAAATAAAAATTGAACAGTATGGAGAATTTGCATACTGATGTTAGATGTAAAAGGTTAAAGATGTATTTAACACCTGAGCAGCCCAGTGGAGAGGTAATTTTCCAGCTGTGTCTCGTGACAGAAGATCAGCTTTCTTTTCCAACAGCAATCTAACATGACCTGTCCTGCCATGGAATGCAGCCCAGTGAAGTGCTGTCATTCCCTACAATAAAAATTAACTTTACATTCAGTATTTAGAACACTGATTTTTGCTTCTTTTCTGCATTTGTATGTATTGTTGTTCCCCTGGCTTTCCTTCTATTTTTCTATCCTTGTTTGTTACATAAACAGTGGTTAAATGAATAATAAAACTCTGTTGTTGATGTGGTGAGTTATGGTTACAGGATGGACTGACATGCATAACACACCTTACCTCATTATCTCTCACATCCACATCTTGAAGTGACAAATGCTGCAGCAGAACTTCAAGAGACCTGTGTGGCAAAAGAGATATGTCAAACAGAATTAGTTGCCATTCATTCAATTCTCAACCATTAATTTCATACCCTCCCATTCAACTTCCATTGGCTCCCAAGCTGAAATAGTAATTCTTCTTATTAGTCAGTGTTGCAATGGAAACTGAAATCATAAGCTCCAACCAGATAAGTATCTCACCTTGTTTGCCAACTTTCCCTGTGGAAAATAACTGACTCAACGAGTACATTTATTTTGGCATACTCTTGCCAATGTACCAACCTAGAATTACTCCACTATAAACTACATCACAATATGACACCTGAGGGAAGGTCTTAGTGTCTCACCCATATTAAAAGCATGCCAAGCACAGAGGTAGGTTACTGAGCTAAGAAGCACCTCTCAATATCAAATTGTTAATTCTGCTCTGTAGCTGCTTCAGATTTCCTTGTAAATTAGTAATGAGAAATTGGTGTTAGATCATGATAACAACTTCTATCTGTTAGTTTGAGTATTCTCATACTCAATTTAGCAACAAATGAGATAAGGTCTCTTACAGAGAATCTTAAAACGTTTTGAAGTTTCCAGACATTATGTTTATTAGAGTCAGAGAGGTCAGGCTAAACAGAGAGCTTATATGCAAAAGAAATATTAATATTATAATATTTAAAAAATAATAATGATTGTGTACTTTTCATTGCTGAAGTATGTTGCTGCATGAAGAGGAAGTCTGCCATCATTGTCAGCAATCAAACAATTGGCACCTTTTGCAAGTAGGTAATACAGACCAGCCCGCCAGCCCTTAGGGATAAAGAATTTTTGTTACTGCATGAATAAACAATCCAATAAAATTTGTTCAAGACATCTTATAATAATTGCTACTTCAGTTGGGGCATTCAGATTAATACCAGCTGATTAAGAGGCCAAATGTGACACTGAAATTGTCTTCTGACAACTGGCAATAAAATGTTTATTCTCACAGTCAATTTTCAGTCTCACTTGCAGGTCTCCATTTCTAATCATGGAAGTACAATAATCATAATCCTATGCCTATGACAAGTTCATAAAAATTCTAAATACCCTACTTCTTCAAATTAAAACCTGGGAGCCTGTTAAAATGTCAGCTTAAAGGAGGGGCCCTGATTGGAAAGGGGGGTGCTTCATCAAGGGTGGTGCTTATCAAGAAACTATGAAACTGTATTGATTCTGCTGTTATTGAAGTAAAGTTACAGATAAAGTGGCTATAAAAACAGGTTTTCTTTGGATTGCTATTCTCATTTAAGGATGTAAGGGAGGAGGGTCAGGGAAGTAGGGCACTTGGGCACAGGTGCTTACCACAGTGAATCAATTTAGCAACTGAGGAGCTTATTGACTTTGGCTACCTGTAGGGCACTTGCTTATTAGGGACATGGTTCTTATTGCTTTTTAGGGACATGGTTCTTATTGCTTTTTAGGGAAACAGCAGAATGTGAAGCAAAGCTTTGATGTTTATTTAACAGAGGATCAAAAAAGATTGGAAGATGGAATTGTTGTCCCTCAGGATACTTCGTATGTTAGAATGACTTGCCAAGCAATGGCTGCAAAATTTCTAAGACAGGATCTTTTGTTCTTTGAAAGAACTGTGCACCCATGGCAACATTAGATAGTTGAGAAACTGAGACAAAGACCACCTTTTTTGTTGTGAGACTTAAAGTGAGCAATTTATAAAGGAAGATGGACCAGTCAGTTGATCTCAATGTTCATGAACTCCTACAGTGCTACTACTGAAACAGAATAGGCTGGGATGTTTATTGGAATGAGGGTGCTTACTCAACAGGGGTGCTTATTGACAAAAACAAATTCAAGGGGGGTCCTTATCAGAGAGGGGGCACTTATTGGAAGGAAGGCTGCAAATAGAATCATTATGGAATCATCGGAGAAATACAATATAAGATGTAAAATATAGAAAAATTGCTACTGGCTGCTACCTGATAAGCTGCCAAAGCAACTGGAGTCCTTCCAACATTGTCACGTGCATCAATATTTGCACCAGATGTAACAAGGAACTGAACACACTCTAAGTTATTACAGCTTGTAGCCTGGAAAAGTGGTGTCATCCCCTCACTATTCTTGCCATCTAAAAGATCTTTAACAAAAGATACCATGCAATAATTTAAATATATACTTAGAGCAACAAGTCAGGTTCAACACAAATATGTACAGTACATATACTGTAACCTTAAATGTATACAGCTGTTTGTCAGGAAAAAAGAAAAGAGTGCATGCAATAATGTTATAAATAAATAAATTCATCTAACCCATGATGCCTCATCATTACAGAGATGTTTTCTCAGATTTCTTTGAAATCCTGAGGTCAAAGAACTGTAACCTGATGGAATATTTTTTCACAATTCCTTTCAGGGTTGTAATGTACACTTTACACTCTTCAATCTGCCAACCTTTCTGGAAACAGCTGTATACATTTCACCCCTGTGACACTGCAGAGTGTCATTCATATTAAGTAACAAGAGACATTCTAGCTGTTATAATTAATACCATGCAAATGACCTTCACCCAACACTTTTATGTTAAAGACCAGCCACAACCAGTATTAATGTTCACCCCTCGCTGTTAATAGTGGCCTTATTAAGTGGCTTTGGACATTGTGAGATCTACAATGTTCATTAGCAGACTATTAGGAAGACAAGGAACTGTTTACAAGTAATAAACCTCACAACAAACCTATATCCTTTGCAATCTCCTTCTTCAACTCTTTTAAATCGCCCTTCATCACCAGCTGATGAATCAACATCACTCTTCCTGCCATTGTTGTCTGCATCATTGGCTCACAGATAGAGCCTCCTAGATAGGAACATTTAATAAGCAATAAATATCAGTCACTCATTACCTTAAGTCATCTATAGAACTCCAAGAAAATAAGCAAGAGTCTTGAGTCACCTGCTGATCAGGATGTTATGTAAATTTAGTTGTGAGGTCAATGTAATCTGAGAATGCAATGGGCGATACCTCTGCAAGAAATTTCTCATTACAAACTATTTTGTGTCTAACATACAATTTTTTTTTTTTTTTATCATACTGTAACTCACATTCCTTGCTCTACTGGAATTAAAAGCTTACTAGACAGTAAATTAAGCAACAGACTTCACTTTCTATCAGGTTACTGGCATAATCACCCATGCAAAATGATGGAAAGAACTTGATAAAAGTCTGTAAACCACAAGCCAGATGTGAGTGATTGACAAACTTTATAAATGTTCCCTAACCATCCTAAGTGGTTTATTTTGTTTGTAAACTGGTAGAAAGTGTTGCTCCATTGCTTTTTTAAAATCAACTTAAAATTTTTCTATTTTCTATGGGTTTACCAGTGCAAAAAGGATAGACGGTTTTTGACCAATCTGGGCACTTGCAATATCTCATAATCACTTACTTTGTGAAAAACCTTAAACAGTTAGCCATTCATAACACTCAGTGCCATAATGAAATAAGGACTCTTAAACTCCCTGATGTGATTAAAAACTAACTTCTCATTGCAATTATAAAATAATTCACACAGGCAGGTGAAGAGAATAACCACTTCAATAAGCTATAGAGAGGGGGGAGGGGATTAAAATAACTTTCATGAATCATGATACTGAGCAAAAACTTATCCTCACTTATTTACAAGGAAATGCAAGGCATCTACACTTGTAGAAAGCAGAGTTTCTAATTAAAATTAAATCAGACAGTATGTTTCAATTTTGATTTATGAATTGGCTAACCTCTACATGACCCACTCTCAAAGACAAAGCAATTTCAAGTTTTCTAATTAATAGAGTCCAAGCCCACTGCAATAGATCATAGTTAAATTTAAGCATTGTTCAACTAATAAAGTTCTTTCCAAAGAAGCCCATTCAAGCTTTTGACTGCCTGAACTCCTAACATCAACCTTTTAAGGAGTGATTGGTTTGAAAAAAAACTAAAGCATCCAATCTTTTTTCAAAGGTACATATACCTTAAGCCTTGCAGAAAACCTTATAAATACTACTGTTCAAACTCTGTTGAAACTGATATTCCAACATCATATTTTTAGCTGGGATTCAGATGCCGACAATATAATTGTATACAAAATCATGAGACAGCTGCATGGCAGCCTCCTTCAACTTAAGCAAAGCAAACAACCAGCCTTTATCCATATGTAAATCAGTTTGAGATATCTTACATTAACTGAAGTCAATTAATTCACCAATGATCCACCAGTATTGTTTTTTTAATTTCATTATTTTCATCTACCTATATTCATTCGTCTTGACCATACTCTGCAGAACATATCATGTTTATGTACAAAGCAAAACACCAAAATTGACTGATAAGAATTAAGCCAAAATCTTGAAAAGCACTTTCTTTGAAGCTCCTTTGGCAAAACATACATAGTGGTTAAGACCAAACTTCCCAACAGACTTCCTAATTCACACACCTGCTGATCCCTGAATTTGCCGATTGGATCAAGATTTTCTGAACCCTATTTCTTTCTAGGAACCATTTTGAACCCCACTGATACTACTACCAGAAGGCATGACTGATGAATGTTAGTAATTTAGGGTATGTAAAAGTGCCGCAAATGGCCAAGATGGTACAACTGAGAATGAAAAAATTTAATATGTTGTTTAATCTACATATGCAAAATTAACTTTCCAGATGGCTAAGTCCAGGGTTTTTATGGAGAGATGTTGAAGTAAGGTAATATTACAGAGTATAAGTCAAGCCAACTCTGAACTTGTTTTAAGAAGAAAAAAAAAGCTTATTAAAGCTAACAAATTTTACATTGTGTTTGAAGAATGTCCAATATCTCTTGCCTAACGAACCCAATATAAATGGCCGAAATTCACCAAGCGCATGTAATATCGTTAACACAAACACATTTGGGCACCTTAAAGGAAGGACAGATTAGGTTATCGTATAGCTTAGGCTGTTCTTATCTTTAAATATCATCTGGATAAGTACAGGAAGCATTTAGAGAGGAAAACCGTCCGCCAAAACAAGTGTTAGGTTTTCTCACATAAAAGTGGTCAGTCAGAAAGAGAAATTTTAGAGTCAAGAGCAATTTATTACAGCAACCATGCAATGCATGTATAATATGGAAGACAGTAAAGGGAAGATGTTATCTTTCCAGCAATTTTAAGAGAAAACCTTCCCTGTGTCAAAATCTGTCCTTGCTCCTTTAGGGCATATGTTACTTTTTTGTTGTTTTGAGGATAATGATTTTATGATCTATTGGAGATGTACAATATTACTTTCAACTGGAAATTCTCGTGATGAGATGTTTGGTTTATGACCAAACGAATAAAGGCAAAAGTAGACGTTGATTATTCCTGCTTATCACTGGCGCAAATAAAATGCAAACAGTTTTAATTCGCCTTCTGATTATTGGAAAACTTTCATTCAAAATCATAACTTTCTCAACAATCAACAGCAGAAATTTACAACTAATTGCACATGCGAAAATAAGAATTCTTTTCAAATCATGATGAGATGAATAACCTTCTGCAAGATCAATATCAGATCAGTAAAGGGAAAATGTTATCTTTCCTGCAATTTTAAGGGAAAATCTTCCCCGTGTCGAAATCTGTTTTCCCGAACAAGGCTGGGCGGCTGCACTGACGCAATAGTTTATGGAAGCAAAACAAACGTTTGAAACACGAGGTTAGTGTTTCCTACGGCGATACGTTTATAAAAAACCCGTCGAAAATTCAATTTTTAACGCCTCGAGAAGTTACGCCTAGGGTAATTGTTCTTTTTCTTTCAGATCATTAAATCGAATGTCATTTTGCTTGACAACAAACGCATTTACGCACAGCTTATATAGTAACAACACAACAGTCATGAGTGAGACGAAATGAAAAGTAAACACATCGAGCATACATGAAATAGCTATGTCAAACTCTATAAACTCGAATTGCTACCATAGTACTAGACATCCGCAATTTTGATCTGAAAACAAAGGTCGATGGGCAATTGTGGACTTGATCTAGTTAGAATGCCGTAAAAAATGAACTGATTGTATATAACTACTCACGCGGGCGATCTCTCGGGCCACCGAAAGACAGATTCGGCATCTCTGAAGAAAAATTTTTTTTCAAGAAGTAGCTCTCCGATCAGCCGTCATCGCTTTGCAGCGCAGATCCTCTATGATAAACTAGACCCGTCATCAACATATGTTTGCCTCCGGTGTTCGCCATACACACAGGCCGGAAAACTTTTCTATTCGTCAGACGTGCGGACGAATCGTGAATGCTAAATCGAAAAGGACCTCCTTCGGAAATTGCGTACAACGCCAAAATCAAGCTTAATGACTGTAGATTACATAAAGCCGCTCAAATTTACCGTAGTTGTAATTGCAGCGAGATGCAAAATGAACGAGCTGCAGTGTTGTTTCGGTCACACTCCTCTGAGCGTAATTTAGCAGATGGCTCTTTTCCGATTGGTCGCCCGAACAATGCCGATTGAAAAGGACAGAAAACACCTGCTCAACAACCAAGTTATGAGGATTTGACAATAACAGAAATTCATCACTTTCGAAAACCCGAAGAAGAGCTGTAATATATGTGAATTTGGGAAACAAAGCTTTCCCAATAATGACAATCATTATTAGCTCCTTTATGTGCAAAAGGGAAATGAGGAAATCGCCTTCGATCGGACGTTCTCTTTTCAAAATTTACTCTGTGAACGCGACGGTGTCTCGCAAATTTTCAAGTTGATTCCCGTAGCGCTGTGACCATGTTTCGATATCACAATGTCACCTTATTGTTGTTTTTTTTTTCTCTTTTATTCTTTCGACCGTAAACAAAATCAATTTAAAACAGTCACTGAATAGTTTTTGCTCGATCGGGGAACTAAACCGCAGTTTCAACACCTCAATTAGAAAAGTTAACATGACACGATACGTGGATCAACAGTACATAGACGTTATCGACAGGTTGTAAGAGGTCAAAAGGCCTTTCCTTCTTTTCAGCAATAAAATCAACGATAAGAATTACTCAAATGAATGGAAATGAGCCAAGAACTGTGAGTCTAACTACTAGGATAAAGCACCTAAAACATGCTGAGTTTGAGTTTCGAATATAGCATTCACGAAAAACGTGCGTTGAATTTTTAAAAAATGAAAGATAGAATTGTCGATTAAAACTCGGTTCTTTGAAAATAGTAAGAGTGAATCTAGAGGGTCTCTTGCCTTAGAATGAAAGCCCCTCGAGGAATTTACATTCAAACCCAATGGAGAAGTAACTCTTTAGTTGAAATGCATATCATTAAAGTTTTCGAGGTTATTTACCTACCGTGAAATTAAAACAACATTACATGATTGACTTCTGATGATCTTCCAGTGACCCACAAAATACTGTTTCCTCGATCAATATGGCTTCGTGTGCGAATTTATTCGCACAAAGTGAGAATCCGAAGCTGAAAAATTAATTATGCGTTGGTTGGTCATTAAAAGAGAGTCTTCTCGCGCTTAACGGTGTATGAATAAGTGACAGACCGACTCTTGATTTTGAGCGTGCGGTATTCATTTGTGATTTTAAATCTCATTTCAGAATGGGCATAATTGTTCTCATGGCTTATTGAAAGACACTTAAGCCTTGTTGATTTAGTCGGGCAAGGTTTCTCAGTTGCAGACGGCGATTCTCAGGGAGAGATTGGGTCCCAGAGAGCTTCAACTGCGTTCCAAGGCGTGGTATTTGGTACCTTTAACTAATTCTTTTGTGGAGGCGCTGAGAGTTAGGCCTGTCCTGATTGCGCTTGGCAACTTTTTGGGCAACTTTTGGCGTTTGGAGTAACTTTTTGTGGTTTTAGCTATTTTTGCCTTTCTGAGCAATTTTGAGCAAAATATAGGTGTTGTGCAAACATCAAGCGCAAAAAAGTCAACGCTTTCATTAAAAAACAAAACAATTAAAACAATCACATAACCTGGCACTTGGCAACGTTTCATAAGCCTATGGTCATCTTTATCTAATAACGGATAATTGGCTAAAAAAACGTTCTGCAGGACGTCATAGGAACCTATGGCATCTCGTTAAATCTGAGTTTCAAGCTATTTTTCTTGACCGGTGTTTTTAAAGGAATCAGTGCGTATTATTGAAGTCTGAACTCTAGCTCTTGATGGAAAAAACTGTTCCATTTTTTCACCCGCCGCAAGAAAAACGAAAGAGCAAAAACAAGAGCAGGGATTCGGGGTAATTAAATAACCCTAATCATACTTTACAATTCATCCAAAATGTCTCCTAAACCAAGAGATTGTAAACATATCCTCTTACCCAAACTGATGGTATTGAAAACGGTGATCAGGCCCAGGCCCATGCTATGCTAAGTTTCATTAGAAAGCTGACACGATTTTCAGTCAGGATCAATACCACTTTTAATTTCTTTATGATGCATCAACGAACTAAGCAAAACTTTGACTTTGTAAAGAAAATGCTCTCTTCTTGTATGATCCATGGTAAGTTTGCAGCATGTAACAGTCATGGGTCCTTTCGTGTTTCAACAACGAACGGCTCAGCCTAGAAAACAAAGGAAAGTGGGTCTCTTCAGTATTATGTCCTTATACAGGAAAGGTGAGTGATGCAAGATCCAAGTTATCCCCAGTTGACTATAAAACTCAACCTTGAGTCTTACTTTCCTGAACATGAACTAAACCACATACAGATATTTATTTTAACCACAAAAAAAGTGTCTTTAAGGTTTTCTAACGATCTTGAGTTAACATTATGCCAACTATTCCTCATATTTTTTGAAGGATATAATTTATTTAAAACTAACTCTTAGTACCTAGACGTTTCGAAAAGAGTCTGTCATGAGTTCCATCATGACACCTCGCTTTAGAGCTAGAAAAACGTCAAATGATACTCACTGCAGAAGCCGCAAGTCCACTTGCAAACCTCTTTGACGTAATCCAAATAGTTAGGATCAGTGCACATTCCGTTTTGTTTGTACCCTGGACAGTACTGAGGATAAACATCCTTACAATTCCCTGATCCACCTAGAGAGAAAGCAAAACGAACAGGTTCATCCCCTTCCCCTTCCCGAGCCAAAAGGCCCGCATTTCTGAAGCTCACAGCGATCGCGACTTTTGTAACATGAAGCGATGGGGAGTATTGCTACTACCCCTGAATGGAACGATAGTCCATTCCAGGGTTACCCCAAAGAATTTCACCTGGTACCCGAGATGAGAGGCATTGTGAGAGTAACGCATCTAGCCCCTGTCTGGCCCAAGAACATTATACAGTAACTCTGGTCCGGGCTTGACCTTAGACCTCCCGGTTTGGAATTTAAAGCGGAAAACTTTAGGCCACCACACCTCGTTAACGATTTACACATGCGCCCTGCGGGAGGCCTGAGTTTAAAAGGCTCCTAGCGTATGCGTGAGTACACGCTTTTTTGCATGTAGACCTTATGGGGGCCTTATGAACTAATAGTGAGAAGCATATGGAAACTCTGTGGGAAAGGGTCAACACTTTTCACATACATTTCAAATGCTTTTCACGTGCCTTTCACCAGCATATGAAGATTAGACTGCGCTCAAGTTTAACCCTAACTAGCGCCATTAACAGGAAACGTGAGACTTTTTAGACGGTACTTGCATAAAAGTGGCCACTCTTACGATTACGGATTCTTCCTTTCTTCGTCACATTGGTAATAATCGTTTTACCTACCACAGAATCCGCAGGTAGCAGGGCAGACACTGGTCATGTAGTCGACATGAGTGGTGCACATTCCCCTTTTCTTGTAGTCGGGACAGTATTTAGGATAAACGTCTTTGCAGTTTCCGGTTGGTTGTGTGGTAGGCTTGGGAGGCTGGGGTGGCTTAGTTGTACCAACAGGGGGTGGGGTAGGCGCTTGAGTTGGTCCTGCATTGAAAGATACGAAAAAGTAGCTGCATATCTTTTCGTGTTTATCTTTTTCTGGAATGTTTGTAAGCAGAAAATGAAAAAATTCATTGCGTTTGACTTTCATCAGGAGTTAATCAGGAATTCTGGTTTTAACAAAACTGACAATATTCTTGGCTGACTCGATAAGTTTCTGATTAATTCACCTTTGCACTGAGCGCATGTTCTCTCACAATGCGCGTTCATCCATATTGGGTTCTTAGAACATTCGCCACCAGCTCCCCAGGTCTCGCACGCCACTGGGTACACATCCTGACAATCTTAAATTTAAATCGCAGGAAAGTCAACGAGGGATAAAGAAGCAGGTAAGAGAGATATTTCAGCAAAGAAAAGACCAGATTTTTTCGAGATCTCCAAAGAAGTAATCGCTTTACAAACCACGGCGAGTTCCATTAGTGTATTCTGTAGTTATGTCTTCCTACGAGCTAGATATATAATGATGTTAAACAATAAACATACTGTGCTATTTTTATACCTTTCAATGTCTCCATTTCAAAGAGTCAAGTGAGTTTAGGAGAAACGTAGAACTCGTTCATTTAGTGATTACATTGAAGAAATGTAAAATGGTTTCCGTGTTTACATAGCCTGATGTAAACACGCGGGAGGTTGGGAGAACACTAGATAAGCGTAGGAAACCACGACGCGACACGAGTTTTTCCAGCTATCGAGGGTTACGCCGTTCCATCTATATATATGTATCTTCCTTACTCTTTCGTGACATCGCACTTAAATTAATATGTAATATGAATTGAAGACTCTCAGACTTTGGCGAAGATTGTGCATATACTCAACGATAAATGATTCATGTTTAAGATCCATAAAGCTCACCAGAGGGGGGCTCTGCAAATAAATCAAACAAATGAATAAGATAATTGCGAAGAAAATAAATTAAAAAAAAGTGCAATCTTTGAATGGTCAATATTGTGACATCATACCTCCGCATGTTCTGCAGCTTTTGGCACAATTCGTCGACATCCACATGAGATTGAGCCCGCATTCACCCGAGGTCATCCAACCTTGACAGTCGTTGTACTTATCCTCGCATTTACATTCTTAGGGAGGAGAAACAGATTAAACAGAGAGGTAAAGTAAGCATGATGTTTACGGTCAGCGGCAAACAACAAAAAATTGAAACTCGTACAGTCTGCTTTCATCCATTTTCACTCTTTACGCAAAGTAGAGGGGAAAAGAATCGGTTAAAAAGTTGATGATCAACTCACGAGATGGATCTGGATTTCCACTTCCGGGCAAAACTGCAACAACAAAGAACGGTAGCGGTCAATGTAGTTGTGATCGAACAGCTAAATCAAGGACAAATACTTAAACTCAGCTTCTTGTTGAGTTTTAAATGAAATCAAATATGGCGTGGAACAACGGATAATTGGGTCTATAAGGATAAATTATAATCTTATCTGCTCTCCTAGCCAGCCTTCATTGAGCGTTTGGTGGCACTATCAATGCCAATGAGACCTCGGTTGAAACGAGAACTATGTCTTTGGGCAGTGATCCAGTTATCAATTACAACACCAATTTTGCAGAGGGACTGGTGCAACACTGATTACCTGGAAATCTCATTGGGCAACTAGGTCTTTTACAGGATTTTGCATTAAGAGGGTCTTATATTAACTTCTCAGTGCCACTTGTGTGTGTGTTGAGGGGAAGGGGGGAGGGAGTGTTTTAGCAAAATTTAACGTTACTTTTTCTTGGCAAAGAGGGAGGCTAGATGTATCCTTGGATCTCGTCTTGATTTATTTGCCTTGATCATGAAAATAATAATAAAGAAAATAAATTGCCAAGCAAAAATGTAAGAAACGGTAATAGCTTTAGCTTCAACCGCTCTCTAATTTACCTGTAGGAGGAAGTTGGTTTGTCTGACAACTATAAAGTTTGTTGATTTTCTGTATGTCTTGGGGACTGAACTTCCTCAGGTAAACTGGTGTCACTTCGTACGATGGATCTTTCTTAACAAGCATAGTTGGACGGCAGTAACCGTTGGTAAAAGCAGAGTTCTCGTAATGCATGATGGATGTCAGATCGTACTTGAAGCCTTGGACATCTGCCTCATCAAAAGTGTACTTGCGAAAAGCGTCCTTGAAACCTTTAAGATTTAAGAGAAGATCATAGTTAATACTCAACAACAAGATTAAAAAGGAAAAGCTGAGCAATGATTGGACTCTGATATGAAGCCACCAGAGGCTCTGCTTTTTTCAGATAATGTCATCAATCCGACAAAATTTTTTGCTCTTCTACTTTGAATTCATTGATTCTGATGAGGCACCACCATTGTTCGAACAAACAACATGTTATTCAGAGAAGATAAACGGTAAGTACTCAGAGTACATATATTCTAGGCTCAGATAAAATGAATAGATCATTACAGGGAAAACATGACAGAACATTGGCCGACGCGTCACCAGAAAATTTACCTAAGATTCCAAAATCTTTTTCGAGAAGGGATAAAAAAATAATTTCTCACCGTACTGAACGTTGTCCCACAAAATGTTTACATTATCGTCACGGTCAGGCCTGTTGTGTTCGTGAAAGTAGCCGATTGCGTGACCAAACTCATGAAGAACCAGGCCAACATACTGGCAGCCATCTCCCATATTAAGGATTTGTTCCCCACCGATCGCGCCCACCATTGAGTTACATCTACAAGAGATTTACGAGAGAGAAAAGTTTCCTACGATAGTGATCAACCGTTTGGCTTCGTGGGCTCGGATATCCTTCCGTTATCCGGGAGTATACCAAAGATATGTCTCCCAGGCTACCTCAGGTCGTAAGCAGGCAGAGGAGCCCATCCGACATGCCATCGATCGTGAGGAAGGATGTGAAGGGTTACACTGTTACAAGTAGTAGAGACAGACGACGTCTGAAGCTCCTTCCCCCTTCCCCCTTTCTACCCATCCCCACTTACCTGACAAAGAAACAAACCCTTGAAACCTCGATTACCCCTCACTTAAAAGAAGCGGAGGGAAATTAATACTGATACTTATTATATGGCTGACCCCTGGAAACCAAGGTATAGCAAGTAACGTTTTTTGATTAACGGAGGCCAAATCAGCCTTTCTTCCCGCTTGCAGTTTCCGCCTCGCTCCCACAAAGTATAACTTTTTTGCAATAATGCTTTAGCCAAATGATTCATTGATCAGACTTATTCAGTCAAGCCCTCCAAAAACGAAAGAAAAAAGTCCTCTGGTAGCCTTGTTTCGCTCAATCACCAAAACTCCTTCCTGTTTCTTCATAATATTCTCTGTGATATGTATATTCCTAACTGAGAGACTAAAAATAGAAAAAGGTGAAATTTGAGAAACAAATGCTGGTGTTTTCCAAACCTTATGAGAAAAAAATTGTGTCATGTTCTCAAAAAATTAAAATTCTCACTAGTCATTATGTTTAGACACCTTACCCTGATGCTGGTTTGACAATCCTGATATAATCCCTTTGGCTCGTCCTCTTCACAAATTGTAGACATGTGTATTTATGATATTCTCTGATGCCTTCATCGATCTGGCTTTTCAGGTGATCATCTAAGACACAAAACAATAAAAGGAGGAGAAGAAGGAAAGGCAAGTTCTACATATATATATTTTAATGAGTGAATAAATGTCATAAACATTTAAATAGATGGATAACTGACTAACTGATGCCGAAAGATGTGCAATATTAGTTTATACTTAAACAGTGCGTAATGTTGAAAGCGCATTTTCATTGGTTACCCAAACCCCGAACTCGCGCGGGATTTTCTCCCACAAATATTATCTTTGAAGGAAAAAAGAGTTAAAATCATCTTTTTGTGCTAAATTATTCCACTGTTTTAGTATCTACCTAAACAAATATTTACCTCCACTTCGACACCGTAGTAGTTGTTAAATACCGCAGAAAGCACTGCAAGAGTCGCAATGTTTGGTGTCTTACTTACCCACGCTGGAATCAAGAATGTAAGGCACCACTCCGTTTTTCCATAGGTTCACGTTTTTCATGGCATTTCTGGTTTCTCCACGGTAAAGAGAGGCGGTTTTGCTGTCCAGCATGATATCCCCTTCGACGATATCTATGACAAAACAAAAAAGTTTACTCCTTCAACCGAAAGAATATCAACTGATCAGTTTTTAATCTCTTAATTTAAATCAATACTCCATCAGGTTCTCTCTTTCGGGGTGCTACTATACGAGGAGAACAATATCGCTTTCTTGCTGCTATACTTTTTCTTAAAAGTTAAGTCATAAAATTTTGTGTTTTATCAGATTATACCCTCCAAACAGTAACAACTGTTTTCAGGACAAAGTGTTAAAATTACTTGGTAAATTTGTATGATTTACACTTCTGAGAGATAAAAGATGGGTGTGTAATGCAAAGGCTGACATAACTATAAAAATACACACTAGGCATCAAATCAAATCAAATCTTGTTACCTCCAGCCCGCAAAAATGTTCTCACTTTGAAATTCTTTGTGAATATGCCGTAACCTGGTGGCCTGGGAGACTTCTCAAGTCCTGTCAGCAAAGATCGAAAACGCAGTTATAAGAGGAACGACGAGTAGGTATGCAATGAATCCTCTTTAAATTTGGAATGTTGCCGCATTCGCCGCACCTTTCTAGCTCAATTTTCATGCATAGTCATAAGTGACCTTAAGGCTTTGGAGTCTACTTTCAGCGGGAAGAGGTGAATTCTCTGGGGTAGGCATTAAAACTGAAGTAGGATAATTCCGGTGAGATTAAAACCTAAAAAAGAAGTGAGGCCCTTTTTTTAAATTTGCCACGGTTAGGACATCCATTCAGTATTGCTTCATTGTCTGTTTTGAGTTTTCTTTTTATTCTCACATCATCAGCCGCCGACGTATGCCATGTTGAACTAAAGCATCTATAGTAATAAATAAGCATTTCGAGCGAGAGTTTGGAAAGGACACTAAAATGGCAAGAACATAGAGGGTCAAACTATATCTGATTACAAAATTAATCCTACGAGGCTGATGATGATTGCAAATTGTAACCGAGTCAAAACGGTGTTGGTATTACCGTCTGAGGCTTCTGGACTCTGCTGTGAGTAGGACCAGAAAGAAACTCATTACTTGTGCTACAAATACTTATGCATCTTACCATGAGCATTAAAAACCGCCAAGACTAGGATGAGAAGTGTCTTCATCTTGATTCAATAGTCGAAGCTGTAACTGTTAACGGAAGACTATGCCTGCCTCCCTAAAGGTAAGTGGAAGGTAGAGATCACTTCTTTTATGGGGTGATTTTCGATTGTAGCTCTTGGCCATCTGCACGTTTGTGTTAACAAAAACTATAAAGAACATATTGAATTTGGTACATCACCTTTTATAATTCTGTATAAGTTGGTTTGTCCAGTCCGCAGCTGTGCGTATGCTCTTTGAAATTTTGTTTACTCTTGTTTCGACAACTTTTATTGTTAAAGGACAATAAATGAGACCAAAAAATTGGCACTATTTGTATAATTTCACTTATTCACGACTTTTTTCTACGTTTTCTTTAACGGCGAAGATTGTACTTGCTTCACGATCTCTCGCTCAATCCAAGAAGGTATGCCACGCGTCATTGGTAGCTCAAGTTATAGACGCATTTGGCGTCAAACTATCCCCTTCTCAACTCTGTGAATATCCCGCACGCGACGGTTCAAAACAAATCTCTTAAATTTCTCGGTTTCCTGCATAAAACATAAACATTAAACTCAGAGATGCTTCTGTGATTTCGTTTCAATAGTTGTAGGATCAGCTGAGTTACCGATCTATCCTCTCCGCTCATAGTGCGTTTCTTAGTATGTACAATCAGTGAACGCTGAAATAATACTGACATTGCGTTCTTTCACAGAATGAGGTGTACGGTACCAGTGTTTACTTTAACTCCATTATCAAAGTCATCAAATAAAATATCTCATGCTAAACATGACACGGTTATATCATTTGAGGATGATGTTATTGTCACTGACATATGTTCTTATTGCAGATAGTATGGAGGCTGTCAGTCATACTCATCGGTTTAAATCTTCGCGAGCGACACTAATGCAAGCATACTTCCAGCAACTGAACCACTGAATATCCAAATTAAGTCTGCAATATCTATGGTTTGATTATAGGATATTATTACACCCATTTTGAAATCACTGATGGTCCCTGTAATCTGATTGGCTCTAATTGGTGCGATTTATTCACAAATTGCATCATTTTTTGCTTTAAATCGCATCTTTTCCCCAGCCAGTGAGGAGGCTACACTAAAAACAAAACAACCAATCAGACTTCAAGGCTTGTTTAAAGTAACCGATCATATTGCAGGAAGATGAAAGACACGGAGTATCATATGGCAAATTTTGCAACTTTTGTTTCCAAAACTCTTATTTTTCCTCCCAAAAAATGGATGAATTTAATTTTAAACCAGCTCAGTATTGTATTAATAAAATATTTGAACTGACCAAGTCCTGTATTTGGTATCACCTGACCGATGATTTACGGTGTGGAGATCTTAGATTTTCTAGTTGTATTAATAATGGTAATTGAACTGAGTGGAGTGCAATTTGGGCTGAAATCATACGCGTGATTCCAAAATTGAACGAGCGCGCAGCGCGAGTTCGATTTGAAATCACAAGTATGATTTCAGACCAAAATTGCACAACACGAGGTTCAATTACCATTATTAATACAACTAGAAAATCTAAGATCTCCACACCGTAAATCATCGGTCAGGTGATCAAGTTGACACTTCTGTCTTTTATCACAGTATACTTGTAAAGATTTCAAAATTCGTATCAGTATTCTCCAAAGCCGGGCCAAGCCATTGCTTTTGCGACAGCTGTGTCAACCACTCTAATAGCATACAACCGAGTCAGCCAGAGCTAAAGCGAATCGTAAAGTTATCTGTCAACTTTTGTTTGTCTGGACAACCCATCAGATGCAAAAGCCACATATTTATTCACTTCCTTGGCCATCTTTAAAAGTCGGTCACACGCTTGGGACCAACCACCGATTCTCAGTATCAGTATAGATATTATATTTGTCAACAGGGCTGTCAGCGATAATGAAAATTAAACAAAACCAGGTGCAATTTCAAGGGCGGTTATTTTTCAGTAACTCCTGTATAATTCCGAGTTCCCTTTGTGATCATTCACCACTTAACAACATGAACTCTAAGAGGCTGTAAGGTGGATTCTATACGAAATGTAACATCGGGATCTCGTTTACTAATTTGTTTTGTTTGTTTTTTTATTTTAATTTTGCACACAATCCCTTAGATCTGGTTTATCAAATGAAAATTTAATCAAATACAATCAGCCACTAAACTGCAGATTCTTGACCTAAGATCATTGGTTAAAATTGTCTAACTTTAAATTTACATGGACATCTATATTTGAAAAAGTGTGAAATGAATCAACATCTGAGCAAAGAGGGCAATAGAAGATAAAGTTGTCACCCTAGACATCGATCATTGCTCTGCCCCTGTCTCTGGGAGGAATAAAAAGAGGATTGAGGACCTGACCCATGTATATTACAAGCGGTGATTCTCAAGAAAATTAGTTATCAAAAATTACAAAAGTTCCTAGCGATTCCAAAATGGAGTTAAAAGCAGTCATAACCGCGTTGGCTTACAGCATATTGATATCAGGCGCCTTTCTAGGAAACTTCGTGGTGCTATTTGTTATAAAAAAGTTCCAGCATATGCACACCACGACAAACTTCCTATTGGCAAACCTGGCTGTAGCTGGTCTGTGGATAGCATTTTGGAGTGTTCCTTTTGTTATACTTAATTCCTTGACCCACGTACATGAAGAAGGAGGCCAGTTTTTGTGCAAGTTTTTGTCCATGAACAACATGAGCGGGATCTCAATTGTCGTGAGCGTGGGCACAATGACTTTCCTCGCTGTAGAGAGATATTTTGCTCTGCTTAAACCGATGAACACGCAGTTAAGAATAGAGAAGAGCGCAGTATGGAAGTATGTGACGGGTCTTTGGTTATTCGCTACTCTGCTTAATATGCCTACCATTCTTTATGCTGAGTTTGACAAGGAAAGACAAAAATGCGTGTACATTTGGAACCAAACGCCATACGCTGTTACAATCGTTTTTTTCGCTGCGTTTTCCGCGAGTATCATAACCTTCTGTTACGGTAAGATTTTAATAGAACTTTACATTAGCAAGACAATTTGCAACGAAGGTGTTGAGGAAGATCAGGAATCAAAGCAAAAAGTTGTGAAATTACTTCTGATCCAAGTTATCGGGTTTTTCTTATCTTACGTTCCATTCGTGGTGGTCGAATTTGTGATACCACAGAAACGTCCCATTTTACACTACATTTGTACCTATCTTCTGTACTGTAGCTCGGCTATAAACCCGATAATCTACGCGCTTCGCTGCTCTAACTATCGCAAAGCATACAAAGAAGTCGCACTGGAGTTTAAGGAGCGAATGAAATGTTGTTCTTGTAAAGTGAGACCAGTGCAACAGAGCTGCTCTTCAAGTGGAAAAGAGTCGACACGCGCTCCAAATTATTACACTTCAGATCAAGTAATCTGATTTCTACCCCGCAAGATCAATGTTCACGTTAGGTAATGGACATGGTATTTAAATCATTTAATTGAAAAGATACCTTGTTTAATCAGGTGGAGAAAACGGCTAATTAGAGCTGTGAACAATTGTTTGGTGTATTACTGAAAAGGCAGACACCGCGATGAAAGAAACGTCAAGTTTTTATTACGTTTTTACTGAGGTGTAACGATGAAAAGAAATTGGAAAACCAGTGCATACTATTGAAATTTTGAAAATTCAGTGTCTACTTGCTCGAATAAATCGAAGTTGCTCAGTCCGTCATCTGTTTAGTAGGTTTACATAGACTCTACAGTGGTGGAAAATATGTTAGACAAACATCACTTTTTATAAATTGAAAATGGAGAAACATTTTGACTTTGCTATCAGCTGAAACATTTTAACGTCATTTAATTGAACCTGTCAACTGATCATCTGTGCTTTTTCGCAGATAACGAAACGTTTCATTTTCTTCTCTCGGAAAGGAAACCGCCTGCCACACATCCTCCTCCACGGCGGTCTTCTTTCCGGTATTTGTGAGCAAGAAAACGATAGTTGTTTGCATAAAATTATTATTATTTTTGCCTAATGAGTAGAAAATCATCGTATTAGACTGGTAATCTGCCCTTTTCTAGATGGGATCATTTCCCTAACTTCGGCCTATCATCGGATAATTTACAATGATAAATCGCACAACAAGCTAGAATACAATAAATATGAGGCAGCCCGATAAGAATTAAAGAGTGCATTGTTACGTCTTATGTTACGGAGTCAAGATAAGTAAAACGCTATCAAGTTAATTTATTTTCCCACTTGTAAAAAATTATAAAGAAATGTGAAAAGGAACTCAGATAGAGAGGGTTTCCATATGTCCCCAGGTCTTTCCAATGCTGAGAGTCACAGGAAGGGGTACCTATGTAAAATAGATGTTGTAGGTTAAATGTTTTATCACTAAATTAAAAGTTTTGAATAAGCTAACTTTTCTGTCATTTTAAGGCAGAATGGTAAAATTGTGGCAACGCAACACGCGTTTAACATGTGGGGTAAAGGTTCAAGTACCAGCGGTTTTGGTACCGCGCTAAAGCTGCAGATACTTGAGCCCTTACCAAACTTTACACAATAAAAAGTTTATTCTTTTTTAAATCAGCTTAATTGTCTATACCAGCCCATTACCTTCAGCTTGACTTTGCTACCAAGCAGTTCTTCTGTAGACTCCATAATCGATTTGATGTATGCTGTATCCATCAAAGAAGAATTCAAAATTATTCTTGCGTTACTACTGATTACATCATCGCTCATCATGAATTTTTCTACAAGAGCCTGCCGAAAAAAGAAGATTGTTGATTTCCAAGTCTTACCTGCCACTCTTTTGATTTCGTCCCCAGGAACTTCTAAAAGGAGTTCATCATGTATTTGTAGGAGCAATCTACACAAAACGGACACGAACCAAACTTTTGAGATATCAAAATTACTTACATAAGTCATTCGAACAAGGTAGAAGTAAAAGAAGGGAAGCTTGACAAAGCAAGAACATGGACAAAAAACAAACTGACAGAGACGAAATAAAACAGATGAAACAACAAAAACTCGTCAGGATAAAATAAACATAAGTGGTAGTAGATTTTTGCGTAAAAAAAAGGCTAATCATAATTAAGTTTAGCTGTTGCAGAATGCAATTAAATGGAGCATGCAACATTACGTATACCTTGCGTTCACATAAGGATCCTTGCATACAGCTATCATGACTTGTATCATTGCTGCTTTACAAATGTCCGCTGCTGAACCTTTAATCAGTTTACAAAAGACATTTTAATAAACCTATCAAAAAATGAACTATTTGTGAAGTGCGACTGCGAGAAAAAGTGATTTCAGTTTTGTAATACCCAAGGGGCTTATGGGAAAGGGAAAACTGAAGAGAATTTTGTGGTCAATTAAGAAACGTTTTTCTTAAAAAGACAAAAAAAACAGAAAAAAAAAGAAAAAAGAAAAAACGGAGAAACCTTGTACGATGAAGTTAACAGCCTGCCGCTCAGCCTGTGACCGTTGAGTAAAGTCGAAGGACTTAATATGTGGCAGCCTCCGTCTTCTGTTAAGAATTGTGGACACGTAACCTGAGAAAAGAAAGAAGTGCTACCAGTCGTGAAGGCTGGTTTTACTTTATTTCACAAGCTATTTTATTTGATTGGTCCAGAAAACTCGCGCCATCCTCTCAACCAATCAGATTGAAAACTAAAACTAATCGCAATGCAAGTTAGTCGCACGCGTTGTCTCGCGCTACACGCAGTGTTCTTGTTTTTGTTTTGATTTCTCCATAGCTTCTTGTGATATTTTCCTTTCCTCTGATCGGCTGTTCTGATAACTTTGGTCTTTGTTTTTCAACGCTCAGTGGAAATGCGCTCTAAGCATGCATACAACAAAAGAAAGAATTCCTACTAGTCCAGGTGTAAAACACACAGCTCCGTCGTGATGGAACCTGTCACCCGATCCATGAAAAACATGCACATTGAAATGTTGTTTAAAAATACCTAGAGGCAGCAGGGCTGAAGAATGATTAGATGAGTGAATAAATGAACGACTGAAACGCAACAAACTTCCACAACATATGGCATTCCACTACCAACCTTTTCGCTGACAACTTTCGATACTGCTTCTAGTAAATTCTTTTATTCGAGGGAATCGCCCTGGTGTAACACAACATGAATAAAAATAATTCTTAGGCTATGGATGGATGACAAGCACCTACTATGAGAAATGCACGAGTGAATGGACGTTGTTTCTAAGACAGGATTTTCAAGAGACCTAGAAAGCTTTCCATAAATCCCTTTGCTTCCTCGGCGCTCACTTTGAGAGTTTGTCCAAGTTTTTCACTTCCTGTAAAACGATGAAAAAAAAAAAATTTACACTTCACCGCTGTTGGTCGTTCCGTTTATTTTGCATAATCCGTTTAAAATATTTTTAGGGTTATGTTATCATTATAATACAAAACTTTTCGTACCAACACCGTAGATAACAGAGTATACAATTCGCTTAGTTCTCTCTCTCTCGTGAAGTTGGATTTCTTTACAGCTTTTCCCCAACCTAAGAACAGAAGAAGGTTCGCATTGAACTGTGATTTGAACTTTTCTTTTTTTAGAAGTTGTTGTCAGTTACTGATCTGATCAGATTTCTCATCGAGACTTTAATGAGACCAGTGCCATTAGAAAATAATGGGACTCTGGCTGGTGCATAACGTTATTGAAATCATTTTTCTCCGGCAATAAAACCCAGATAATACCATTGTGAGGCAAGCGTCGTGAATACGTCTGCACACTGCTTGTCATTGAATATTTGAACCAGTGAAGGATCCTCTGACAGGTGAGACAACAGGCGCAATTCAATTGATTGAAAATCTGTAAAGAATGTGAAGCAATGATTAAATCATCAGATAATTTTGCTCATTAAGTTCTCCGAGTACGCCTTAGGAATGATAAAAAATCTTATCATACTGATTGACAGTTCCAGTCTGTTTTGGAATTGTCCTAACCAACAAAAGTTTGACATAAATTAAACACCTCCCCTCTTTTGAAGAGGAAGTGAATAATTTCCTCAGGTTTTAGGTGTACCTGCTGTAAGTAACAGCCAGCCTTCTCTACTTCTGTAAGCATTCCGTGCATAGATTGTCACTACCTCTTCTGGTTTACCTATAGTTAAGAATTGTGACAGAATCATCACCTCTCAGTGGCTTACTTAGTGACGTCACTTACTTAAAAGAAATAAAACACTTTCCCCAGATAATAAAGATATTGAGCCCGATGAAATTAGGAGATCCTCGCAGCTAAGAACACTACTGAAGCGAGTAGTTGTATATTGTGCCCGATTGAAAAAGAACAACCAGTAATTAACCATTCAAAAGTTCTCCGAAGGAGACGCAAACTTCAACTTTACGTCACCAAATACTTTTCGCTCCTCACCGACGATAAGCTGTTTCTTTATTCCGGAGACTTCAATCGCTTGTTTTGGGACAGACTGAAGATTCTGAAGACAAAACAAGCAAATTACACAATGCGTTCACCTAACACAAAGTATTGGATAGTTTCTGGTTCAAGAGTGAGTCATTTGGGTGATGTGACAATCAAAGATCAAGAAGGTCGTCAATTCCTAACATTTTATCATTCTTTTACATCTAAATAACCGATAACATGTCCATGAATATCAAAGATTCAGTACGAGTTATGTTCTTAGTGTTAATTGCATGGTGCTTTAAATATCATTGTTGTCTGCAGTCAAGCAATGGGTCATGCACGTGCCGTTGTTTACTGCTCTTTCGATAATGCATTCAAAAGATTATTTACCAGGATTTGTTTCACCCCATGCATGTGCAAGGGGGCACTTACCGGATTGGCTGAGGTCAATCGCCCTGTGGCCGCCGCCGTCTGGTCCCTGGAAAAAAATCGCAGAGCTCTGATTATTATCTCATTTACTACAGATGTTTAAAAGATAAAATGTTTCACTTAAATCATCACAAATTCATGCTACGACTGTACTTCTCTACAAGATAATCATGCGATTGGTTGCAAGCATACGTATTTAAAAAAAATGATAGAGCCAGAAACTGAGTGAGCATCAACAACAGCAGCCATAACCACAGTCAACTCTCCGCTAACGAACACTCTCAGAGCGAACAATTTTACTTACGGACACTTTTTTCCTCCCAGTCAAACTCTGTATATAAACAATCCCGCAGGCGTACACTCTCTCGGAAGCCGGCGCGGACACTTTTTATGGTGAAAATGTTACGCTCTCTTGTAAGCGGATACCCCGTGCATATCATTTAATTGACTTTTGACGATAAAATACGTCTTGAATTTGAAAATCAACAAAAAGGTGACCTTTGACAGAGCAACAGCACGGTTGGATCGGTTTTTTCAAATCTCCATTTTTTTTGTAAGTAAGTAAGCTGTCGGTAAACGTTTGACCTTAAGAAGTGTCCTACATAACGATCTTTCGCAAGCGGACATCTATCCAATTTTTCTTTGGTGTCCACTTGTGGGAATAATTCTCGTAGGCAGACAGTTCAACTAACGGACACTCTTTCCATTCCCCGTGGGTGTTCGCGTATGAGAGAGTTGACTGTAGTTCGTTTGACATAGTTATGCTACAATGGAACAGACGAGGAAAGAAGGACCTCAAGGGCAAGCAGAAATTAGGCTATGAAAGGACACAAAAGAAAGTAAAATGCAGCAAAGCTACGGAGGAAATAATCAAAAACCAACCAACGAACATCAGAGACACTAGCAAACTTACCAGTTCGTAGACAGCACTCCCTACAAAACAAAGAGGAGAGATATACAAAAACAGTAACATTGCAACAATTACCAACAAAAGGAGAAAACGTGCACTGTAAAAAATACCAGACATTGTTTATTTGTAACATTTACCTCATTAATATGGGAAAGAATTCCATCAAAGTACGTCGACTTCAATTTAGTTAGCTGTTGATGAAGAGAGACAACTGATTCAGCAGAAAACTAGTAATCGCGGCTTCATCACCTCTCTTTTCACATCTAAATGTCTTTAAATATCTAAGACTCTACGTGAGAAGCCTTTATCAAGTGTATTGAACTTAGCTGCATATGGCATGCGTTTAAGGCAAACGTTAAGGAAAATGCTGTTAAACATACGTGTCTATATTGCAGGACGAGTTTTGGTAAAGGGTGGAATTCCTTTAGGTGGAGTAACTGAAAAAGGACATAGAAATAATCAAATTTATTTCAGGTTTCAGTTCACTGATCGGCTATTCGGTTAGTTAACGGTAACAGTAAAATATAGTTCACATGAAACACCACAGATATAATCTGACAAACTTGCAGCCGTCAAATTGTACGTGGTCGATGTGTAGACAACTATACTACTAACCACAGCTTCTGAGGTAGACTTGTAGTTTTTGATGGAAGTTCTTGCAAGCTTCTTTTTGCACTTCTGGTCCAAACGCAACTCCTCGAATAACACCTTCAACAAGACCATAAAATTTCTAATGAACATGTGGTAATGACCTTGATTTACGATTTTAGGGCACCATACCTCTCTCAGCTGTTGAGGACTGTTGATCAGAAACGGGTGTCCTGCAGCCTGCCAAAAGAACAAATAATGACAATTGTTGTTATCAGTTCAAAGGCCTCCTTTTTTTCAGTCATTCAAAGCAAATAATGTGCTAACCAGGCTCAATATCAAGCAGTTGTCAAATTCTCAGCATCGCCGCCCAAACAGTGGAAGGGAATTTTTGAAGAAATTGTTAAGGAAAAAAAATTGGATATCTTTGAGCAGCACTTGTATAGCATCTGAGCACTATGCTACGTCGCCTATTTGAGAGCTGCCGCGAGAGGCTTTCTGTTAACTCTTTCGGGCTTTTTGTTCATACCTTATGAGCATCTGCTTCGACCTTTTGAATTTTAATCTGTAATCATAATGGTACTAGTCAGTGAAGTTGGTGCAACATGAAGCTTACGTCCTAAAAGTCTAGATCAGGACTATGATCAATCTGAAGCATATTCACCTATTAAGAATGTCAAAGGAAGCCACTGATTTTCACCGGAGCGTGAAAAAAAACAAAACAAAAAAACAACAGACATACAGAACACTCTTTTTTTACAATAACGTATAAAGTATCTCATATTTTTGAACGATCTGATTCAAAACCAATCTTCAATTGACCACATTTCTTTTTTCCAGATGGTAGCTTTAAGCTCTCAAAAACTCTTTTTCAGTTCCCACTGGTTTATTTAGACGTCTGGCTTGCTTTTTTTCTGAAGTCAAACCATATTTGTTGTTGTCATTAAATGCTTTGGTGTGGGTGTTAATGACACTCTAAGGCAATAATACTGAAACTATAATTTACCTTGAGAGTATTGCTCGCCTCAATCAAAACCTGAGTGTTAATGTTGATTCCTTGGGTCTCCATCACTAAATAAAAAAATAAACAAATTTAGGTTTACTATTTTAATGGTCACGAATGGTGATATTAAATGTCTTCAGGGAAAATATTCCCCAACTAGCCCTATTGAAAAGAAGAAAGGAGAGGAAACGAAACAAAAAGCTATTGGCAGTACCTGCTAACATCGAACAAATGGGCGTCTCCATGTTGATGAACAAATCCCAAAGTGATAGTGCCTGAGAGAACAAAATTAAAGCTGTTTTCCATATAAGAGACATGTTGCTTCACTGACGCCTTATTCTCTCAGTAACGTCTACCTTTTTGCAAAACAGGAAATTATACCCTGTTTTCAATTATTCTCATGACATTTCCTTTCTCCTATCTTGTTCATTCGTTTACCTTAAGCATGCTATGTTGCTTAACCATAACAGGTCCAAGCATCGCAATATCGTGACAAACCATACAATCATCTTCCTTGCCGCCCTGCACATGAAAGAGCAAAACCCTCATTAGCTGGGCCGTTTATATGAAACTTTCGGTTTGCACTTTAAAAATATTATGAAATGAAAGAAAGGAGTAACAATTAAAACATTCTAGACAAGGAATATATGTGATGCAGCTGTTTACCTTTGGCAGGCTCAGCTGAGCAGAGGTTAGAACTTCAGCGAAGCTCTGAGGAGGGTGGTCAGGATTAAGAAGCCAAGCTGCAATTTTTGGGTCAAAAAGACGCCATTTGAGGCACACTGAGAAAACAAAAGGAAAATAATTTATAAAGTTCTGTGTAGACATCACCAGTAATGTAATCTTTATTTTTCAATATCTATCATCTGGGTTATTTTGCTTGGTGGCTTGGTGTAAAAAAACTAAAGGCGAGGTGATATCACAATTCAAACGAGACTTCAAAGTTTTCTCGGGGAGCAATGGTGAAAAGCCTTGTTTAGCGCCAAAAATGTAGAGACGGGCTCACCTGTTCTGATGTCAGCATGGGCAGTCTCTATTAAATAGCGTATAATCAATTGTGCACCGTAGCAGATTTTTCTCTTCGATGACGTCATTAAATCATGTACCACTGTCCTGTAAAAACACATGAAGGACCCTTTTTTATTACAGCTAAAACTGCGATTTAATCTTGCCTCCTCTTCGACAGTATAATTGCATTGCCAGAAGGGAGATCGAAGGAAGTTTTCCAATGGACTTGAAAAATCTATTGCGGAAGGGTTTGCGTATTGTCGTAAGTGGACTGAACACCTGGAAAAAGGAAAAATATTTTCATAAAATTTAATTCCTTAGTTTCACCTGCACCATTTTTTCATATCGCCATCCTGCGTGCACAGAGGAATCTCCACGACCATCAATCGACTTTTACGGCGCTGTACAGGGTGATCAACGAAACCTGAGGTTGTTATCTCAGATATTGGTAATGCGACAACCAAACCAACAATCTTTAAGTTTCGCTAGCAAGGATAAATAATGATTTGTATGAGTGACCTCAATTTCAAGTAGCTTTATGTGGTAGGAAAAAACATTTGACTAACGGTAAAATTAAATGCTTGTGTTCGTTTTACCTTTTCGCCACACACGTCTTCTACTTGTTTCTTTGTTTTCTACAATATTGAGTGAAATAGTAAAATCAGTCAACCAACACGTTTTCTTTTCTTTCGTTTTTCTGTTTAGTTATGACATTAAGCTTTAGGCTTTTTTCGCTCTTGGGGTGTGAGCATAAACTTCCGCTTGCTTTAACGCACTCCTAAGCACAATTATAATCACAACATGAAAGTTATCCAAAAACTGCACTCGCACATAAAACGTTTTCGGCAAGCCTTAAGAACGCAGAATTTTATGACCAGGTTTTCACTCCATATACCCTCAGTTCAAGGCTCGACTGGTCCAGAACGTAATCCAATTACACAAAGATCGATCACCCACTTGATGTTTCCTTGATCTTAGCAGTGACGACCCGTCTTCATAAGTTAAGGTGCAAGCAACTTCTTCTGCTGATTCAAGGCATTGTTGGAATTCCTCTCTTTGTGTTGGATTCATCGTTGAGACTGTAGCAACACTTGTTTGATCCTCCCAGGAGGCATCTGCTGGGGAAAATGTACGTTATGCTATGCCGTTGTTGAATTGATACTGTTGATCTAAGAGGTCTAAGATTCAATTCAACATGATCTGAGCTCAAAAAACATTCGAAAAAATGTTAATCTAGAGTGAACCTCTTAGGGGTAATGAAGAGTTATAAATCCTATTAGGCATATTCACTCTTTTGGAGCATTTAAGTTTAAATTTTTTTCTTTACTATTTCAATTCACTTCCTGGGTTAGTTTACCTCTGTTTGCATTGGCTGGTTTAACTTTCACGGCCTCCTTTACTAGCAAAGTTTTCCTTTCTTTGAAGTAGTTTGTAATAGAACTTTGTTGTGCCTTCCTTTTATTTTTACGCTCATCGTTTCCGCTCTCAGAATTGCCATTTTTCTCCTTTGGAGAAGAACAACCTTCGATTGGAAAAAAACATATATTTGGTACCATGCATTTTAGAAGAGCTATCAGCTTTTACGGGGGTTGCTAGAAGTGTTAACACGAGGCAGGAGACTGGGCAGATTTTTCTAGCCAAAAAAGTTGAAAACATTTTTTTTTTGTAACTGACTAACTCCGTTAGTCTCATTGGGTCATGGTAGCTGATAAAAACATCACTATACCTGTTTTTCCGGCAAAGGAAAGCAATTCTTCTTCCCTAAAAGTAAATTAACACAATTATTTTATTCAATAGTCAATCTTGAAAATCATCTTTACCACACTCCTGAAGGTGAAGTTCCAATGGCAATGCCTAAATATACGTTTGTTTGTTTATCTAGAAGTACGATTCAGGTGGAGTGAGATTTCAAAGTCTAACCGCTCAAAACATAAACTTGACAAAACAACGACAGCAGTCATAAACAGCAATAACAACAACAATATTAGCAATAACAACAAAAGCACCACCAACAATAACAACAACTACAACGTACGTTTATAGCAATAACTATGAGAACAACTGGACAAGCTACGAGGAAAATTATTTATAGATTTGATAATACCTTTGTATTCCCTCATTTGTCTGTAGTCTTTGTTGTATACCACAAGATGGGGCCAAACTGAACTCCAGTAAGTCATTCTGATTTGTCAAATAGTCCTCCTTGCGTTCAACAGACGGTAACTCGGGTGATTTTTTATGGTAATATTCCGAAGCTAAAACAGAAGTCAAGTAGGAAAGTTTATTTGGTACAAAACGTAACTTACCGCGCATCTAATACTCCATTTTTGCGTGAACATCTCAAGAAATGATTTGCGATTATAGTTTGACCCTCTTGGCATGGCGTTACTCTGGATATAATTTGTAATTTCTAACTACAAATACTAGATGGCTTACCTTGTTTTGGCGCACAAGAATGGCCAATAGCTCCTTGTCTCGTCCCATAAAGTTGTCTTATTGCTCGAATGACTCTTTGTCCTGGTTCTGAGAACAAAATTGGATTTTTATATTCCCGAGGATTTTCTTGAATTTCTTCCCAAGGTATGCGTTCAGCATGCATTTGCCTCCTTGATAGGTAATTTGTCGCTTGTAACGTTGATGGGTATTCTTCATCAAAGTGTTGTTGAAACCATTGATTTAAAAAGGAGCTGTCTTGAAGAAGCGAAACTCCTTCTCGCCTTTTAACTGGCCCGTTCATCTCTTGAAATTAGCGAACCTTTGAGTGAGTTTTTTAACAGAAATTTGTGAGAACTTCTCCTCTCGGAATTAAATAATTCGTGTCGCTAACAACCATAGCATGCTAAAAATCTTTCAAAAACGATCTAAGCTCTTCGGTCTTGGTATTTCCAATTAAGAAAACACTAGGATTCACTATGAATTCCTCTTTTGATACAATGTAACAAATATTTGACCAAAAATTACCGTGGCCGTGGAGAGCCGACAAGTTTTGCCGCGGGTGGGCAACTTTTGCCGCCAAAACTACAACGTTCGGAGAACGGGAGACTGGGGACTATGATCAATATTTTTTTCAAGTAGGGGTGGGAGGGGCGTTTGAGATTCTTCGTTTGTGACTACCAGCCCCTGAGCGATATTTTTATTACTTATTGAAATTACCGGAAAGGCTATTGACGTTCCTCCACAGATAATTAAAATCCCGAAATTTAATTTTTGAATTTCCATGAAGGAAGAACATTTATACTTCTCAATTTATTTATGTTTCTTTGGGTGTCACTAATTCGGAGAACGGGAGACTGGAGACTATGATCAATATTTTTCTTTCAAGTAGGGGTGGGAGGGCGATTGAGATTCTTCCTGTGCGACAACCATGCCCCACAGCTATATTTTTATTACTCATTGAAATGACCGGAAAGGCCATTGTAAAGGACTTCAGTCTCGACTGTTCTGTTTCATGTTACAAATAATAGAGGCAGCATGTATGACAATATCATGTGCTTCTCGAATGATATCGTATGACTGGGGCCAGCTTCTAGCTCCGCATTGGCCTTCCGCATTCTTTGCTTCCCTTCAGGCTGTTCCTTCAACAAATTTGATTCAATATTTTCTTGTAGGTCAACTTTATTTCTTTGATTAAGATAAACGTTTGATTTGCAATAAATTCAAGGAAGAAAATTTGTGTTATGTGTAACGTAATTATTCTGAAATTTTTCCACGAACGAGGGTCTGCTCGCTGTCTAAATTAATTAAAAGGGTCGTTTCCTTGCGTTTTCGGAAGCAAATACTCGTTAAAATGTCTAAGATGAGTGCAAACGTCTTGCGAATGTACCGGCTGCACGCTGATAATTTGAATATACCGGCTAAACAAACAGCAATCGGTGCGGATTACTCCCACCGCCTCGACATGGTAAACTCCTCTCCTTCTGAATAGATAACTTCGCTTTAAAATTTTGATGGTAATGTCAAGAAATATAAATCATGGCTCCTTCAGGGTTACTAAAATTCAACTCAGCCCTGCAAAATTTTTGTGGCCTGAGTTATGAATAATTGCAATTCATATAAAAACAAACGACAGTAAAAGTTTGTAAACTGAAAAAATTCAGGGACGAAACCTTGGTCAACAGATTGACATTTACGGGATTACCTTCGTCATGAGCTTGTTTGATCTGGTTTTTTTCCGTCTTGTGATGTCCGTAATGTGCGATGTTTTGATATTCCTCTAGTCCATAATAATTTACAGAACTATCTAGACGTTCCTGATTGTTAAACACAGATAATTGAAATCCCAAAATTTATTGTTGCTAGGCGAAGCTCATCGACGTTTGCCTCCGGCTGTTCGACAATTATTTCGTAAATAAATGTCCCCTGAATGACATCCAATAGCATTACATGTATTGGCTTTCAGGATTGCAAAACAATTAAAGAACGCTATCGTGTAATTTTCTAAGGATCCAAAAAGGTGTTTGTTAAAAATATTGGACTTGCAAAGACTACACGATGCTTAAAAATATTGAATTACCATGAAAGAAAACCACATGTTTATACTCATCAATTCATGTTCCTTTACATATGTCATCAATTAAATTCCACTTAGCCAATCAGAGCTCGTTATTACAATAGCCATTGTTATTAACCAAGTTCACTTGCGCGCGTGGCAACAGACGCGGCAATGGCAACGGCCATAAACAACTTGCTTGATGAAAACGAAGAGAGATGGGGTTTGTGGTTTGACCGGATTTATTTGCTGTGATTACTTGCGTTTGGAATAGAGAAGACTTTCAAGATGGTCAAGACACTTTGTATTTGTCAGATTTGTACGTGTGGGTAAGTGAAATATTTCTAAATTTTCATTTCCTATTCATTATCGATGATTCTGTTTTGCCCATTGCTTTCAATCATCGCGGCGTGTTTTCAATGACTTTTGGTTTTACGAACATGAGGAGATGTCTATAATCGTAGCGTTTAACAGAATTATTTAGGAAATTAGAGGGAAGGTTTATTTTTATTTTTTTAATATTTAGGAGGCATCGATGCGCCCACAGACCCGAAGCAAAGACTCCAGTTCATCCATGTCGATTTACAGAGTATCAAGATCGCTACAAGAGACATCCTCTCGACCGCAGATTGCCGTTCAAACCAGAATACACGGTCAAAAACTCGTCCCAGCCGATGGACGAAAAAACAAATTATTCGACTGATTATGTCCCACATTCGTATGCTCCTCCGACAAAACGCGAAAAGGCCCCGTACGTAAGGCCGCAAGGGCAGATGGCTGGTGAAAGCAGCTACAAACATGACTATCCCGGAACCGTGGTCCCTCCCGCTACATCTGCCAAGCCACTAGCAACGTTTCATGCTCATGAGAGTCCGTTTGACGGCAGTACAGTCCATCAAGATACTTACAGGCCTTGGGATTTGAGGCTGTGCAAGATGGATAGTATGAAACCAGATGCCATGCCAGCGGCTCGAGATGGCAAAATGAATGGTAAAACCATCTTTCAAACCGACTACCCTGGATACTATTTGGGAAGACGTCCGCAGATCCGGCCGCCAGACTCAGAAATCCGCGTGAATAAGGGTCCTATGGAGAGTGACACAACTACTAGGCTCGATTACACTAGAAAACAGGTTCTCCCAGCTGAATCAGCCAAACCTGTTGAGAAACGCCCCAATACCAGCCAACCTTTCAGAGGAAATACCACATTTATGGATGATTTTGCCTACAGAGGTGGCAGGCCTGCTTCTAGTTTCAAGCCAATGCAGGATGTCATCAAGTCAAATAAGCCATTTGAAGGAGACACTACCACAGGTGTGACCTATAGGCGCTGGGCGATTCCCAAGCGAGAAGTACGAGCAAAGGAAGCCTACAGACCACCAACAGCCAAGTTTTTAACCAACACCACTTTTCAGCATGATTACCCAAAGTGGGACATACCACCAGCTGAAAGTGCCAAACCTCCAGTCTCGTCATTTGCATCTGGCAAGCCTTTTGAGGATAGTACAACACATAAAGATGCATTCAAGGCATGGGAATTACAAGGAACTCAAAGGAGTGGCCGACCCGATGAATACAGACCACCATCTGGGAAATTCCATGGTGAATCCACAATGCGAAGTCACTATAGAGGGCAGTATGTACCTCCAGCCAAACCTGCCCGTCACGATGCCCACAGGCCAATGAGTGGGGAGATGACAATGAATACAACCTACAAAGACACCTTCACTGGCGAACGACCTCATAGTTGTCCTGCACAGGGAATCCAGCAGTGGCAACCAGGCCCTCAGAGAGGGTACTTCTACAGTCATGATAATCGGGGTCACAGTTACTATATGCCACTTTCTGAAACTGTGCAACCCCTTACTTTAACAGCTTAGATTTGTACCACCAGCCAAAGCTGAATTCAATTTTCATGTGATCAAAATTGTTCTTTATTCTGTCTGTTGCTGTTTTTTTATTTTTTATTTTTTTTTCGGTCAACAAGTGAACTTCTGTAGGATTTGCTGTTGGTTCAAATTATTTAATTAAGAAAAATAAATTTCTAAGATGTAAGTAAATGTATGGTGCAAGAAAAGCAAAATCATGGAATATCTTTCACATAGCACTTACAATATTTTAATGAGAATTTTTTTCTTTAATTATAAACTGCTTTCATAGCAGCTTAGCAGTAGAAAAACATAAAATTTGAATTATAATTTAACGTTGCCACAAAATGAACACTCTTACTGTTTAATCCAAGCACCTAAATATTCCAAAAAAAATTATGTGTACACTGTATGTTAAATTTGTTGCCAAGGGAAACAAAGTGGTGATATGAAACACAGCTGAATCTTTGTATTTGCTTTCAGCTGTTCAGGTAATGGAGGCCTTATAATTGTTTTTATGTAAATGAGCTTTCTCATTTCCTAGAAATTTTCAATTTGAAGGTTCAGTGGTATCAGTTAGTGTTTGCACTGACTGTTTGCAAAAGATTGTACTTACTTCCAAGTAAAATTTTTACAGTAAAAGCACAGTTTCTATCTCTGAACTAAAATATTTTCTGTATTAGTCAATCATGCAACAGTGTTGATGCCAGTAGATAAATACTACATGTACAAGTCTTTCAAGTATAACAAAGTCTCAATCTGTACTGAGGTTTTCTAGGTTGTGGCTATATTCCCCACTCTAATCTGTATATTACTATTAGATTTTTAATTTAGTGTTTTAAGTTTCCTCAAACAGTATAAGGTAATAGTTTAGTGACACTTGCTTATAAAGTTTTCATTTTCATGGGCATAAAATGACCTTATTATCAAAAAAAAAAAAATACATACATCACTTGTTCCTGGACTTTAAGTGCCATTAGGATCATTTTATCTTAAAACTCCATGATCTATTACCTGTCTCATTAGCAAGAGCTTTTTTCTTATTCAAATCATGCTCTTTTACAATATTACAATAACTAGTTACTTGATTTAGTAGAAGACTCATCACATGTTACACTGAGAAAAATTTCCATGCTAGTCACCTGCATACAAAAAAATAAGAAGTTCTGCATACTACATCCCTAAAAGGCAGATTTTGCAATGATCATGAAAGTGGACTGATGTTTTCCAAGGAAATATTTGGGATTTGAAGTTTGAAAAATTGGATATATAATGTATGCAGGTGACCCATCCATCATTACGTAATAAGAAGTTAGGCACTTTTTTTTTGTCCAGTGATCAAGATAAATATTCTCCTTGCTGTTTCAAGTACTCACTTTTACTTGTCTTACAAGACTTCAGTGGTATTTGTCGTATCAGAACACGTTAAAGTCTGATTGTTTCCTTAATTCTTGTTATTCCTATCTGTCCTAGGAGAAAACAGCTGATGATCAATTTGTATTTTGTGGAAAATAGTTTAATTGGCTTTGAGTAAAAATAGGATTTTGATATGACGAAAAGCTGTTCGTGTGACATCAAGGAGAATTACATTGCACAACTAGATTAATTTAGTTATTTTGTTAAGATCTAAGACTATCCATTTTACACCTAAAAATATAATCTATTAATTAAAGTATGGTGTAAATAGTTGTACTCTCATTTTGTTATTAGTTGACAAAGATGTTTGGTCAGGCTTGTGCCACTGGGGAACCAACCACAATTGAGATGATGCATTCCATCGATGACCAGCAATGGTATAGGTTGGCTCTCTACAGCCACATACTAGTAACAGATTATGGGTATTGTTTTGACAAGAACAGTCCTTCAAGAAAATGGAAAAAGTATCATCTCAAGAGACATTGCACATTCATGCCAGTTGCAATGAAAAACCATTCATAAGCACTGTTGCTTAGGAGACAGCTGCTGACTTCCTAGACTATTAGATTTGCAGTTCAATTGTAACTCTTAATATCTCAAAACTCTAATGAATGGAAAAGAAAATTGTACAAATCCATTTTATTTTTTGATCAGTCGAATAAAGTTAAATATGCCCTTAAGAAGTCCAATTTCTTGCTGTTTTGGGAAGACAGTTCTGAACTGTGAACAAATTATTTGGACCCTAAACTCATGACAAAGACACTTCCTTGTAATAAAGCACATTAACATGATGAAAGGTTAAAGAGGTTTTCTCATAACATGGCTAGAAGTGACTGAGAAGCTGATAAATTACATTACTTGGCAGCAAGTACATTTTGAATGATTTAAGACCAAAAAAGGAAACAAAACAATTACTTTTTCCAAAAACTTTTATTGTAAGGTACAACTTTTTTTTTATTATCATAATCTACATGAAAGGGTGAAGATTTTTAAAAACACTACTAGATAGAATGGAAATGGTGAAAGGATAACAGAATCTTGCATACACTAAGAAGCAAGACCTAAGCTTAGAACACATCAATAATTGACTCCAACGATCTGCTTGTTAATTCTCCACACTAGCTTTTACACATTTCCTCTCAAATCAATTAGGAGAAATTATTGTTAGATTAAGATAACTTCTACCTGATAAGTTTGAGTATTCTTATCACCTGTTTGTTGGATAATGTATTTATATTATATGGTGAAGTTACATGTTAATCACGTCTGGGGGGTTAATGAGTTAAAATAAAAGAACAATGAGTAAGTACCAAAATTGAAGCTCTCAGCCTAAAATACTGAGGTTCAAAATGCACTCCTAAGGATCATATAAATAATGAAGAAAAAAATGACAATACTACAGCATAATATTTTTTAGCAGCAAACATTAGTCATAGCTTAATTTTTCTCACCTTCATGGCCAAGATATGAGCATATAAGACAAAAAAAGAGCTTAATCTTTCTTGCTTCCTTTTTTTTTCTCAAGAAAATTTGGTAGAAATGCTGCCTAAAGAAATGTATTTTATAACTGACTGCACCATTTTATATGATTTTCCAAGATGAATGCAAAATTTACAATGTTATGGGCAAAGAGCAAAAAGGAAGGCACAACTTGTAAAAATAGCAATGCTAAACATTTCTCTCCAATCCCAGATAAATTTCAAGCTTTCAGTCTAAAAATAAAACTTGAAAATCAATCAAAAGAGAGGTACCTCTAAACTGTCTTTAAACCATTTCTCTTTCAAAGGTAACTCAGTTTCAAAACAAGATTAAAACCAAAAGCTGTCTTAACCCTGTAACTCCCAAGATCTGATTGTTGATTGGCAAGCAACCACTGAGTATTTTCTTGGTGAAAATTATAGCTGCCATCTGTGATTTTTATAGAAGGGGAAGAATAGAAAGAGGAAGAAATTTGTACCAAAGGGGTGAGGGATACTCAAAAAGAAGGAGAGGATGGGGTGGGGTCAATCCCCCTCTCTAAATCTAACATGATGGGTTGAATAAACAATCCCCAGCTTGTAATATAAACTCACCCTAATTTTATGAGATGCCTGCACTGTGGCCAAAGACAATCTCTGTCAAATCTTTTCTCATCAACATTAAAAAAAAAGGCCATAAACCAGTTAATAGAGATTTCAAAACAGAATTTCAAGGACCATAGGATAAATCAAATTTCAAAGAGTTTCATGTATTTACTGAATAAAAGTATCAAGGGTATTTTGTGATGAAATTCAGGTCAATATCATTTACTTCAAAGAGAGTAAAAGTCAGTTTTCATTGTGCAATTCTTGTGCTCTTCATCAATGCATTTTGGATCTGTTTGATGGTGCTGAAGCTGTTGGAGGAGGGGGTGGTCCAGTCCTGAACAGCTCATCAATGTAACTGTTGAGCAATCTGTTTCGTTCTTCTGGAACACATTCCAGTATCAAGTATCTTTTGTCTTTCTGCAATGTCAGACAAGGAGGAGAAATAACAATTGATCGAAGGTAATATTCTCTCTTTGAGAACAAACTACAGTTATTATCAAACCATGTGAAGATTAATAATGATGTTGCAAAGTTTATAATTGAGACTTCAGTGACAGTCATGACTGTACCACACTTCTGACATAAGTTGAGTAACTAAAATCTCTGTTAAGCAAAACCATGATTACTATTCATATTGAATTAATAGCAACTTTTCAAGCAATTTAACAATAAATACATCTAAGTTAATTTCCCCCTTTAGAAAGCCTAAGAACTTATGAGCCTTGAGGGCCATAATCACTATAAAGGAGAGAGGATCCTCTATAAGGTTTTAGCAAATGATTGAGGTAACACTTCCAACCAGCTTCCTCACCACCGTACAACCTTTTTAACCATGATAAGTGGTGTGATTGTACTAAACTTTCATAATCTAAGACTCTCAATCTTCCATTTTCATACAAATTGATTATAGCTGTTCTCACAATCCTATCCTGACCTCTCCGTAAAAACTTAAAAACTTAAATCATAGATTAGTGCAAACTACATGGTATTCTTTCACAACTTTTTTTCCAATAATAAACAAACCCTCATGTTTTGTTCTTATTCGACTCTCAACAAACCTACAAAGGCCACCTACTTACAATGGCAGGTTTAGAAAAGGTTATACTGTGTCAAAATTAAAAGGTATCCTTTTGAATTTGAATGGATGAAGAGCACTCACCTTAAGAGTTTCTTCGATATCTTTTAGATGTTTACGAGATTCATCAATTTGTTTCTTTGTTCTGGAGAAATAAAAAAAAAACAGTGCTCGACCTCACTCCAGGGCATTCTCCCATGAAAATATGCTAGCTAAGTCTGCTCAATTCAGTGCTTTTTGAGAAGAGCCTTAGGGTTGCAGAAGGCTGACAACACTGAAAATGTTTCAGTACACTTGTCACATTAGTGTGAGTCAGAGCAGCACATTATCAAGAAGGAAGCAAAAGAAGTGGGGAGGCACTGAAAGAAACTAAACAAACAATGAATGGAAAAGGAACACACATGTCACATTGTGGTCCACCTTGGGCTACATCACTGAAGTTTCCAATTGTTAACACTATACAAGAGCTCCAGTTTTACAGTAAATAGATCGCACCCAGGAGAAATAGTTGGTAAGGAATTCTGTTTTCCTATATGAGAGTAGTCCTACAAAGGACAGCTGTTGGTAGCAATGACTGATGTTGCAACCACCTGCACAAAAGTCATTGTCAGGGACAGAGTCTGTCTGATGAAGACTTGCACTTGGGTTGTCAAAACATCTTTCATTACTACCCACAATGGTCCTTTTAGGACTACATGTAGACCTTCAGATTGCCCAAGGAACCTCTAGTATTCCTGACTCACATTATATAGGTTGTAATATGATAAAAGTTAGCCTTCTCTTACTTGTATGTTAACGAATGTGTTTCTTTCAGTAATTGCCGAAAGTCCCCTTTGGCATCTGCCAGTTTATCTCGCAGATATTGGTTAAACTCTTCTTCACGTTTCTGTCCAAAAAAAAATTGTGGAGTACAAAATATGATACATGTAGAGCTGCAAGCAGGCTTCTTTCAAGCAAATGCATTTGTTAATCATCATCTGTTTACTTACTCTGTCCTGGCTCGAAAATTTGGAATATCTGGGGTCCTCTTTAATTAGTTTTCTAATACTTCGCCATGATGAAGTAAGGGTTAACTGTGAAAAAAATAATCCATATTAGGGTTAAAACCTGTTTCTAGTGCCACTTTAGTTATAACTTATTAAGCTTCAACAACAGCATAATCAGTACTGGAGAATGATAAATTTCCCCTCTCCCCTGCCACATTAAGCACCCTCCTTCCAATAAGCACCCCTCCTTTTCGCTGGAATTGTAAAATAATTATATGAAATCAGGTACTTGTTCAAGGAAATACTATAATTCCCAATTATGCAATCCAATCTGGCTTTCTACATTTAATGAACAGACTGGAATTAAGAGGTTCCAACTAACATACCTCATGAGTTTCATCCAATAGTTTTCTAAACTGCTCCTTTTTTCTATGGTTTAAGCTTTCTATGTGGCTTTTAAAAAGTGCTTCTTTGTCATTTTTACTCAGGGCATCAGCCATTCCCCAGCGATGGTCTTTACGCAATGTCTTTTTTGTCTCCTTCCAGCCTACATCTGCATTGCGAACCTGTAGACAGTAAAATGATTTATAACAAGTATTTTTTGTGCTGGACATCTTGATCCTTTTTGTCTGTCAACTGAGAACTGAAGGTTGTTACCTTTCATTTGCTGTCAAACTTTCAGCATTTCTCCATGCACAGGCAACATGACAAATTAAGGAAATAACTCCAGATACAATTAGTTGATTATTTATTCAAAGTTGGTCAAATGAGATATAAATAGACAGTTGCAGCAAAAGTTGAAAAGCTGCTTTTTCAAGAAATAGGCTTTACAGTTCTGCAAACAGCTAATGAAACCTCTTAAAACCTCTTGAAACCTCAGAGTTTTAAAATTTGTTGACGAACATATGGTTTTCTTGATTTCCAGTGTATAATAAGTTTAATATTTCACTCTATTGTGGACACTGCTCATCAATTTCTTTGAAATAGCTGACAACTTTCTTTGATTACTTCAAATGTACTCACAACCCATCATCTTCCTGCTCACTTCAACCTACAGAAGCTAGTCGTAGCTGCTGTAACTGTACATGCAGGTGCTAGCCCACACTTACTTTTATTGCTAAAAAGATTACATTCTTCCTTACCATATCAGCTAACAATGCATTGAAATGCTGTTCAGCTTTGTCTCTGAGGTGTTGTTCCTTCTCCTTCTCTCTGGCCTTGGCAAGTTCAGCTTGGCTTGCTCTGACTTCACGTTCTCGTTCCCTTAGACTTGCTTCTATTCTTTCCTGTTTTTCTTTTTCTTTTTCCTTATCTGCATTCTCTTTCTGCAGGTTGAAGAGGAGGGAGATTCTGTTTTAGGTTTGTATCAACTCTGACCAGATACTCACTCTTTACACTCTGAAGCCTGCAATGCTCCAGATTGCAATTATTACAGTTGCAAGGGCAAAACAGAAAAATATTGTCACTAAATTTGCAGAGCAAGTGACCAATTTGGTAACCTGTGTTCAGCAAGCATGTTGCAAATTTATGGTATGAAGCGGGATGAGGATTTGCATAAAATATAATGTAATATTGCACAGAATGTTCTTTCTATATTTTCTCTGGCGACCAAAATTTCATTTGTGGCACTCACGCCATGATTAATGGTTGGCAAATATAGACTTTGAAAAACTTGAGTTTGTAGTCTTTTGACTTGTGGTGCTGGATTACAATTTTAAGGTTTTCTGACTCCTTCCAATCCCTTCCCTCAATTTCACTCTGATTGATAAAGTTTTATTATCTCAAACACCTCCAGAACCACCAAAAGATGAAAAATATCCCAAATTCCTTACAAAAATAAACACCCTACTGTAGAAAACCAGCACATACAACATATGACAATGATCTACAAATCAAAATTTGTAAATGTAAATCTTAATGTGCGTATACTAAATAGCGATCAATAATAAATGACATCTTGGTGTTTATTTGAGATTACAGAGGCTTCTTTCTGAAATGATAAGTTGACCATATGAATTTTATTCTTAATACTTAAAGCATACTTAAAAATACTTAAAGAGGGGGCCTGTTTTAGAGTGATTAGTGCACTATTCCATGCCAAAGGCCCTTAACAAATCACCTTGTAAATTTGTTCAATATGTTCCTTAAACCACTCTTCTTTCTGTGAAGAACTTTCCACTGCCTTGTAGCGAGGGTCTTTTTCTATCTTGTGACGAACCTTGCGCCACTGAGCCTTATTGTCTAGTTTCTGTTCATCCAATAGTTCCTCAAAATCATTACGAATCTGTAGGAACCAAAATAACAGAAGGAAAAAATTAATAATAACAAAAAGGCATAATGTTTATAGTACTGCAAACCATGAGACCTTTCATCTTTTTGAAGACTACAAATAGTGTGTGAATACTTACGATGTTTATCTTCAGACATTTAAGAAAATATTAACATATTATTTTTTTTCTGTGTCTGAATGGTGAACTTTACCTAGTCATGAACTTTTAAAAAGGCAAGATTTTCTGGATGCAGGTAAAAGAAAGAATTAATCCTGTGTTTAAGTATAGAGACTTCAATTATGCAGCAAAATGGCCCTTTCCTAAATCTTTCTCAATTTTACTTTCATTTCAGTTGATACCTTCCATAGAGTACCATTTTTTAGAATTTGTGTGTTAAATAGTACCTAGTGTTCTAGGACAAAAAAAAATCTCTTAAAACATGTATGCCCACATCTCTGTATCTGATAAAAGCAAATCATTTCATTAATATTCATTCCACCCTGATACAATGAAAATCTGCTTGATGAGAAAGAAATGTCTGAAATAAGAAATAATTATGCTGTTGCTGTTGTGGTTTTTCATTTCAAGGCAAAGGTTTACAGAGCATCATCTCCAAAATGTCGTTTTAAAATTACAAGCACAAATGGGATGGGTAAGCAGGAAAAAGAAGGGACTTTACTTTGTTTACTTCAAACACTACAAACATCCCAAAGGAGAAAAGGTACAAAGAGGAAAAGTTTGGTTTTATCTGGTATGTGCCTATACAATATTTGTATTTCAAACAGGTACATATATGTTCTACCCCAAAGACAATACTTAAGGCAGATAATTAAAAAAACATAAAAAAATAAAATCTGAAAGATCTGATCGAATGGTGCCCTAACGTATAATCCCAAGAAAGCTGATGCATTCAGTTGACTTCAAAATAAAGTGTATTTTTGAGTGAATTCATGGTCAGTACCAGAATTCTTGTCCATCTAGTTTTGTCAAACTATCACTCTGAACTGGAAATACTTGTGATAAGAATATAACCAAGCTTACAGATGTGACTTTCAGCAAAACTGTATCCAATTGACTGGGCTCTATGACAGCACTGGAAGTTGTGACATTATTGCGCACTACACTTCAATAACATTCTTACAAGTGTACTACCCTGATAAACCCAAATACTTTGAGGTTATCCTTGAAGTACACAGGCAAGTCTTAACCAATGATATAAATGCTATGAAATGACTCAGTTACCTGGTGGGGCAGGTTTAACACTGAACAGACAGAGGATCAAAAAAGAAGCAACATAATTCACTGTAGGCCAAGGCAACCTTGCCAACTGTGTGCTGTGTTGTATTAGATGGACGGATACAAGGTTAAAACATACTGACAAGCAAAATGAAACTGCAAATGCCATACAGCTGAAAGATAAATGGGGGCTGGAGAATTCTAATCTCATGGGGCTTTGGGATCTATGCCACACAAAATAACCTGGAAACTAATGTGGAACAGTGATGAGCAGAATGAACACAGCTTTCAAAAAATAGGGCAGGGATAATTCATTTTGAGAAGCTCATGTCATATTAAATGCCTGAATCAAAGACTTCACAATACTTGATTCCCACACAGGCTTTTTGGAAAAGTTTGCAGGTCTGATAATCACTGAATGAATCACTTGCTAGCTCTAAGAATTTCAGACAATTTCCTGAAGTGACATCTACAATGTACCAATTAGAGTAACAACTACACAAGGATTTACAGCATCAGGAAAGAAATTAAACAAATTCCAACACCCTGTACTCTGTCAACTATTTTCAAAACATATTATTTTCATTTTTAAATCAGCCACTACATGTGCTAACCAAATATCAGACTATGAGCAGTCCCCAACTATGTTAATCAATGTTAGCATGTTGTGCAGAACTCAGGGTTCCAGGCTATGTACCAACATCAATTTTTTCAACCAGTTTTTTTTTTCAGGCTCATCCAACATACTTTGCCGAAAAAGAGGGTCTGCTCCTAGTCTTACCAGGTGAATAACATTCACACTTCACTCTAAGCAAACCCATTCTTAAATCTCACTAAAATGTCTGTTCACCCACTCTGTAAATCCAAACCTTAAGCAACATTCCCAATTGATGTTGCACAGTTTAATTTCTTGAAACTGCAAGACTTCACACGTTTGTTGTAACCTTCCACCCCGCCTGACTCACTCACTTAAAATTGCCACAACAACTCTCTCTCACTGGTCTCCAAAGGAGCAACTGACTAACCTTATCTTGCTTGACTCGCAGATTTTCTTTTTCCTTCTTTTTCAGCTCAGCCATAAACTCTGTAAAAAGAGTCTCTCTTTCTTTCATCTTCTCTATGCCTTTGAAGCGATCATCTTTTCCATACTTCATAGCAAACTCACTGAACGATGTTCTGAAAACATAACATGTATCATGTACAGTGTTTATGTATTGGTTATCAACAAGATGCTAATGAAATGAAAGTAGATGAAGGACAACAGCAAATTTGAAAAAGCTGGCATTCATAAGTGTCACTTTACAGTATGTCTTCTGTCAGAGGACAGAGACCTGGAAGGCAAGTTTTTCAAAATTTGCTATGACTCACAGTATACATCTTGTAACAAAGAAATCAATAAACTTACTTTCCTGCAGTTTTAGCTTCTTCTACCAGAGCCTTAAACTCATCTTTTTTGGCCTTCAGTTTATTCTTTCTTTCTTGCCTCTCCTCATCTGCCCGTGTGCGCACAAATTTTTCAAAACACTGCTTCCGTTCTTTTTGGGTCAGCAGTAAAAATCGAGGATCAAATACAATTTTTGGCAGCTCTTTTTCCCAGGTTGAAAATGCCGACACCTACAAAAAGTAAATATTTGTAATTGCTTAATTCAGTAAAATGCTGTTGTGATTCTGTGTTTATCCAACAAGAGAGTGTGTTTTTTTTTTTTAACACTGTAGGTGAATCTACCCAGTATCTAACAGAACACTCACAAGAAAAAGCAATCCTTACAGTCACCTTAAAAACAATTTAGATTAAGTTTAAATCTTCTTCACAATTATCCCTTAAGTCCTATGAGTGACCAAGTAAAAATTTCTTGTTACAATATCAATACAATATCAAGCAAACAAATGATGTGAATAGAGATACCATAAAAACCTGCACATAAGCCACACCCTGAATTTAGCAGCTCAAATTTTGGAAAAAATGTTTTTTGAAAGAAATCAAAAGAAATCCAAGGTCGAGTCTTGACAAGTCTTCTTCATCCACTGTGCTTTGAACGTAAACTCACTGTTAACATTGCAACAGAAAATACTTCAAAGTCTTACCCACAATTTTAGCACTTTAATATAATGAACATTGTTTCTACCAACTTTGACAAATGATTTATCTTTTTCTGGTATTTGTTGACAGGAATTTCTTCATTCAACACAGTTTTTCCATAGACTTTTGCATTACAGCAAGAACATGAGTGGAACATTTGAAGCTTAGTAACCAGGTATTAGATCGGATGCAACATTCACGACACCTTTTTCAAATGTTCCCGCATATAAGCTGCACCCCCAATTTCTAGCAACGATTTTTGGAAAAAAGGTGTGGCTTATCTGTGGGTTTTTACAGTAAATAATAATTTGGGGATCAATGCCAAATTCTCTGAACTACATGTAACATTCTCAGAATTGTGTAACAGATAGTAAGTTGAGTGACTTATGAGGTCTTGGGTATGAAAGAGAACATTAACAAGGGATTTCTTCCCTTAATAGCCATACACCACTCAGCAATGTATGTAATGAGAATATGAAATATTATCAGCATATGGTTGACATCATCTTTGGAGTACAAGGATTGCATCAAAATTGTTTGTTATGTCACTGTACTTTACAATGACAAAATTTACTGTATACCTACCCCTCTCTCTAACATCATTTCTCTGAATTCTTTCATTCTCTCCTCAAGTGAAAGCATCTTTTTCTTCTCCTGTGCAGGCACATTTTTGGTTGTTTGGACTACAGCTACAGGCTCTTCAGCTGGCGGAGCCTGTTCTTCATAGGGCTTCGATTGTGGCACATCTTCCTTGAGTTCCTCTTCTGTCATTGGTTCATCAAGTACTTCCTCACTTTGGCTTGCAGTCCTAATATTAACACCAAAAATGCTCAGCATTTGTTGTATTTGTCTGATTTTCTTATCCCTTAGACCCCTAAGAGTGACTACAGTAGCATATAATTTCTCCTTAAAAATATCACCCCTAGACTGCCCAGTAAGGTCATGAGAATAAAGGAAATGATCACCAAAAGAAGGTTGGATTGTTAAACAAATTCTCCTTGTCAGCAGTATACGAAATGTAGGGAGATGGGCACAGAGAAAATACATAATGATGTTAGGGTGTTAAGTGTCTTGAAAGCATTACCATTTCTATTCACTGTGCAAAATGGAACCTCTTATTAACGTAACATGTCATTGGTTTAAACTATTTAGATAATCTGTTCTTAAAGATTCTTTTAAAGAAGAGAATTTGTGAACCTTTGTTTTTTGGCTGGAGGGACTTCATCTGTATCTTCATCTGTTGGATTCTTGTTCTCTCTCTCTAATTGTGGGCAAATCAAAACACAAACACTCAATATCAAATTTTAAATTGATGAAAATCAAAATGAAATGTCAGTAAAATTTGTGGTAGTATCCCATACTCAATTCAGTTGACGGTTGCCTTTTAGGAGGTCCCTTGCTGACAATATCATCAACTTTATCATTGTCCTCCAGCTCTTCTGGTTTCTCCCATATGGATAGTCGCGTTGTAGGATTGAAAAAGAACATCTTTTCATCTCCAGTCCATACCACACACCAGCTTGTTCCTGGAATTAGTTGACTGGCAACAGGTTTGCTCTTGTCACCATCATCTTCCTGGCCCTCATCCTTCTTAGCTTCATCATTTTCTTTTTCTTCATCTTTTTAATGGAACAATATAGAAATTATCAATAAATCCAATTCATAGACAAGTTATCTATGCATAATGTTAGAAGCATGGCTGCCTGGGTATAATCCTAGCTAAAACCTGTGGAGTGCGTTAACATTTTCACAAGTAAATAATCACTCCATGCGTTCCCACTCTGCAACCCCCTTCCTGCCTCCCCACTGCTGAACTAAGAGTCTCATGTCAATGGTCTTTTTAAGATCTTGAATAGGAAAGAAGGGGGTATCTACCTCAACAAAAAAAGAGCAGAAATTAAATTGCAGCATTTACTGATAATTGCATGTCATAACTACAAGAAATGTACCCAGGAATTTCAAAATAAACAAGTATGAGCAATTTGTTGGAAAGACTGCATGAATTGCAGCAGGTAAGTTAACCTGCTACAGACTTACATCCCATCCAAGGGAGGAGCAGTAATACACCTTGTTTCTTTGTGCTGTGGAAACTTGGATATTTGCTTCAATAGCACATGTACAATTTTGCTATCTAGCAGTAAGGCTTCAAGACTTAAATGAAAATGGAAAAGATTTTAATTGAGGTACCTTTCACTGTCTTGCTCTCTTCATTGTTTTCCTCATTTGCTTCACCTTCCTTGGACTTTTCCTTATCCCCAGCATTACTCTGAGAGGATGAATCTGACATGACTCCTGTACCTCCTACAGGGGGAGGCTTTTGTTGGATCCCTGGTCGAATAAGCCCAGGAAAAATTCCAGGTGGGATCATTCCTGGGGGAGGCATACCTAGACATGACGAAAAGTAATTTCCTTACAACATCAAAACTGAATCAAACTTTACAGTCTTAAGAATAAGGAAAATGTTTGCCAACTAAAGAAGCTCTCTTGAATTGTTAAAAAAATATCCTTGTTAGTACCAAAGAAACTGTGAAGAGAGCAACATACTGATATTAGAGCATAAAGGATGTAGCATACTTCAAACATTCAAATGACTGAGAGCCTCTCACTTTTACAAGTACATTTACAGGTGTAGGCCTTTGTCGATGACTGCAAAACCCTTCATTTCAAGAAGAGCAAAGTGATCTATATCCTTAATCTAGTTAACATGCATTTAAGAACAAAAATTTATCTTTCAAATTAGCACTCTTAATCCCCATGGTTTTGTTCAATAATTCCTCCATTTGCTCTCACATAGGGCTAACACTTGTAATGTCAGCTTTAGAATTCTTTAGAGTAACCAACTTACATTATCAATTCAGTGGACAACACCAAATTATCCTGTACCATCCCCCACTGATGCAGTATCAGTCAGTTTCTTTTGAAACTTTTCTCATTAACACCCAGAGGTATATACTGTACCTTTTGCCCCCCCCCCCCCTACATCTAAGAACCATTTCATTTCTTTTTTCATTTATTTTACCAGTCATTATATGTCAAATAAAACAGACTTTGAACAATGTCTCTCAGAGCTGTGATACAGACCCAACTTGTAGGATCAAAACCCTAAGGCTTCTAGTGGTCAGCTACACCTGAAAGGGATCTGGTCAAATGTTTTGAAATATTGTACTTAATATATAATTATACTCAGTTACCTGGTGGAAGCATCCCTGGCATTGGAGGTAGTGGCTGGTCCATTTCCTTTGGTCTCTCCCAGGTAGACTGTAGAGTCTTGGAGTTATAGTAGTACACCCTTCCATCTCCTGCACGATGCTCAGACCAATCACTCCTAGGAGGCAGTGGCATTCCCATTGGTGGCATGGGTAGCCCTGGAGGAGGCATACCTGGGGGAGGCATACCTGTTGGCGGAAGGCGTGGTGGCATCATACCTGGAATCATTCCTGGGGGAGGCAGTCGCGGAGGTGGCATACTTGATGGGAAAGGACCAGGTGATGGCATACTAGGATTGCTGTTAACAAAATAATGTCACAAGAAGGAAGTTAAACCTCTAAGAATCAAACATGTCACACATTTAGTATTTCCTAAATGCCAGGCAAAAAAACTTGGGACAAGAATTTGGAGTTCAAACTAGACCTTCTTATTGGACACTGAAAAAAAAAACGGAAGCTTTCACAATGTACGCAAGCTGATTCACAAATTTCACACAGATAGTAATCAGTGTTCAAATACTTGAGAGTATGGCTGTGGAACAAACTTCATGACATAACACTATGACACTGATGCATAAGAAGAACCAGTTACAACTTCATATACACTATCACCACCTGTCGTTCAGTATTAAAACTCAACAATTTCTACTGAAAACTCGATCTATAATTCTCGAATTATAGCCACAAAAAAACAAAGAGTTTTTTAATAACATTTATTTTGTACATTGCAGAGGATGTTCTTGTTATTACTTTTAACCCTTTGACCCCTTGCAATGATAGCATCTAATTTCTCCTTAAAACATCACCCTCATATCATACATTGAAGACATGAGAATAACAGAAATGATCACCAATTTTAAGGAGCTCTGGGTTATTAAACAAATTTGCCTCGTCAGCACCTTAGGATGTGTATAGAGAACAGTATGGAGACCATACATACACTTGTACATGTCTACTTACTTTTGTGGTGGTAGTTTATCTGCTGTTACATTAGTGCTGCCTGCTACCTGCTGTGCACCATTCTGAGTTCCCACTTGTTGTTGATTCTGCTGCGTATTAACTGTATCTCCTGGCTTTGCTTCCTGCTCTGCAGCTGGTGTTTGTTGCTGTTGCCCTTCAGGAGGAATGTTTTGTCCCTAAAGTTGGGAAGGGCAATTAAAGTTAACAAAACAAACTTCACGGATAAGTGTAGTTAAAGACAAATCAAAAGCACATCACCCTTTATCATCTGCATGGACTGGTGTAATACCAACTCAAAAGACCTACAACCTAAGAATTGTATATCCTTTCTAAATCAATTCAGCTAACTATTTAACTTTCACAAGTAGTTGATATGTAATATCTTCCTACAATTTCAAAATGTTTTCTTGCAGTCAGCACAAGATGGCAGACAAACTTATCAGTTGGAGGGTTTGATCCCAATAAAAAACCAAATTTTCTTATCTAATAAATGATGATGTGTACAGGAGTCAGTAAGGATAATAACCAATTTGATCTTGAGATTAAAGTGACATTGAATACACAACAAAAACAGGTCATTGAAACTTAGAGAAGGGCAATCACGACTTTCAATCAACAGAGGTAACTTACTTGAACTGGCTGCAATGTCTGCTGTCCAGATTGGGCAGGCTGCTGATTTTGCGCAGGTGGAGTAACAAGGTTTTTGGGTTTCTCCCAAGCAGACTCTCTGGTTCTTGCATTGTAATAATACACTTTTCCTTCTGAAGTCTTGTGTTCTAACCACATGTCACCATTGGTATCAATCATAGGTGGATCTTTGCCTTGAGATAGCTGCTGCTGCTGAGCCATCTGTATCGGCATTTGCTGCTGATTTGGCATCATTGGCGGCATTTGATTCGGCATCATGGGCCTTGACTAAAATTATTGATCACAAGACAAATTTTCAGACATCAAGGTAAATGAAACCAACAAATCACACCACGTCAAACACAGTGATGCTGCTCCAACAGTGCAACATTATCTCCCAGTCTCCTTACATTTTATGTAACAGAGTTCTTTTGTATAATTCAAGGGCTAAATTTAACCCTCTGAACCCTTCCCTGTGTGTCTCATGTTTAATTACTTATATTTTAACTCCGTGATTAACCCTTGACCCTTAACATCAGTATGCATATTCTCCATACTGTTCTCTATACATTTCCCAAGGTGCTGACAAAGAGAATTTGTATAACAATCAAGATCTGCCGCAGTTGATGATCATTTCCTCTATTCTCGTGACCACAATGTTTGATTCAAGGGTGATATTGTGAGGAGAAATAGGATGTTCGTCACTCTTAGGAGGTAAAGAGTTAAGTAAAGAAATGGTTCCTGCAGGTGGGCTTTAACTGGTACAATTTACAGACAAAGGAAGCTGAAAAAATTCAGGCTTTGATGTGATTCATACCCATGCCTGCAAGAAAGTAGTTGGGTACTATCACCAGCTAAGCTTTGAATGAAGCCACAAGTTGGGAGCATGACAAATTCTAAAGGGTTTCTGATCACTTTTAAATGAAATAAATAATACATGTATGTTATCATCATAATTACTGTTAATTAATATTGGTTATTTCATTTGATTGAGTCGGAATGACCAGTACAAAAAAATGAGCTTAGGACAAAGTGATAAAAAGAAAAACCTGCATATTTGGCAACATGGGAGCATTGCCCAGAGGTCCTCCAAAAGGCGGTCTTGTATTGTTCATCACATTCCTTGGATCAAATGGTCCCCTCATAAAACCTCCAGGTGGTTGACCCAATAAAGACCCTCTGGGACCTTGCCCTGTGGGTCCACGAGGTGGGGGCCCTCTCACATTTGGTGGGACAGCCCTCTGGGCCATCAAAGGAGGGGGCATACTGTGCCTCATGGCTGATCTAAAATGAAACAAAAAGTGTTGAATTAAAAATTAAAATACATGTGACCTGAAAGTTGTTTTACCAAATCTTTTAAACCTACAAAGTAAGAGTGCAAAAACCAGGAGACCACAGCTGGAAATTCAATTAGAGTATTTTTTTAAGGGCGGGGGGAAAGGGAAGGGAAGGGGAGTTAAAGATCACACTAAGCAACTCAGGATTTCAGTCTGCCACCAATTTAAACATGCACATCTAATTCTGTAAAAACTCATGACTCTGCTTGACCCCTTAAATCCCAGAAATGATTTACATTTAACTTCTTCCAATATTACCCATATATCATCTAGCAAACAGGTTATGAGACTAAGCAAACTTATGATCTAAAACAAAATTACCATATTAAATTGGTTTACAACAAAATGTGTTGTAGCTAGGGGGGGAGAAACGACAATTAGATTTTAAGATTCCTGATAAATGGAAATGTCACTCCACTGACAGTTACTTACCCCATGGATAAACAGCACAGTGAGTCTAAGAGATACATTCAAGTGAACATATTGCTAAAATTTGATGAAGTTTTGCCATTCATCTGCATCACGCATGTTTTGACAACAGTTAAAAACACATGGCATGAATTTCTTATTTCTTTGCAACCGCAACCATTAAATACACCTTTAAACCATGTAGAATCTAGATATACCTGACTCAAGCTTGATTTACAATGTAAAACAACTAAAATTTATGTGGAAAATGCGTGCTCCACAAATTTCCTGCTGTTCTTTAGTATTTTCATCGTCGCTATTACGCGTGTAGATGAGAACTGAGAACTCACCTGTACTTTAAAAGTCAGTTAAACTCGGATCACAGAGAAAATCTGCAATGAAGTAGCTCAAAATTCACAAGTTAATTCTTAATGAAAAAGCAAACCATCAGCCGCCATATTTTTTCCCACAGTGCACGAGGATTTTGGCAGAAATCCCGGATAGAGAAGCTCGTTCCAGGTCACGCAGTGTCCATTTTGAAACGCAAGATGGCGATAACGGCTTAATGGGAATTAATTTGTAAGTACAGAAATTAATTGTGATTGATATGGACAGTTTTCTCAATTTATGGTTAAAGAACGAGAGAACTCTTTCTGCTCTTTCAAAATTCAGGAAGGTAAAATTTCCGCACAGCCCCATACCACATTATGCGTTCAGTTCTTGGATAGAGAGAACAATGACAAAAGCAATACATAGCCTTTGGAAAAACAGATTTGTTTTACAATAGTATGGGGCTGTGCGAAAATTTTACCCTATGTATTTTTAATTCTACCTCATTTAAACTTTAACCACTAGAAGTGACTAAAAATGAACTTCGTTTTACAATATCATCACATTTTCAAGCAGGTGACAATATTGTTTGATTAGATACCAAATTCTTAAAACTTAAAGTCCCAGAGATGTTTAACTTGAGGAGAATTTACACGAGATCTTGAAATTAAGAAGCCGGGGCAAAAAATTATTACACTTTACTCAGACTTCCATCAGTTAGATAATATAACAAACAAATTTTAAATTTATTAATGATTCATTTTCTATTATCAAACTTGCATCAGAAACATATTATGACAAACATATGTAAAATTTATTCATAATTCATTCCCTTTTATCTATTAAAACTCTTTAATAGACTGAAATAAACTAATAAATTCTACTTTTGCAACAACTTTGTTTCCTGTGGTCATAAGTTTGGGGAAAGACTGAAAAATGATTTTGTTTGTGAATTAAAAGTTAGGTTTATCTGATGAATCCATTAATGTCACTTGGAATACATGAATAGAATACCTATAATTATTTTGCAATTTTAGAATGTAGACTCACTAAAAATACAAAATTTAAATTTGATTCTGTCCTTGCTGTATTTTTTGCTCCACTTTATGGCAAAGTGAAAAAAAATATTCTTATTCTTAGTCAGGTTGAGGATTTTTTCCACCAAATTAAACCTAGGAAATACAGCTGTAGCAAAAACAACAGATGCCTTTATTCAATGTGGTTATAATTATAATAAATGAACATGCATCTAATTATCTTCTCTCAAGATGTGAAGTCATTTTCAATTCTAGAGTCAAGCCATTATTACGAATTGTGACACGTCAACTGTCTTACAGCCAATCTTCCCCAGGCATTAATCAACAGAGCTCTCATATCATATTACTTTTACTGCCAAAAATCCATCAATTTCAATCACTTACACGAGAGAAGTATTTTAAGAAGATCTCTAAACAAGGATAATCAATTAGGTACTGTACCTTGAAAATATTTTAAATTATACAACATTTAACCTTGTGGTTTAAAAACTAATCCAAACTCTAAAATAATGACTTGAACATGAACAGAGATAAATTACTGTAGAATATTGGATATTCTACTGAGGAAAAAAGAAGGTTCTTTGAACTACATTACTCTCCAGTTAGCTTGGCTTTGTATTTCGGTGTAATTTTCAAGGACTTTGTTTTATGAATTTCAAACAAATTGTTAAAGGCATCTCTAAAAAAACCGTTTTGGAAGGAAGGAGTAGATAGTAGATAGTTTATAGTACTCAACATAAAGAATAAAGGAATGAATTAATGTCAGATTTCTGCAAACTGTCCCAACTTTCATTATAGGCTTCTATATTTGCTACTCTGGAAAACTTTCTTCAACATGCAAGCCATCTGCTCATACATTTTAATTACCTAGACCAAGAACAACCTTGTCTATCCCTGACATATGCTGTTAAATCTGTTGTTTATGGCTGCCGTCACCAAAACAGTATTTTAATGGACAATAACTACTAATATTTAACCCTTCAACTCCTAGGAGTGACCAAGAAAGAATGTCCTCCTACAATATCCATACAATCTCAAGCAGACAACTGATTAAAATAGAGAGAAATATCAATTAGGGGACTACAAGTTGATCCAATACCAAATTCTCTAAACTAATATCACAAGAACTGTATGGGAGACAGTAGGGAGAATTACTAAGGAGATCTTGGGAATTAAAGGGTTAAGAATCTAGTTACTACAGCCACACTTTTCCTTCTCATTTCCATCTCCTGCTCGAATTCCACGATCAAGATTATCCCCCAACACAAATGCTCTTTGCTCTGTCTGAGTGTCTTTAACATGTTTATTTACCAGCTCAGCAAGCATTGTGAAAGCCTCGGTGACGTTAAAAGAATCTTTAGCACTTGTCTCTATGAAAGGCATGTCATTACGAGCAGCCCACTCTGCACCACTTTCGGTGGAAACTTGACGATGTGAATTAAGGTCTGTCTTGTTGCCGACCAGAATCATCAAGACTCCTTGATTGGCATACGTTTCTACCTCATTCAGCCATTTATTGAGGTTAGAGAAAGTTTCTTTTCTTGCAATATCATAGACTATCATAACCCCATGCGCTCCTCTGTAGTATGAGGATGTTATTGTTTTAAATCTTTCTTGGCCAGCTGCAACAAAATAAATATATATTATTAGATGTTTCTGGTGTGTAGCATCGCTGAGGATTTTCATGAGTTGTGCCTACTTTTGTTGAGTCTTGCAGGGCGAGCCAAAATTCTTTCAATGAGTAAAATCACTAAGCAATTTCACACATCAAAATGTTTAATAAGTTATTTATTATCTAACTGCTGCTAAGTGTTTCTGCTCATTTCTCAGAAGGCCAGAAAAGCAAAGGGGATAGAGAAACATGGAACATGTAGCAAACTAGTTAAACAGATTTTTTTTTACAGTACAAAAATAACAAACTGTACGATAGCAGAGAAGATTTGTACTCTATTCACAAATTATCCACTTTGTGCAGTTGTATAAAACATCAGAATACTGACTCTCAATTAAATATCAAGACAAAACTTCTGAATTATTGGTTCAATTTTGTGTTTTTTTTCTTATGTGTTAACAAAATTTTAAGTATCCAAACCAAAAATTTGAAATGTTGGTGGAATAAGATTACACAATAAGCTCACTTATTCAAACAATTTGATTGGTTCTAAATAATGATCTTTTGGAGGACAGACACACAGATAACATCACCATTAACATCTTCAGCTCTTTTTTTAAAGAAATATGAATAGATTCCATGTTGTTATCAGTCTGTACAGCAATAGATCACAGTAGAGGTCAAAATGTCATGAGAACATCAGTGATACACTCAGCTGCTCCTGTGTGCCACTTTTTAGTCCTACCTGCATTTTGATCTACAACTGATTCAACACATGTTAAGATAGAATCCATTTGTCACTTTGAAACATGGAACTACTGTGCCCATGTATATTTATGGTTTGTTTTCTTTAGAGTAACACAGGGTCTTGGGTAGCAAGAACAGTTTAAGAATTTTGAACTTGAATTTTTCAGGTTTTACCTTGATTTATGTAGACTGAAAGTTTTGCTTTAACCTCAAGGCTAAATCCATTTAAAAAATCCTCAAATTATTGCGATCAATGTGCAAATTGCCATGACAATTTCTATACTTACTAAAAACCATTGTGACATTGTACCAAAATCAAAAGAAACACCTGACCTTGCTTCATTTTTAGACAAATAGCCAAGACGTAGCCTTCACCAGAATGAAAAATTTTCCTGTCATTGAAGGACAACAAACTCCCACACAGCCAAAATGTTTTAGAAACAATCCTTTAAGTGCATAAATTTCCTTTTGTAAGTTGATAGCCTAATGTCCTCTTATGCATAATTGTTCAAGAACTGCTTATTATTCACTAATATTTACCATCCATTGACACACATTGTCCCCGATGATCCATCAGGTGACGAGAAAATATCACATTTGATTGCACGTAAAAGCCCAAATGGCTTATTTCTGCAGGTGCCTCGTCTTAACGATCTCAATTTTCTGATCATACTTGAACTAAGATTTCCCCAGTTCTATCCAGACTTCTTACAAATGTCCTGTCCGATTTTTACCGAGACCAAATATTCACAATATAACTTTTGATATATGCCAGCCTATCTGTGAATCACATTTCTGACAACTGTTATCGTAGTTTCATATGCAAGAGAAAACATGCAAAAATTTTTCTGGGTTCGATTCCAGACATAGAGGAATTGAATCACCCTTCGTTTTTCCACTATAAATCCGACATTTTTTGTAGATTATCCTTTTTTTTTCTTCCAAATGCAATCAATCAATTTGCTTTCTTTCTCATTTAGGGATTAGAGCGACGGTACAAAAAATAATAAATTTATCGTTTTTAATACCAAGAGTACGTACGAATTTACATTTTCCCACTAATTGGCACAATGACGGAGCGCAGATTTCAACGGATAATGAAGATCGAATATTTCGGTGTTGTTTACCCTTCGCGCAAATTGATCGAGGTCTAGAAATATTCACTGCTTCTAGTTTACTCTTCAGGAAATCTTTTGTTTACAAGGAAGTCAAACACTCACGCACAATACAGTTTCCTGTGTTTATCAACACCAGCAATCTGTAAATTTCGTACCGTGAATTCGTAATGTGTGCAAAATTAAATAATTATCAAAGAATTTGACTGATCAGCATTGTTTTTTCTAAGCTCGCAACGTGATCTTCTAATCCATTTACTTTCGGTTTACGAAAAGAAAAACGCAAACAACAAATCTGTACGTCAGTTCTTTTAACAACATCTTCAGGGTGCCACAGAATTGCTATTAAAAATGCAAACAGTTTTGTTCGAAGGATGCTGAAAATTAGCGTGCTTCTTAAAGTAGTTTAAAAGCGCTGGTAGATTTTCTCCCGCAATTTTGTGCAGTGAAAGATAAAAGGGCTGACTGTCGATCGTTAACAACAAGCAATGTTCTTGAATTTCAAGCAACAACTCGGAAGCCATTAATTTTTCAAGAGAACAAACACAGCGAAACAAAGACATCATGTTGAAACGAAGCCCTAGAGGCGATTTCAGGTACATATTTACCCTTGGATTTAAAAGTTGAGAAAAAAATTGTCAGTTATGTATTCTACCGTATTAAATTTCACCGCCATACGCAATATCCACTTACCAGTGTCCCAAACTTGAAGACGAATTCTTTTCCCATTGAGCTTGATGGTTTTTATTTTAAAATCTACTCCAATTGTGTTAAGGTATGCCTCTCTGTGGGCGAAATCAACATAACGAAGAAGAAGACATGATTTTCCCACGCCAGAATCGCCGATCATCAGAACTTTGAATAAATAATCATACTGAAGTTGTAAGTCCACAAGCAAATCCGAATCCATGGTGGCAAGAAATCAAGATCCACGCGGAAAGTAACGAAAAATCTGATGATCACAGTCAAGGAACGAGTCTCATCACTTGAACAGGCGAATTTTACTCTACACGCGAACGTAAACGCTGTTGTTCGTTAGGCAAATTGAAATTGAATCAATCAGCTGGAAGAGTCACAGAGTTCTTATTTTATCTCTGTCCGTTGGGAACCTGGGTCGGAATTATTATTTAAACTTTGGATCGGACTTTGAGCAAAGGATAGGGAACAATCCTCTGTTTTAAAGAAAGATGTTTTTCATCTTGTCACGAGCGTGGGACAAAGAAAAATTCTGAGTCCCCATGAGGAATCGAACCTCAGACCTTCGGATTCCACGCTCCGATGCTCTTCCACTGAGCCACAGAGACTCCACGGTGAGCGAGGTCTATTACGAAGTTCTTATGACATACTGCTAGGATCAGTAATGTCGATAGCGTAATGTTTAAAGATAGACATAAGAGAGGTGGTAAGTTATGAGCTCGGTAAAGAAATATAGAAAGATGTTTTTTGTCATGTCACGAGCGTGGGACAAAGAAAAAATTCTCTGTTTGTTCAGCTGTTAGTGCCTACTTCTTCGACGATGTCAAGGAATTTATTGGTGAAGTTCTTAATGCTATAACCGTCTTTGATTTGCGTCTCAGCACGAAAACATCCCTAAATTTAAACTCAGGTCTCCTAAGGAGCGCATAGGGGACTGGGCGGAGGATTTTGGTTGTGTGACACTATAATTTACCTTCCGCTCCCCCCAAAAAAAAAAACAAAACAAAACAAAACAAAACAAAACAAAAAACAAAAAAAAAGAAAACAATAATATTAGTAATTATAATAATGATATTTAAAAAACTCTGTATTATCCAAATGACCCCCCCTCATTCGCAGTTCTCTTCATACCCAGTTTCCCTTTGTACCCGGCTGGACGGTGCCGGCGGGGCTACTCGGCTCGAGTGCAGACTTAATTTTTGTTCGGTTTTTTTTTCTGTGCTTAAAATACGCCAGACCGCAGAAGGTTAAGTGAACACAGACTGGTATTTGGCTAAAAATATCTAGAAATATTTAAGAGATAAGAAAGAAGGTCAAAAGAAAAAACTCCAAGAAGTCTGAAATTAATCTGACTTTAAAGCAGGAGGAAATGCTTCAGTGTAAACCATCACGTAATTGTTTCACCTCATGTTTTTTGATGATTTCGGTAGAAAATATTCGTATGTTTCTGTTTTAAATAATATTTATCATATTACTGATTGGTTAGGTCAGGTTGTTCAAAGGATGGAAATCGCTATCCACTAAGTAAATCTTTATCCTATGGATAGCGCAACGCGTTTTGTCAAAACTTATCCGCTGCATACGGATTTTTCCGATTGATAACATTATTAGCCTTTTGAGCAATTGGACTCTGAATTAACTTAACAGCAAGGAGATTGACTATCAAGAAAGCAGAAGTCTAATTGACGCATTATCACCTTAATCTTTTTATCGCACCCATAAAAATACTTTGGACACTCTAATCACATAACAAGTAAGCATTTTGCGGGAAACTTAAGATTTTTGTTCTTAAGACACTGATAGCTTGAAAAATGAAAAAAATTGCGAAGTTATGCAATGTTTCGAGTATCATTTCGACATCACTTTCATTCTCTGTGAAGAAATGAGAGACGAGCTAACTTCAATTGTTTTCCGAACATTTACATTGATCAATTCATTATTCTAAAAAAAATTACAAAAACATTGAATCATAAGTGTTATTTTAGCTGAGAAAGAAAATACAAAAACATTGGAATTATAAATGTCATTTTAGCTGAGAAATCTGACGCTAAGTTTACTCTAAAATGTTAAAAAAACACTGGCATATCGAAGCAAAAATAACTGTGGAACTAGAGATATCTCTGATGTGTAAAAGCTAACTCCAAAACTAAATCTTTCGAGCTTATAGGTGAAATGAAGACTCAATCTATTGAATGTTAGGCGGTTGGTTAGAATTAGGGCGTTTTTTTTTGGTTGAATGTCGCAATAATAGAAACACAACCGATTATGAATAAGGTCGACATCCCGAAAATTCCAAGGATAGCTGAAGGTATTAAATGAATACTTATGGATAACTTCGTGCTCGGAAAACGTAGATTTGCGAGTTAAGAATACGGCATTGGTTTCTTAGACCTATTATAGGGCAGAATGAAGCAAATGCAAGTTAATCTGGGATTACTTTGGACAGCTGTTCCTGAAGCGATAATTGCCTTCACCAAGGTCAAATTAAGGACATGCAATCACAACAAGATCGAATCCACTGGTTTACAACTTGCCAGATCTGTTTTCCATCGGATCCACACTTTCCAGTGTCGTACAAGATATCCACTATAACACCTCCCTGATTACACTGGCCCGTGTGACTGAGGCAACTTCTGTCGTTTGTGTCGCAGATGATCTCGTTCAAGTAGCGCGGGAAATAAGCCGGTGATAACACGGTAACCGCTGACCACTCGGTGCATAGACGGCGGTGGCCATTTTGATCGCGCGAGCCCTTGGTCCTAACGCTCGTGAGGTTCGTCTTAGGAAAGGGACTTGTCGGGCGTGACGTTGTTGTGGTGTTGGGCGCAGTTTGATTCAGTAGGTTGGGAAATTTTGCTGCGGCGTCTCTCGTGATTGCTTGATAGCGCTTGTTGAAGCTACCGTGGGTTTGCAGTTGTATCTCTAGTTCTCTGGTTGCCCTCGGTGTACATGCTGTTGATATGATGCCTCTTTGGGGGCTTGTTATGTTAGCGGTTGACGTGGAATTTAGTGGACGCGCTTCGATACAGCTTAGAAAGACACTGGTCGTTGCCACCGCTGAAATCAGTGTTTTAAACATCTTTTCTGTGAAGACAAAATAATGCATTCTCTTAATTGCAGCATTACCCTATCAGTAGCATACAAATTTTACTGCGGTATTGTTAAACCCTTAAAAATATTTAACAAAACGAAAAGGTTGGGCGAAAAAAACTTCTATTTTATCTTATTAATAAAGTTTCACCTCTGCTTGAGCAATTTCTCAGGAGCGGGCAACATAGAGAAAACCGTTCTTCCTGTCAGGATCAGTGAAACCTCATTCCTTTCAATTTTGCCATCGGATACTCTGAGCTGCACAGAACTCGTCAAAAAGTTAGGCTCCGGGCTTAGATCCCTTTATGCCGAGCGGCCTCAAACATATTCTGCTTAAATCACGCTTGTATACAGCGTTTTGTGTGGAGTTAGAAACCTGGTGTGCTTAGTGCACTTTTTCTTCTAATGAAGTCTAAAACGTGATAAAAATAAATAGGAGAGATCAGCGTATTTCATACCTCATGGCACTTCACTCTCTTTTTTTGACCTGAGACTCTTTACCTAGCTTTAGGAGTCCTCTTCAGTGTCTCAGTGCCGAGAAAACGTATATGGAACGTGCTTCGTTAGTCTTTAATTAATGTTCTAAGTCGTAACCCAACATTTTTGAACGTTTGCCATCCAATAAACATTTTCCGACAATCCAGTTTTTTTTTTTTTTTTTTTTTTTTTCTGGCGAATTGAATTTCATGCACGCCGACCAGTGCTGTTTTGCTCCCCGGAACAACAGTGCGTTTAGAGACAGAACATTGATATGAAGTATTCTGAAGAATACGAAATATGGTTACTCTTTTAAATATTTGAGAGTAAAAAACTTATAAAGAAGGAATTTCCTGAAAACCTCGAACATTGTGAGAAAGGATTTTCAAAGGTATGACCACGGGACCCGTCAATCTGTACCCTAGATGGGAAGGAACTCATGTCTTGTTTGGAGCGGACGAGTTTTGCTCGACTTAGAAGAGGAACTTGACCAGAGCAGAAATTAGCCTTGAGGAAATTCTCACGGGACGACTCTTAGGGACTTGAAACTTGAAGGGCTTGGTTTTCACTAGTCGAGGTAAATTGTAAATCGTACCTTGATCCCGATCGCCTCAGACATGCAACTGCAGCACATTTACGCAGTCTCCAAACATCATTGCATTATGTAAGAACGTTGAAAGAGAGCTAATTAGGACCAATTTGTAAGCTTTCGACGTACTCAGTTATGTTACCTACAGGTATATCGATAACGTTTGTTTGCTTAGGAGCAGGTTAGTTTCTGTTTTAAGCGCTGATTGCAAATATTAGAGCAATACTTCTACGGGCTCGTAATGATGTGAATTTCAAGAGAACGTAATTTTCCTATTTTAAGCTAGATCCAAACTACGATTTTCATCCTTACAACTGGTATTGCCTCGAACAAACCGATTGCTACTGTGAGAGTTACACAAAATTGGAATTTTACATTTTCTTGTCCAAAGCTCTTCGGTGTTTGCTTCATAAAACACTTGACAACAAGCCAAAAAAATCAGCTTATATGAATGAAACTCAACATATTGTCACAATGAATGCTGCATTCGCCGTTATAAGGGAAAGAACTTGACTTACGTAACGTGATGCTTTTTTGTTGTACCTATTCAAGCGTGCGAAGTCGTAAGATTTTTTTTTAATTTCACTCGGAGTCCTAACTTTGATTAGAAAACACGAAATTTCTTCTTCTGTATTTCCTTTTTATCGCTTTTCCATCTGAAATAAAAGCGTTTTAGGGCGCTGAATTGGGATATACAGTCAGCTGATTTTAAGCGCATCGATTTTTCGTGCCTTTTTCTGTCCCATGAAAAATTGAATTCATTTTAAAAGACTTAGACCTGGTTACGAAATCGAACACAGAACTTCACTGTAAAAACTATAACAGCTTGAGTCTCGACACGAAACAGGAGAAAAATCGTAAAAATTTGAAAAACTTAACAAAGGATTTCTGTGCTTTTACTCGTGCTCTTGGTTAACGGACAAACCAAGAAAAGAGCTCCGGACATCATTAGGTTTCGAATTCTCAAATGGACTTGGAAGCTTCTTTGCACAGCACTAATAAAAAAATATTCATCATTTTTCTTAAAGAAAATTTAATAGTAGCATTACAAGGCTTACCTCGATCCCTGTGTGCTCCTCTGCAGCTGGTTGTGAAACAAATTTCTTGATTGTGGCCGCTTTACTGCTGCTAAGCGCCTTAGACCGGGCGGTTATATAATCCTGACACATGCGGAAGTTAAGTAAACCGGAATTATATCTTAAATCACATTGCGTGGGCATATTGAAGTTATCTAAAAATTACTTTACAGATAGTTTTTTCTGGGACTCTCGCCTATTCTTGTCCGGACCAGATGTTTAAGTTTTCGACCATTCAGTTCCCCAAATCTTCTATAGACATACAACTTATATTATGCAAGGAAAAGTTATTTCAAGTTAGCTTAGTCAGTCAAATGTTTCTATAACTTCCGTGCGGTTCACAGTCACAGATCTTGACCACATTTCAGATAAAAAATGTCTAAAAAATTTTACTACTTCGCTACCTTCCGATTTTTGTTCTAAAATAGATTTCAAAGCCAGACTCTGTCTGCCGCGGTATTTTACTTTCTTATGCAGATGTTAAATTTTTACCAGGTCGATGTGAGGAATTTGCGGAATTTTTCAGACGTAAAATTAGATTGCAATGAAAGTGCTGCTTCGCAGATGTAAATAGTTAACCTTAGTCAAGTACACGCCATTATGGAAAAACTGCTATTTATTGTCTCAAATTTAATTTAGGAAAGACGTTAATGTCCTTGAAATCATAGGAAATACAGCTCTAGTCTGCAAACGAACCAAGAACACAGCAAATGCTACGGAAAGATTCCGTAAACAAGAGCCGTCAGCGTTTTCATTGTATTTTGCATTACGCGAGTTATCAAACTTTTCCAGTCGTAAAATCATCCTACCGTTAAAGTACTTATCAAGCATCGTGTAAAATGCCTGGAATTGGGAAAAACCGGCTATTTACTGTCCTTGATTTATTTCAGGAAAGGAAGTTGTAGTGAATCGGAAATTATGAGAAATCCATCTCTGGAAATGTGAATTTCCTGGCTTTAATTTGGCGATACAGCGTGGTTTCAGCAAGTTACAGTGGTCTCGACTCAGCTTTCTGTTCCGGAGGAACTGCTTAAAAACCTGAATGACTACCACAACATCGGTTGTTTCATTCTATCCCATGATACTCATTGCGAAGCGTGAGTTGATCTTTTAACATGGGTTCGTTTTAGAAGTCTAACACAAAGTCAGGGGCTTCGTTTACAGGTTCTGTTAGGCGCAGTTTCTTCGTGAATTTGTGCACTGTCATAGTAAGCAAGTGAAAACGCTAGAAGAGTAGCTTTCACAAAACTCTCTGTTTTAACTTTAGACTTCCTTAGTTCCCAACTCAATTATATTCTGCGACAGGAGCAAGAGCTTAAGTTATGCCCATGATACAGCATTTTTTAAATTTATCAGCTTTAACTTCCCAGTTATCATTTTACTCTCGATGAGAGAGATATTAGACAGGTCTTCCTTGATAAATATTATACAAGTCTTTGATAATCATCATAATAATTCTGCTGAATTAATATGATGTTCTTTCAGTTAAGAAGGCTTCAGAGGCGTTTGCCGTAAGGCGGCCAAACATTCAGCCATTGGGCGTAAGAATTGACAATTTTAACTAGTAGTCGTAAAAAAAGTTAACCGTTAAAATGTTTCCTTTCTAAGATGAGTCATTTTGTGTCCTTTCGGTATAACCGTAGCCGTAAAATGCCCAAACTTTTTTAACGGTTAGCCGTAAAAGCCAGTGCCCCATTGAGACCCTTAGTTAAAGATAGGTAGTAATGAACACTGATCATTGTGTGCCGCTTCTTCTTTTTTTTTTTTTTAATAAACTAAAGGTGCGTTCCTTTGGGAGGATCAGGATTAGGATTTGTAATCCAAGATCAAACAGATCACGGTGCATGAAAGGAACGGAGTTTTAGACGAGCTCTCAGAGAATTCCAAAAAGTGCGCTATTTTAAGACTTGTGTATGCACGTGGGTTATTGAGCTCTCCCCTGAAGGCTCGTCTATCTGCACGGGCTTTTAGCGCGCACAATTTTTCTAATTAGCACTATTCATTAGAAGCACATTTTTTCATAGTAAACTCAAACGATGGACAGCACAAGTATTGATTACGATATGGATACTTGGGAACCCAGAATGCCTGCGATCAGTGGCCGATCGATTTAACATTGCAAAATCGATTTTATTTCGTGTTTATCGCAGAGTTTGTGAAGCGATTGCCAACAGTATTTCCGGTCAATATATGAAGTACCTACCAGTTGGAAATTGAACGCCGCTGAGCAAAATGATTAATTTCGGATCCTTCGCCCGAAGGAACGTGTTGGATCAGTGACCCAATGATCCGTCTTTAGATCACGCAGATCAGTGATCCAATTATCCGTCTTTAGATCACGCAGATCAGCGATCCGATGAATCCTTGTCCAGAGTGGATTTGATAGATCACTAATCTGAAAATGGATTTGCTCGAAAGGAACGCCACAGATCAGAAATCCTGACCCGGATTCTCCCAAAGGAACGCACCCTAAATGAGTGATTAAAATGAATGTGGTAAACTTTCCGTGTTCAATTTTTCTGGGTTGACGCGGTTCTCAAGTACTATAAAAATCATCCAGCCTGCCTATGTCGTCGTTTATTTTTTGACAGAAGCTACTTAACCCCTTAACTCGCGGATCAAATTTGAAATTCTCCTTTCTGTCAACCTTACAATACTTATAATGTTTGTAGATAGAAATAATAGAGATGGTAAGTTTTGAGCTCGGTAAAAAAATATAGAAAGATGTTTTTTGTCTTGTCACGAGCGTGGGACAAAGAAAAATTTTGAGTCCCCATGAGGAATCGAACCCCAGACCTTCGGATTTGTGCTCCGATGCTTACTTAATGTATGGATCAACTAAGTATCCCCAAATTGGTATTCTTCTTTATTCTCATCACTTATCTGGTTGATATTGTATTGATATTGTAAGGAGAAATTCTTTCTTGGTCACTCATGGGAGTTAAAGAGTTAATATACTCAAGTCCAAGTCCTGGGAGAGTGAAGAATTCTTTATTTCAAGTCAATGTACCATCCATTTACAGCAAGAGAGGGGTTTTCTCTCATCCTCTCTTGTTTACAGTCAGTGTGTTACGGAAATATAGTGCAATCACAACATGCACGGATGGGTTGCGAGTACACGTTCATTTGATCACCTGTGATCACCAGAAAATCCTGGATGATAACGGTGTTTTGGCAAATTCCTTGCACGCCTTCTATTCCACAGAATTGATCTCCTCCGCACAACAGTTCGTTGATGTATCGCGGGCTCCTGGTCGGACCCAGGTCTGTCACAGCCGGACAAACCGAACAGAGCTTTTGAAGCCCTCCAATAGTCGTTTCGCAAGGGCCGGAGATCGTAGTGATAGGATACGGTGAGTCTGAAAGTGAAATAGTATTTCTCTTGCCAAATTTACTTTTGTTCCTTCCTTTTCCTCTCTTATTGGGATGGTTGCCATCGCCGGTTATGTCATCCATTTTAGTCGCGTTTAATGTTGTAAATGTCGAGGTGGTAAGAAGATGCCCATTTCGTAATTTCCTCATCACTGAGTGTAAGTTCACCAAGTTGGGGAAACGCCTCGCTTGCGTGGCCGTAAATGCCATGTACTTTGGGTTGCTGTATCCCATTGGTCCAGGGGATCTTCCAAAATGTCGTAAAGTTTTGATAAATGTGACCTCGTCAGTGGGCATTTCCATCATGTCCATCATCCTCCAGAGAAGCAGAAGCACAACAGGAAACAAAAGTGAGCGAGGAAGCATCTAAAACGATGAATGAAAAGGAAAATTTATCTTGGGGATTTACGTGTTTGCTCTTTCTCACGCTGATGTCAAGTGTGTAACACTTGAACTTTTCCTAGATAGACGAGCGAGCTGAAAATTTAGCACTTTTCTTTATCCTTCTCTACACACTTAGCTTTTGACATTGTAGATCATAGCAGTTGTCCAAGTGCTTACCACATTTGAACTTAATGTATGTCCTACCTCAACAAATAGTTCCCTTTCGGGAAATCCGAAGGTCTGATATTCGAATATATCTGAGTAATTTTAAGGTGCTTAACAAGTAAAGATTCACTCGCTTTCCTTACATGTATAAAATTTTTCATGAAATTGAAATTGTGAATTAATTTTAAGAGGTGTGAGTTTTGAGCCGTTATGTCAAGAACTTAGGTTAAACATCTTTGCTTACCAAAACAAAATTAGAAATACCTTCAGGTGTTATCTTCTTTAGGAAAATCGCCTTTCTCAGTCTTCCTAGATCGGCTTTTTGTCAGTTATCGGCAGCTTACAAGGGAAAAGGTAGTTTGATTTTCGAAGCGGTAGCTATAACCAAAGTGTGAGCAATACAATATTAAACGAAACAATATCTTTATAAGGACTTCCCATCAGGAATCTTCCGCCCTGATTACATTGAACAATGTTTTAAAAGATTGAAAAAAAATTAATAATTTAACAGTTATGTGTGTTACATTTGTAGACTATTATAAACAATATGTGGGCTGCTGCAGAAAACTCAAAAAAAGGATTACTTTCGACAAAGAAAACTTTCTACAAGGTGATTCCTCTAGCTGTGTTTAAGAATTGCATATTTTGAAAGACTCCGCATTTCGGATGGCAAGGAGTTCAGCACTGATATTCCCCTATATGAAAAAAGGACAATAATGATTTCCTTTTGTACTCTGAGGCTCGTCCAATGTAGAACTTTTTTTCTATTGACAACTCTGAGTAGTGTTCTTGCATTAACCTCTTGAATTAAAAATGTCATTAATTACGTTCCGTGGTGGGTACGTATAAGTTATTTGGGCATGTTTTGTCAAACAGCGATCGATTATGTCTTACATCTCATTTCAGTTTACGAGGGTCTTTAGTAATCAGTTCGAATAAGTGCAAATATTCGGAGCGGCCTTTAGTTTGATGGATGTTAGGGTGACCTCGGAAATTCTTAATCTAATTTGATTTCCAAAATAATGAAAATAAATCAATTTTTTTTATATTTCTTTAAAATGAGGTTGGCTTGTGTGTGTTGTTCTCTCAGCATTTGTATGCAGTAGATTAATCAGTAGCTGAGGTTTAATTAAGTCTCGCCATACCTGCTTTTAAATTTGAAAGTTCAATAAGTTATTCTATTGTGCAGTGGTTTTCAGTTTCTTTCAAGAGAAAACTTATAGGACCTATAATTTTCCCTTGGTTTTCTTGTAATTTAGATGATACAATACGATCTCTTACCAAAGCTGGACCCTCCTGATGACAAGATCGTTTTACTCTTGCCGCGTATACTGGAATAGAAAGTACAAGTTATTTGCTACCCGCATCTTGGAGGTGAAGGGTTAAATTACTGATATACGCATTGAAAAGCGACACCGGATTCATATAAGAGGTGACCGGAAAACTGCACTCAATTAGTTTCAAAAGATCTGCCGAGTGATGAGAATTGTCATTTCTATGGCTATTGTTTTTTAAAGCAGATGAAGGTCAGTGGCAGTCTAATAACTCTGTCCAATCACTCGTTTTAATAAATTTTTTTTCCTAAGGTAAATGTAATTGCCATTAACTTTAGCCGATTATAAATTTTGTTTAGCTTCAAGTCGCACTATTTATAAATGGTATTTTTTTCGATCTACCGGGATTTCTTCGTGCTGGGATTGCATTTAAGCCTGGTTCTCGTACGCTGCAAACGTGCCTAGGACTGGCCGCAAGCACGGCCCGAGACAATGTGAACATTAATCGGTCTCAGGGAATTGACGGCAGGCTCAGTTCAACTTTCCAGGCAAGCTGGCGGTTGTTGGCAATGAAAATATTTTGTGTGAACATCATCTGAGGTGGCCGACGAGGAAATCTTTGACGTAAGAACTCCATTTTTCCCACAATACCTATTCGCGGTCACGACGCCGCAATACTGCAAACAAAGCGTGATACTGGCTGTGTCTGTCCTTGAAGCATGAGTAGCACCCAATACTTTCTACAGGCCCTCTTCTCCATATTCCTCTTCCTTCTCTCGCGCCATATCACCAGCACAAGCGCAAGCGAAAACTGGCACTCTAGTAACACGACACGATCCATATTAACAGATGGAGTGGTAAAAAAATTGCACCCGTTCGATTTACATGTTTTGCCAATTTTATCATTTCGGCGACCCATCACAGATGGGCCGGGGACCGATTTGAACAGATCACCTAGCTTGACAATTGCCACCGGGGACTACGTCCCTGGTATGTCTATTGCTTATGAAAACCTGCCTTTATAATCACTGAAGCATTTCATGCGAGGTATAACATTTTACTTTTTAATGATGATTATCAAATTCTTGCTGTCCAAATAACTAAGTAAAACCGTCATTAGTAACTTAGTATCAACTCAAACAAACAAATACCATTTCGTTTAACGTTAGTAATTTTCATTCTGTTGTTACGTTACACTGATACTGGTAAAACTCAACACGAACTTAGTTTCCACCCGCGTTTTTTCTTTGCCTGGACGAGAGAGGACAGGTTCAAAAGACAATACACATGTAAAACTAATCATTTTGTATGCAAGAGATTGGAAACTTCTTTTTACTACGACCATCGGAATCACTCTAACTTCTATTACCTACTTTACGGTACAAATTTGTCAAAGATTGCAGCCAAGAAAATGGCAGAAGTTCGTACTCGATAAACCCGATTGGTTGGTTGGAAGAGTCACTTGACCAAGTTTTCACTTGCCATTGCATCAGAGCAAGATACATTGACAACACATTTTCATGTCATAAAAATCCAATTGCAAATCCTTATTGCAGGTCCCTTGAGCACCGTGGTCTTTGAAGAACTTCTGCGTCATAACTGTTGCTTCGCATGTTCCAGGATTATTCTGCCCGCAAAGGTTGCCTAAGCTCTTGCAATTGACCTCGTTTACGTAGCGCGGATAAAAGTTCACGCCGCGGTCTGTTACGACGGCGCACCCTTCGCAGTTTCCTGAATCTTTCATGCATTCTCCTATTCCTAAAGAGGCGGGGAAACTTAAAGGAGCCCAGGTGGCCAAAGCCGAGAAGTTTCCTGGCTGCATGGTGATCAGGTTTTTGAAGTTTCTTTTCACTTCGTCTAGTGTAAAGGCCATGTAGTTTTTGTTAAATGCTCCCAAAGGCCCCCCACCATTTAGCCTTAGATGGTCCTTAGCTTCAGCCATTGTGATCGCTTGGCACTTGTCGTCGTCCTGTATTGTGAGCAAGGGCAGTTGACAGATAAGAAGAAGGACCTGTGGTAAAAAAAAGATGAGGAAGGAAGGGAATAGCTTATTTCAATGAATATACTTCTAAAACATAATAATAATAATAATAATAATAATAACTTTATCTATATAGTGCTCGCATCCTCTGCTCAAGGTGCTTTACAATCATACAAAATCATACATTGATAAAAATTTACAAATTTACAACCATATCCTACTATATGATACTTCAACATAGCTAAAATTCATACTGATTAAAAAAGAAAAACAAAACTAAAGCTAGCCATATCTTATTATACCATACTTAAACATAGCTAAAATTCACAATGGTTAAAAAAGAAAATTAAATCTAAAGCAATATATATATAAATCTTTAAAAATAATGGTCTGTTATTAATACATTTGGTAAAATTTCTTTAAAAAGTTCTTGGATAATGGTCAATAGTTATTGGGAAAACAGATTTGTTTTAAATAGTAGGAACGTCTCAACTGAACAGGAACGTCTTTTAAAAATTGAGATGGTGTTAGACTTTCGAATTTTATAGGGTATTAAGTTCCGTTCTCTTGGCGCATGAACAGCGAATGCTCTGTCTCCGTAGGTCTTAGTATACGATCTAGGTTGCATTAAAAGTTCATTACTTCACCCATTAGAGGGGAAATCGCATGAAGTGAATGACTGATAATTAATGTCAACTGATTGCAACTGCTGACAGCCTTGGCTTTCCAGATATAAATCTTCCAAGAAAATGTACAGAGACAGGACATATGTGTTTTTGATTCACCATCTTTTGAAGAAAATGCCAAAGAAATCAAAGGAATGATACAAATGAGTATAGAATTGGTTACCTCCCAAAAAACATTTATTTGCTGATCCTGCTGGACAGGTCGATATTGATTGATAATAATGATTAAGCTTAAAAACAATTATCTTTATTGCTGCTATATCTTCCCTTCCCTTTCTTGACCCAATCTTTCACCTCTTGAGATATCACCCCACCCTCACCCTCCCCCCCCCTCCCCAAGACTTCATTACAAGTTCTTAACAAAGTGCTTATGCACAAGGTAGCTACATCAGACAAAATGCCTAAACGTAATTGTATCTTTTTTAACAACGAACATATAATTGGAATATTATCAAGATAACAATCACGACAGAAATTTGATGGGTTGGAGAGCTCTCAGCGTCAGTGAAAAAACCTTAAGTGGTTGAATTCTGGCACTGTCAAAGGTGCACTCATTTATTTGTCTTGAGTTTTAGTTGTATCGCCAACGAAAAAGATAAGGCCTGTCTCTCTCGGCTCCTTGCTGGCTCGCTAATGCACCATGCATATTACTTGCGGAGAGAAACGTGCTATTTTTGGCCACTGAAAGCCACTCTGTTTTCAATCTGTAATGTTTACTCGATTGCAAGAAAATTTCGCGAGGGATTCTGCCCGAATTTACCAATTTCAGGCAATCAGGTATGTAACGTTACCATTCTAATCGGCAGCTTAGATATTGGAAAGGCAGAACATTCGCTAACTTCTTGCGACAAACGCTGGACAAGTTGGTTTTTTCATTGCGAGGTTTGCATAATCCGGACATCTGAATATCCGGCGATATTAAGCTGGAGACAGCCATGCTCAAACTTTACTACAGATATTGCAATATAATGCCATATAGTTACGAAAATCAAGATTTGATGGCACGTAAATGTAGGCTCTTGAATGCATATTAGGCGTTGAACACGCCACCTCTTTGTTGTTATCAGAGAGTTTGATTCTTATATGTACGATATAAACTTCTAAAGCGATGAGAATAACAAATAATTCAAGTAGTGTTCTGTGTTACCATTTCACAAACCCTAGCTCGTGCAGTTAATGTTGGCAGTGGGTCAACCTTGAAAAAAGTCTAAAAAAACATGAACGTTGATGGATCGGTATTGCAATACAATAGAAACTCGCGCTTTGGTCGATATTTGCTTGCTTAACTTCCTTTTCGGATTTCTTCCGCCAAGCAATGATCGCGATGTGGTCTGGTGTTTCCTTAGTTTTATGTGCCACAGTGGTTAACTCGCTTTAAGCGCATTATAAAGAACACTTTAAAATCTCTTAAATAACAAGCATAGTGGTCTTTTTGCAGCCAAGGTTTATTTCTTTCGAATGCAACGCCTAATGGCGACACTCCAAACATATACGCTACATATACGTAGTTCGTCAAGGAAGAATGCAGAGTTTCAAGCCGCGATTTCCTATTGCGACGACTTTACCGAGTCATATTTTTTTTCCGAACAGTTATCAACGTCTGAGTCAGCGAGTGTTTAGCTGAAGGCTTTCTTTGAGTAAATATACTATAGAGACCTTGAGCAAATCACGACAGCCTCGGCAACGAGGACGTGGCAAAACAAAAGATCTGATGGCCAAAACAGTGGCTCAGCACGTGCGTTTTTAACGTCTGTACATTTCTTGGTCGTCCCTATGCAGAGCAACAACCGGTGAATCACCAAATTTTGCGTGGTCTGCCGAGAACGGAATATCCCATGGCAAATTATTTAAGTTTCTACTTGAAACTTAACTTCGCTCACCGAGATACATTACGTTGAAGTTAAGATGTGGCACCGTAAGAGACGGTAGACACATCCAGCCACTCACGAAATTAACTGCTAATGTAAATTCAATTCTTTCAATCGACGTCTTCCTCAGTATTGCTGTCTTGATCGCTTTAGGTCTCTATTATAGCTTCGTGGAATTTTCTTCTGTTTCATTTCCGCAAGATGTAGCTATTTTTGGTTGCATTTGTAAAGGATGTATCGTTCTAAGAGGTTATCTTAATAATTCCCCTTCTTATCATATCGCAGTTTGGCCATTAACACGGAGCTATTTGCAATTTCGGATTTCACCTCAAAAATTGTTTCAAATGACTCACTGTCTGACCCCTAAGTATGACAAGCACATGCTTGAAATCTTAATTAAGTCCTACCTTCATGGAATGTCGTAAGATACACATCGCTCTTGTTCAGTGGTTTTTCAAAGTTTGGGCGAGTTACTCTTAGGACACACAAAGATGCGTGCGTGGAAAGCTTCGACTGTCAACTGGCCAGCTCAGCAAAATATCAAAATTAAATAATCAAGTGAGTTATCCAATCAAATTTTTCGCTACTCAATATTAAAAATGTCAAAAACCGTAGCAACCTTTGTATCGATCATTGCAGCGTATATGGGGAGGGGAGTCGGAGACATAGTCTTCCTTATATTTACAAGGCCATTTTTGGGTGGATCATAACGAGGGGTTTTATACTGGAATTACAGTTGTTTACAAGACTCTGGTGTAAGAATACTCTTTTATAAAAATAACTTTTACAGAACTGGGTAAATACCATTTACACACATACTGATAAACATGACTTGAAGTTATATTGAAGGGTATATGACAAACAGAAAATAACTAAATCTTGTTAGACGTTTCGGCGTAGTATCACTCAGTATTTTTTTACGAGTTGTACCGTAGTTTGACGACTGCCTGCAGGGCGAAACAAAATATAATACAAACGACGAGTAAAAATACTCCATGATACAACAAACCGGAACTTCTACTAAGTTGTTTATTATCCAACTGCTTTTAAGCTCATTTTCTGCGCATTTCTGATAAGGCGGAAAAAGCAAGACATATAGCGAAGCGTCACACCCGCAGCCGACGATTCGAATAGGTTTTTTTTATGGTACAAAATAGCCAATTGTTCAAATATGGCGTGATACTTGTTCTTGATTCGCATGTTATTTGTACTCTACTTAACAATACTTGGCACAATAACTCCTTAATGGCGAGAACATTTTAAAAGTCCTCAGAAGAACAATAGCATGTAATTTTGTCAAGGGACTATATAGATTTTGACTGTTCTGCTCACATTCGTTGTGAGTTCCAATAAGCCAATAAGAATGAGTGGTGCACCTTGTACAACCAAATTTGACGTACAACATTACCACCTGCTTTTGATAAGTTAAAAAGGCAGAAAATAAGTAGTGCGGATATTTATAACTAAGAAAAATAACCAACCTTTAGACTGCTGGAACTACATCAGCTCTTAAGTTTTCTTTTTATATTGCACTTAAAAGCCGAGGCTTAGCTTACTGCGTGATTACTTATGTCAGCCGGTCTGAGTTACTCTTTTATAGTGAGAGTGGGGATACAGCTGAACATTGTCAACAGCAGCAGAGAGGAAATAGGGAAGGTTTGGTGGGTGAAAACTGTAGAGAGAGAGATACTGTAGGAAGGAAAATCATTAATAAGACCGAATGTATGCGACAAATATATTGTCAGTAGCCTTTTGTACTTACCCGCAGACGTGCGGGAGGATGAGTGAATGCAAATAAGATTCCTCTTGTACACACTCAAGCATAGGTCGCTGAGAATATTACTTTAGTTACTAATCAGGACGGAAACTTGAAGATTATTCTATTAAAAGAAGAATTCAGAATTAAAACAGCGTTTTATAGAAAGAAACTGTAGTGCTGCGTCGGTGAAAGAGTAAAACAAGATTATTTGGTTTTATCAACTGAGTCGATGACGTAAATTTGCCACCATAAGGAGTTTCAACGCTGATATTTCGAGCGTTCGCCCTTCGTCAGAGCGAATCATGGAAAAGCGCTAGCGCTCGAAACATCATCTTTGAAACTATGTACGGTGGCCAGTTTATATTTATTTGTCAACTCAGTTGATAAAACCAAATTATCTTTCCAAGAAAACTGGAAATCATTTGTTTTGTTTACTCTTGCTCCAACAAAGACAAACCGAGGTCCCTTTCATAAGTCAAATGCACCATTTCTTCAAATTTGCTGGCTCATTAAAATTTTCATAGCATTAAGCAATATTGCAATATTTTCTTCAAAATTATCAGCACGTTTTAATTTTTTTGTCGCAAAGTATATCTGCTCAGTTTACTGATGTTATGTTTGAAGCATTGTTCTGTGCAGGTTTTCTAGCCTTTGGCAAGGATGATCGGTATAATATGTGATTTCGAGGTATAAAATGTGATCCGCTTTTAGCAATTCCTAGCAATTCATATATCGTTTTACGCCAAAATATCAATTTGCATCTTAATAGGCTGCTCTTAAAAACTCTTTAGTTGCAGACACGATATCCGTAGGGGAGGAAGGTGGGAGGGGAGGGAGTAAAGGTGCCGCCCCTCTTCCCCCCCCCCCGACCCCATGTAGATTTTCACAATTAATGGTTTCATCGGGAGAGGACTTGACGCAACTTCTTCGTGTGTGACAATTCTATAGAACAACTGCTTCTACATGATCTGTAAAAGATCGATCACGGAGAAAATGGTCACTGAGAGGTTTCTTGTGTAAGCGAACTACGTATAGCAAATATTGGGAAAATTTTGAGTGGAAGGGGATGTGCTTGGTTTGGTGTACGAAATTCTCATCTCACCTTCCTTTTTTCCTCTACCCCATTTCCCCTTGTAACAGAACAGATGGCTCCTTTGTTATTGTGCACTACTCTGCAACGTCCAATCTTGACATAGTTACCGGTCGCGATACTAGGCTACTAGACTGATTAATTAAATCTCTGACGAAGGGCTAATGCTCGAAATGTCAGCTTTACGGTGGCTAATTTACGTTATCGACTCGGTTGATAATACCAAATTACCTTGCTACACTCTCGAAACGACACAGCACCACAGTTTCCCAGTAGAAACTTACCCCCTTTATGATTGGACTACCGACATGAACATAAGTATACTTTTTTATTGCAATTAAGTAATTTATTACTATTCTTACAGTGAATTTAATTTTTTTGAATGATCAACAAATAATACCACGATCGTGTTTTATTTAGGTACTTCTGACTTTGCGATGCGTATTTGACTTTCGTGTGATATTTAACCAATGGGGAAGACCAAGCACTCACAACACACGCGTATTGGTTGGGTATAGGGCAATAATTCTTCATATCCAGTGACTGGGTTACACCGCCCTGTCTTGTATAGAAATTGCTGGAGCATTACTGCTGCTTGACAATGGCCAAGCACTCCATGTGAACACATTCCTTGTCCGCACTTGACCTCGTTGATGAAGGAAGGTATCCTATCGTGACCCAAAAAAGTGACAGCAGGGCATGCACTGCACATGCGCAGTAGCCCATTCTCCGTTGCATGACAATCGGTGCGTGACATCAGTGTACCTGCTTTACTCGGAGCACTAAGAGGGAGATTGTTGATAATAGAGAAGTTAAGTGGAGAAGTGCTCACAGTTGTGACAAGGTTTTGGAATTTTCGAGCATCCTTCCAGGTCAGTGCCATGAAACGTCGATTATAACCACCATAACCTCCCCCTCGTTGATTACCAAGCCTGTTCAGTTTTCGGATCAGCTGTGCACGGCTGTGGCGCTTGCAACGAAAAAATTGGGGGCTCTGTCGCTTAAAACGGACAGGTGTCAGTGATGTAAACACCAAATCCCTCTGATTTACATTTGGCTCAGCTGTGGGATGCTCCGTGGCCGAGGGAATGCCACTGGCCATTACGTATTTCAGACAGGCGGAAAAAGCCATGGCTGTTATAGCTAACTGCAGACGAGAAATTATGAAATTAACTTGAATTTGTTTTAAGAAGGAAAAAATTTATTTAGGATGGATTTGTTTTATTACAAGCTAGTTTACTGCCAAAGAAAGCGATAGCTGTCTGCGAGTTTCCAACATTATCGGTGATCTCACAAAAGCTAGAAAACAATCGTCAAGACTCATAACGCACTTTTAGACTAACATGATTCATGGTCGATAGTACGTGCTAATGGTTTTTATACAATGGACAGATAGAATTAATTTCTACTGAAAAAAGGGAATGCCACGGTACAATTTTTTCCTCTCTCGTTATAGGATGTCGTTCATTTTCCGGAAGTGACTGATTAGTCTGCCAACTGCTTTTTCTGTTCCCACCTTAGGATGGTGACGCCAAGTTTCATTTACAAAGATTACACTAATTTTTTTATTACTCTTATTATGAAAAGAGACATTCAGAGTTCTTACCAATATTTTAAAGTCCATTTTTTGTTTACGGAGTCTGATCGGTCCAATTCTAAAATAAATAGTTGACAGTAAAAGTAAGATTTAAGATCAGCAATTAAAACCAAGATTAAAGATTTTTTTCGGAATTAATCTCCAGAACCATTTATTGAACTAAAATTTGGTCTTTTTCTTTGTCCATGAAGAAATACTGACCTGGGAATAAAGCCACGCGAAGGAGAAGGAAACGAAACCAATAGCTAATTCACACTGTTATTTACTGGACCAAAGAGCGCGAACGTTAACTTGCCGTTGTGAAAGTTCGATGTAGATATAGAATGGGTATTAATACCGTAAGGTTCAATATGACATACCTTTTCTGTTTCAGAATCTTTCAGACAGAGGAAATCTTGACTTCTTCAGCTCAGTCCGCTGACAAAGTTCTCGGCAGCGTTTGGCGGAAAGTTAACCAGTATTTATAGAGCGCGATCTTAAGCAGTCCTGTAATTAGGGACATTCCCATTCGCTTCTGGTTTCCGGCATATTTGCGAGGTGAAACGACAATGCGGAAAGAAAATAACCAATGAAGTAAGTGTGTCTAGAAGTCAAGATCACAGTGTTTCCTCGTTTTATTTTTAATGTTTTTTTTGTCCGCATATGATCTCCTTATGTGGTCTTGCAGCTACGTAAAGGTTTGAGAGGGATCTAATTTAGAAACGTCTTAGAGACAGAGCACGGGACATACGCCAATGTGATTTCCTGCTTGACCAAAGGTTACACTTACGTTGATGTTCCTGTTGTTGTTGCTTCATAAGCGTGTTTATTCTGGAACTAAAAGTATACAGCTTATCCCTTTTGGTGTCACTTCCTGCTTTAGGTAAAAGAATGCTTTGAATGACTGAGTCAAATTAGCGTGTGTTACATTTTTGACCAATATACTGTATGATTTTTTCATTTATGTTACTTTTTACAATTCTTGAAATTCTCTTGGTCCATCATCCTATTTTCTGATTAATAATACTATCTTTACAGACCGACGTACTTCAACATCACTAAATTCGCATGGGTGGGAAGCGGACTTTTTTTTTTGGGTTTGTTTTGTTTTGTTTTTTTAATTTCAGATAACTCCTGCGCCAGTTCTAGATCCATAATTTCCCATTTGGCCCGACGGTTTTACCCAGTGACAAGGAAATCCGGTGTTTTTGTCTGGCTCTTGTAGGCGCGGGCGACGGATGTGTTTTGTGACGTCGTCATGATGTGTTTGGGAGTGTTTTGAAATGGTGATCGCCTCACGAGGATTTTCCGAAAATAGAATCGTCTAGCTCGTGTAGGGTGTATATTTCCCATAGCTTTTAATGTTCAATTTTGCTTGAAAATAATATTCGGAAAGTGTGGCATTTGTCGTTTTTTCTGAGAAAGGCATTTGTGAATGACGTCAGGGACCAGTCATTATTTACTGGTGGGGGGGGACAGTTGGAGGATTTTGGTTGTACCACAATGAAGTAACGACAACATTTACCTTATCTCCCCCCCCCAAGCCTTTTAGTACTCTAACGATCCCCCTCATATACCGAAAATTGTCTAAAGCCCCCTCTTTACACTTTACTAGCGACGAAAATCCTCCGACCTTCCCTCCCCCCGCGATAAATAATGCCTAGTTACTTAGTTGATATGCTTTTCGTTTGAGTTCGGAAATGATTGTACTCCTCCTGTCTTTTAATGAAATTTTATTACGAGGATAGTCGGACACAATTCCGAATTGGCGTTCTCAGCAGTACCACCTCCATTGGCACCAACATATTAACGTGAACGTGGAATATTTAGTTTCGTGTTTAAATCGTAATGGAAGTTCCCAAACACTTGAAAAACTAATACCTAAAAGTTGTTATATTCTTTCTTTGAAGCTGGACCAAATTAACTCTGTTTTCTTGTTTTGTTTTGTTTTTCTTTGGAAGGAAAAGGTATGAAAACTTTAGTGATGAATCAATTTTCTTCTTTGAGATCAATGGTGGCACTCTTTGTGTAAACGAGATTTTCGATCCGCAAATAAAGTGGCAACTTTTGCCGGATCAGCTGTCCAATGCTGTTTAGCAAGGTAGCCGCCTGTTGCCTTTTTCGTTTGTTTAGCAATCTGGGATGTGTATCCTTCATCAGCTGGGTCATCACATATGTGTGCTCAGTTTGGATCCTCCTTTTCTGACGACAGGTGAAAAAATTTGGGAAACCTGTGGCATACACTGAATAGGTTATTGTCTTTTAGTAACGTTTTTTCGCGTACGTACAGAAAAGTTAGCTGTATCATTCAAAATGCGTCCGAAGGTAAGAACGTCTATCATTTTTAGTATTAAAACAGTATACAGTACATTATACAGATACCTTAATTTGATAGTTGTGTCAGAGGGTTAATTTGAAAACGAAAGAACCAGCTTTGGAGTCACGTACATCTGTTGGATGCTTTTTGTAATGTACCGGGTCGTAAAATTCAATCCTATCTATTCTTAGCCACTCCATGATATCTTACTGAAGGTAGCGTACATCAGGCTTTTTTCACATCTTATCTTTGATGCAAATTAACCCTTTCTCTCTTTTAAAACCGAGACATACTACTGATATCTGATAAAAAACGAAAAATGTTGCTTTTTCTAGTAACGTAATGGGCACAGCGCCTATTCATGACACTAACCCTCGAAAAAAAAGAAACTTAAATTTCTCCCACGGATTCAACTGCTTTTGGTTGTTCCTTTTCACGGTCTGTACTGAGTAAATTAACTTCATTCCTAATTAGTGTGATTTGTTTTTCGGGAATTCATACCAGAAAAAATAGAAAAAAAATTCTTGCTGGGTTTGTAGAATTGAATTTAACTATGCAACACCTAAGGTAACTTTTATATTTCCTGTTTCATTTCTTCAGGTTGAAATAGTTTATTCATTTTCATTAATTACGTTTTTCTTGTGCACGCATGGATTTTTCAATGACCCATCCAAGCGTCATCCCACGCGTGTTGTGCAGTACCGTGGTGACCAGGCAATAAGTCGCCCGTGTAACGAATCTATCAGCAATGATAGTAATCTTGGAGGCAAGAAATTAATTTTGTGCATGGTTCCTACAGAGGAAGAATTGAGGGAGCAATTGAAAAGCATAGGAGGGTTAAATAAGTATCATGCAGCGGTGACGGAACGTGAAGCTGAGAATTTCACCAATCTACTTCCTGGCCCTCAACCACCTGTAACAAATGGTGAAGAGAAACCGTTCCTTATCATATGGAATCATTTTAAGTCTTTATTGTCACGCAACAGGAAAGAATTTTCACGGAAAAAGACATACTTGTCACGTAATAGAAAAGCTGTGTCACACAACGAAGTCTTTGAGAACAACATTGTGAGTTCAAAGAAAGTTCGTTGCGACTACCGAGGTGGTCGAACGGAGACCGGAATGATCCGATTGTGCACTGAGTGTCAACGAGTTTCCAAACTAAGTTCCAGTCGATTTCCACGTTATATCAATGAAGTTGCGTGCGATGAAGAAACTCCAAGTCGGAAAAGGGACAAGTTGTGCTGTAACATGGAACACGGAATGTGCATACAGCGTTTTATATTAATTGACTTCCTAGTTAGTACTGGAAAATACGTGGAGGTGGATTCCCCAAATCCTCAGCTATATTTCAAAGCTTTTAAGCAGGTCTGGGAACCGTACACGCAAAAGATTCGTAGTTGCTGTGACTTTCAGCTGTGGTAAACAGCTGAAAGGGAAAGTGCCCAAAATAAATCTTATAAGGCGAGCAAGCTTCTAAAGAAACTGTGAGGCGGTATTACATAGATAATCTGAGTTGATAATGTAAACTGACCTTCGTAAAGAGTTTGTAAAGCCGACGTTTCGGGCTTTAGCCCTTCGTCGGAGCGAAAAGAGGAATTGTGGGTTGTGTTTGATTTATATACAGAAAGTGGAGCTACGCTATTGGTGGGAACGTAGTGATATGAAAAACAAGAATGAATAAGCTGATGAGAAGCGTTCAGTTAATACTGTGGGGATTATTAAGATTGTCGATTTGAGGGAAACATTTTTTGTTCTGACTGCTTTTGGAACTGCCTAAATGTAGTAAAGGTCGCAAACTGCCATGAGCTGCTTAGAATGATTTAGGAAAATAAAGTGCTCATGACTTGTTTGGATACCAAAATAAAACGGAAGGATTATACGGGAATTTATTTATTTATATGATCTGAGTATACCATAGAGCAATTCAAGACTAAACGATTGCAGTTGTGTTCGTAATTAGTCATGGGTGAGTTTTCCAACGACCTTTCTTAGTTTTTTCTAAGCGAATTGTCAAAGTAACAAAAACTAGTGATCATACTGAGTCACATGAGCCTTTAGAGAAAAGACACATTTTGTTCAGCGGTAATGTGGTTGGAAAAATGAGGGATATAGGGGGGTTAACAGAGGACCCACCCAACCCCCCCCCTACCCCTACTGTCAGGGATTATAAATGTAGCCTCCATGATCTGAAAAATTAATAATGGATTTCAATAAATTTATTGCAAGTTACCCACAGGATAAAAGGGTATACTATCTTCGCATGTACATAAAGAGAAACTATATATTCTCTACGGAACTTGAAAGATTCATGCAACAGGATGAACGTCCGAAGAATACCTCTACATCGGACAAAAATTATGCTAGTGATGGTTTCCAAATTTCTACAAATAACTCTTCGTAACTATCTCTCCTCCCTCCTCCCCAATTGAGCCTGCAGACTACGGCGTAAAGGACTGACACTGGCAGCAGCTTCTGATTTTCTGACTGAATGGCTTCCAGACTTGCTTGTAGACCACGCTGTACTGAGGATCAGGTGACGGAATCTTTTCATACTGGTTGGTCTGGATAAGGAGATCTTGGATAATTTCTTTTTGGATACAAAGGCCTATAGTACCAGCACACATATCCATCAGGGATGCGCCAGTTGTGCCACAAATTTTTTCGTTGATGTACCGAGGAAACTTATTCGGCGGCAGCTGTGTGATATACCAACATTCATCACAGAGTTGATAGAAGTTCTCAGATGTTCTAGTGGCCTTCTTTTCGCATTTCTGAACACCTACGCTCAAACTTCTCTTTTTTCGTTCAAGCGTTTCATCGCTGGCGGAGCGTTCTTCGTTTTCATGTATGGAACGGCGGCGTTTTCCAGTGAATTTACTTTCCCATTCGATCGGCTTTGAGTCAGTTTTGAAAGGATCCTCAAAGTACATGTCCACTTGTTCTTTGGTGACGGCCGTATAACGCCTGTTGAACCCGCCCAACGCTTCAAGGTCCTTCACCAGGTCATCCTCAGAAGGTACCAAACAGAGGACTTTTTGACCTTCCGGAGTGGTGACGGTTTGATTCTTAGTGGTGTTGAAACAAGGATGGACCACGGGCCCAAAACTATCGTTCCCTGAAAGCCCTTGAATATTGTCATGGAGCCACTCTTCTTCGTCAGCGCTTTGACTTATACAAACAATCCACAGGAGAAGCGCGGTAATGGCGAGTATGGAAGGAGGCTTCATTAACATCTGGAAAACATGAATTTATGATAAATAATAATAGGGAACACTTTGATTGACAAACCACCTTTTGTTTTAGGAAACTCCTTAGATTTAAGACGTAGACTTTTTGCTCCGATTTTAATAAGGATTTTTTAGGAGTTTTTATGTTTTACTGCTAACATGTTGCGACACTAAGTCCGATGGCATTCAAGATTAATTCAAGTAACTCCTAGGTTTACCGTCAGAAAAATTATTTTAAACATGAAATAAGTGTTTATTGGCGATAACAAGATATTTAAAGTGAAAAATTGTCCTCTTCATAGCCACAATTTCATAAAATAATTGCAAGTTTGATTAAAATCGCACACCAACAGCTTTGTTGTGGTTGACATCGAGCCAAGTAAACAAATAGTATGCTATGTTTCATAACAACAGGGCCTCACAGGTAGAGTAAGGCTCACGCCATAAAGTTTTTAAATTACTTTTATAGTCGTCAGGCTCTACAAAAAAAGCAACAGTCACTTTAAGGCAATAGATATTTTTTCAAAGGAGTTGCACACAATTATATTGCTACCAACTTTTTGGAAATAAATTTGATAGAGATATTGTCTCCAAAATTATTGATCTGTCAGTAGTGACAGTGTTGAATAAATGTAATTGTTTCTCTTTGTATTAGTTTTTAGCCCTTATCCTACTGTTTTCTTTCTTTCAAATGCAAAATCGATGGAAAACTCAGCAGGACTGGTGTGCCTAAAATAAACCAATTTGATATTTCCAAAAATTTCATCAAACAAAGACAGAGTTTTTCTTTCCCATCAACCAGTCAAAACCTTTAAAATAACAATCTTAAAGAAATGGTGAAGCGATTAGTTTTCGGTAAATTAACCTCATGTACTGATATGTTAAAATTTCACGCGAACAAGGGAGGAACATGGGCGATGTCCTTAAGCGTGAGGCCTGAGTGCAGTTGTGTCGTAAGGATAAAATATCATTAAGAAAAAAGTAGAGCTTTTTGCTTTGATTAAAAGAGGCAATTTTTGAGACGAAAGCGAAATAAAAAAGTACTAGTTTTCTATAAATCACGCTCAAATGTGTATGCCAAGAAGACACATTGATACAGAGTTTGAATTAGCCGTCTTTTTTCGTCAAATATTTTCCCATACGTTCCTTAATACACCCTTTTTGTCATGGTGAAAGAAATATTAATACTCTTACCTTCATTTACCAAACTCTAAGCTTAATTCTGCACAGAAAATACGATGATCGTCGCCACTCGACATGCAGCTTATAAGTGGTGAATGTGCTGTAACGAAATGACAGCGTCTTCTGGCTTTAATGAGTTTACTTCTATAAAACAAACATGCATTAGATGACATTGTCTGATCACTAGCTCTAGATACAAATCGTTGTCGCTTAGCTCATCTCTTTCGATGGTTTTTCTCGTGAGTCAAGTATTTGGAACACTTACAAACTCTTAGTAGACTAATTTATTCAAAATGTCCATCTTTTTTATTACATAACGTGTATCTTAGCTAATCTTTTCAAAGCTACTACAGTAAGCAAGTGCACTCGTTAGAGTGACAAAAATTAGTCATGACGTGAACATTTAAACAGTGTAACTTACGCAAAATAAATCCTTTATGGAACTGTAGGTCTGATATCTCTCATTCCTATCTATCTGTTAACCACGCTGCTTAGTCGTGCCCTTGCCTTTTTACTAACTACACCAGTTGCCATTGGTAATCAATAACCGCCATGTGTTCCCTTAAATGGCAAATTCCTTCTAAATTTCAATAATTAAGTAAACAAAGCATTGAAACTTGAACAGAATTCTTTACAGTGCAGGTGAGATTCCGGAGCAACGATACCAAATGAATAACAATACATTTTCTCGAGAAAGAAACATTTCTCAGGTATCATTTCAACACTAGTAATACTCCACGGTAGATTTTTCCGACAGAAAAGGTAGATTTTTTTAAAAACCCTCACTATTTCCTCTTTTTATACTTTTTGTTAGCGTTATTTCATTATTGCATGAGTAGATGAATGAAATTCACGATAAAGGAATAGTGTTTTACAATGCGGGGTAAGAAAAACCAGTATTTTGCCGAGGTTTTGAAAAGAAAATATTCCCGTTGATCGACCTCTTTTGATTGAACGCATTCACCTCGTTACAGTGGGAAAATATTGCATTTGCTAATCAAGTTCTTCATATTCGGATATCGTTAAAAGGCTAAAATCAATCATAACTTTATTCTTGAAATCTCACTTGTCTTAATATATCTTAAGCACGAAAATCTGATAAATCAATTACCAATTGCTATGATTAATGTTCGCATAACAAGCGCACGCTTAAATAATCTCTGTTACTCGCTGGGCGAGGGAAAAACTACTGCACGTCGTACGTTTTTGGTCTGGTCCTACTGGTGCGACCCACTGGCTCTATTTCTACCACCTAATTCCCCGGTTCAGTCAGATCCCTATCAGTTCGATTCTTCCGCCTCGATCCCTCAGGCCCAATCCATGGATCTGACTTTACATTCGTTCAAATCTGGTCCCGCTCTTCTTTAAAAAAAAAGCAATTACACCAAGCTTTAGATATGTTTTTTTTTTTATAAAAAGAAATATTACAATAACCATTTGCAGTACCAGAGGCATATCGAAGGGCAATGTCAATTTCTTGAGCCAGGTGAAGTGATAAACTCGGCGTAGCCGAGTGTGCTACTCGATGGTGACGCCATCTATGCGTCTGCTCTCCAATAGGTCATAAGTGAAAGCCCTCGTAATTCAGCTTAATATATAAAAAATATTTCCACTGCAATCTTAAGCCCTAAATTGGAAAAAGTATGTCATGTGTTTAGATTCTTAAACCAACATATCTTGTCCGGAGTATTAAATCGATAATCTTTATTCTGGGGGATATTCTCGAATGAGGTACTTGAAAACGTAAAAACTGAAGGTAATTAACGACATAAACTACTATTACGAACGATTAGAGCAATCACTGATGTTCATAGGGCGTACGCGATAGCACTATTTTAGAATTGAATTAAATCACCTACGATAACTGTGATAACAAACATAATCGGAAAGCATGCAAATGGAAATTATATCAGGGAAATCACACCTCTTTTCTCCGGTTAAGATTCTTGTTATTTTACTGTCCTATTTCAAGCAAGTTTCTTAGCTTCAATCTTAATTGACTTAATTCTTTGGCGTCCGTGAACAGCTGGGAACGTATCTCTTTTCATCGTCCTTTAAACACTTGACTCAAAACGGAAATTACGTAATTAACAATCGTAGAACCATGGCTTATTATTACAAAGTAAATGCTTTCCCTATCGATATTATGGAACGAATTAAAATTAATTCATGACGTGTAAACTCTCAGCTACTCAGGATGTGTACGCCACAAATCACAACATACGAGCAATCGGGCTTGAATCCACTAGCTCGCATGCGCAATGGCGTCGTATTTTTTGAGTATATGTTGTCCATTTTTCCGTGTAAACATCGAGCCCAGCTTCAACACTCCGTTTCGGATCCAGTTGCCACTCTCCATTAAACTGCAAAAGATCAAGTGTAAATGATTTCTGTACACAGAAGCCACCAATGACGGGAAGGTTGGTCGCCTTTTTTGGGTCACATAGCAGCTCATTGATATACTCTGGAAATCTTCTCGGCATTGCCGACTGACGTGTAATGGCTGCACAGGTTGGGCAGATCCTTAAATGCCCGGATTCTGTGCGCGTTTTCCTCGCATGACACTGACTGATTCTGGTTTCTCCTGGTTTGATGTTGGAGTTTCTTTTGATAACTGCGTTATTTAGATGATGCCAAATGTAAGATTTAGAAAAGTCGAAAATATCTCCTGAATCAAGATCTTTAAACCTTAGCGCTTCTTCGAAGGAAGATGCTAAATAGCGAGGACTGTAGCTTCCCATGCACTTCATGCGATTTTGCAGCTCACTTCTATCCCACCGACGGCACCTGATACCATCAACGGTGTAACTCATCTCAGAGGTCTCTACCGTGTTGCAAGGATGGACATTCGTTGAACCAAGCAGGTTTGAGGGTCTGGTAGGGTGTTTCCTTCCCTGTTGGGTCACAAGTCTAAAAGGATTCCATTGACGCGAACGACGACTGAAGATCCTGTTTCGTTTACTTCTTAACTTTGCCACAGCAGGCGTTGGGGGAGCCGTGTTTGTGGTTTCAAGGTCTGATCGCCTTATTTCAGTGTCCAAAGAATCTTTAGTTAGAGCCATGTGGGCTTTGAGAATTGCAATGGATTCGTTTTGGCCCTGTGTAGGTGCTTTAGAGTCTAAAGTCTTTCTAAGCGCATTGTAGATTGTGTCATAACGTGACACTGTTGCCCCCTTGGCCGTCGGGAGTTGAACGATGAACATTGAAAGGAACATGAATGTGGAAAAAGCCTGAGAAAAATGATAGAAGAAAAAAAACCATCTTAGATTTACGTTCATGGGCGTTACATGAGAAGCGCATCCAGTTTGGGTCTGTGCATCATTTAGCGGTGCGTAAGAATTGTATAAAAAGGAGCGGAAAAAGGTACAGGAAAGGTTACAATATCAACAACAAGAGGCCATGTTGTCAGAATAAATTTACTCAATGCACCCTGTAAGCTTTCGCTTTGCTTTTGAATAAATAATAGGTTTATTTTTTGGTTTAGTAGACGAATAACATGAGATGAAACTTTTCTTGACACTGTTAACTATGCGAGAAAAAGAAAAAAGTCTCAGGATGCGAACATCAGAATTTCCGCTTTCTCTGTCCGATGTTTTTCCACTGACCCAATGAAGAAACTTTTTACTAGTTAAACGGTATTTGGTTTTTTTTCTAATTCCCGTCAATCTTATGAAAAAAAACAAATAAGCCAAAGAATATGTTACTGTACTTAAAAGTGATGGGGCTCGTTTAATGATAACCTCTGTTAACGACAGTAGAACTGGGCAATTTGCTTGGCTCGCGTGGTTTGCTAAATAAAACAAATACATGGAGAGCTACGCTTTTTAGTATCACTTCATCAGCCAAAATGCTGACTTTTGAATGTCTCTATCAGAACTATAAATGAAAGTATGAATTTCCTTACCTTGGCAAATCCCATCATTGATTATTGTACGGTTTTTCTATTCTTTTGTATCTAATTGGCCTCACTGCCAACAAAGGAATTGAACTGATATTCCTTCAATTAGTACAGCTGAGATATACGGTATTCACTATTTATATGTTATGTCTAATTAACGTAATAAGGCAAATATCGAAGTACGCGGTCGCTTAACGTCACTTTTAAAAGTAAACGGAAGGAACTAAACAGTATATTCGGTGAACACGCAAAATAACAAAACATTCAAGATTAATTTGTGCTAAATTGGTCACAGTTATTTTTAGCATATAAGTGTTCCTCGATACGTGTTGCTACAACTGATCGATTCCTTGCGTAACATTTCTTTCTCTTTATTTGAGCATCTGAAACTGTGTTGACTGAAATGATGAAGACTGCAAATCGCACAAATTTCCAGGCTCTGAATGGACTGATGAAGACTACAAATGACACAAAATCTCCCTCGAAACTTATTTTTGTGGCGTTCTTTATTATGAAGAAACACAAATATCATATTTTTCACGGATATTGATTAGACGTCAAAAGAAAACTCTAAATTGTAGCAGATATGCACTGAATCATAGGAAGTTGGCCATCGGGCTTGAAGCCAACAGCTCGCATGCGCAATGGCGCCGTATTCTTTGAGTATACATTTCCCATTTTTCCTTATAAACATTGAACCCAGCCTCCGCGCTCAGTACGGTATCTAACTCCCACTCCCCAGTAAATTGTAAAAGATCAAGCGTAAACGTTTTCTGCACACAGAAGCCATCGATACCGGGCAGGTAATTGGACACCATTTTTGGATCGCACAGCAGCTCATTAATATACTCCGGAAATCGTTTTGGCGTCACTGGCTGACGTGTTATGGCTGCACAGGTTGGGCAGATCCTTAAATGGTCGGATTCCGTGGTCGTTTTTCGCGCGTGACACCGACTGATTAATGTTTCTCCTGGGTTGATGTTGACGTATCTTTTTTGAACTCTGTGTTTCGAATGATTCCAAACATAGGAGCTACTTAAGTCCTGGACCCTCCCTGTGTCAAGATCTTTAAAGTGTTGCGCTTCTTTGAAGGAAGATGCCAGATATCGATGACTATATGACCCCAAACAGCTCATATGATGCTGTAGCTCACTGCTCTTCCACCGGCGACACATGATGCTACCGACACTGTAATTCATCGCAGATGTTTGTACTGTGTTGCAAGGATGGACTTTCTTAGAACGAGGCAGGTATGACTGCTTTAGAATATTGGTCTGTTCTGATGTTGTATTTTTAGCGGCATAATTGGTGGAGTTTTGGATTGCAAAACCTCTCCCACTTTGCGCGACTCCGTGTTTCATACTCTTCCTAGTCTTAGTCCAACGACGGCTTCTCGAGGCTTTTTTCGACATCCTTTTTACGGTCCTTTTAGGTTTCCTTGTTGACTTCATTGCTGTAGAAGGATCCAAATTTGTGGTCTTGTGGGTTGCATAAATGCTTCCATCGTTCAAAGAACCTCCAGTGGGTGCTACACCGGTTGCATTCAGAGTTATATTGGATGCTTGCAGGCTGGACGTAGGAGCCGTAATGGCTGATAGGTTTCCAAGTGGGATGGTAATTATATCGTTACCTCCTTGCTTGTTGCTAATTGTCCCACCGTTGGCTGTTGGAAATCGAATGATGCACAGAGAAAAGAGGAAAACAACCTGAGAAAAATAAAACGAGCAATAGAAGTCGTTCACTTTACATGTTATGTCCTGCTTTGGAGATAAACCTCGGTTTTTTTAGCGATGAGGTTTTATTTACAGATGGTATATCAGAAATTTTAGGTGAGAGTGCGCTTGAGAACATTAGGTGATTGCAGATTTTATTTTTTCAGAGAATAATGCTTCTTTCATATAGTTTCCACTTCAAGATTAAGAATAATAGTATTTTAGCTCAGTCAACGACTTACTCCGTGCTCGGCCTGCGTGGGAAGAAGAAAGGATTACATTAATTCCCCCACGAAGATGAAAACCTTACCTCTCTTTCTCGGTAGAGAGAAAATCTAACCTTGTTATCCGATGCTTTTAGAATGGTGCCCAACCCCCTTGAATGAGTGAAACATAGAGGCCTTGAGTTACCTAACAATTGTGTTTGGAACTCCATTCGTAAAGATCATTCTTTGAAAAATGCTGACTTCGAAATGTCGGTCCCACAATATTAAATTCAAGCAAGAGTATGAATTTTCTCACCTTATAAAACTCCATATCAGCTTAATTTTAAGCTTCTCAATTCCCTGGCTTCTCTTTGTCTTCGCTATCAACAACGGAATTAAGATATATAAAGTTCAGTAATGCAGACCGAATAAACAAGTTCTGGCAATATCGTTTCTTATTATTGTTATAGGTTAGTTCTAGAAAGGATGTTCTCTCTCGCAATAAGATGATTTTCAAAATTGCGCTGATTCGAATATCACATCTTTTCACTGATTTTTTAAAAAAAAAATTATCCTAACATATATCTATACGATCGATATTTTATGGATAATATTTAGGAATGTACTCATTTTATTTTCTATAGCCTTTTTCATCACTTTTACATCACTTTGTATCGGTATGTAACGAATGTGAGGGTGATCATCTTTAAAATTTACCCCCGACCCTTCTCTAAACTTTCTGTTTTGGATAATAAGTCAGGACCGCAACTACCTTAGTATCAATTTGTTTAATTATTGGTAACAAAAAGAAAAAATTTGCACCTAGCATCATCTAAGCGTGATATCACTAAACCAACAGGAGGATTCTTTAAAAATTACCGGGTCATTTGCCAATACGCTCAAAATACCGTTGAGTGAGGTCTAATTTCGAACATGTCTGAAGGTTTTCCAGTGTTACTATATGTACAACAAAGGAATAATTTATTACTCCAGTCTAGCTCTGAATTATGGAACTGTAATTATAAAGAGAAATTTTAAGCTAACACGAAGGTGGTTTAGACGCTAAGATTTTAATTCTTTTCTTCTATGAGGGAAACTGATGAATTTAAGACTACCAGAAATTCACTTTTATTCGTGTGTCTCATCATTATCTATATAATCACAAGTTTCAGTTTCATGATGTCGATCTTCGTAGAATGACTGCAATATTTCCTTAGTTTGCTCTTTCCATATTTCGGTTAGGTGATATAATAAAATCCTCACTGACTGAACGGACTGGAAAGAATTTAATAGTGATTCCAACCTCTTCCTAAACACTAAAATCAGAAGAAATTATACCTAAACCTACCTTTTGGCACTTAACAAATTTCTTGAAAATGCGTCCAACTACAAAGATTTCAATAAGTGATACTCCCTGCAATCAACACCTTCGCTATTGTAGCTGATATTGATTTAGAGCAGAAGAGGTCGGACAAAGAAAAAAATATTGGGCGTGCAAAGGCATAATGGGGATAGAAACATATCGCAAAATTAGTATCTAATTAACCAAGGGATATCCCATCCATATCTCACTAAACTTTCACGAATAAATTTGAATGAGATTTTGTTCCTTTTAATTGAGGATTTAAGTACTGGTGTTACAAACACGAGTGGAAGTTATAAACTTAGAAGGTAACGGAAAGTTAGTGTGGCCCCTCTTTTCAATAACTACAGTAGGTACATGGAGAATCGATATTATATGTGTCGTTTATTATACCAAGTAGGAAAATTCCAAGAGTGGAAATCATCGTTATCATTTCAAGCAAAAACGATTCGTTACTTTAAAACTTTTCATTTCATAATATATTCATTTTGATTCCCACTGAATCGCTGGGGCAAGGTAACTTTTGGATCCACTTCCATGCAAAAAGACCAGATCCGTTCGGTATCGAATCGAATCGTAACTCGGTTTCTGTTGTTATCGATGGGATTTCCACCAGAAATTTCAGTTCCTTCTTAGAAATGCATAGACCAAGAAGCACTTCTTTGTATTGTCACGTATGTGGTAGCCTTTATTTTTTAATAAGCATTTTTAGTAATATCTATATCAAGTACAATAAAAGAAAGAAAGAATCAAAGAGGACGCATCGATTCTCTGTTACTCTGAGTTTCGCGCCTAAGCGCTCGTAACAGAGAATCGATGCGTCCTCTTTGATTCTTTCACTTATATATACTCAGCTCTGCTACGACAGCATTGAGCACTTTATGCCAAGGTAGACTCTACCCCCACATTTATCAAGTACAATATCTATATTTAGTACAATCGTTTTTACTTTTACACAGGAATAATTTAACTTAGATCAAAACATCAGCATATCGCATGTTGCTGTGGTAATCACAACATCACATTGTGCTTTGAAATTTATATTAAACAATGCAGTTCCTGTCATTTTCCTGAAACTTCCGTTGTACGTCTTCAAAAGCAGAGACATTGAGAGTAAGTTCTTTATCGCAATCAAGTAATACTTTTCTATCTAGAATCCTTCGCTTTAAATGCCTCTGCCTTTCGAAATTCGCCACGTAGGCGATTTCCCCACTAGTCTTGCAAAATGTAATAGATAATGAAATGAACGTGTCTTCGTTAGTGCTTCTCTAAAATATATTGCGCATCAATAAAGGCTACTAGGAAATAGATCTGAACTAAAATTGAACTTCATAAAGAATAGTTCATTATCGCGTCTGGCACTTTTAAAAATTATTCATGCCCTGAATGTACGGCATTCGCAACATCCTCTAACATCTTGATCAAACTCGACTGTATCTTCGACAAACACATCCAAATTAAGTATTTGACTAAGCAGGAAGTTTCTTCTAAAATTTCCTGTGAATTGAAGAAACCTAAATTCCAAATTCCTCTGCTGACATAGGCCTATAAGTGGAGAGCCACAGGAATCGCTGCTTTCTTCGCAGATAATCTCATTGATGAATCGAGGGAAGATATCATCTGGTAGCTGCGTGATGGCTGAGCATTCGCTGCAAAGACGCCGTAAGCCGCTTCCTTCAACAATGGAACCTGCATCAAAGCATTGTTGATCCAGGATAGTGCCTGCAGCCCTGGGTAAATTGTCTACTTCTCTCTTTCCTATTTTCTTCCCAACTGAGGAGTTACTGACGGAAGCCTTCACGGTGTGCAGTTTTGGGGGTCGGGTAACAGCCACAGAGTTCCTATCTGTGAGGAGATTTGGAAATTTTATGGCCTCTCTACGGTTGATTGCCACGTATCGAGGGTTAAAGCCACCAATATCCTTCAGCTTTTCGAACAGAACGGTATCATTAGGTCGGGTGCACACTGGGCCTCTCAGGAAGCGACTAAATCTCTTCGATGGAAGTTTAGGCCACACTTTCCCACATTGTTCTTTGGTTATGACATTTGGTAGTCGTGTAGGGCAGGGCTCCTTGTATCGGCGGAATCCGAGACTTGGTAAGACTTCCATGAAAAGGAAAATAACAGGGAGGACAACTAACAGCTGTTCAATGGATAAAGAAATAAGAAAAAAAAATTGGTTTGAGTTAAATCGACTTCTATTGCGATGAATGCCATGTAAGATAAATCAGTCGAGGGGAGGCATATTGTCTCAACGTTATAAATGGCTCATCTTTGAAGTGATATGAAATACTGAGATAAGAGCGGTTGGTGGTGTTGTTTCAAAATCGGGTTCTTACAGCCACGATGCTTAAAAATCCCCCTGCCTTGCCTTGGGTCTTATCGATAGGAGGTACTGAAGCAAGTTTTTGAATACTTAGCTCTCGGATTATGCTCAAGAGAGCGGATCTATCTCCAAAGATTGGCAATTTATATGCCTAAAGGAGGTTACTTTATGAGTTACGGAAAATTCATTTGGAGATCATGATTTTGTCACGAACTCCTCATTCTTGGCTTTAGGGTTGGAAATGACTGTGAAATAATTGTGGACTACAAAAGAAATGGTCTGGAGAGTTTGTTTTAACCAATGAAACTCATTTATGCTAAAATGATAGATCACTCAAATAACGACCAAAAGAAGGCTGAGAGAGTTGAGTAGAAATTGGTGGTTGAATCGAATGCGTCTGGAAACAAGAAAATGAAATCTTGTTCAAAAAACGAAATTTATTCGGGTGGTGAATATAATTGTTTGGTTGAATAACTAAATATAAGTGAATTCAGGATTCTGAATAACGTGGCAAACACGCATTAAAAAACAAACAAACAAACAAACAAAACATTTTCTGTTTTAACAGGTGTATCTGAATAGCCTCTAGAGAGATGTGTTAGTCTGATTTAATTTGTTAAGTGGAATCTAACCTTTACTTTCAGATCCATGACCTCTTTGACTTTCTCAATGCTGAATCCTGTTTTTTTAGACTGATGTGACACTTCTTCTTTCGTTCCTTATGCTAGTATCAAAAAACAGACAATATAAACTCATTAGACGTAAATGTGTTTCAGTATCAGTGAGCACGACATCACTTACAGGATACGACGTCCGAGTTCCGTAAAGTACCAGTCAGTTGGCTAAATTTCGTTTTGCAGTAAGTTAGGAAAATGGTATGTCTATTAATCTTGATGCAACAGAGCAAAGCAGACTTGTATCAGCTGTAATAAAGAGATATTTTGTTGTGTTCCCTTTAGGGATCTTCAAAGTTTTCTGACAATGAGAGGAAATAAAAAGAAAGATTCTATTTATTGCCGAAGATGTCATTGAACCCCGTTGACGCATTTACAACGTCATTTGATAGACAGGAAGTTTCAAATCATAACCATCTTTACTAACGAAACTTAACAAAACAACCAGATATCAAGCGGATTTAGTTGAATTAAAAGTGATAGATTTTTGTTGCGTGGTTTTCGATTCTTGATTTGCGAGCAAAACAAACAATGGTTAATCGCTGGTATATATAATGTCAGTAGCAATCAAACAGTATACATTAGAGCGCATTTTACCGAAGAAAACTTCTGACTAATAAGTTAGCAGTTGTTGCTTTCTTGTTTGGATTTGCCACCTGAGTAAATGGTTCACATCCAAATTGTCAACTTTCAATTTTGGGATTGCAAATACGAAACGAAAATTTCAATTCAGAAAATCAGAAAGTCCTTAACCTCAAATTTGGCTCTGATTGATAGCGGTGCTCAAAATTAGTAATAAAAAATCTTCTTACTTAAGTAGGTCATGGTTCTCAAACAATGATTTTCGACAACAAAAGATTTTATGTTCTTTGTTGCTTATCAACTACGGCTCTTGTTTCAAATGTATCAGACTCGCGAATCGAAATAAGAGAAAAAAGTATTTACATGATTCGCTCCGATTTTGGGTTTTATGCGCCGTCACCTTCTGTTATGGTATAAATGGCTTCCAGATATCAGTAATAATACTAGTAAAACAACGTTGTCACAAGTAGGCAATTATTGTTTGCGTAGGCGTTAGATGGTTCCTCTTTAATCACTTATCCTTGATTTTAATTCAATTGCGCATTCAAGAACAAACCGAAATGCCCTTAGGAACTATCCCAACATTGAATTCACAAATCAGACATTTTTCAAAAAATCATGAAAAGTTCTCTAAAAGCGGAATTTTCGATTTAGTTTTTCCTGGGCGTCAGAGAACGGAAGAAAAAAAATATAAGCTCCTTTAAGTTTATAAAGTTATATTTCAGCTGCTGTAAATTTTCTCTTATTCATGTCATTTTGTCACAGGCCGCCATAGTTCTGAATTTTTTTGTAAGACATGCAATCACCGCGAGGTTTTTTTCTACTAATAATGATGTAGCCATTTTGGTGGGAATTAGTCGCTTGGTCAACAAGCCAATTTCGGAATTACATTTCGACATAACATTTGCACTAACAGATTTCTAATGGATCATCAACAAATTCTCAGTTTTCTCAACGATATCCATTTGACCTTCGGCGAATGTCAGTAATCAGCTAAGGCCTTACCTTTTTGGACACAAAGATGTGCTTCTCCCCAGCTTCTAAGCTCTTTCTAACTTCTTTAAGGCAGGTCTCGACTCACAATGAATGAGAAGCTCTTTCAAAGCCTTAATTTATATCGTAAAAGGCCCGGTATGACTTCATCAAGCTTTACATATGGACTTGACATAATCGTCTACACGTACGAGTAATAAGATTATTTTTAGGGCATCATGACAAACTTGACAAGTAACATACAAGCACGGTCGACGCAATATCAAGTGATAACTTTCGATATCCGCATTGGTCACCAAGCAACCACGTTCACCATCCACCAATATACATTCGTATTTCCCTCCCGTAATATAAGGGTCAGTGTTTCATGCTGTTTGCCGGAATACGTCTTTTAATTTCAGCACTTAAAATTCAACGGTATCTCCTTGTTGATATTTTTTCATCTTTTCATCCCCGTTTGTATATGAAGATGTATTGGAACTGCGGGAGAAATTGGTTTTGGCTACTCGTGGGTAATGAATATTCATCAAACTGATCCCATTTATCAAAAAGTTGCTTGTTTGGCGAAATCTTACGTAATCATTTTATTATTGTAGTCCGCGGGAAAGGCCCTTTTGCGTGGCCAAATGCAGTCAGCATAACCGGGAAAAGCTGACCGGCCTGTTCGTTTAGATTCCATTGAAAAATATTGAAACATCATTTTACCGAATTATCAAGTTTACTTAGAAATCGATAATCACCAATACTCATTACATAATGTTAAATGAATTTTGTGGGAGCTTTTGTCACATCAGAATTAGTTAAGCCATATTGAAAGCTTCGTCTGCCATAAGAATTGCTTGTTTACCTAAATTCCTTATGCATAAAGATCCCCTAGATGAATCTAGAAAGAAAACACGGTAAAACTCCCCTTGCATATGAGCCTCGGAAGGATTCAGTCTTTGTCTGCTAATAATGAAGCATGGAGATCAAAGTGTGTGCTTTCTCAATGTATAAATAAAAGCTCCAGTAACAAACTTGATTCTTATGGAAGATGAACTTTGTTCGTTTGTCTCACGATAGAGTCACTTTTGATGTAGATCGCGACCAGTTTCGTATGCATTACTGCTATTCTTCATCAGGCGATGAGCTCGCTTGTTTACCTGTCGCTATTTGATTCTTAAGATTAGTATTCCCGGCGATTAAGTGTCAAAAACTTTCTGTTTTGAGCTTTCAATCTGTTAGGAAATATAAGTTATCTGAAGAAGCATCTATCACACGGTTTTACTGGTTAACTGATAGAGCGCACTCTTTATATTACAACTGATGACACTGAACATACAGTGTACATCGTAGAGATCAAGTTTAACAGAAAGTTTCACTACAACCCACAAGAGAACTTGACTAACTTCCGTAAGAGGTCGTATTCATTGGTTGCGGCATAGTTACTGACCTGAATATAGTTTTTCCTTTCTTGTGAAGTTATAAGTCTTATCTGTCGCGAAAGATTTCCTTATCGGAAATCCGAAGGAAGTTAGAGTACCCTATAACGTAAATATTGTATCTTATGGTGCCATAGTTCTGTCATGGCTAGTTCCCTTTTCTTTCCCGCATCACGGAATCGGTAAAGCTTAGCATCAAACGATATCGCCGCATATTGTTTATGATTTTATGATTAACTTCTCCAAATCGTATTTTCTAATAAAAACTGCATCGTCTTGTACTTAGAATCACGACACAACCACAAAACACTTCTCCTCTTTTCACTGCTTAACTAAGAGGCACGTTAGAATAATTTTCGTTGCCAAATTAATTTATTTGGACAAACTAAATGTCGCGTTCTTATGACATAGTTGTAAAACTTAGAAGAGGAATTTAATAAGTACTCAGGATTTGTTTTCAGTCACACCAATAATGGATAATCTCGGTTTTTAGAGACCAAAGTCTCAGCGATACTGGAACACCTAGAAATATTTCCGTCAGGTATCCCATCAGAAGGAATGGTAAACGGGCCAATGGCACGAAATTGGAAAGACATTTCAACATTGAATAACTAATTTGAGAATATAATTCAACCTTACAGCAAAAACGTTCACAGAAACTGTTGAAAGTTCAAGACGCAGGACAAAAGAAAAATATGGACGATATTCCCAAAGTACTGTTTTGAGCTCCGAAACAGAATTTGTCACTTGCTTTATATGACTGATAAAAAATATTCTCCCTATTTTAGAAGAAAGTCCAATGGAGTTTACTACTAAAGGGATGAGCTGAATTGCAAAAAATGCCGTGATTTTAACTTCTTTCAAGTAACAATATCCTCCGCATCAAAAGGGTGGTCAGTGACGTCCTTTGTAAAGTCGTAAAAGCATGCTTCGGGCAATTCAAACAGTAAAAAACAACTTTTGAGGACGCTGCAATATCGTTCTCGGTCTCAATCGTTCGTATATCAAGATTACAAAGAGCCAGCGTTTTATAAAACGTTATCCATGTACGTTAGGTTTAAATAGGACTGTTCTGTAAAGACTTGAAAACAAATCAAAAGGAGTTTTAGTTAATCAACAGAAAACTCGTGAATTGACTAAGCTAAAACCT